CCTCCGTCAGTGTTTGCCCTTGAATCCGCACCACCTCTTCCAGCAGTGTCACTGCCTCCTTTACCTGTCCATTCGCCTCATATACTCCTGCCAATGCATGCTGCGACGCCAGTCGATCAGGATGATCCTCCGTCAGTGTTTGCCCTTGAATCCGCACCACCTCTTCCAGCAGTGTCACTGCCTCCTTTACCTGTCCATTCGCCTCATATACTCCTGCCAATGCATGCTGCGACGCCAGTCGAGAGGGATGATCCTCTGTCAGGGTCTGCACTTGAATCCGCACCACCCCCTCCAGCACCCACACTGCATCTCGCGCTTTGCCATGATGTTCTAAGTTCCGACCAACAAGCTCATAAATTTCGATCCACTGCCGGTCTACGGTGCGCTTGTCGAGACCAAGGTGATAACACAGCCGATCAAGTAGCCTGAACAGTGTCTGATCGTCCCTCATACCATTGAGTAGCCATCCACATTTCGTCAATATGCTGGACACCGCTACCTGATTCTCGCACGCAAATATATACCCCATTTCCCACGAGGTAATCGCTTGGAGGTGAGGCTGCAGTTACCGTGCGTGCACCTGCCACATCTTGCGCTCACTGCGCGACACCGCCACAACGCATCCCATGGCCATCCACGATGCATGGAGTTGGCGCTCGTCTTGGCGGTCCCGCGCCCATGCATGCACCAACGGATGCATCGATACGAGCACATGCCCATCGTCCACGTTGGTCGACACCAGCGCAAAAGCCCTCAGCGCATTGACAGCCTCCACTAGCCGAAATAAATCCCACGCACCGTCCCTAGCTTGCATAAGCAAAGGTAACCGAGACACGTGCCACGCTGTCAGACCCAGTTCGTTCTGATCGCTGACTGGGTCGGCCTCGATTGCTTGTGCTCCCTTCCATGCGCCTTCGAATAGAAGCAAGGGTAGTTGGCCCGGTCCGCACATAGCCAGGAGTGGCAGCAGCTCCAATGCATCTTGTGACGACTGCGTTAGACTTGCTTGTAAGATCTCCACCGACGCCTCAAACGTCGCGTACACATCCCGATACCGCGACCGAGCTTGTGACGGCCGGAACGCGAGGAGTCGTTTCCGTTGACGCTCATACACCTTGGAGTAGGTGGCCAAAGTGCAGTGACCTCGTCCCACATACGCTCCGGCCTGGATCAGGGCGAGAGGATGTGACTGGAGTAAGATGGCCACCTTCCGTGCCTCGTCGTCCAACAAAGGTCGTCTGTCACTAGCAACCCCGGCAGCCTTCAGTAAGAGTTCCTTTGCATCCTCCATTGGAAGCCCTTCCAGAGCCACGTACCCCGCGGTCGCGTACTGCTCGCATTCTGCATTGCGTGATGTCAGCACCACCACGCCGCATGCACCGGGCGGAAAGTAGTCCTGGTAATCGACGTTGGGGTCGTCCGCATTGTCTAGTACCAGCATCCACGGCTGTCTTGTATTGGCGAGCCCCTGTCGGCCGTCCTCCCACGTGGATGCCGAGATCTGAAGTCTAAGGGCGATGTCGAGAAATCCGTTCTTAGCTAGAGATGGGGTGCTGACATCGATCCAGAAAACACCCCAGAGTCTGGCCGGAGTCAGCAGTGTCAACTCGGAAACACCATGGGAACAGAGATGACCTATATTGATTGAACCCGCTGCGCTAGCTGTAGGCTGATCTCACTCTTGCCCTGGCCACCTAGGCCCGTGATGACCACGCGACATTGATTGGAGCGCGAGCCGTCGTGCACCGCCACGCGAATACTTCGTTCCAGATCATCAAGAATTTCCTTTCTCCCGGTAAATAAGGTGTTGGACGATCGAGGTACTACCCAGTGCATGTTGCTCTTCTCCAAGTTTGTGCCTAGATAGGTTAGATATAGGTATGAGGTGAGTTGGGCAATGGGTAGTGGACTTGCTCTGAGGAGACCGACCGAGCTCTTTATTAAGCCGGACGAATGCGTTGTCTCCTTCGCCGTAGATGAGAGGCATGAAGATATCAAATATCCCGAGCAAACAGTATGCCCTGTCCTCCTTCTTCTTAGTGTCGCGATGAGCGGCCCAACCCATACGCTCGTCCACACTAAATTGAGACAAGGGCGTGCCGCGAAGCGCTGTAATGGGAATACCCGTGATCTCGTGGATCTGCTGTTCGAGGGTGCTTCTGCTACCAAGCCACTGTCCTTCTCGTGAAAAGAACTCGACCGATGACGGCGCCAGTAGTTCTTGAAGGGTCCACCCCCGTGTGAACCATCTGCTTCTACGGAAGGCCCGCTCCCATGTCCGTTCCGCATGGTCTTCTCTGTTAGTTATCGACACGTCCGACAGATAGACATAACACTTAACGGCATCGTGATACCATCGAAACATCGAGTTGATGGCCTCCGAGAATTCCGTGTTGTTCGCTTTATTGATGCAGCAGGTGTCCACCCAGAAGTGTTCAAGCCTGTCCTTCTTCGCCTGCTCGCCGCAGAATCGGATCTTCGTGTAGCCAGCCTTGTTCTCGAAAGATTGGTGTTTCAGATCGTCGAAATCGACCTCGTCCTCATCATCTCCCCACGTGTGCGAGAGGATTGCGTAGCGAGGGATACCACCATGAAGGTATCCGGTTAGGCGGAGCACTCCCTGATCGTCGAATTTGAGGAGATGCATCGTGTTGGGCGGGCGCTGGCGGCACGTTGCGACCCGCTAGGGCATGCCACTCTACCAGATCGAGTGGGCGAGGCAAGAAGAGGCAGTCGTGGTAGTTGCAATGACAGCGAGGTGACGGCAAAGGTGTTTGCGAGGCAGGCGCGGAACACGCTGGACAGTGATGGACGACTCAAGGCCGTGCAGCCTTTCAGTGCTGGACATGGCCCGGCGATTGTACAGACGCAGTGTGAAGAACATCCGATCAGGCTGAACCTGTGATGTTCAGATGGCGCAGTCACCTCCATGCGGCGGCAGCAGGCACGGGGATGGGGGCTGAAATACGATATCTGCCCCCGACATTTCACTCACCTCGTTCAAAGCTGGGGATTTGCCATTGCTTCCCAAATCGATGACCCATTTAAGAATGGCAATGGCATATTTAGGGTCCCTTACCGAAGACAGGACATCAGGGCCAAGACGGATGAAGTTCTTCTTGAAAGAGAAGAAGCGGTTGACATTGTTCCCGCAAGTTGAGGCAGCTGATCTTTCCAAAGGAACAGCATCGAGCGCAGAAAATCGACCAGACAAGAAATTGGCCTGACTCGTCCTTACGAACACCTCGCGTTGCGAATACCCCCCAGTGAGAGTGTCTAATTCTGAAGACATACCGTTGAGTTTATCTGCCCCATAGCTACAGAATACGTTGCCGCACGGACTTTTCTCGACGAGAGGCACGACGGACTAGAATACGTCTCTACTCATCATAACAACGATCACGTCTTTGCTCACGGAGTCGCTCAACATATCTCCCGATTCGGGTGAGGACCCAGGAGACTCGTGACAATCCGACTCCATCCTCAACTCTACGCCAAGCACGTGCTCTCCCAGTTCCTTCGACGGCACACGTCTCTCCGAACACCGAGGGCCTAGTGCGCTTTCCAACGGAATGCAATTATACATATGGTAATGGAAGGGTTCTGGGGGAATAAATCGACTACAAGAGCACAGGAATTAGGGCCTGTCTGTTTTCAGTCAAAGTGACGGAGACTGGATAAGCTTTGAACAAACATCTTGATGTTCGGAGAAAATATCACAGGTACCATTGATCAGGAGACTACTGGCTTGTGGCCACCTCAGTGGGAATGTACGACGACACACCAATTCAACCCAAGGAACTCATGTGGTGGTTAGCGGTAGTGCTTCTATGGCACGCTTCGGTAGCGCTGCCGGCTGCAGTGTAAGGAAGCAGCTTACGTACTGAACAATCAGTGTCACTTATGGCTCAAGCATACAGCCGCTGAGGTTATGGCTGAGAGCATCCGGATGACCGGTCACAGCTGATGCTCCCATTGTGACAATCTCGCCAGCGATTTAAGGGCACAGAATGAGATGCTGGCATGGCTTGCACTTCGACTTGGCCTGGAAACATCCGTGGCCACTGCCTACATGACCACCTCCAATCCCTCCGCTTGCAGGGTCTGCTTGACGGTATCTCTCGACTCCAGCATCCTCACCAGCGCAGAGTATCTGGGATACTTCGTCTGCATCTCCAGCTTGAGACCCATGGCCCAGCGGTAGAAGATATAAAGGTACCCGTCGACGGCACTGAATTTCTGTCCATCGCCTAAAGCGTAAACAGCCACGCGTTCTTGTTGGTCCTTCGCCAACCACGACTCAATTTGATCAAAGCAATTCTTCAGCGTCTTGATACCCTGTTCGCGGATGCCAGGGTGCATGGACTCCCGGTCAGCGAAGCGCGATGGGCGTAGGATCATTCCGTACGCTTGACCATGCACCGACCCAGACAGCCAGTTCATCCATTCCAAGACTCGGACTTTGTCCAGGTCCGTTTCCCCCATCAGTTCCTTTTCAGGCACGAGCTGAGAAATGGCGAGCATGATGGCGGGATTCTCGGTGATAACTTTCCCATTGAGGGAGAGTACGGGCACCCGTTTCTTGGAGTTGATGTATGCGTACTCGTCGGGGAACGCTGGTCTCACGGAAAGACGAGTGGAGGTGAAGGGCACCCCGGCTTCGTGGAGAAGAATGTGGGATGCCAAAGAACAGGCTCCCGGGGCGTAGTAGAGGTGAACATCTGCCATGTTGCTCTGGGTTTGTGAGAGCAAGGCATGAGTCCGAGCGAGCGTACGAGGCGACGACATGAATATTTGAGGAGCCGTGCAGAGGCAAGACTGGCTTGCTTGCTACCTGGCTCTCGCACCAGCTACTCGCGAAGGTATATATACCCATTGATACCTGAACACTTGCCGCATGCGCTTCAGGGAGGACATGGTGTTGTTTGCATTACCTCGGTGTGACTTGCGGCACCGCTACCGAAACGGTCCTAGACTTGGTCTGAGCAGCCTCGATGTTTGTCATCCGGCTGGAGTCATGTTCGTCTTGTCTTCTGGGGGCCGGCTTGAGGACCTGTGAGAGAAAGGTCAGAATTCCAGGCGACCATTAGTGTCAGTCCCAAGAGTCTTGGTTTATCCGATGACCTAGTAGTTAGGGAGATCTTGTACGTGACGAGGTACAGGATGTTGCTGCGATAACTTGGCCCCTAAAAGCGGCATCTCCAAACCTCCCTAAGCGGCATTTGGTGGAAAGATGCCACCAGCCAATCAGGGCTTTTGAATTTCGAGCTCCGTCTGCGTCGAATCTTTGAAGCTCTCCCTGCGTTCCGATTGTCAATTCAACTTTCTTTACCTCGCACGAGTCCATTCCTCAGCCCATCTCAACCCGCGTTGGAGCTGCACCAGAGTGCTTTGTATTCTGTTGACACGACCTTTGTCCTTCGCCTTCGAGCCGACACACCCGCGTTCGTTTCTCTTCGTGTCGCCGCCGCCAATATGGGCATCACAGATTTCTTCTCGGACCTGATGAGTTCGGTGTCGTTTGTGCAGGAGGTGCATGCCGAAGCTCCCGCCGACGACAGCGACGACTCCAACGAAGGCGGCGAGGAGGAATCCAAGGACGAAGAAGGTGGTGACGACAAGGAAGAAGGAGACGACGAGGCCGGCGAAGACGAAGAAGAGGAGGAAGAGGAGGAAGAGGAGGAGGAGCCTGTAGACCCCAAGCCAAAGTTGGAAGATGGTACGTTTAACCTCACTCCCTGCCGGTGGCATGTATCACGTACGCACCTTATGGCCATGAACTAACGTTTTTCCTTTGCGCCTCCGCAGACTGCGCGCGATCCGCCCAATGTTCAGGATACAAGCACCACTACGACGAGTGCGTGGAGCGTGTCACCGCCGCGGCCGAGGACCCTGATCACAAGGGGCCCAAGGAGGATTGCGTTGAAGAATGTAAGTTCCATATCACAAGACTCAAGCAACAGAACCCGAACCCCGAGAGTGCGAGTGTGACTGGGTTGACTGACTGTTGACCCAAATTCCAGACTTCCACCTCCAGCATTGCGCCACGCAGTGTGCTGCTGCCAAACTCTTCAAACAGCTAAAATAGAAGCGCGCTCCTAAAGTTCAGATCCCCTACTCCTGTCCCTTTTCGACTCGAGACATTTGCGGAACCATGCGGGAAGATAGGTTCGGGATGGGGAGAACTGAATTGCTGGTCAAACGGAGCACTTGAGCCTCCCTTGTGAGCCAGAGTCTATCATACATTTCAACGTCGGCACGTTGCGAGTCGTTGCGTATGGCTTGACCAGCAAGGACCTTTTGTGTCTCGCACAAAAATCGTGACTCCAGCAACATCTGACAAAACACCACGGGAACCACACATAGTTTCACGCCTGTACAGTTACTACCTATTTCCTGATCGAACCAGAATACAAAAAATAAAAGACTTGGACTTGGTTTGTTGCAAGGCATTCTCTTCCCGTGGCCATATTCCCTACGTCGTCGTCGTGCAGATGGTCAACCCTAAGGTAAGCATTATCAACCCTGGTCAACTTGAGCAGACGTGATTCCAGCAGGGGCTAGGACCTAGGTGCAGAGTGAGATGTCCAAAGTGATTTGGACTATTGTGTCCAGAACAAGCCTAGTTGAGGCAGAGTTCCTGATACGATCTTTTGCGTCGATTAGATCCAGACAAGAAAAGGTCAAGCCCTTGTCCTTCAGCCGCTTATCGACTATGACAGGGCTGTGATCCTTCCCATGCCACTCACTAGTTGGTCGGTGTACGGCTTGTATCCCAGGGACCAGGAACATGTAGCAAACAAAAGATTAGGAACCGTCGTCAAATTGTCTCCGTGCGTCGCCCTACAATACCAAACGAGTGTCGCCGCTCAGCGCTCACCAGCTCCAGCCTACCCCCAGAACCCGGTAGCAAGCGACACGCGTTTGGGACCCTGCCCTATCGCGCCTGGCGGATTTTACTCAGGCATCTTTTAACGCGGCTCAACTTCGGCTCAGCCTAATCAGGCCACCGCTGAGCGTCCTCATCCTTCTCTTCAGCCCTGAAATTCATCTGCAAAGCTCTGGTCATTTGCTCGAATATGAGTGTTCATAACGGTCTTCAACGACCTATATTGGTTGTGACCTTATGCGAAGTGTTTATTCACTCACTTGAACCCCCAAGCTTCCATCTTGAACCCATCCAGATCAGACAACTTCTTAGGATATCGTATTATGCATAACCTACCCTAATGTCACCCTGACACCAACGCATCCCACGAGCAAAAGACTATCACGATGCGGCTTCTGAAATATGACGATCGCGGCTTGCTCAGTCTGACCCAGGACTTGCAGGACGACATTCCCCCTTACGCAATATTGTCACATACTTGGGGTTTTGATGGAGACGAAGTTACATTTGACGACTTAATGAGTGGGATTTACAAGAGCAAGCCTGGCTACGCGAAGATTCAGTTTTGTAGTGAGCAAGCCAGAAGAGCTGGTCTACTTTACTTTTGGGTGGACACCTGTTGCATCAATAAATCAAATCACACTGAACTCTCAGAGGCGATTAACTCGATATTCCGCTGGTATCTCAACGCTACAAGATGCTATGTCCACCTTTCAGATGTGTCGATGTGTACTGAGGATGATCAGAGTAAGCGAACATGGAAGATAGCTTTCCGGAGGAGCAGATGGTTTACACGGGGTTGGACGCTTCAGGAACTTATTGCTCCGCCATCGGTCGAATTTTTCTCCCGAGAAGGTGAGCTATTAGGTAGTAAGATCACACTCGAACAGCAGATCCACGAGATAACAGGAATTCCGATCGCGGCTCTTCGAGGTGCGTCTTTGTCTCAGTTCAGTGTTGATGAGCGGATGCGATGGGCAGCCAGACGCGAAACAAGGAGAAAGGAGGACAAGGCCTATTGCCTGATGGGAATCTTTGGTGTGTTCATGCCCCTGATATATGGCGAGGGTGAAAACGCGTTTATTCGACTCTTGAATGCAACACGAAATTCCTATAGACTTGACCAGTCACATAATGATGGACAGGCCTTCGTCAACTCTGCAGAACGACCAGAGGCCCGTAACTCAACATTGACGGTCAAGCCATTTGAAACCACCCTCCGAAACCTTGGACCGAGCTGTGAATTTTCCCAGCCTGACGATGAGCTCTCTAACGGTGAAACATTTTGCTACTACCCACTTGCCGACTCTACGTTCCGCCTTTTGCTCCTCAACCCCGGAACTTTTGGGGATCACATCACTGGCTCCCTCGAAGAGTATACTTTCGAGGATCCCCCAGCATACTACGCACTGAGCTATGTTTGGGGGCAGGAACCCATGATTCACCGAATTGTTGTTAACGGACGAACGAAGTTTATACAACCAAACCTTTTCCATGCCTTACAACGGATACGGCTTAGGCCTGGCCCAATTCACGTTTGGGTGGACGCCGTTTGCATCAATCAAACTGATCACTCGGAAAGGACTATGCAGGTCAGACAAATGGCAACAATCTACCGCAAGGCCACCAGTGTCATGGTCTGGTTAGGCGAGGAGGACGCAACGAGTAGATTTGCTTTGGACTTTGTTCCTCAGATTATTTCAAGTGATTTCGAGTGGGTGGGCCCGTGGTGGGAACAATACGGTTTTACTGCACTCGCTCAGATCTTGGAAAGACCCTGGTTCCGAAGAGGTTGGGTTTTCCAAGAGTTGGCATTCTCAACACATTCAACCATTTATTGTGGTGACCGTCAAGTCTACATGGACCACTTTATCATGGCTATAGACTCGGTCCGAGCTGGACTAAGCACCATGCAACCGTCTTTTATTCAAACCCCGAATAAAATGCGAACCTCTATCCTGACAAACTTTCGGGATTCACCTGCTGTTAAACTTCTGGACACTATTGAAGGCGCGTTCAGCAAAACTACGAAAGGAGATGTTCTTCACCGAAACATGTCCTTAGAAACTCTGGTGGATTTAAGTACTTTCAGCGAAACGACCGATGAGCGAGATGCAATCTATGCTTTTCTAAATCTGGCCAACGATATATCCTCGCTATCAGAGCCAGATCAGTCTGATTCCATAATTCCCGACTACGGCAAGAGCATACTTGATGTGTTTGTAGACTTCATCCTGCATTGTTGTCGGCAATCAGGGTCATTGGACATTATCTGTCGCCCATGGGCGCCGATGGTGTCCTCTCCAGTCTCTCCAATTGGTCGAAAGGATCGGTCTGACCACAGTCTACAAACATTCCCCTCGTGGATAGCGTCTAGAGACAGCTTACCTTTTGGAGGCCCATCTCGACGATTGAATCATCGCTTGCACGCTAATCCATTAGTCGACAGGAGCCAAAGGCGACCATACAATGCCCATTATGGATTGAAGCCCCACGTTTCTGTGGGAAGAAATAAGGACGGTACTTGTGATGGATCACTTCACGCCAGAGGCATAATTCTTGGGGAGATCGCCGAAAGATCAACAAGGCTAGCAAACGCTATCGTGACGAGGGAGTGCCTAAGCATCCTTGGGACGATCTCCCGCAATCCTCATTCGAGTCTTATCGACCTACCAGATACCATTTGGCGTACCCTCTGTGCAGATCGTGATGGCAAGGGCGAACTTGCGCCGCGATTCTATCGTGTAGCGATGCTTCATTTGTTGCAGATTAGTTTCATGACTCCCAAGCCTGGTGAGTCTACTAATCTGCTCGATCATATGTCTAGCATTGATATCGAAGAACTTTTGGGCAACGAAGTTGCAGATCACGTCAAGAATTTTCTCATGGTTGTTCGAGATGTTATTTGGAATCGTCGCACCTTTCGGACAAAGGTAAACGACAGCGCGGAAAGACCCCTGGTGGGCCTTGCACCTCAAAACGCCAAGATCGGCGATCAGATTTGCATTTTCTACGGCTGCAGCGTGCCAGTCGTCCTTCGGAGAATGTCTGACTCGACCGATAAATCTCACTGGCAATTGATTGGTAATGCATATGTTCATGGAGTTATGGACGGCGAAGCTATTCGTGCCCTATCATCAGAGACACTCAAATCTACAGAATCCGAGATCGAAATCCGATAGTCTCGACGGGAATCAAAGCGCACAGGTCGCAGGCAAAGAGCTGGTAGTGCCCAACTAAGTGCAAGTAGGAGAGAAGCAAGCTAACTCGACAGTATGGCATACAGGCCGAGGAACAGAAACTGGCGGATGAGCATCCATCCTGCAAAGTTATCATGATAGAGCAATTCGGCCAGTATGCTACCTCTTTGTGCAGTAGGTGATGAGATGACTCATCGACATTCGTAGATGGATGTTTAATCACGATCAGCATGATCGCAAATGGTACAGGAGTAAAATATTTAGCTGGGGACAGTATTTGCAGTGAATTTGGCGAAGGCTCTCGTTCTACAATAATAACTGCAATTACCTCTACGTTTTGGCTACATTCAAGTGCGGCTCCTGGGTCTTGTCAGTCTACTGTATGTGGCTCTGCGGGGCTCTAGATTCTCTGATAGGGCCAACGGAGCCGATAGAGCCTTGTACGCACCCAGGTTCCCTGTATACTTAGGCTACTCAGGGCTGCAAGCCTCGAGCCTCGCTAAGCGGTGTTCAGGATCGCACAACCACAGCGCATAATGGCTTAGTCAGGATTCGTTCAAGGAGGAAGATGCTTAGGTCTGGAAACGGAAATAGACTTTACAACGGTCAAAAGTTCACCGCTTGAGTATTATGACATCCGACGGAACTCCCTCATCGAACAACCTCACAATAGCCAGTTCAATCGTCAATGTGCGCAGCTCGAAGACCGGCTCGAAGATCGATAAGCGCAAACACCAGACTCCGGCGAGGCAGCAACTCATGTCAACTCTTCAAAACCATTCTCATACTCCAAACGCGAATCGTCATTGATCGCAGCGAATCTGAAAGCAACGGAGTCAGAGAGCCCGTCAAGTTTCTACCAAGAGTACCAAGTGTGAAGAATACATTGTGTTGTTGAAGCTGCGACGTTTTATGCGGGCCTCAACCCTGCTGCGCAGCGCCATAAAAGACGGACCGCTTTGAGCTGCACAGTCGAGCCTGTTGATTGCTTCCCCTCACCGCCTGACAACTTTCGAGTGGTGTAGCTACGAGGTCACACGAGGTGATGGTCTCCATTCCCAATTGAAAGGCCGCCGACGTCGTCTCAACCGCTGATGGATCTTCTCAAATCCAGCTAGACACAACAAAACTCGCTGTAACATGTCACCACGCTAGGCTACGCTCTACATTTCCAGGTTCCAGAATGGAGATAGATATGTTCCTCACTGAGCTCTTAAGGTAGGGTACGCAGAAGAACGGAGAGAAACCTCTCTACTCCAAGGGCTTCGCTTGCCAACTGAGATTCGAAGACAAATTTCATGTGCCAGCCCGAACAACGAGGAAGCGGTGTCTCGTTCAAACTTCAGCCGAATGGAATGGTACCGGCTTTGTCGCTGGTCTACAAAGCGAAGCGACCAACAAGAAAGCATCATCGCTGTTGAAAGGAGGCACTGGAAAGTATTACATAGGTAAAGAATAATTGACTTGACTTAATAAAGGTGTTCAAGCGTCACACACAATACCAATTACTTACTTAAGAATAGATGTTCCTAAGAAACAACTATCTATAAAAGTGTTTAGCCACGATGTAGATTCATCTGTAGGTACAACAGTTAAACAGAATACGATTTCTCTAGCATGAATAGAAGTCTTCATACGCGACTAGACTACGCAAGACCTCAACATACAAGTCCTTGGCCGTTGTTACAAAAATCCCTTCCCTTATCGACCCCTTCAATAGCAGACCAGGTTAGAAACTGGCATTACCTGCTAGCACCGAGACGCCCGCTGCCGATACTTCCAGAGTATATACGATATGCTTTAGGTGCGTGGATGAGCAGATCCACTTTTGAGACCAGCAAGTTACGAGTGCTTCCTGACACCTTTCAACTGGATACACACGTTGAGAAACATATAACTAGTATCTCTACACTCGCGTACAGTCATATACACTCATACTCCACAGCTGTATCCACTCATACCCATACTCATGCTTAGGCTCACACTCAGGCTTATACTCATACTCAGGCTCATGATCAGGTTCATGCTTATGTTCATGCTGAGGCTCACACTCAGGCTCCTGCTAAGGTTCGTGCTGATGCTCACATTGATGCTCATACTAATTCCCATGTTCAAGCTCATGCTTAGGCCGATGCGCATGCTCAGGCTCAGGCTCAAGCTTAGACTCAGGCTCAGGCTCAGGCTCATCCTTAGGCACAGATATATACTCAGTCACAGGCACAGTGTCAGAACCTTCATTGAGAATGGCCCTGTAATGAGATAGTTGATATAATATAGTATATTAAAAGTTCTCTGTAACAACGACGAATCACTTGAAGAGCGAAGAAGTCACCTCTACCTAAAGTGGGGGCGGAGGGCTTCTTATAAGCTCCCCATTCTATCGGAAGTGTACTTCTAGCTATGCTAGGTGGAACGCTTCTTTGCCTCGTCCTTTCCTATACCTGCTGCAGGGTAGTGTCAACTCCAGAGTCGGAGGAGAACCATGGCGACTGCAGCTCAAGGGCAGAATAGGCCAACCAATGGTCCTCTGGCTTGGTCTGCGCAACATATAATCTGAGAAGTCATGACAAAGGTAATGAGGTTAGCGATTGACAGGGTGAGTAGAAAGATTGAGTGCAGAGGTAGAGACTGTGAGAGGTGAATGTCTGTCTGGTATCTAAAAGCGGCAAGCTCTGGATGAACCGCTAGTGTTTACTTCCCTTCCGCCATGACACCAAAACACCAATTCAATCCTTTGCAGGCGACACATCTCAATTTATGCTTCGTTCCGGTTGGCAGCGCAAAATAGTGGTCCTATCACCTTGTGCGATGACAGCCCATATTCCCCTAGTTCCCCGTCATGAAACGCCGCCGACATGATAAACACGCGCCTCCCACTTCCACACCACAATGCCCGTCGACACGTTTCGAGTCCGCCTCAACTGCATAGACCACTACCAAGCAGTCCCCGTTGACGAATTCGATCCCCCACTGCCTCGAGATGTCGCCGTGGCCAAGGCAAAAGACCGGCCACGCATCTCCGTCATACGCGTGTTCGGCGCAACAGAGACGGGCCAGAAGGTTTTGATGCACATTCATGGGGCGCTCCAATACACATATATCGAGTACAGTGGGAGTCTGGAGCGGCACGATGTCGACGTGGCCATTCGCACTCTGCAACTCTCCATCGATCATGCCTTGGCCGTCAGCTATCGCAAGAACATATACGAGGGAAAACATCGCTATGTCGCATACATCTCCCTGGTCAAAGGCGTACCCTTTTATGGCTACCATGTCGGGTACAAGTTCTATCTCAAAATCTACTTGCTCAACCCCCTACACATGACCAGGCTCGCAGATTTACTGCGGGAGGGGGCAATCATGAAGAGAGTTCTACAGCCCCATGAAAGCCATATGCAGTACCTGGCCCAGTGGATGTGTGACTACAACTTGTACGGATGTGGGTACATCGAGTGTGACAAGGTCAAGTTTCGCGCGCCCGTCCCAAAGTACTTGGAGATGACTAATGCCTTCCATCAATGGCACGACTATTCGATTCCCCCGCAGGACGTCTCGGATGAGGGCATCCTTCCTAAGCAAAGCCACTGCGCACTAGAGGTGGATGTCCACGTCGAGAACATTTTGAATCGAAGAAACGTCGAAGCCCGGCTGATTCATCACGACTTTATAGAACGGCTGCATCCAATTCCAGCCGATGCAAAGTTGGTACAGAGCATGGCGGGACTGTGGAAGGACGAAACGAGGCGGAGGAAGCTCAGAATGGGATTGAAAGACCCCAGGAGCAGCCCTTTTCCCGCCGAAGTATTGATTTCCATGTCCGCTGACCCTAGAAATGTGTCTCCTGGAGGCTGGATTCACGAAGAAGAAAACCGCGAGAAGCTGGCTCAACTCGTCGTGGAAGAACGCGAGAAGAGTGACGAGCAAGGCGTGTCCTTTGATACTTTTGTCAGACACACCGCGACGGGTTCTGATGTGCAAACCGCACTCGAGAGCGTCGAAGACTTGTATCCCAGGAAGCTGAACCCGCCTATCCCCATCGACACTAGACAAGAAGCCCCTGGTTCTGACTACCGCGGCGCTAACAGTACGGTGTTAGTTGATAAAGAACGTGCAGACGATGTTGCAGACACAAATGATTCCATTGCGACTCCGAAAACAGTCTCGCCCGAACATGAAGATCGCAATTCTGGATCGTCTCTGACTGGTGACACATCCAGCAGTAACGGTGTTGTCCACGATGAAGTGTCGTCTCCGATTGGATCTGCAGAGTACGAGGAATACGGCATTCGTTCGGTGGGAGTTGCAGCATTTCAAGACGGGGATACTTTTGAATTTCCTGGAAATCATTTATTAGGGCAAACACAAGTTTCAAGGAGTCCCAAGCATGCCCGATTTACCGAAGCACCAACATTTCGTCCGAGGAAACGACGGAAGCTCTTAGTCGACGAAGAGAATCTTCTGCCAGACATCAGCTCCTCCGACTCTGAAGCAGATCACGATTTCCTCATCCACGGCCCCGAGACCGGCAGAAGACCCGCGCCAGCTGAAGACAAGATGAGTCGCCTCTCCCCACGTACAGATAATATCTTGCCAGTCAGTGGTCAACAAACTTCGAAACCGAAGAGCTCGTTGCAAGAATCCATCAATTCGCCAAGTCTCTCACAACAGTCGACGTTAGGCTTTCCCGCAGTCAAGAATCCGACTGATCCAGACACAATTCTTCGCTTGAGCCAGAAAAGTAATACGTCCCAAAAGTCATCTCAACTCGACTGTAGCGCACACCGCACCTCTCAGACCATGTCCAAAACTCCTCGCAAAGACATGCCGACATCGTCACAGCAGACAATTGCCCCTCCAACTACCGCAAGAAGCAACAAATCAGCACAGTCGCTCGACTTAGATCTTGTCGGCCTGAAGGCACCCAGCGATAATCCACGTTCTCTGATATATGTGCGACGCCCACCAACCTTTGATGAGGTCAAGACGACCCTAGGCCAAGCTGGGCTTCCCGACGTCATTTATCAGGAAGCATATTATAGCACCGAGGCTGATGTCCCGAGACAATCAAGAGAATACGCGGGAAGGGAGTTCAAACTTGGGAGTGACACTATACCCTACCTGCCTAACTTTGATGCTACTGGCACATCTCCGGCCAATTTTGGAAGAAGACCTGCGATGCTGATAGATTTTTCCGCCGAACGGATACGGGCCAATCAGAGACGGAAGCGTTGTCGTATACGTGAATGGGTCATAGCAGATGAGCCTCCGGGAAAAGCGGATGTACTGGCATGGCTACAGGAAGAACACCTTGCAAAGTCAGACAAAACAGTTGGGACGCGAACAAGCCCGAAGACACATCTCTCCCAGATCGATGTTCCGACTCAAAAGAACGGCTATGGGTTCAAGTATTCCCAAAAGCAGCCCAGCACGAGCGTCCAACACGAAACACAGTACATGAGCATTATGGCTCTCGAGATCCATGTCAACACTCGCGGCACGCTAGCTCCTAATCCCGAAGAGGATGCCATTGCCTGCATCTTCTGGTGTGTGCAGACCGACGATGAAGACATGGAAAGCAAGGGCAGCAGAGAAGGCGTTCACAGAGGCATTATCATCAACGCCGACGAACCCCAGAAGGCCAAAAAAGTCGGTCGCAATGTTACTTTTGAAGTCGAAGAGGAATCAACCGAGCTGGACCTCTTGACCAGACTTGTAGACATTGTGCGCTCCTACGATCCAGACATCCTGACCGGATACGAAGTACACAACAGCTCTTGGGGATATCTCATTGAAAGGGCTCGGGTCAAATACGATCTCAACTACTGTGATGAGCTCTCCCGTATGAAGGCTCAATCTCACGGCAGGTTCGGCAAAGACGACGACAAGTGGGGTTTCAACCACACCTCGACCATTCGTGTCACCGGTCGCCATACTATCAACATCTGGAGGGCCATGCGCGGTGAGTTGAACTTGCTTCAGTATACTATGGAGAACGTGGTGTACCATTTGCTGCATCAACGAATTCCGCACTATAGTTTTGCGGATCTTACTAGATGGTACCGAAGCAAGAATCCCCGTGACCTGGCGCAAGTCATAGACTATTTCTCGCGTCGCGTCGAGATTGACGTCAAGATCCTCGAAACCAACGAACTCGTGCCGAGAACGAGCGAACAAGCACGGTTACTGGGAGTGGACTGGTTCTCTGTCATTTCTCGGGGTTCTCAGTTCAAAGTTGAGTCTCTCATGTTTCGTATTGCGAAGCCAGAGAACTTTATTCTGGTTTCACCTGGCAGAAGACAGGTGGGAGGGCAGAACGCGCTCGAATGTCTGCCATTGGTCATGGAGCCCCGGAGCAATTTCTACACCAGCCCTTTGCTGGTGCTAGATTTCCAGTCCCTGTATCCGAGCGTGATGATTGCTTACAACTATTGCTATTCGACGTTTCTGGGTCGAGTGGTCAGCTGGCGCGGAACCAACAAAATGGGATTCACGGATTATCGTCGCGAGCCGAGGCTGCTGGAGCTATTGAAAGACCATGTCAATATTGCACCGAACGGAATCATGTACGCGAAACCTGAAATCCGCAAATCGCTGTTGGCCAAAATGCTCAGCGAGATTCTCGAAACCAGAGTCATGGTCAAGAGTGGGATGAAGGTCGACAAGGATGACAAGACGTTGCAACATCTTTTGAACAACCGACAACTTGCACTCAAGCTTATTGCGAACGTCACCTACGGCTACACGTCGGCGTCCTTCTCGGGTCGCATGCCTTGCTCAGAGATTGCCGACAGCATTGTACAGACTGGCCGAGAGACTCTGGAAAAGGCCATTGCACTGATACATTCGGTGGAACGATGGGGCGCCGAGGTCGTCTATGGGGACACCGACAGTCTTTTTGTTTACCTCAAAGGCCGAACCAGGGAGCAAGCTTTTGACATTGGCGAAGAGATTGCCGAAACGATTACCAAGATGAATCCCCGTCCGGTCAAGTTGAAGTTTGAAAAGGTGTACCACCCTTGCGTGCTCCTGGCGAAGAAGCGCTACGTCGGGTTCAAGTACGAGACCCGATCACAGACGGTTCCCGACTTTGACGCAAAGGGAATCGAGACTGTCCGCCGAGACGGGACGCCGGCAGAGCAGAAGATCGAAGAGACTGCGCTCAAGATGCTCTTCCGCACGTCGGATCTGAGTCAAGTCAAGAGGTTCTTTCAGGCGCAATGCGCCAAGATCATGCGCGGGAGCGTGTCGATACAAGACTTCTGTTTCGCCAGAGAAGTTAAGCTCGGGACGTACAGCGACAAAGGGCCGCCTCCTCCTGGTGCTTTGATCAGCGCTCGCAAGATGATTGAAGACCCGCGACTCGAGCCACAGTATGGCGAACGGGTTCCGTACGTGGTGGTGACAGGAGGTCCCGGCGCCCGACTCATTGATCGGTGTGTCGCTCCTGAGGTGTTGCTCAACGATGTGCACTCGGAGCTGGACGCCGAGTACTACATTTCCAAAAACATCATTCCCCCGCTCGAGCGCATCTTCAACCTCGTCGGTGCCAACGTTCGGCAGTGGTATGATGAGATGCCCAAGTATCAGCGGATCAGGAGAGTCGAGGCCGGCGGGGCCTTGGGGGCCCCCAGCAACAAAAAGACGACGCTGGAGTCTTACATGAAGTCCTCGAGGTGTTTGGTCTGTCGATCGACTCTTGACGCTAAGGACAACAAGCATGGACCATTGTGCAGGAATTGCTTTCGACAATCGTCAAGGAGTCTGTTGGACCTACGATCGAGGTTGATGAGGGCCGAGAGGAACGTGATGGAAGTTAATCAGGTTTGTCGATCGTGTGCTGGCGTTGGTGGCGTCGGCGGTGGGTGTGAGGAAGAGGTTCGGTGTGATAGTAAGGATTGCCCCGTGTTTTATTCTCGGACGAGATACAAGGCTGCATTGGCGAATGAGAGGGCGGTTTTGGTTCCGGTCGTGGACATGTTGGAAAACAAATCCGACTCGATGAATGGTTTGGATTGGTGAGGTTCAGGCACAGGCTCAGGCTTATGCATTCGACTTGGCTTGGTTTGACGTTGCGGATTTCCGGCACGTTCACGGGAGTTCTGGTGTTTTGGTAAACATCATCTTGTCGGCATTTACGGTTTTGGGGGGGCACGATTTGATTGATGCAAATACCGCCTTTGCGAAGGCCATGGCTGAAGACCGGCCTTCGCCAGATACCTGCGTGGGGAGTGGCATTCCGGATTCTCGATGTCGGTGTCTCGACCACGTGCTTTCGAAGAGTCGAATGAATCCATCCATTTGTGGACACTGTGAGGGATGGACCAATCCTGGTACTCGAGTGCATGCAACACGTCCGGCGAAAGCGCCCATCGGCGGACTGGACGCCCCTCCGGTAGATAGGAACCTCGGGGTTGACGATATGTCATGTGGATGCAGAGACGTATTGAAACAGATGACCTACCCATTCTTCCGTGGCTATTTCACGTTATGCTTGTTCTCAGACGGTGCAGAAAATGGATCCCAGGACCAAAACGGTAGATTCGTATCAGTGTTCTCCACGTCACTCCAAGAAAGGCTTGTCCAAAGTTTCCCAAGATGTCTCTACTATTTACAAGGTGGAACCTTCCTATCCAGATATTCAACTTTGACAAAAGCCGCTGCTGTACACAAGGTTCTTCTCCGAGGCACACGTCGCCCACTTGGCGCTGCGCACGAATCTCACCGTCGATCGAGGTAGGAAGAACGGCGACGGCAAAGCTTACGGGGTGGGAGTCTAGTCATGTTGGTACGGACTACAGTACAGAGACATCACTGACAAATAGGTACGTACATACATCATATTGGTAATAACAACCGCCGCTTCGGTTGCTTTCGATACGCGGGTCCAGATCGTGGTTCTTCGACGGGGGCCGAGGAGGAACTGGAGTTTACAGTTCATGCCGTCTCCCGGAGACCGAACTTTCAACAACACACACTCAAAAGAGTCCAGAGTTCATTGGAAAACAGGAAAAAGCATGTCCACCTTCGCCGTCGTCGTCAGTCCCGATGGGCTCGTCGTCGCCTCGGCCGTCAGACCAGCAGGCAAAGGTCAACTCGGCTGTTCCGTCCTTCTCGTGCCCGGTGGTTTGGTCCCAGAGCGTCAAGGCCACGTCGGTCTCCCCGACGCCTTGTTGCATCTCCAGATACTGCGTTGTTCACCAAAATCAACTGCAACTTTGGACATTTTGACATTGCGGCCAATCAAAACAAAGACTGTGCCCAACGCCAACAAATCAAGATGCGTGGGAAGCCCAAATGCAAACGACCAGCTTTGCTCTCTGTTACCGACCGGTATATGGAGGGGTCCCTGAAAACAGCCTGTGTGTGGTCGGCCGAATTTACAAGGTCGAAACGGCCGCGATATGTGGAGGTGAGGTGTCCATGATTCACAACCATCCTGGACTTGCTTCTGGCATGGAAGGAGATGCGAATTTACTGCTTTGGAAGATACGATATGGCTTCTTCAAAAGACGTGGCCGGTTATGGTTTCGCCAGGAGACGTACGTTTGATCGGCCCTAGCGACACGAAGGCCCAGCTCGGAGCCATGCTTGACGGACGCCTGCGGCATCTCGAATTCCTTCTGTTCAGTTCGGAAGACACGAGTGGTGTCGAAAACTGTGCGCGGTCTATATCATGTGTAGCGTTTGCAGCATCTTTTGCAATTTCATCTTGCAATGGTTACGATGGATCATCTGAGTGGTGTCGGTTGTAGTCGGACACGGATTTTGTTTCCCCCTTCTATCTATGATAGACTGGATATAGGTACTAGTGATCTTGGCCTATATAATCCGTTAACTTATTACGTTTAGCGCTAGGTTCGAAAATCGATTCAGGGTAACCTGATTCGTGGCTTTATCAGTTCTAAATTTAGGCCCTTAGCATCCAGGACACATTCGTGCTCAGTGTGGCTGCGAGGCGGTAGTGCCGAAAATCAAAATCGAGTGTAGCCGGACACCCTCACTGTAAGACTTATTACAGCACAGGTTGACATGAACACAGTAAGATCCGGAATGGCCCTCGTGCGTGAAAGTGTGAAAGTATGAAAGTGTGAGTGAGTGAGCAAGTGCTAGTGCAATGGTGGTGCATTTGGCACTTTTGCGCAGATTCGCGTGAACAATGCTTGAGCATCTCTCCGTCTGATATTCTCCGCCGCAAGCGCGTCCTTTGCGTAGATGGCGTGCCGCGGTGTCGGCAAGCTGTGGAAGTAGCAGTGTGTGATGCGTCTGGAAGGTATTTTCTGAGCTATGGGTGGTGTTGGTAGTGGTCGCATGATTCGGTATGGTGACTTCCTGACGTGTGTCCTCTGTGTGATGGACCATCTCTTCCCCGTCAACTCCGCCCCTTCACCGTGTACTGGGTAAGAAGCACAGGAGGGTCGAGGACAAGGCAAATGGTTGCAAGTCGTCGGCAAGTCATGTTTGCATTCTTCCCTAAGTCGACCTCTGAGAGACTTCCCACCTGGCATCATGGCACCTACTCCTTCGGAGTCCGGGACAAATGGACAGTTCCCAACGCGGTGATCTCCCGATAAGCTTGTGCGAAAGGGGTTTCAGCGACGACCGTGGCGATCGCCACGAGAAACACCGGTTTGGCCATTTCAGTGTTGGAATAATCATGGCTAATCACTACATCTTGGTCAAATACGCTCTTCAAGATGTTCGGAGCCATAGTTCCTTATTGCTAACCGGATCTTACGCCGTCACAGCCATCTAGGCACCCTCCACGAGGCTACGAGGGGTCCACTCGGCGTGTGATTGGCAACTCCGCATGTGGCTTAGACGATGTTTGGCTGTACGAACGGGCCAACTGGGAAATGCTAAAGCCGTCGGGTGACGCGTTATGGATGAAATTACTGTACAACCTGATCTCAAGCTCTCGCAGACGCTGACTCCACCGAGCACGTGCACTTCCCAACCTGATAAAAGAATAATTTTGCTGATGCCGGTCTTGCCTATAGGTTGTACATCATCCATGACGAACCCTGCAAAGAGTAGCATGTATCATGAGCTGCATTCTGAAGAAGGATACGTGGAGAACACGACCAAGGGCGTTTAAGCCGAAAGTTAGGACCGGTTGTAAAACTTGCAAGTACGAGACTGAAACGGCTACGTAAACAGAATGCAAAGCCAACGAAGAATGCTGACGAACGTTCCAGAATTCGTCGGATCAAATGTGACGAACACAAGCCCGCCTGTGTGAAATGCCGTTCCACGGGACGCCAGTGCGACGGCTATGACGAAAGCACAGGGAGACCCTCAATTATACAACCACAGGACCGCTGCCGTCTCCAAGGGCTGTCTCCCCAAGGCAACCTTTATCCCACGAGGGCACCTCCCCAGCACTGGGATCGAAGCGCTCTCCAGTTCTTCCAAATTCGTACCATTGCCAACCTGTCTGGCTACTTTAGGTCAGAGTTATGGGAACGCTATGTCCTTCAGCTCTCCGTGCTCGAGCCGAGTGTCTTTCACGCCACGGTCGCACTGGGCAATTTGCATCGGTGGTATGTGTACGGAAAGCCTCCCAATCCAGACCCTTCGGTATTTCACCATTATAACAAAGCCATTCATCACCTCTTGCGTCCGATGAACGCGTTGGCAAAGCCCGTTGTCTTGGTTGCATGTTATGTGCTCAGCGCTTTTGAAGCACTGTGTGGAGACTACAATGCATCTTTTCAGCACGTCCGTAGCGGCATCACACTCCTCCGCGAGCCGAATAGCATCGTCTATCGAAATTGCCTCCCAAGGACCACAAGAACCCAGCATTCCCGCCACGATGATGAAATTGAAGAAATCCTCCTCATTCATTTCTCACGTCTTGATCTTCAAGCCTCAAGCTTTCATCCCGCATGGACTATCTCAATGACGGAGCCTGACCCCATTTCGCGTATCCACTCAGAGGTTTCCATATCAAGCCTTGAGGAAGCAAGAGAACGTCTTACTGCGCTGCTTTTGCAAGTGATGGATTACAAGAGAGGCAGAGAGAAAGACGCGAATCATCAAGCCGCAGATGGTGATATCTCGCGAAATAGAATCGGGCAGAGTCTCTCCCAGTGGTGGGACGCAATGGAGGCATGGTTGTTACAGGAGCACAATTCCTTAAGCTCAAAGGAGCACAATGGAATTACGTGCCTCCGAATCCTTTATCTGACTGGATACATCCTCCTGACCGTGCCTCGAGGGGCGGAAGAAATCCTGTATGACAACCTCCGTGAAGAGTTCTCGAAGATTGTCGAATATGCTTCTGTTCTGGCACTAGCGCCAGAAGATGACGGTGAGCACAGCTGTTCGCACGAACTCGGCATCTTACCTGGTTTATATCTGACTGGAACCAAATGCCGTGATCCTACCCTCCGACGTCGGGCATTGGCACTTCTGACATCTTGCCGAAGGAGGGAGGGCGTTTGGGACAGTGAGTCGGCCTCGAAGGTCGTATCTAGGATCATTTCCATCGAAGAGAAAAGCGGCAAGGTACATAGCTGTAGAGATGTTGTTGAGGGGAGCCGAGTGAGGGACACCTGGCTCCTGAAACCATCCAACATGGACAGACATGCTCCTCTTGTGTTCACCCGCAGGTCACGAACAGACGCTGCATTGGAGATTATTGAGGAGCAGATTCAATGGTGATCTTGGAGCCTTGTCCAATAACCTCAGATAGGCCCTATAGTAATAACGCCTCTCCCCTACTCTTCACGTTCCACTTGAAGCTTCAGAACTGAAGTACTCTCCCAGCTTCACATTTCTTGCCGACGGTCACTAACTACAAGTCTAGACGCTCTAATGCAACACTTAAAACACCTGCTGTTTGGCCGAGTAGCTGGAGGGTTATCGGTGGAATCTCCTAGCACAAGAGGTAAGCTTGGAAATTGCTCTTGTCAGCTGTAAAGTTCTTATACCAACACATCTGCAGTCAATCTTGATCTGGTAAAATCGTCTTGTAATCAATACATTTATTTACAGATCGCAAGAACCGCTCACTCTGGCAGCTACAAAGCCACACCAAACATTCAGCCGAAAACAAATTCGCGTAGCATTATACCGAGCCAGTAATCGTCGAAGCAAACACCATTGCCACCATCAACATTAAATCTTTCGTGCTCCACGCGAGCAGATGTCCGGGAGCAGAAGAAGTGGACGGAGTAGTTGTCGTTGGTGACGACGAGTTCCCACCTGAAGAGCCAGTACCATTAGTCCGTGCTGCGAACCTCATCTCCGTCTTTCCAAAGTCAAACACCGCAACGACGTTTTTCAAGAAAGACGCGCCAACAATACCTCCGTGGAGCTGAACGCCTTCGTAAGACACGCCGGCGAACGAGATCAAGGAGGAGACGCAGCTGCCGCCACCCATGTCGAGGATCAGATCCCGTCCATCGTGGAAGAATGTCTGATTTCCAATGCTGAACCCGAGGGTCGGAGCGGTCGCGTTGCAGGCAACTTTATATGTTGGTGGGTAGCTTGTTGGGTCCAGCACGGCCGGAGGTGAAAAGTGACTGTTGACCAGGTCGGCAAGGTTGTTGGGAAGGAAGTTAAACCAGTTACCTGAGTCGACCACGGCCAGGAACTGAGTCGAGTTAATGGTGAGGGCGTGGGAAGGGTCAGCCCTGGGACCGTACACAACACTGTCAACGTTGACAGACCACCATGAGGGCTGGGCTTTGTTGTTTGTGATGTTGACGGGAAGAGGAGTATTTTGGACGGGGGCAACGGAGAAGTTCACGGAGTGTGGCACTGGAGGAAGGCTGCCGAAGGTGAGATAACCGCCTGGCCCAGAAACATCCCCCCGTGGTATCCTTTCCAAAGCCAAACTGAAGTAAGGCTCGCATTGTCCATCTTCATATAGGCTGTTAAAGAATGGGCTGTATATCACTCGGTCATAATCGTAAGTGTCGTTGGACTGGTTCAGGACGGATCCAGGGTGTGCAGAAGTCCAGACGGGATATGCCAATCCGAAAATGCCGCTGACAGTTCCATCAAGAGGGTTAGATGACACATTAGCAACGCCGATGGTCTGGCCTTTGACTGTGGCACCACCAATGGTCACGTCTTCTTTCCCGAGAATTCCGCTCTGACGCCCGTTACCCATTATCTCTCCATAAAATTCATCTGGGACCTCTTGGAATGTCAAATCTGGGTGATACGTTTCCGGACCCAGACCACAATCCTCTCGGGGTAGGATGGCATTACTGGTGTCGTTGACACATATCCAGTCGTCCTGCACAACCCAAAGGTCTGAACTGCCAGTATCCACTAATAAGGGGAATGTTTGATCTCCGCCCAACGTCACGTTGACGGCGAAGGTCGTGCCGTAGGCATTGGCCTGGAGCTTGGCGGTGAAACCCCGCAGTGTGCTGTCGGTTGAATGCCTCGTGGTGTGCAACTCGGCCACCGTAGGAATGTTCGAGGCAGCGCTAAAACGTGATAAGATGATGGGAAGGGATAATATGAGCAAATGGGAACGCATACTTGTGGACGTAACCGCTGATTTTCTCTGAACAAAGAGGACCGAGATGTGGTGCTCAAGATAGACCGGTCTTAAATACTACGATACCTTCTAGACAAAATCTGCTTCCAGGTGGTAATTTACCTTGGCCCGCCTTAACGGGTGGGGCCCACCCTTCAATCACAGATATACACTACGCTTCTCCATAATGAAACCACCTATCCGTACTTCGTGATTCGTTGCTTCGTTAAGCATACGAAGATCCGCAATCTCAGCCTCACTTCTCAGTGCTGATCGCCGGCTGCTGAAAAGGTTTCAGGCTTTCTATCAATAGCGTACGACAATATTTGTGCAGTCGCCTACGAAACAATTGTGACTTTTATGGACAAGCGCAGCCCGAGTTATGGTATCATCAATACTGCGCCACTTCTCAAGCCGACTTTAAGTAAGGGTTCGCCGATAGACTCCTCTAGGTTCTGGTAACCCGTCATATTATGGTCGCAGTCACTCCCCTGGGACGTGCCGACACGGGATTCGTAGCACTTCGAAAGCTTCGCAGCTTCACATCTGTCGACGGCTGCGCGTAATTGGGTGACAACGAACAACATTTACGGTAGGGTACGATAGGTAGCTGTGTAGTTTAATACAATGCAGCTCATAGTAAACCATTCATTTATCAATTCTGAGACAGGTCCAAGTGCTTTTCTGGCTGTAAGTCAAAATGCATCATGACTTCTCCATCTTCGTCCGACAGCTCGACCCGACTAATAAGCCCAAGCCGCTTATAGAATTTAATCGGCGATCCGGTTTCATATTAGCTTTACCTTCCGGCGGCGTAGGCATAACCCCCAATTCTTTTGCCAGCCGATTGTGCTCTCGAACATGCGCAATGGCCATTACTATTATCCGTCGCCCCTACGCCATACCCTGAAAACGTTGATCAGTCATAAAGGGCCAGGTATGCTATGCTTCCTCGGGATCCCAAATCGCCATCATGAGGAAGCCAACAGTCGTATCGCCGGCGTAAACAGCACGCACCCACGCGCCTTCAGAGTAGTGAGACTTCAGAAGTGACATAGAGTTACTAGCGAGGTCCCTGTATTGCTTCCCGTGCACGCTGAGACGTGTAACGGTAGAGCGGAGTCTCTACTGGGTCGCGCCTCTGTGTGAGGACGATGGCCGACCATTTTCAAGGGATAGGCTACAAATGGCCTAGCATAATCTTGATAAAGTATGGATGAGTCATAAACGGAGGTAGTATTCAGTGTTCAAAGACTGCTTCGGGGTGAATGAGTGATCCATCGAGTCTAGTCAGGCTTAATTCATCGTTTGCAGAAGAGGCATATGTTTGAGGTTTAAGCCCGACGAGCTATCACGGTGGTCATTAAAGCCATGATTCATGCATTCCATTGCGTCTGTATGACTGTCTTTGACTCGTAGTCTGAGAAGGCAAATACTCCGCTCCCGGATCTGCCGAATAGGCGATTCGTCGTCCATTGGAGACGGGTCAAGCCACTGATCGTCTGGGTCACCCAGGCCCGCGTCGTGAGCAATTCTTACCCATCTTGGCTTCTGCCGAGAAACCAGCGACTCAAGACAATATTTGGAGCTTTCAGAAGTCGCTTCGACAGCATTGTAAGCGAATTTAACTATTCAACAGTAGGGATATTGTTAAGACTCCCACGTTGGGAAAATTCGACCCTGTCTTCGGCTGCGAAGCGTTATACCCGCCGCTTCAAACGTTCCGTTCTCACCTCATTTTGCGGCAAAAATGATCCAAATTCGACCAGCGACAAAGAGCGAAATCCCGACAATCTCCAATATTGCCGCCACAGCTTTCTGGAACCATCCTGATGTAGTACGGTACTATCCCAAGCGCGGAAAACATCCCCAAGCATTTGTTCATGGTTACGAACGTGTGTTGGAGGAACATCTCTACAGCTCTGGCGCCCGTTTACTGATTGCTATCCATGTTCCTGATGGTCCCACAAATGAAAACGCCACCAAATCAATTGTGGGCTTTGCTGCGTGGCAGCGATATGGCGATAGCGATTGCGCCGAAGAGTGGAAGAAACGCTCCTGGAGCACACGATTATTCTCGGCTTTGCTGACGGTGCGGAATTTCGCCACAATTGACCGATCATATTTGGGACCCTTGCAAAGGTGGGAGCTGCATCGGAAATCTACGGAGACGGAAGAAGAAATTGGTGATGTGCAAGTCAAGGAAACCGAGGATCACTGGTGTCTTCATGTTCTTGCCGTGCAACCTGAATGGCAACATAAGGGAGTCGGAACTGCACTCCTAGATTGGGGCGTGAAGGAAGCCATGCGAGAGGAAGTCCCCCTCCTGCTCTGGGCATCAGTGGTTGTAGAAGGGTTTTATCGCGCCCACAGATTCACCCATGTTAAGAAAGTATCAAGGAATGGAGAAGATATTGATTACCTGATGGCTAAACTACCGACTAAAGTGGGTGATACAGATGTTGAGGGCGAAAATGCTGTCGCTGGAGCCGAAATCACAGAAGATGATATATCAACAAGGTGAGAGTATTAGAAGGGCGCCTTCCATGGGTTCTGTATCGGAAAACATGTCACGGCAATTGTGACATGCCAAAAAGCTGATATTTGGGGTGCTCTAGCACATGGTCCTATAGTAGCTAATGCTGTTGGTGATAGCAATGATTTCGAAAGATGTTGGCAGCATGAGAAACGTTGAGACACTAAAGGACTTAGGCGGTCCAGAGTACAGTTAGAGAAAAAGTATGAGAACAAACCATCATCCAAACTAGACTATAGAAGGTTGTCCAAGTTGCTTGGTATCCAAGATTCACAGAGTGAGGTCTTCAGGTGCCTAAGAGTTAGCTAGCCGACGAGCCTAAGCGACCAAAACTCTGACATCTCATCGCCGTGGATATCAGTATGTTGATCAAAAATAAGTCGTCTTGAGTCTTTAGGTCGTTGAGTTCTTCGAGTCAAAACTTCTAATTGTTCAAGATATAGGGGATAGATGCCTTCTATAGCTCCGCTGACAGATTTTCCGCGGACACTTGCGAGCCTTTGGATTCCGTTGCTCCTGAATCCAACAGAGATCCGTCCAGTGTTTGAGGTTGAGTCCTCTTACCTGGAACATCATCGAATCGTGATTCGGTAACCAAGTCAAGACTCATAGGAATCGGCGGAGCCACTCAGCTAGCAATGTCAGCACGAAGCAAGCCAAAGCGCAAGGCTTCTTACACCACGATCCTCAAAGTGGTTGTCTGCTTGGTATCGGGATGCATGAATCTGTGTGGAAGTATACAGGTCAGCAGCACATCAGCCGACGTAACGACTAACTCCAGAGGATGCATCCGTCGTCGCAATCGGCAATGCTGCGTTGTGGAGGCAGTCGTTCGACTTTGGTGGGTTAGGTGGTGTAGGAGGATCTTACGCCAAAGGTAGCTAGGTGCATAGTCGCTGCAAATCTGATTCTTGGTTTTCCAAATTACCAGGTTGATGGATTTGTTGACACCACACACAGACCGCCCTCTCCTGGCATGTCGCTCGTCCTGATACCATTCATAGACAGCTGTCGCTCGGCTAGGGGGAGAAGAGATACGTCGAACTGCTCCGCATGCGCGCCTGGTCGTTTTGCCTCTGCTCAGGTTAGCTCAGTCACGCACAGGACGAATTCCTCGCCCGGAATGACCCTAGGCTAGGCCCTGCTTTGGTGAAGAGGGTGGCCAAACGCTATCGGATTCGCGGTGCTCAGCAACCCCAATTGTTGGGCTTGGAGAGGTCAACGAGCGCATGATGTGAACACAACCACCATAGCGCCGGCGTCGACCATGGGGCTGTTACTCACCAGTAAGCTGCAAGGGCACAAAACACAAAGATGGGGCCGGAGAAACAATGACTTCGGCTCTCTTTCTTGTTGTCTTTGTCTTCAAAAGTATTCATGAGCGCCATGGTGTCCAACAGAAAAGAAAGGTCTGGAGTACTGCAGAGTAGCACGAGAAGAGAAAATGCAAACGCAAAGTCAAGTCTTGGAAGAGAGCAAAGAAACCTTGCTTCGTCTGTGATTAGGCAGCCAGTTCAGGCGTTCGAGGAGTACGACCCAAGTCCAACAAGATTTAAACTTTGAATCTTTCTGGTCCACATCAGAACCTTGAGGGCTATTAGAGAGCGCCGAACGTATGTGGATCGACAGGCAATGGCTAGTGGTGGAAGGTCCTTTGTTCCCATCACTGCTGGCCCTGGACAGGAGTGAGTATGGAAGGACGATATGGTCGGTGAGGGAGCGAGGGCCCTACCACTCAACAAGCCTCGTCTGCTCGAACCAGCAGGGGGCATGGACGTGGCTCTGGTATGGGTGTGAAAATCGGAGGCCAATCATGTCGATCCGGCTGTCAAAGGAGGAGTGTGGCTTCGTTCGTACGAGCATAGGACACCAGAACACGTCCAGCGTCTATAGCAACACCTTTGTGAGTGAGGATATGAAAGGAGAACGGCACAAGAGGATTGCAACTTACCTCTTTGTGTGAGGCCAAGGCGGCAACCCTTGAACCTGTTGGCGTGTGTGGCTTCGACGTACGGAGGGCCCTGGAGCAATAGGCCTCCTCCGAACTGAGTAATCTGACATTGGCGGCAGATAGAAGCGGGGGAAGCAAGCCGCTCTGCAGAACCTGCAGGACCAAGACTAAGAAGACCGAAGGAGAGCAGCGTAGAAGCAGGGAGGCATTTGATGGCTCAGAGTGCAAAACCCCGCAAGACCCTGACTAAGAAGAGGCGCAGACACTTCTGAGACTGGGGGCGCAGGGGTAATGGCAGGAAAGTAAGAGACGCCATAAGAAGATCCCGCAGACAACAAGGGGACGTAAGGTAATACGTTAATGGAAAACGGAAGGGTTGTCGAGTGACAAAGTTAAAAGGGATGGAATGTAGTTGAGAGTGTCATATGTCCAAGGGAGAAAATAAAACACGGCAGAGCGAGTATGTGGCCCCAGGCTTGATATGATACAGTAGGGAGGTACAGATAGGTGGGCAGCAGAAACGACGGAAGCTGCCTTACAGGAGGTAGGTGGGAGGTAGATCGGCGGGTACTCACATGACAGACGACATGGTAACAATGGTACCGTCACCAGATAATACAACAACAGCAACCTCCCAGGTCTTCAAGGAATCCTAGTGTAGTGTAGATGTATGTAGGACCTTACACCAACAAAAGGAAGGACTGGTAGCGCAAAGTCCTACAAAAGAGAGAAGTATGATCGTTGATTGAGATTAGCGCCTGGGCAATTACATACCCAGGTAAGGTGGGCACAGATTACCTGCCGAGCTACAAAAGAACAATCCGAAGTACAAGTCAATCATACCACAAGTCAAGGTATCAGGTGTATGCGCCGAGCTACTGTTGATGCAATTCTTTCTTGTCATCTTCGTCGTGGATCTGCTCAATCACGTCGGGGGATCGATCAGGGAGCGCTGGTTTGACATTCTCCTTCTCCTGGCCCTCGGATAGTTCACCATGACCAAAGAACTCATCATGGTGTTCGTGCGGTGTGGGACTCGATGGTGCAGATTCTATAGGGGCTTCTACCACTAGAACCTCGTCTTCGGGCTCCATGTCCACCAGTATCGAACTCTGTCGTTTTCGCCGTTCTGGGAGAGGTGGCTTTTGCGCTGGTTTTGGGGATATCTCGGTCGAGCCATTGGTCCCACGGCGCTGTGGTAGCAGTGGAGGAGGCACTGGTTTTCTTTTGGGCGCCATGAAGCTATTCTTAGGCTTCTCTGGTGGAGGGAGCGGTATTCCAGGAGGTGGCAATGGCCTCCCACGACCCATGGGCTCTCTAGGAGTAGGGGGAAGTATTGAGGTCTTGTCCTCTCCCTCCGCGGCAGCTTGGGTTTCCCGTTGCCGGTTCCTTGCCAGCACACCCCAACCCCATTTTTGAGCGGCGGCGGCAGCGGCGTTGACAGACGCAAGAGCCTGCTTCCTATCTGCGCTGGTCATGGACCTAACTCCTTGTGCAAAAGTCTTTGACTTCGTGGATTGCCCAGCTGACTTGGGCCTGTCTTCATTGGCATTCAACGTGTCGACAGAACTCATTGAGGTCCGACTAGAAACGGTTGAGCTTCTTCCAGCCGAGGGAGATTTGGGAGTCGGAATAAACTCTTCAGACACAGGAACTTCTACTGATAGACTTGATGCGTTGCTCGCACTTCGTTCCTTTTCCTGCATCGCAGTTGCCATTGAAGACTCGAAAGGCGGTGATCCAGCTTGCGAGTCTGGAGGCGAATGCGTCTCAGATGTAGATCTGTTGGACAGATCCTTTAATAAGTTCGCGATGCTATCCTTCCGGGCGCTAGCATCGGATTTTCGAGCCTGACCGTTGACATCAGCATGATCAGCAGTCACTGTAGGGTGTGCAGCGCTTGCAAATGATGGTGATCTCATTAAGCGTGGAGTGGTTGCGTCTGTCTTGTTCGGAGATTCTGACCCCGAGTTCTTGATGCCCAGAGCTTCGTTCATGGAGGAAACGGACTTTTTCGAAATGGACGGTTTCTCTTTGGCGTCGCTCAGTGCGGGCATGCTCATAACACGGTCGTCTTTCCCAAGCTCCACCGGTGTTCTCGTTCCCGAGGTGCCCGCCTCCGCTTCATCTTCTGGCTCGTCATTCGGGATTTCGGTGGAAGTTGTATTCGTAGTTTCTCTCTGCCAGATGCCTCCTCGATAACGTTGGCTCCTAGTCTCGAAGAAGGGGACGTCGTCCCAGAAAGGCTGGCATATGCTTTCGGCAATGACTTCCCGGATCCTGCTCTCAATTGCACGCAGGATCCAAGTGTATGTGATCTGGCGCGAGCTAACGATCGGTTCTAGAGCGAGATCCAACTGTGGCATCTTCTCGAAGCTGAACCAGAGTCGATTGCTAGGAGGCGGCTTGAACCTAACAAGAGCGTGGCCTTGAAGCTTCCTGCACGTGGCCGCCAGAACCATGTCGACCTCTCGTGGCTTGAAGCGCGAGCCCAGATCGATTCGTGCGGTGGCGGCTATTTCTATTCTAAAGTTCCCAGTATAGTCGACGTCTGCCTCGACAGTGCAGTCGCCATTGACCGTCAGGTCTTTGAGTCGCGGGTTCGTGATGAACGGTGCGCCCGTACCTGTGTCGATCTTTTGTAAAGCTAGCTTGGTGATGAAGTTTGGTTTCTTGACCCGGGAGATCTTCTTGGTTAGCTTGGTCCGGATGAAATTCTCCAGCTCGGGTGTTTTGTACATGGCCAGAAACAGTCGACCGATCATGGCGTTCAACCACCTCGTCTGCAACTGCTCCTCGGAGGAGTGCAGCTTCTGGACCAAGTTTACAATATGTTGAACGTCGAATTCTTGCGCGACTGGCAAGTCTTCGCCCACAGTCCTCTCCTGGTTCTTGAGCAACGCAAAGTAGAAATCCTCCTTCTCGGACAGATTCTCACTGAACAGAAAGAATGGTAGCGAGTTGGGCCTATCGCCGACTCTTGTTTTCTTCCTCCGAAGGCGGATGGCGTGTCGTTTGATCCACAGTTCGCCTTCCGGCAGCTCTTCACCGCCTCCATAAATATCGACATCGTGATACTCCAAGAAGATTACGTAGCGCACTTCCAGCTGCTGTACATCATCGTACAGCATGAGGTGGCCATGCCTCAGAACCACATAGAAGACGTTGTTGGCATTCTTGAGCGTCTTTCCCGACGCGTCCTTGTTCGGCTCTATGGTCGGCTTTTGCGTGCGGTCAAATATGCTTCTGTACATGGTCTGGTAGACACTTGGAGACTCCTGAGCTACCACCTCACCCGCCGGACTAAGCTTCTCGGGAGGCTTGCCATTGACGCCACCAGGAACGTATTCTCTACATACCGCAAAGTATCCAGCAGCGACATCGGAGTCATGCTGTCGATGGAACTTCTCGACCAGATCGTCTGTCCCGCTCTTGAAGGCTATCTTGTCATCTTCGGGGTGGATGAGACGGGCGCCGTCTTGCTTGGAGGAGTCGTCCTCGGCGTTGGGAGGAGGTAGGGTGAGGTAGGCATGGAGGAGGACGAGACCGAGCAGTAAGGGAATGAAGGTGAGACCGCCTAAGATGTAGACAAACAAGAACCATTGCAAAGCCCCCATTGGTTAGTCAGGCATGGAGAAGCAGCGTGGATGTCGCGCGCGAATGCTCGCAACCATGAGGACTTTGAGAGGGAAGGTGAGGGTGTGTGTTTGAGTGAGGCAGGGAAGCAATCGAGCACAGAGTGTTGATGGGTGTTGGTGAAGTGTGAGTGTAAAGTGTTGAGCGTTAACGGTGCCTTGTATCTGTAGATACCAAGGACGTCAACACCAGGTGCGGAAGGCACGAACCAATGAGTGACGTAGAGCCAGACACGGCGCATGAAGTATTAGGTAAGCGAAATCTTAGGTAAGCGAGGCTGAGTGTTGGCTGGACCAGAGAGGATTCACCACATCTAGAGTTAACCAAACAACCGAGAATGATGAGAGAAATCAGAACTTGAAGCTACTGCTCAGCATTTGAGGACTCCAATGCAGATACAGATAGCAAGTGCATATCCATTCCATTCAAGTCCCAGGTCCAGCTCGCCAGCTTACTCGTATTGTATTGAGTCCGAACCATCCTACAAGTACCTCAGATCAGGTCCCTACAGTATCCACACTTCCTGCATACCTCTGCTATGGCTTCGTCTAGACCTTTTCAATCTGCTCAGCAGCATGTCCGTGTAAGGCCCCGGCCTTCTCTACATCTGCGCTGGCAGCAGTGCCATGACCCGGCTCATACACCTCGGTTGCAATCTTGCGAATCTGATTGTTCCCGTGCTCATCAACAACAAGCTCATGCGTATTGGCATCGAAGTGGAGGTCCTGGGCATAGACTGCGACATCTTCGCCGAAAAGTTTGGCCATCTCTTCCAGCGGGATATTTTTCGTCTCGGGGAGAACGAACCATGCCACGATAGCCCCGAGGCCTGAGATGATGATAAAGACAAGGTAGAATTTCCAGCCGATATTGGCAAATGCCTGTGATTATGATCATTTCCATGTCAGTCCAGTCAATTCTGAAGCAACACGTCGAGGACAGGCTGTGCGATGGTAGAATGAGTACTCACAGTTGCCGAGACTTGCAGATAGACCAGATCCGTTAGAGCAATCACTCCGATGCTGAGGGCCAGTCCCTTTGCTCGTAGATGATTCGGGAACAGTTCTGAGTAGAAGACCACTCCTGCCACGTCAATGCCGATGCTGTAGATCAGGAGGAAAAGGTAAGCCGCGGCCACTCCCATGCGCAGACCGGCTTTGTTGGTGCCTTCCTCGGCGAACGAGCTGACCATTGCCGCTTCGAGGATGAGAGATATGCAGCATCCTGCGACGCCAATCACCATCAGAGGCCTTCGGCCCGTCCAGTCCATGATCAAAGCACCAATGATATTGCCTAAGATGCCGACTGTGATCCAACCACACTGAAAGATCAGTTGGTACAATGTGTCAAAGCCGAGAGAGGCATAGATTGTCGGGCCTTTAAATAAGTCAGTAAGGTAGTCATTGCACCGCTAAGCAGAGAAGGTATCGAGATAGTCCCAAAAGAAAGACTCTACCGTAGTTGTTTAGTACCAGAACTCCACTATTCATTCACATGGTCAGTCCCAGGAGATTGCTACTAGCGGGTGCACAATGCACAGGCGTCAGACGCGAGATGCGATGGTATACTTACGTGGACTGTCCGATGAACGCAAATCCCATGGCCAGGAAACTTCTCCTTCGGTAGCTGGGGCGACGGAACATCTCCAGCCAGCCTGGTTCCAGTTCTCTGTCCATCTCGGCCTGCTTGGTCATCTGATAAAACTCACTGCGAGCAAATGTATTGTCCGGGTCATCCTTCCTTGCGTGCAGTTTGAAGACAACCTTTCTTGCCTCCTCAATCCGACCCTTCATGAGAAGATATCTTGGAGATTCCGGAATCACAAGACAGACCAAGCACATCCTGTCAAGTCCGCTCATTAGCTTTCGGTAGCCTGTAAATTATCCCGGAGTAGGACATCAATCCGGAACCAACTATCGACAAACTCGACAGTAACGCCCGGAAGGAGAGACAGGCCAAGGCAAAATACTCACATGACAGGCCATATCAGAGCGATCCCAAGTGGAGCCCGCCACTGTGCGTCCGGGCTGTTGTCGACAAAGTAAAATGCAAGACCCATATAAGAGGCCAAGCCGTAGCCCAAAGCGATGTTGACTCCATTCATGCCAACCATAAGACCTCGGAGGCCAGGGGGTGCTAGTTCTGCCGAGTAGAATGGAGTCACTGCGAGATAGCCCCAGCTCCCACCCCCAGCAAAGAGTCGGGCAACGATGAACATGGGAGCATTTCTCGCACCGCAGAGTAGGGCACCGCCGAGGAGGGATAGAAACCCGCATTCGTAAAGGGCAGCTTTGCGGCCCCATCTATCAGCTACCCAGCCGGCGATGAAGACGTTGATTGCGGCGCCAGCCTGGAAGACCTATTTTGAGTCAGCCAAGTTGGGCAAACACTTCAACGCATATTGTCTTCAATGTATGACCTGAGGTCCAGACTTACTCCTGACATGGCACCGATCTTTTGGTCCGCCCCTATCCGAAGTGTTAGAACCAAGGTACATCCCATGCCTGCGTCTTGCCTGTGATACATGCTTACCTGGCGTCAGAGCTGGTGGGTCTTGCGTTATATCCAAGAGGCCCATGTAGACGAGGAAACTCGGCTGTGCCAGTGTGACACCAATGATGGATGCTGGATAGCCGAAAGCAATCTGACCTAGCGAGACCATCCAGCAGATGAAAAAATTCCACGCACTCCAGTGTCTCTCCGTACCGAACGCCATGATAGATCAAATCGGGTACGACAAACCAGTGTAGGACCGTGGCCACTCCAAGAGAAATCGCGAAACTGCGAGTGTGAACTGATCTCCAGACCACCAAGGACTTTGAGATCTAGATTTGAAGTACGCACAGGTATTCTTGTTCCATGTGGTTGACCCATCTGGGGGAATCCATCTGGGCAATATATCTGGGGAATAGATCTGGCGGGGTTCGTTCATCAACCGAGACCTCCCGCGGCTGTTTGGAGCAGACTTCTGAAGAGTCAATAATGTTGAGTCAGTCAGTTCCAGAACCAGCCCTGAGGTGGCTGCTAGAACTTTAAAAGTCGCTGTTGCTTGCCGTCTCACCAAAGTCTTGAGTTGTCGGACAAGACTCAGGAGCAAAAGAAGACCGTGTTTCGGACCGTTGATTAGGAGACTGACTGACGAACATGTTGCATATCGAAAAATATCATCTTGGCCAGAATGGACGAAGATTCACTTGATCAAAAATGACGGCTTCGTTACTGTACAGATGGCGGTGGTCGACTCGGCAGGGCACTCTCCTCGGTTAACGACTATCTAGTGACTTTCGCTTGCCCATGGCCAGACCTTAGAAATCGCCTCGTGGCTTTGAAAGCCCACTCCGTACGAGTGGACCGATGTCCACATTGTGCTCAGAGTCTGGGGCGCGGGGTAAAACTAATCTCAAGGCAGTAAGCAGAAAACTATAAAACAGAGACAATATGAGGAGGATGTGGAGGTTGCCAGACGGTGCAATAGGGACTGATGGTCCGTGGAGACAGGGACATGAGTGAGCTTCCGCCACACCAGAGACACATTCCTTATTTCGGCAGCCTCTAGCTTCTGCTCGGACGGCTTCGTGGCATTGATGTTCTGGAGCTGTGCTGGAAGGTGGAAGTGGTACGATAGGTCAATTTTCGATTCGGCTGGCGCAAGAAACTTTAACCATGCTCAACCTCTCTGGCATCTCCAACAACGAAGAGATATCATTGGGCCCTGAGCAGAATTGGAGAACTCTTTCATCAATCAATCTTAGAAGTCGGATTTCTCATTTCGATGGTAAGGGACGAAGTTGACTTCGCTGCCGAGGAAGATCGAAGTCTGAAGTCGTCGAAAGTTGTAGGAACAGAAGGAACAACAGAACACTTGCTGTGACGTCACCATATGTAAAGACAGGCATCGAGGCGTATTTGGTATTGTCTCGATACGTCCACAACCACGTGATGGTATTGATTCGAGGCGGCGCGGGGGCTGTCCCGCCTTCAACCCTACCTAGTACGTACCTCTCACGCGGAGGGACAGAGAGAGCCACAGACAGAGACGATGGAGAGAAAAAAAGGGGCCCTGTAGACGCATGAATGCATGAGAAACTCGCTTGCTGACTTTACTCTCGACTCTGACTTGACTTGGCTCAACAGTGACCATGTCTGTATACACACACCATGCGTTGGGGATAAGATAACTCAGGCTCGAATACCCTCAGGTGAAACACGGTGGGACTTACCACCCCCATGACAACTGGGTTAGGCCGACAACAAAAAGAGCCCACCCGTAAAGCCTGTCGATGCTGTCGCCGATCAAGGCACCCTTTTCAACCGCTTACATGGAACAAAAAACTCAGGACACGGAGACGGCGGATAGAGAGACAGAGGGCCGAGATAAGAGACAATGAACTCTTGGAAAGCCCATGCTCATACTCGTTCCCTCGACCATATTCCTTGGTGTTCGCGCATGCCACCGCTCCAACGCTGCAGAACCGGTTCTGCTCAGTCCTCCCTATACGAAATCTTTCTCATCTCACCCAATCTAGCCTGTGCCGCATCAAGAGCATTTCTGAGTTGAAGGATTTCGACCTGTAAACCCCAAACAAAAGTCAGCCTAGCCACTCGACTACGCACTGGAAGGAGCGGAAAGGAGACAAAAAAGGGAAAAAGGTAACAAAGGAAGAAAAGACAAAAGAAAAAGGAAAACTGACCTGTTGCTCCATCTCTCGGACCTTGAACTCATGAGCACTTAGGCTACCATAGTCCACACTCTCTCCATCCTCCTTCTGTCTTTGCTTGATGATGTCCTGCACTTGCCTGACCAGACTCCTGCAAGCGGCACCCACTGCTCGCGAAGCTTGCTCAAGGCGGTCTTGATGCTTGCTCATGAAACTTGCCTTGACACGACTAGCAGCCACCAATTGAGCCGTACTGGCCGCGACATCGTTCGACGCGACGATCAATTGCTCAGGTGAATTTCGTCCGCTGATCACCCCGTCTGCCGTCTCTATCAGCGTGTTGGTTGAAGTGGCGACGGCCTTGGCCGCCGATATCAGTCCTTCCGTCCATCGATTATTCTTCTTGTAGAATGCCGTTCGTGAGGAGCTTCCGCGTCCTTCGCGCACAATCTCATTCTGTGACTCTGTGGCTGCCTTGATGAGTTGTGCAATGGCATTCGTAACCGCAATAGCCGCATCGAGGATCGAGTCGTTGACTTTGAGCTCGTACGTGCTATATCCGTCTCTAGGTTTGTTCTTCAGCCGGGCCAAGCGTTGGGCGGCGGCTTCAATCGCATTAGCGGCCTTCGTGAGCTCCGAATCTACCAAATCACCGAGATCGCCCGTCGTGCTGATCTTGCTGCCCTTGGGTGCGAAGGCGTCTGCCAGTTTCGATAGTCTCTGAAGTTTCATCAAGACATCGTGGTTACTGTTGATCACCACATCCGACTTTTGCATGGGTTCGAGACCTTCGAGACGGAAGGACTGGAGAGACCGGAAAAAGTTGATGGTGGCCAAAGCGGCTTGTCGAGCCGAGTTCGTCAACTCATCCCCCTTCTTCTCTTCTGTCGCAAATCTCGTGAGACCTTTAGAGTTGGACAGGACATCTGCGATGGACGCTGCAAATACGGATACGGTCTTGATGATATCTGAATGGTCGCTGTTGGGTCCGTCGGCCACAAAGTTATTGAATGCCGTGGAGAATTCGGTCGCACTAGCCGATGCCTTTTCGATCTGGGACAACACATACGGTGCAGTCGCATTCTGATTGCCAGCCTGCATGGGAGAATCAAGTTCGTAGATAGCGTCATCCACTCGCTGCACACCGCTCTGGAGTACCGAATCGATCATGTCGTTGATCTTGTTGATGTTGCTCTTGATGACTTCGTCAATAGCCCCGTCCAAGGCGCCATCGGCCTCGCCACCACCCAGTTTGAGCTCTTCTAGTTCCTCCAAGGCCTGCTCCATCCCCGACTTGTAGATTTCAATCTCGTCGTCCTTTTCCCGCAGCGCAGCCTCGTGGTCTTCATTGCGTTCGCCGTGCTTTGATCGGATGTCTTCCAGCTGTCTCGTCTTGGTCCTGACGGCCTCTTCCAGATCGGCCATCTCGCGATTGTACTTGGCCAGCATCGAGGACAATTCGGAGCCCTTGGATCGTTCGGCGTTCTCGGCTCGTTCGATGGCCAGGCGTAGTTCTCGCTTGAGCTTCTCGACTTCTTCACGGTGGCCACCTTGCACGCGGTCCCTCTCGTGCAGGGCTCGGTCACGTTCCCGGATCATGTCGGCGAGTTCCAGATTCTTGGTTTTCATTTCCCGCTCCAGTCGTTCCCGGCGGTCGATGGCTTCTTGGGCCGAGGCTGCCTTGAGCTTGAGCGATTTCGTGGTCTGCAACAGATCGAGATGCTCCTGTCGGAGTTGCGAGTACAGTTTTGCGAGGGCCTCATATTTGGACCGCCAGGTGTTGACCTGGTCCTGCAGAGAGGCGATCTGGTCATCCTTGGACGAGGACTGCATCTGGAAATTGTTGTTGAGCTGCTGTAGCTGTTCCTCGAGCGCCTTCATTCGTTGATCGTACTGTTGCAGCATCAACTGGTCGCGTTCGTACTGTGCGCGAGCATTCAAGTTCTCCCGCTCCAGCTCGGCCATTCGACCTTGAGTTTGGGCTGCATACTGATCGCGCATGAGTTGTTCCTGTGCTAATCGTTGCTGCTCGGCCTGCATTCGTTGTTGCTCCTCAAAAGCGCGCTGGGCCTCCTGTTGCGCCATCATCTGCTGCCGTTGTTGCTCCTCCCATTGTTGCTGCAGCCGGCGCTGTTCGGCCTCGTATTCTTCTTGTTGTCTTTGAGCCTCTCTTGACCAGAAATCATCAATGTCTTTCGGGTCGGACGTGCCATTCTTTGCGACCGGAGACGGGGTGCGTTCGATTTCCTTTGTCGGCCGTCGGGGCAGCGCAGGCTTTTCTTCGTCCTCGGCCAGAAGGTTCGGGGGATCTTGCGGGAGCTTCGGAACGGTGATGAGGGAGGTCAGATAGCGGAGATTGGAGCATTCGTAGTAGAACTTGATCAGTCGGTGATGTTGGCCGTTGTAGCGGGTGCGCAGCGGTTCCAAAGCTTCGTCGTCACCGGTAGTGGTGTGCATGGCTCGCAACATGCTCGTGATGAACTTGTAGATGCCATAGCTTTCCTGCACCAATGGCACCAAGGCTGCGATTCGGCACTCGTTGTTCGCGCCGCCCCGGAAGTGCGAAAAGATCAGCTTTTGAAAAGTGTCGATCTGATCTTGCAGGGTCATGAGGTCCGAAATGGTCTCGTAACCCTCGTTGGGGTCGTTGATGGATTTCAAACTGATGTACTCCTCATATTCGAACAGGCCATTGAACTCAGGATGTTGCCGGTGGAACCCCAGCTTGGCCAGGAGGAAAAAGACGTATTCCCTGATGAGCGGTCCGTAACCTCGAAGACCTTCGCCGGTGACACCTCTTGCCAAACTTTCAATCCAATTGACATTCTGTTGGGCATCTTTGACGGTGATGGGGTGGCCTTCTTGCAGAACTTTGTGGACGGTGATGAGGGCTTTGAAGGTCTGGACTTCGTCTGCGAGGATAGGTTGGACTGTGAACGCGTTAGCATCCGCACGAGCAACCTGGTATCTGCGCAGATAGGAGCGCCATCTCACCTTTCATTCCCGCCCAAAAGGAGACCGAGGATTTGTGATCCCAAGTGTAGACGATACAGCTGCGAACATGTTTTCGTTTGGGAGCGGTTTCTTCGATGCTGGTCGCCTTGCGGATGTTGACGGCCAGATCGGATTCGGTTTTGCTCAGGTCAATGTTGCGCCCGGTGCCGCCGCCGGCAAGAGCAGGATAAGAAGACATGGTGTGATCGTGGACAGCTTCGGTTCTGCCAAAGCCGTCATAGAGAGCAGAGGATTTGGAAGACTTGCGGCCGTCGGCCGAGGTGTAAGCTGGAGGTATGAAGAAAGCCAGATTGGAGATAGTTAAGCCTGGAGGTCCGTGTAGTCGACGGCAGCGTTGTGGATCTCAAACAGCGGGTGACGTTGAGTCAGGTAGGCAGACACTTTTTGCCCGAGAGTCTTACACCTCAGAACGAGGCTGATTGCGCGGCACCAAACTAACTAACTACTAGCTAAACTCTTGTACAGTATGTACCTGAACTACCCGGACTACTACAGTACCACGTAGCGACGACACGCTCTCGTCCTATTAGCTCTTGCATCAACCCAGTCTTGGAGAAGTGAGAAGTTTGCGTTTGTGTATGCATGGTAGTACTTGACCAGCATCTCCGGCCCCCGTCTCCCTGTGCTTGTAGCGGCGTGAAGGGAATTGGTTGACTAAGGTAACTCTAGGTAGAAACCAAAGGAGCGACCTGCCGCTGTATATACGGAAGAGCACATATGGCAGTGTGGCAGCCGGAAACAAGTATATCCGAACCCGACACAAAAACCTCCCTCCTACCCAAAGGTCGTCCTTCATTCAGACCACCAAGGTTTCACGAGGCCCCAGGAGGCAGACTCTGGGTGTAAGACCTTCCCTTTCAAATGGGGTCCCCATCCTTTCACATTCAAACTGATTTCTCGTTGGCTCCCATCATAACATGAACGCGAACACAATAGAAACAGCAAAGAAGGAAGAAGAAAGAACATGATCTCAAGCTCCTTCCTCGAAAGCCTTCCGCTTAGAATTAATCCAGCAAATCCTTGGATTCCTGCCTGATGTTCTTCTCTACTGTCAGCGGTTCTAGCCTCCTCCAAAGTGTATTGTGCATTTATCGAAGTTCAAGTGCCAATAACTTCACAAGTCGTCAGGAATCTCATCCATGAGGATGTACTACCCGAGGCAGCTGCGGCTTGGAAGTCCTCTTGTTTGGCTACGTTCACTAGGAGCATCCTCGGGGCTTTGTAAACGACCAGCTTCGATCTCGACAAGCTCCGCCATCGTCATGGACCTTGTCTCAAGCTTTGCAGCTCCATGATCTTCAGCGCCGTGTCTCGTATCTCAGTCTGGACTTCGTCTCACAATGCGCCAAAAACCCATCCACACCCACAGAAGCCGACGCGCAACCCTGGGAATCCCCCACACCTAGCGAGCTTCGTCGCTTACAACGTACCCTTTATCGATTCGAAATATACTGTGACTTATTCAGACCCCGGAAACCTCCCGCCTTTGACATCGATGAGCACCGACTAGTGTTCTTCTCCAGGTTTTCGCCTTGGGAGAATGAGCAGTTAGACTGCATTCATGATTATCTTTTCCACAAAGTGTCTCCAGGTCGATTGGCAGCGATCCACACGATTCATGTCTTACTATATTTGTATTGACGCTAACAACGACAGCTTTAAACGAGATCACCGACCATGACGTGACCTGGGGCGCGACTGGAGTGCAAGACGCATGCGAATTAGCTTCTCCTTGCGTACAGCACATCTTGTCCTTGGGCTTGGCAAAGCTTCACGCCATAGCTGTCCCGAAGACTTATGATGAGCGACGTCGACTGGTCTACAAACCTTATCCAGCAGCTAACACGGAATTTTTACACGAAAGCCTGGTTCTTGCCAATGAGCCGTCCGACGGAGTTGGACTCTCCGAATACCAGCATAATAGTGAAGAGCGCATTGGACGTCCCTTTATACCATTCTTTGACGAACCCGAAACAGGTCCCGCGGAGGCATGGAGATGGGCACATCAGCATGAGACCAGGGCAACTTTCGTTTACTCAAACTCACAAAAATGGGTGCATGAGCGCGGGTATGTTTTCTGGGATCGTTCTCGACTAGGAACGTGGCCGATTTTCCAGTTGCCTTGGGAGCCACCCGGTAATGCGGCAATCGAGGCTGAGACAGAGTCTTATCGCGCCTCTCTATCACTGTGGGAGAAGTGCCCAAGGAGAGCGCAAATATACGCTCTTGGTGGTATTGGCTGGTGGAGCCCGAGTGACGAGACCAAGGTAACCTACCCACCAGGACAAAGTCCGCCTCCCAGGCCTGATCGAGGCATTGAGAGGACGTCTCAACAGACGGCAGACGATCTTCAGCACAAAATATCCAATGGATCACAAAAGGACCCTCCTGCCTGGCAGACTTGACAGCCTAGAATACCTATAAGCCGCAGGGACTTGCAACGGAGACCGTAATGGGATTCCTAGCTCTTACAATGCGAATTCTCCCAGATTTCACCCATCGATGCTGAGAAAACGGCGTACATACGCAGCACCGTTATTAAATTAATCCCTGATCTATGTGAAAGTTAAGGGACTTCCCTCCACTAGCGGTACTTTAAATCATCCATTTAATCAGGCTGCAACATCAACCATTTATGAACGAACGCGTGTCAATTTCAGGAAAGGTACAGACGTCCGATGCGTTACATGGTAGGTTTCCCGGGACAGCCTTCGTCGGCTTTTCGACTCGATTCCCACAACTTCTTATCCCTTACCAACCTTGTTCCCACACAATCCAATCCATGTGTCTTGGAATGTCATTTCCACACTCCTTTCACCCAGACACCTCTTGATAAATCATAGGTCTGATATTACATCCACTCCGTCAGACTCGGCCGTTGCCGAAATGCATACAAGCGAGGCGCAGACTCTTGTTGAGACTGGGTTCTATGAGTCTCAAACTTCTGCCGTTAGACATTCCAGTCGTGCAGGTAGAACGGACTTTTTTGGATTAGATCTGGCGTTCAGAAATAGTCCCCGAGTACGAATACTTATGACTTTGTTGCTGCATAGAAAGCTAACATCGAACAGTGCGGTGAAATGGAAGGACTCTGCCAGACGTGTAGAAGCTTCGACATCGAGGCGTGGCTGCGAGATGGGGAGGGATTCAAAAAACCTGTACCTCGTGACTGGTATCTAGGTCTCTGGAAGGATATATGCAAAAGATTACATTGTCCTCTTTGCCGGCTTGTTTGCCATACGGTAAAAATCAACGCCGGCTCCGACGACCTCAGTCATATCTCTCGCTGTCTGGTGTCCATCCGCCGACAGACTCTACCTTGCATGGCTTTGGAAGTTCTCTTGTCCAAGAGGAACTCCTTCTACTGGGAGACTGGTCTTCAGTTGAGATTTGATCACCGCATACTATTCGCGGAGGAGAACGCCTCTACCAATCCCGGGAATGCCACATTTCAGAAGGGATCACGACATGTTCCGCCTCAGTTCAAGGTGGAATTGGTGCAAAAATGGTCAGCGAAATGTGATAACGAGCATGGGGCTTGGTGTAATGACAATGGTGTTGATCATGAACCAATTTGCAGTCTGAGGGTTCTAAACGTTGACACTAAGCAGGTGGTGGAGTCGCCAACAAATTGCCGATATCTCGCACTGAGCTATGTCTGGGGTCCCTCGAGGATCAATCAGATGAAAAGTATCCCCAAGCGCAAGGAAGGAAAGGTCGATTTGACTCCAGTTTATGGCACACTTCCACGGACCATCCGAGATGCTATTGAGCTGGTTCAAGAACTAGGAGAGCGGTTTCTGTGGGTCGACGCGCTCTGCATCGACCAGAAAGACGACGCTGAATTGGCCAAGCAGGTGGAGCAAATGGACAAGATATATGCATCTGCCCTGATTACAATAGTGGCAGCTGCTGAGCGGGATGCAGATGCTGGTCTCCCAGGGTTTCAGCCCCAGTCAAGATTATCGATTCAACACAGTGAAAGGATCCAGTCATTCCTTCTACGGACGTCCCTTCCAAATGGGATCCGAGGCGGGATCGTCGAAGGATCATGTTGGAACAGACGTGGCTGGACATATCAAGAAAGGCTGGCATCGCGAAGGTGCTTGATATTTACGCCTTATCAAGTGTATTTCCAATGTCGCAAGGGGTACAACAGCGAAGATACGACGTTCAGAGATGAGACCATCCCGGCCGCGATTGGAAAATGGAAAGGCCGGCTTGATTCCTCTCGGCTTGACCTTACTCGAAAATTTCTGCCGTTTGATCCATATCAGGAGTTCTTGTCCGAATACTCTTCGCGAAGATTTACGAAGGAGGGCGACGCTCTCCGAGCTTGCTCTGCGGCTCTGAGATTTATCTCCACAATCTACGACACGCCGTTGCATTGGGGTCTACCCGAACTTGTATTCGACCGAGCTCTGCTTTGGAACTACGATATCGACTCACCGGGTAGCCGGCAATACCGGCCTCGGAGACGGAGCAACTTCCCAACCTGGTCTTGGGCGTCCTGGTCAGGTGCGGTCAGCTACAGCTCCAGCTACATGGCCAACAAGTCCGTCGTCAGATGGTACAGGCTGTCTATCAGCGGCGACGTACACGAGATTCGCAACTGTAAGATGAGACGGGCCCGAACAAGACAAGGCGCATGGAGCGGAGTCAATGCGTCGATGGAAGCCGGCAGATTATCTGAAGAATGCAAACCTTCCTGTGTATGATTCTGGACGACGTTGCAACAATCGGGACACGGGAGTGCTCCTCTTGTGGACGACGACGGTAACTCTGCGCGTCAACCTTCTTGGTCCCCCTCCGCAGGGCGTCGTCGAATCCCCATATGTTTGTTGTGACGTTATTGACGACGAAGAAGGAAATCCAATCAACCATGGCTTGCTCATACTTCCACTAAGCTGGTGGGAAAGGCGACAGTTCTGTTCTCGGTTCGAATTCATGCTCGTCACTCAACACCTGGACAAGGTCCACCTTTTCCTCATTGATTGGGAAGGCGATGTCGCGCAACGAGTTGGAATGATTGAAGTGGATCGCAATCGGTGGCAGCGGCTGCAAAACAAGTCTTGGAAATTCATCACCCTCAGCTAATTAACAGCCTTTATTCTTCCTCTCTCCCTCTCCCTCTTTTTGAATGAATTTTGTTGATGGGGCAATAAAAATAGTAATAGTCGTTGCGATGCAAGCACTTTTCGCGGGACCAGAGCACACAAAAGACGGCATGGCAGCTAAGATGAGTTGAATCACGATCCACCGTGCAGCACAACATCAGCTTCTTGGAATATGGCTTCTTAGGGAATGTGTATGTACAGCTGCTACAAATCACGGGTGTCTAGGGGACATTGGATCATAGCAATACTGAGTCCCGTTCCACCAACCACAAAGGATTGTCACCGCTCCAGCGTGCAAACGGTATTAGGTAGTTGTGACCTGCTCCTTACAATGATAACTTCTTTCTTCGCTTTCCCATCCTTCAAGGATACCAGATACTCCCTCTTGAAACCGATAGTCGCTCAATTGATCTCTCCATGCTTTCAATGTAGGATACAGAGGTGACAATAGGTAGGTATTCTTGGGATCTGTCGAGGCTTCTCCAGTCTGTTGCCCTCGCCATGTTTCATTCCTTGCATCTGGCTTGCCCTCTGTTCTCCAATAGTCGGTCGATATTGATTCAAGTGTTCGAGTGCTGATTTACGCGGTGGCATACTCCCCAGTGGGCGCAGAGTACATTCTCGAACGGCGAGACCGGGGCCAAGTACATGTGTGAAGTCCACAGCTGGATTCCTTGAGCCATGCAGTCATAGGCGCCCACCAACGACCCTTGCGTCCTTCATTCCGCGCAATGTGGCCACCTTCCGTGTTCTCCTGATATGGCCTTGGCTGCTCGAATGCTGGCCGTGGCTCAGCGACCGAATTTGGACTATAAGCACTGAATCGTATCAGTTGGGGCCGAGCCAGCCGTGTTTCCGAGGCATGCAGCATGCGTGATTGAGTGTGGGAGTACATGAGATGCGGGAGGACGTGGGCTATGGCGGCACGAAGTTCATCCTCCACGTTTGCATCCATGCTTGCCGGTGGCGATGGTGTCGTCGCCGGAGAAGGCTGGGCTTGTCCCGCTCCCTCATCAGAGGACACCTGCTGCGTGGCCACACCGGGCGAAACATCTGGAGAATCAGTGACCGATATCCTGCCGAAGCCCTGTGTTGGAGCATAAGGAGTCACCGTCTGTGACTCCAGGCGTTCCATATCAACGCGCTCACATGCCTTGTCAATCTCCTGTACTATTTCTCCGACATCGTTGGCTTGTCCAAAAGGATGGCATTCTAATTGTCGTCGTCCCACACCATGGCCACTTGTTCTGGAACCGAATTCGCCGCGGATGTGTGTACCATCGTCAGCCAGGGCCAACGAGCCAGGGACGTTGGACGTGTACAATCTAAATGGCATTGATGCTCGTGGCAGGTCGACTTGTTCGGGTGCGGTACTGAGTAATCGAGATAACCCTTCCACGGCCAAGGTTCTCGTTACGGCTTCAGTTGAAGAGGGTCCGCTCTGGTCCTGACGATTTCTATTTCGTAGGGGGATGGCACCGGTGCCATCCAGAGCAGGATGTCGAGGCATCGGATCTTCATCGTAGTTACGATCATCTAGAGACGGGTCGGAATAAGGGACAAAATGGTACAGGATTTGTCTGATTAACGGACCTTGTCGCAATCTCCAAGTTGTTGCCTCTCGAGTACCAAATGACGGTAAGCCGGGAGGCGTCTCAATTGACCCCGGAGGAGACTGCATGGGCATCCGCGGGTAAGATGAATACGGTGTTGATGGCCCTGCAGCAGACTCGGACGAAGCCGAAAAGCCTCCTCGCTCCCCGAGAATGTTTGGTGCTGGAATTGACGTCTCCTCTGAGCCAGAAGTCGGATCGAGCAAGACGGTTGGGACGTCAGCTCTGATAGCCCATGGCGCCTGTGTTGGTTGGGTTGCCGTAGGGATTGCTACCGGCCGTGGTAGAGAGTGGGAGGTACGTCCTGAAGTAACGCTCGACTGTTCGATGATGGGACCCAGCTGAGGCTCGGGCCATCGACTGTGCGAAGTTGCATTTGACCAGCGTTTTGGTGTAGGCGGAAACGATGAAAGGATTGAACCGAAGTTCTCCTTGTCAATAGTCGGAGTTGGGGAGACCCGCTCTGCGTTGTAGATGTTGTCTTCACTGTGTTCCTCCACATGGCGCGTGTTGCTAGGGCTCCGCTCTGTGTCGCAGGTGCGATCACGACTCTGCTCGGCATTTTGACTCCGCTCAGTGGTTTCTTGTGTAATGGAATTCTTACATATGCTGACGTGCGCCTTGTAGGCTCTTTGAGTGATGAAAGGAACATCGGACGATATCTGGTCTCTTAGACATGGTGAAGACTTGACCCTGCGAATGGTTCGGGCAGGGCTGGATTCAACGCTACCCATTTGAGACTGGGTTGACATGTTGTCATAGACAGAGGCATTCAGGGGATCGGTAGAAGCCTTCACGGAAGTGTTGTCAGGGACAGAAGGTGCCATGTTGTCAGTGGCTGCGAGTCGACAGTTTGTGGTTTGTTAAGAGAAGAGATAAAGAGAATGTTGAGTATGTGCGGGCGTCAGATGAATAACGAGGACAGACAGGTGCTGGGATGCCTGACAGACAAGATGAAGTTCAAGTCTGTCGAGATAGCAAGGGAGAAGAAAGAGTCCGCATGGAGAGTGAAGAGAGAAGAATGGAGAGTGAAGAGAGAAGAATGGATAGGGGTGGAGGAGGGAGAGAGAAGAAAGTCAGAAGAAGAGAGGAGAGGAAGGCCATTCTGAGTCGCAGGCGGTAAGTCAAAGAGAGAAAGCGCCATCAAGAGGCTAGAAACGCGTTGTACTTCACTTGCAAACATGCAGGAGCCGCTGATGCTTTGCTCAGAGAAAATAAACACAGACAAGGGTCCGCCAAAGGAGGTCGGGAGGGCGTTGTACTTCACTTCCACAGACAAAGGTACAATGCCATGCCTCAGCCTTTGGTCTATACAGTTGTCTCTTTCTTTCGAGTTTCCAATGTCGAACTATAAAAGTGATACACGTCTTTTGATATCCGAATCCATATCCAACTGTTGATACAAGCCTTGTGAAAACGATGATGCGCCATGTCGATTAGTATTCAACGACGGCAGTCTATTTCCTCCCAGAACGCCGCTGTTCACTTACAGATAGAGTCAGTCGATCGTAAAATTATCGTAATGGTCGTCGAGGAACTGGAACGCTTCTAGGAACCATTTTCCGGTGTAGAGATGCCCTTTGGGCCCTGCCTTTGCTGGAGATCTTTCCGCAGGGTTTTGATTATGCCCTCAAGCCGACGTCGTTCTTCTTGTTCAGCCTAGCAGCAAGTTAGATGTGGACTTCATATTCGGTAGTAGGTGGTGAGAACTTGCCTTGATTGTCTTCAGATTCTCGGCGCGAGTTTCACGCATCATCTTTTTGAATTCGTTCTTCAGGACCATGGTGGATGTGCTCTCGGTAGGCAAACCGGTCTTTGCACCCAGCCACTTGACTCTTTCTTCGTTTAATTGAGATTCAAGAGTTTCGCATCGCTGCTGGAACGTATCGAGTTGCTCCTCGAGACGTTCACGTTCCTTCTCATCCTCGATGCTCTGCTTTGTCATAATCTCGTATTCTTCGAGCGTCTCCTTAAGCTCTTGCTGAAGCGTGTTGACCTTGTTCTGGAGTTCTGCGCTGCCGGCGCCTTTGGTTTCATGTTGGCCCTTGAGGAAGTCGAGCTGCTTTTCCAACTCTTCGTTGCGTGCATTCAGATCGTCAATCTCTTTCTGGATGGCAGGGTTCATCGACACGTCAGCAGCTCGTTGAGCACGCGTTCCATAAGCACCGTCCAACTCCGCCTTCACCATGGTCAGTTCTGTCTGTGCTCGCACCACGTCGGCCTCCAGGCCATTGATTTCGTCGCGCGCCTTCGCAAGATCCGTTTCTGCAGCTGCTTTGGCGGTTTCGAGACCGCTGATTCTCTCGAGCAGAGGAGCAGTGGCGTCGTCTGCTTGCTTGTCGGTTGCGCCTCGCTGTTGTTCTAGAAGCATGCCTTCCTGCTTGGCCATATCCAGCTGCTCCGAAAGAAGATTTATCTGCTCCTGGAATCGACGCGACTCTTCCTCATGTGCAACTAGGGCCCTCTTGTGCAGCTCGATCTCGTCCGTTAATTCGTGGATCTTGGAGTCACGTTGAGCATCCGACTTGGTGTTGAGCTCGCGCTGTTGCTGGATCTGACGGGTGAGAATGTCCTTCTGCTCCACCAGGGTCTGTACTCGTGAGTTCAGTCTGTTGAGAATCGAGGATGAAAGTGCCAGCTGTGACTGTAGGTCTTTCCCTCTCGGTTCATCTTGCGGTATATTGGGACTGTGGCTGACAGAATTTGTCCGTTCAAGCAGATCATGAAGGCGGATGTTAACATCTTCAAGCTGCCCCTCGTGGTTCAATGCCGAGTCTTGTCCAAGGCCTTTGGACCGTGCCTGCACTGCCTCCATGGCATCGAGGCCTTGCGACAAATAGCCCAGATGAGCCTGGATCTGGGCGCCGACTCGACCGACCATATCAACATCTGTTGGCTGCGGGGGCGGGTCAAAATGCGCCTGGGTACCGGACTGATTGACCATCATGTGCAGTCGGCCGTTCACCTCTTGGAGACGAGCTGCAACGTCTTCGATGGGGTCTTTGCTTCCTTGCTTTCCTCTGACCCCCAAGCCGATTGATGGCGTGCCGAAATCCGTCACGTAGTCGGGCACTTGGTACAGGCTACGTTCATCAAAGTCGTCGATTCCCGTTACCCCTGAGATTCTACCATTAGGTTGGCTTGTCATGCTCTCTGGACTTCTCGGCAACTCGGACTGGCGAACATTCTTCTTTAAGCCCTTGTGAGTCATCTGAAGGATTCCAGCTGTGTGCTGCAGAATTCTCATTTGCACCCGTTCTAGTTCCTTTTCCTGCAGCGACAGCTCCCGTGTGAGCTCCTCGACCTTCTTGTTGCTTGCTGCATATTCGTCATCTGCCTGGCTCGCCATTTCAGCCCCCGAGGTCTGTTGGTTTGCCAGAAGACTGCGTCTCTTGCTCCTGGACGAGCCACCTCCCGAGTCCTGCTTGTCGCCCACAGAGTATAGGCGATTCAGTGATTGTGCTGCATCCCGCAGCTTCGTCTCGAGAGCCAATTTCCTCCGTGTGGTGTCGACCTTGCCTCTTAAATAAACCCGTTCTCTTTTCAATTGATCAACCTCTTCGAACGACAACACTTCAAAATCGCGACTATCGCTCATGGCGGTCTCGGCCAGCAGGTGCATGGCAACTGGGTCATTGATATTGAGAAGGGTAGAGTTGCGAGGCTGCTTCGGCACCGGCTGTGCAACAAGTTAGCAAGGGCATCTCAGAAGGCCAGACAGAGGTGTAGTTACCGGAGGTGCAAAGCGAGGGGTCGGCTGCTCATCTGCAAAAGGACCACGCAGAGCACCTGACATGAAGCTCCCGTTATTCCCAATCGCTGGAGAATCATCGATGGGCCCTGGACCGCTGTACACCGAGCTTGGTACATAACGGCTTTGGCCATCGTCCAGGCTGTCGGCCGCAGACTGTCGGAGTCCAAAGGCGTAGGCCTGCATTATGAGTGGTGTAGCGTCAGTGTGGTTGGTACAAGGCTGCAAAGGTCCCGGTCGTGAGCGTGATATCCAAATTCTCTTCGGACTATGATTATAAGGGACAGCAGGGCTTCAGGCTGAGGAAGGCTCGAGGACGCCGATCAGGACTGCGCATGCTGAATACCAGGGGAAAAAGGACAAAGCTGGTGTCAGGGCTTCAAAGCCTGGTCCCGAGTGGTTGGCTGCTGGCTTGCATATAGGCGGTGGAAAGAACAACCGCGGACGGCTGAGACATCAACTTATGTCAACTATGTGCCTGAGATCCAAAAGAGGGACAATCCAAAGACAAGATATTGTACAGAGTCCAGAGATTCCAACAATGTGCAGAAGAATTCCAGGGGATGGAATTCAAGAGTCGAGAAGCAAATCAGCTGGGGACGCGAGCAAGGGTGGCTGGCTAGCGATTCGATAGGCGCGCGCGCTGAGAACGGGTCATTCCACGGCTTCGGGGACGAGAAGGCCCAGGCTATGCGAGTAGTTTACCTGATGAGGCGCAACAGGCTACGAGTACAAGACGCACGGAATACCGGTGTTCTCGTAGCTTGCCTTGCGTAGACCTGTCACAAACAAACCACTCTCCGTGCTCGTACATAGTTATAGCCAGGGTGGGCGAAGACCCAAGGTGATGTGGACCCACTAGACTTGCAATCTCACCCAATCCCAGGGAAAGTGGAAGCCAATTCTGAAAGTCTGATGGGGCGGGAAATTGTGAAATTGGGGGGGCACACGAGAGGAATGTGGCTGATGATCATGATGACAATCTGTCAATCACAGGTCAGAGTTTGCAGTTGACACTTGAAGTTGTACGTCGCCGTCTACTTGACTTCACCTTTCTCGAGTGTGAATGTTTGATTTTATCATCATCACTACTCGGAACCCAAGAAAATTCGTGAACAAGCTACGTTGTGTTAGGTACAACGTGGCTCTCCTGACACCGCATCTTCCGTTGCAAAAGCCCTTGACCCCGTGTACTCATGTTCAAGCCCATTAACCAAGGGTCGCATTTTTGATTCCATCCAACCACACGATATCGATTTATTTCAGAACTCCAAACATCACATCCAGAAATCCCGAATCCGGTACATGGGCATGGCGCCGACCAAGCCCAGATCTGTCGACGAGGTGAAGATGGCAGCCAAGAACCCTCGGTCATCGGGTTGGACTTTCCACTGAGATGGTTGCCAGGGCATGCGAGACGCCCGGGGACAGATGACTAGTGTGCAAGAGTTGTGGTTGGCGGCAGCGACATCGACAGCGACCATTGCCTCGTCTCTGGCGGCCTCGGTTCTCCATGACTTGAGCGGCTGTTCTCGGACTGACCGTCGAAACATGGTTGCAAGCAGCATACAACCCCCATTGGTGTTCGCACTCGGAAACAGAGTCTGCACGACGCGCTCAACATGGATGTCGCAGAGGACGGTGAGATCTTGAATCAACCCGCGAGCGCCATCCAGGGCCTCTTCCCACCGCGCCTCGTGCCGCTCAAGCAATAGGAGCGCCATGGCCGTGAAACGAGTGACTTCTGCCTCGGAGCACTCCCCATGCCAATAGGCGTAGAACATGACCAGAGACGAGGTGACGATTCGTTGGACCTGGCGCCATGTCGAGGGCATCACTGACGAACTTGGCACTGATGACAAAGCTGCCAGCGTTACCGGCCCTTCGGGAGGCGGATCTGATTGTTGGAAATGGAGGACTGTGGCGGTCACTACTGGTTCGACGAAGGTAAAGTATGTCTCGAGGATCATTTGCGCCGAACGTACGCACGTATTGATCGACTGCACCCACCGACTTTCCGAGGGGAGAAAGGACGCTGCAAGGCAGAGCCGAACCCTAGATGTACACGTCAGGCACACATGCACACACATGCACACACACGCACGAGCGATCCGAGGAACGAAACGAAATGGAGATATATAGGATGCAACATACCAGGAAAAGTGGCCGCGAGCCATTGCATCCACTGCCGCCTCTGGGGTGACCGGACGTTTTACCGGTCCGGCATTTGCGAAAACTCTGCCGATGCTGGTCTCGAGTCGATGCATCTCGGCTTTGCGGTCATAGCTCTGGATGATGTCAAGGTTCTCAACGACGCTGCCATTTCTCATAATCAGATCAACGACCGTTCGTAAGCTAGGACGCGACTCGAGGAGAGGCTCGAACAGATGTGACGGATATTCCTTCTTGCTGATGCGCAGGGTGGTCGTGAAGCACATGGCACAATATCTGAGGAGTCCTCGTCGATGATTAGAGCAGGCAAGTACTATGCACATGGCGCACCTGAGGGGTCAGGGGTTACGAAAACTCACAGGTCCACATTGCACAGGAGCAAGTACACATGCACCTCGTTGAGTCTTCCGATGTTTGGCGTTTCGGGGCATTTTCCGTTGAAGTCCAGATCATGAGCGACCTGGATGGCTCGGTTAATGACTGCTCTAACCCGATCCGTCGCCCCAACATGTAAGAGATAGATGTGGTGGAAAAACAATGTGAGAACTGTGTCGAACGTGGGCGGTCCTGTGTAGTCGTTAGTGTACTGAGTAGACTGCTCGAAGAACGTGGTGGCGAGCTCGAAAGTGCCCTCCGTGAAACTGCTCTTGTGCAAAGTGCCCACAGTGAGCGTCGCAAAGAGCAGTGCCAGGTTGTCTGGCGGCAGTTTGTTGTCGAAATTCTCGAAGAACGTAAGAATTTCGTCCAAGTCCTGAGATGGAAACAGATGACGCACAAACCCATGCAATCGTTCCACATCCAGGATGGCTACGTGCTGGCCGAGCACGGTGGCGGCGTTATTGACCATAGTGTGGACGTATCTGATGGTCAATGCATGCAGAGGATGGAGCTTTGTGTGGGGTTTGAGGCCTTGAGCAACGATCCGCCCGCTGCTGGTCAGGAGATGAGGCTCTTCCAACGTGCACGTAGTGTGATAACCTATGCTCTTGGTGAGAATGTTGCAAAGCGTGGACGGGATCTGTATTTGCCTACTGAAGTGACGGACGGTGTATTTGTCTACCAACCCCAGGATACGGCGATAGGCCGAGACTGACGGGAAGGCCGCTGAGTTGTCTTCCTCGGACTGCCCTGAAGAGTTGGTAACGATCGTTGTGTTGTTGCCGCCCTCAGAGCTGCCCATAGCTTGGATCATGGTGTTGCTCGTGGAATGTGCTGGAGAGCTGTTGACGATCATGGTGTTGGTGATCGTGTTGCTCGTGGTGTTGTTCGTGTTGTCGCCTCCAGCATCGGCTGTAGAAGGGCCACTGCAACTGCTTGTCATCTTCCTCAGAGCACTCACCCACTCATTCATCATTCTCTGGGTAGTGGAGTCATCGGCTGTGCTTGACGCTGTCACCGCTGTACATACCCCAAACGGGCCAATATGCTGGTGGACGGTATCAGCACTGTCGAAGTTGTTGTCTATGATGATCTCGTCTGAGGATGAGGACATTCTAGTCGACACGTTGCAAGGTCCTGAAGAGCGAGGGCCGTCCACTGGGGAATCTGTTTGGCTTGAGGATGAATTCGTCGTGTGGGCCGGTGTGGGCGATCTTGTACGGCGATTGGCGGGTGGATCACTGCCGTCGTTGAAGGTGGTGTCGCCGTCGCCAACGCTTATGCTGTTTCCCGGTAGGGGTACGTTGATTGTCATATTCCCACGTTCCCCAGATGGGCTGGCCATGATAGTATTGCCGCTATCGTCGCTGTTGCCAACACTTATACTGTTTCCCGGTAGGGGTACGTTGATTGTCATACTCCCAGGTCCTCTGGGCGGACCGGCCAAGGTAGAATTGCTGCCATGTGGTTGACTGGGGCCGGGAGGAGACATGTCAAGGGGCGGCGACGAGGCGTCGTCATCGTCGTCATCCAAGCTGCGGCAAGTAGAGCAGTTGGTGGACAGCGGCTCGACATCCTCAGAACTGAGGGCTGGGGACGAAGAGTAGGGGCGTTTTCGATTGGACCTACCGAGATCGGATTGTGTCAGCAATCATCGACAAGGTTCTCGACAGGGGTACGAGGATGCGTACCTGGGGTCGGTTTGCACTATACACGGCACGCTGGCCTCGTGGCATGCTGCGCAGGGATAAGGCTGATGGCATTCCTGGTTGATGGCTCGACATCGCTGGCAAGCAACATTGGATCCGGGAGGGAATCTAAATACATTGAGCACATTTGCGAGGCTCATTCGATCCATGCCGAGCAGAAGAGAGCAGAAGAGAGCTTGAGAAGCCCCGCAGAAGGACAGCGAGGTGGATCGAAGGGCTTTGAGGATGTCTGGATATCAAAGGTGAGGGTGTGGTGGGAAGCATGCGGTGGAACACGAAGAGAGAAGAGGCCAACCGTGAGCACTCCGCTGGCACCACTGAGTGATGGGGAATTTGGAAGACTCACGCCCTCACAGACGGGAAGGGCTCGACCTTTATCTACCTGTTGCGTTGTCCCTTTGGAGGACGCAAAGGTGACTATTGGTCCCCTACATGAGAGACGCCGCCCGAATTGTAAAGACAATGCAGGAAAGAAGAAGGAGGAGACACGCAAGACTAGAGGGGCTGGTGAGGTTACCCTGGCCCAGGTTGTGCAGGGTCTCTGAGGACGGCGAAGATGATGATTCATGCATCACAGGTACTGAGGGCTGCCCAGGGAGTACGAATGCACTCTCTTCCTTGCCTGTCTGGTATCAAAGGGGACTGGAACAGCGGTGTTGTGTCTCAGTCGATCACGATCTTGAGCACGGCGACAGAAATCAACACGAGGAGGAAATAGAGTTCAGGAATCTGTTGTCTGGTGTGTGTGAATTGATGTGCTGCTGACAGCCGGCGGGGCAAACTGCGCAAGATCTCTCTAGGCGGAGCATCGCGGGGACCATGAGGCCCGCTGTGCCCACGATGCTCGGCGGAAGCGGATGCCCATTGCGGACACTCTCAAGTGAATGTGATAGATCATGTCGTTCAGATCACACAGCAGACCAAACGTGCATGCGTCTTGTTGTCGAGACCAGCTGGTCAGGAGACCTCAAACATATCTGTCTTATTTCACGGGGGGGTGTCCAGCAGACATGCAGCAAACATGCAGCAAACAATGCCTGAGCCAGGGGACTCGACTCGATCGGGCCGGGCCAGCATGGTGCTTTGGTGCCAAGACTGGCTGCCGGTTGTGAGAAGGATGTGAGCTGGAGCCTGGCTGTACGGGGCAGAGAGATTGTGACACCAACCGCCGGGTAGACCAGCAGGTAGGCGAGGTAGACCAGCAGGTAGACCAGGTAGACCAGGTACCTACGAGTACGGAGGATGTCAGGGAGGTAGTGTATGTATCGTCGGGCACCGGGGGGTCCGGACTTGTACGTACCAAAGCCACAGCACTCGCAGAACTAACTAACCAATGTACCTATGTAATGCTGGTCAACTGTCTGCGAGCCAAAAACTTTTTCCAAAGCTGCAAGTCGCGTCCTCGAATGCTGCCGTTCCATTGGCCCGCCACCACGGGTCTTTCGTACATCACAGTTTGTGACAACGCGGGCAGCACTCGCCCTGATCACTGCAAAAGAGCAAAATAATTTGGAGTCGGTGCAAAATAATTCGAAACGAGTCCAAGCCTCCTTGCGTGATGCCATCAGAGCTTCGCATCCTTCTCTCGATAGCGTCCGTAACCTAAGGGCGAGACTTTGCATCCGCTGACCACAGTCGACGATTTTGGTTCGCTGCAGGATCTTGGTGCAACTTGGATTGATTCCCTGCAGGTTCTGGTCCTCTGTAGAATATCGCACGTTCCAATCACGGCTTCAGGGCCTGTGCAACATGAACAATCCGGAGGCCATCTCCGGACCTGCGGTACACAGGAGTGCTGCTTGACGTTCACACTCGCGCAGCCCCCCCAGGCATACCGGGCCCGACTAGTCTACCTAGTTAGTGGTCTTTCGATGTGAATCCCTCTCTTGCCGGAAGGATCAGGATCGCGCCAGTAGACACCCCCCGGCGATCCGATCTCCGACACAGCTTTGCGGAACGAGTTCCCATTCGGAGGCCACAAGCATCTTCATCGGTCTATCCGTCCGTGATGCAACAGAGACATAACAGAAGCTGACTCACAATTTCTTCCTCCAGTTCGGTTTGAGATGGAGTAGACCCACTATGCATAGCAGAAGCCCGCCCGAACAGCGCATAGCATGATCGGGAAACTAACTAGGACAGAAGGTGATAGCCAACGACGGGCTGCATATCTTGTAGCTCGCATCGGCCAGAGGTTGCTTTTGGCGAAGAAGCCCCTGGTCTTGCTCATCGACATGTCCTGGGATGCAAAATGGACTGACGCGTTACGAGACACAACCGTCGCTACCCAATGGATTCGCTGCAGGCCCCGGTGGAGAATTCTTCGGCCTGGTGTCTGGTGAAGTCGGTAATTGTTTGATACCTAGAACTGACAGTAGTTTGCATATCCGAGTGGTGACTGTTCTACAGGCGACCGAGGGTAATCATACTATTACTCCTACCGTATTGCGCTTCCGCTCCTACAGTAGAATTAATGTACAAACAAATCGTTGATGCTGCTGTGTGGCGCAGGTGGCTGAGACTGATAACAAACTCAAACGACGTCCTCATCCTGTACCATCCATCATCCCTCGTGTACGCGATATAGCATCCATCAACATCACTTGACCTCCTGCTTCATATCCCGGATGGGAGGTGTTTCTGGGTTCCAAAGATGCTGCACAATTGCTCTTGCTCTTGACACTCACACTCGTACATGCCTGTCGACGCCCACTTAACTCGGCAGGAGCATCATCAACACCAGGAAACTACTTATTCCTCGCCCTCTTCCTCTTCTTCTTTCTTTACTCCTCCCTCTCCTCTGTATCCCTTCCACTACCAATATCCGTCCCCATCCAAGCATCTTTCGACCATTGGAGCTTGAGCTTGTCGGCATTGGAACCTTGCTTCATTCGCTCCTCGCCTCGCCGTTGTGAGCAAGCTGCTGCGATCAAGCTGCAGTCTACACCCTTCGGTCTACACAAACCAGTCCACTCACTCTCGTCAAGATGTCTATCAAGTATGCTCCCTCTGTCCTTTCCTTGAGAACAGACAAACCGCTAATGCCGCCGCCTAGTTGGGTTATGATGGATGCCAACAATCAGTTTGTGTCCCTGCCACAGGAGGTCACGCTGTACTCTTCCATGTCTCGCACCAAACTCAGCATCCCAAGCCTGGGAATCGAGTCCGAAAGAGGTGTGGCCTACTTGACCAACCAGAGAGTAAGTCACCAACATTCTCGCCCTGGCCTCTTCCTTCCTTCCTTCCTTCCTTCTTGATCCTCCTATGCAATTCGCTGACACTCTTCTCCCAGCTTATCTACATACCCGCCGAATCAACCCGGGCTTTCCAGTCGTTCTCGGCTCCGCTCCTCAACTTGTATGATGCTCGGCCCTCAATCCCCATTTTTGGGCCCAATGCCTGGTTGGCTAAGCTCCGACCCGTTCCTGGAGGCAATATCCCCGAGGACAGTCGGTTGATTCCGATCACTCTGTCGTTCAAGGAGGGAGGAGCGGTGGCATTCCACTACAAGTTTGAGCAAATCTGCGAACGGTTGCGTCAAGTTCTCGCCATTGCTCAGGAAAACAACAACCCTGAGGACCGACAGGATAGCGACCTGTCTGGGGTCAACGTCGCAAACGTTCACCTGGACCAACTTCCTTCCTACCAAGACGCGGTGCAAGACAGATTGGTAACAGCTGCTGCTGATGCTCCTCAGCCCGTGCGCCTGAACCATCAGAACGGCACTACTGACCGCCCGGAAGCCGACGTTACGGATGAAAACACACCCAACCAACCACCAAGCTACCCCGGACCAAGCTCTCCTTCAATCAACCCTTATATCCAGCGAGGACAGGGACCCGACTACGATTACATTTAGTGATGTGTCTGCCACTCGGACATACCCAGAAGAAAGAAAGTCAATCCATGTGCGTGATTCCGACAGAAGGGTGCATAGGACGCCTCATCGCACGGGGAAGACATGATATCGGCGGGTCATGTTCAAGCTGTATTGTTTGGCGGATGTGTGGTCTTCATTGAAATTGCAGTCGGCACTCTTAGCATGCTATTCTCATTCCTGTCAGCACCTACGCACCTTCCTCACTGGACCTCTGTGTCCACAGCGCCTATGTACTCATTGCACCCATTGCTCACAGCACCCACGTAGTCACAAACAATAATAGTGTATTGTAACCCCAAGGTACTTGAACCAAAGCTCTGCACACCGGTAGTCAGGCCGGACGAACAGAATCCGTCATGCTGCGTCATGCTGTGTCTTGTACGGAGTATGATCAATCTACGAGGTTTTTCGGGGGAGGTATTCGGATAAGACTTCTTCATGAAGCTTCTTGGAGGGATCCACGAAGCCAACCCTCAGAGTGTCCCTCCGCGGATGCTGAATGCCCTATTCTTGATCCTATGAACCAGGTTTGTTGCCCGGTCCCGTTTTCTCAACTTCTTCTCGATGCACGACCGCCTCTCTCCCGGACTCCTCGTGCACCCCCTTGGGAATCAGCAACTGCCAAAATACGTTGAAAAGCATCACGCCCGATGACTCGCTGCCAGGATGGAATTCAAGACACCACCACCAAATATTGCCCAAGATCGAGAGACAACCTTCACTCGGATGCCGTAGTTCCCAACCAGTGCAAGCGGCCCGAAAGATATTGCCCAACTATGGAATGAGTCGGTAAGAGCGACGCTATTCGCCCCCTCGTCATAGTCCTCCTCCTGATCGCTGTGATCCGCATCTCCCTTGACCAAGGTACCAATCCATGACCCTCTGCAATGGTCACGCTTGTCGTTTCCCGGACCAACAACAGCACTGTGCCTGCTCGAGCACAGTTGGAAAGCGCTGCCGCCGACGTACATGTGTGGTTGGCCTTCTCAAAAGCAGAAGGGCACGGATTGTTGACCTCAAGCACCACCAGCTAACGCAGGCTGAGTTTCCGGGATTGTCGTCTGTGAGGCGCATCTGTATGGACGAAACGCATCCTCGCACCACCAGTTGCAATCCCCAACTTACAACACCCTCGCGTCTCCTCATAGAACCTTTACCCAACTTCAGTCATTCCTTCCTTCACTTGTTCCGAGTATATCAATGCCAAATTCTTGCCGCCTCCTGGTCCTCCTCCTCCTAAACGGTGATGGCGATTTATTGCAGCGGCGCTGTCAAACCCCTTGCTTTCACCTAACCGGCACGACGATGCATAGTGAAAATAAAAATACGAGAGCTGTGCGGTGATGAGATGGACCTGAGAGTAAATGCGATTGATGTTCGATTCTGAAATGACTGCAAATGTATTGTACTTTGGCCGAAGATGGTGCGGGTTTAACGAAGACTCGTATGGTGCTCCCGGATGCGAGGCCGTTCCTCTTCAACTCGGCTACTGGTCAGTGCGGTCCGTGACAACGACAATGTGCTCAGCACGACCGTCGCCGTTTCGGTCCGCTTCCCATCTCAGCCTCCGCACACTGGAGTGGCGTCCAAACAGACCGAGACACATTGGCAGCGGCGTCACTGCGACCGCAAAGACGGCTTGAAAGATCAACGCACGCTTCATGTTCGACGGCGGACTGGCAGCTCTGTCGTCCTTGAGCGCATTCATGATGACAATGAAGATGCCGCCCAGGATTTGGCCACCGCACCAGCACAGACTGCTCCCCAACTCGGGACCGAGAGGGTAGTGTGTCTCGACAAGGAACTCGAGCACGACGGGGACGAGACCGAAACTCGACGCCCCTAGAATGGCGCACACCACGTCGACATAGGCCAGCGAATGCGACTGCGGGGCCCAGATGATGATTAGGTATCCGATCGCTACAAAGGGGACGGCGCACCGGATGTACCACAGATAAAACTTGTAGCGATCGATGATGGGCGCGGATATGGCGGCACATACCAGACCGACGACGATGAGAATGGCGCCGGCGATACCCGCGTCCGTTTCGCTGAATCCGTACGGCTCGAGGATTTGGTTGAGCAGGCTGGAAAAGGCGTTGAAGAAGCCCACGTACACGATGAATGGGACGAACATGAGGTAGAACTCGACACTACGGGACAACACCCTCAGGTCGTGCGTGAGCGACGCTCTGTCCATGTGGTCCGGCGTGCTGCTTGCCGATGGCGGTGTTGGTGGTTTCGCGGGGATGAAAAACGCAGGCACGCACGCCACCGACGAGATGATGCTGATGTACAGCACCATGTTGGGGATGTCCGAGGGTTTGTTCGCCCAAAACGGCGATATGAGTTGGCCGAGGGCGGCACCGAACGGGTTGGCGAGAGACGTAACTGCGGTGGCCGTCGTCCGTCCTGCCGGGCTGAACCACAGGTTGCTGTAGGATGTAGGAGAGGCGAGGACGAACGGTTGCGCGAACCCGATGATCAACTGGCCTACCATGACGCCGGCAAAGCTGTTGGCCTTTGTCGCCCCGTACTTGACCCAGTTGCCAACGAGCAGCAACGAGGCAGAGGCGATAATGGCGGTCTTGGGCCCATACTTGTGCAGCACCCAAAAGGTCGCGGGCGTGGTGACGCAAAACGCAAACAGGAATGCCGTCGATACCCAGTTGATGTTCGTCTCGGACGTTTTGAAGTACTGCGCCGACGTCGACGACACCGGTGCAAACGCGATCCAGTCCCACGACACAACAATGTTGAGGAGCGCGAGTTGCCCCAGGCCGAAAAACCGGCGTTTGTATACTTTGTACGGCAAGCCGGAGGTGGTCGATATGCGCGACAGCGTGCGCCCTACGGGAGATGGCCCACGCAAGTGATCCAACGATGTGTGGTGGTGATGGTGGTCGTGGTAATGGTTGTCGTCGCTGCCGCTGCCGCTGCCGCGGTTGAAAGTGGGCGAGGTGGAGGTCACCTCCTGAGGCTGGATCTTGGGATCCGTCGGGTTACCCATGACCTGTCGGGGAGTGTCCAGGGCGGCCTGAGAACACAACGTGAAGGAGCGAATACAAGGTGAAAACAGCCAAAAAAAAAAAGCGAAAGATGGCCCCTGATGAGATGATTAAAGCTTTTGGGGGAAGCAAGAGCTTCGTTTCAAATCTTGAGAGTGTTTGAGGATTCCGACCCGCGAAGGTCCTCACCACAGACGGGGTCGTTCAGTCACGCGCGCAAACACCACAGGGGTAATTTTATCGGCGTGATTGTTCATGAGAGTGAGTTGCCGACCTGGTTATATAGTACTATGGTATACTGCATGGATTGCATGTGACTAATGTGTCTTGATTGAAGCTTGTATCTGAAGTACAAAACGGCAGATAAGAGAGCGTCGGTGTCGGCCAGATAGAGAGTGAGAGGGTTGCGCCGGAGTAGCCGCTTAAGAAAAGAAACTTTTGTTTGGGAAGATAGTGATGGGAGGGGCCGTTTTCGCTTTGCTTCGCTGGTGCCAGACTAACCAGTACAGCAGGCGATGATGGAACCGATGCAACTTGAAGGTTGGTAGTAGCGTCGAGAACCCCAGTAATCGATCTTCCTGATGGTGGTCACTTTTTTATCGGCGAACGAAGGTCGGAGGGTACTCCTTTTTGTGGTATTGCGCCCGAGAGGGGAAAACAAGCCAAGCGAGAGTCATGTATCGTCTGTCTAATAAAATGTCTTCGCGTATGAAATAGTTGGAATAGCTCAAGATAGTGGCCAACAGGCGATCTACCGTTCTCCTAACTAACTAGTTAGTTGTAGTTATAACTATTCTACCTGTACTTTTTTCTACGGAGTACGGACTACACGGAGAGTGACTAAGTAACTAAATAACTAGTTAGTTGGTCGCCAACCGAGGTTGTGTGTGTGGTGCGCGCAACGTGCTGGCTCCCTGACACGTATCCTTGTACTTCTTTCTGGGACACCTCGGTTGACCCAGAGTAATAATAACCCGTACTTCTCTTTTGTTGCTGTACACACCATTCTGAGATCCGAAGACACAGTCCGATGTACTCCGTACGGGGGAGGTGATACATACAGTACGATGGATGATGGATTGACGCTTTTTTGAGTTCGTATGACTTTTTGCAAAGTCGACTCGCTGCGCGTCGGGCCCAGACCTCAGACTTTTTTGGGGGGAGTCAACTCTCTATCGTGGGATGTGAAATCAGGGTATCATCAGTCGCCCCTGACGGGCGGCAAAAAAAAATTAAATAAATAATAAAATGTCCAGAATGATCTTGGGAGTTGAGCAGAAACGAAAAATATTGAGAGGTCTCGTACGAGTGTATATACATGCGCGAATGTACGGAGCACTACATAAGTCAGTTAACTTATAGTCAACTGCTGAGGTATCTATCTACAAGATCTATCGTGGCTGGTATTGTTGCGGAGTAGGGAGTGGTAGGTAAAGTGCTGGAGCATGCAACAATTCACACAAAGCCCGATGGCGATTGCGGCCACACAGACACACACGCAGAGAGAGAGAGAGAGACACACCCACCTTTTTGGAACCAAGAACCGAGTCACTTCGGGACACGTGCAAATTACATTGGTTGGCCTCGTGCTTTGGTGTCACGATGATTTCCTCAATCACTTACCTGGTACCTGTTTGTCGTCAGCGAATCCCCATCCATAAACTATCAAAGACCCCTATACCTGATGCCGTACAGTACAGTAGGCCGTAGATACCTGCCGGTAAAGCGAGGCCGAGCAAGTAGCAGTACTGTAATTGAATGACCTTGAAAGGTGAAAAGGTTAGGGTCGAGTCTTGTTGTTTTGTCCACCCAACGAACTTCGTTAACTAGTCATTAGGTAGATAGCCATGTGCCACATTGGCATCCAGCTGCCGCGCACCGCACAGTCAGCAGGCCCGAAACACTTGAACCAAGTTCTACGCGCAAGTGTACGTTCACCCCGGGAGGAAGGTTATAGTCATGACCTCGTTGGATGTGATTTTGGGGCATCTCTCGCATTCGGCTGCGTACCACACACGCTTCGTTTGCCCCAACACCACCAGAGAACCTTTCCGTGGTGACTTTGAACTCCCGCCTACTACCGGAAGAAGAGCTGAGCAAGCGGCAGGAGGCCTGATCACCACGAGATGACTCCCAACAGCGAGAGTGATGCGCACCCCCTCGGTCGCGACTTTACCAGCCTTCTTCAACCGGATTTGTCGGCTGGATCCTGTCTCTTCTTTTCTGCACGCACCGTTGTCAACCTTGCCGTCCCGCCTCGGCGGCTACAAGTCTGATGCAATTAGCGCAATGGCGGTTTGAAACTGAGGATGAGGAGGAATGAACTTGTCACGTCCTTTTCGTCAACGACAAGAGGGTATATAGCGCTCTGGTGGACTTTCAAAGCCGAGGAGTAAAGGCGTCTTTTGTGCTCTGGTCGGTTTGGACGGGGAGATAGCGAGCCTTCCACCACGTCTGTCGGTCACTGATTTGTTGTGTTTGATCACCCAACACGATCAGCGTAGATCTCAACTCGAACAGTTCTCGTTCGGGAAGCTAATGACGCGTCAGTTGTCCTATAAAGTGGTCTGTCATGTATTCAACGGGATACAGTGTTTCGAATATTACCCCCGCATAGTCACGGTAGTCGGTGTATAGCGCTCTGAAGAACTGGATGGATTCCCAGTACTCTGGATACCACCCTGCGAATTCCCAGTCAATAATGCCAACAATCTGGCCCTCTTTCACAATGATATTCGTCGGGCTCAAGTCTCCATGAGTGAAAACGATCTTGTGTTTTCTGGATGAGAGAACGTCTTCGAGCATTGTGCGATAAATCGTTGGCGTAGTGGAAATAGTGTTGCTGAGCAAGAATTTATTGAAGTCCGTCTCACTTAAAAAAGGACCACCCCGATTCTTGTCGCGGCGAGCATCGACAGCTGGGAGTTGTCCGAGGGCGCCGATATAGTCTCCCTCGAGCGAACGCAGTTGGTTCACAATATGACGTAGTTGTTGCGCATAGCTCTGTTTTTCGTCCTTTGACAGTTTGCCCCATACGTTCTTTAAGGTATCCCCTTCCATGAGCTCCATTTCGATGACTCCCACGTCTTCACACATCTCAGACGAATAGACTTCGGGAACAGGGATGTTGAGCCCAGATTGTTTAACGAAGGAAATTGCTTTTGTTTCTTGAAGGTTCACGGGCTCGCCATATTTGATGACTTTCCCTTCATATCGGAAAACTCTTCGGCTGAAGGAGTCAAGATATATCGCCGAGGGATCGCTCTGGGAATGTTCGAAAGCGGCGTCGAGCCTTTCCCGGGTCCAGCGTCCATTGGAGTCCATCCCACCGATGTCAGAAGCTTTTGTTCAGGAAGAGTGCAGCATTAGATTCAGATAGATTCAAAGCCTTGCCTTTCATTTGAGTCTTTGGAATTAGAGTTCGGGGCTCATGTATGTGTTGTGCTAAGAACGCGACTGATCGGAGAGACGAAGGATATCCGAGTCTGGGAGGAAAACAGGATGAGGCCAAAAAAGGTGTGCCGAGGGCGATACGATCGAATGCCGAAACGCGGTCACTATCGAAAATGGAGTACGCTCTAGACATCCCGGGGTGGAAAGATTTCCCAATTCCTGTTTGTATCCCAGCATCCACCGAGACTGATACGGTTCACAACGGTGGGCGCGGAGCTTATTGTCTTGCTCTCGCTGTCTTCCGAAGCCGACTCGAAGTGGCTGCAAGAGCGCCAGAAGATCGTCTAGAGCTCTAGGAGGGCCTAAGGATGGTGTCTTCGAGTCCAAACTCTGAGCGTTGCGGCGCGTCAAAGAGCAAGGACCTGAACCGCCTGTTCGCACTCCATTGCTCCTTAAATCAAAACTTCTGGAGTAGATACCGGCACAAACCCGTGGGGTGGTAGCGGTGGCAGCATGAACAACCCCAAAATCCCATGAACAGCATAGATACACATATCAACCCGAGCAGGACCGATCAGGTATCAGGAGCATCCGGACCTGAATGTGTCAGCAGTGATCACCCACCCAAGCACGCGAGCAAGACAAAGAAATTGGAAAGTTTCCAAGTACCTCCTTGGTACAAGTATGCCATCTGGTTGCTGAAAGAGGTTCACTCGTCCAGTCAACCACAGCCTTGTCACTCTCAATTCCGCTATGGTGCACATCTTGCTACAGATATGAAGACACTACCGCACACTGGCTCCAAAACATTCTTCATTATGACAATTGCAGCTGTCAGGTAAATGTTGTTGTAAGGGGCCAGCCTTGTTCAGCAAGTGAGTCCCGCTCAAAAGTTCTGACTGATGGTAAAGTTGAAGCAGAGAAAGAACTTTACCCACCTCTACAGGAACCATTCAACCCTCTTCACCCCATGAGCAGGACAAATCTCGTTGAATTGAAAGCATCGCGCAAGTGAGAAATACGGAGATCTGGTGGATGCCAGCGGGTCAGTCGGTATCAGACCCGCATCCATCACCTTCCGAGAATTCACACATTGCCTGGTGATAAAGTCATGTACCGATTGAGGTTCTGGCCACCTTTTCAATTCCCACGATCTGCCGTGCGGTTGGGGTACCTTTGCGTAGCCGTAGGGCATGAGGACTCCTACAGGCCCCTGACAGGGGAGGAAAACGACACCTCCTCACTGGTTGCGGTGGAAAGACACATAATCCATCCTCCTATTCAGTCCCTCGACACCTGTACCAACCTCAGGGTGATTAGCCCTCTGTTTTGGAATCGTATGATCAACAAAGCGCAAATCTGGGAGGCAGCTCATCACGCTCTGGATCTGATGCCCTTCATGGTGGGGAGGACCGATTCTCATCGCCACGATGCTCAACGTCGGTCGGAAGGTTGGGACTTGGCCTCGACGTTGCGCATTTTTGGGCACTCTGGATCAAGCCATATTTTCCAGCGCTTTAAGAGCTGGATCGCCTTGCAATGAATGGCACTTGCATCGCTCATGAGAGAGCGAGAGGAGCGCCTGGACTCAGTCGGACTACTAGTTGAATGTAAAGCGATCCTCGAACACCTTTTGTTTCTCTGTGATCTTGACTGAGTCTTTCTGCTGGTGGCCAAATAGCTTGGCGGCGGGACGCATCAATGATAATCCGAATAGCATTAATCCACTTGTCAGACATGGAAGCGCTGCCATATTTCCCTGCGCAGATCTCGTCAGACGAACATGGGATTGTGCCTGGCTCAGGGCGACGTTGTTGATGTCACCGCAAGCCGATTGGCAGTACCGGTTCTCGCTGATCCAGCCCAACGATGGAAGAAGAGAATCGCGCGCATATGTCCAGACAGAAGAATCTCATTCCCCCATATTCACGCTTTTCCACCTTCACCCTTGCTACATCATTTAATACTCTCTGCTGCTAGCATGTGGTGACTCTCTCGACGCCCGGTCTTCTATTTGTTCGAGTGCTTTTAATTTCCCGTTGCCCATGGGCTAGAATCCCCCTCTGAACAGCCTCTAGACAACCCTGCTCAGCGAGCGCACTTTGACAGCTCCTCCCTCCTCAACCACTACCATTACAGCCTGATGTCGACGACGATGACAACGACGGCCACCTCGAACATAAGAGGCGGTCCCTCTACCCGCCGTGTCAACCCCGGCCGCCATTCCAAAGCCCTCGGTTCCTCGTTGCGACACAATTCCCTCGTCTCCGGCGGGGGTCTGCTCCCGTCCTCCTCCTCCGTCCTCGCAGCCAGCAACACGGGCCCAGGCTTTATCGGCAGCGAGGCTCCCGAGATATATCCTGCCATCACACACTTTGCCGATGCAATTTCTGCCCTGCCACGGGAATTTCGCAGACACCACTCACTCCTTAAAGAGGTGGACGCAAAGGCGTGGGCTCATGAAGAGTCGCTACAAACCGTCCTCCAGCATTGTGTGGCAGATACCCGAGCACATTCCTACGAGGTTGCACTTGCTGGGCACGAGCAGAATGGCTTGACTACTGGCGATGATCTTGCGAGCGTAAGCGAGATTCATAGTGTCGCCGGCGGCTCTACAGATGCTGCTTCGCTGGTCTCGGCTCGCACTGCGGATTCGACTTCTCTGCAACGCAGACACCTCTATCATTCTCTGCGGCAAAACCTAATAGCCATCATGCAGACAATGGACGAGAAGAATCACGTCATCACCAACGCGAATGAAGAGGTGACGAAGCAAATTCGGCGGCTGGACACTATTTGGCCACATATTTCTCAGGAAATCTCAGAGGAGGCAAGACTTGGAAGTCTGACGCATTGGGCATACACCGAGACAAACTCAGTGGCGGCGAAAAAACCCGCCGAGCCCGTACCTCGAGGTCGAGCGGGCGAAAGTGAAGTAGCAGGCAGAAGCCAGTCCCGAAGAGATGATGTGCAAGCAAAAAGACAAAGAGGTGTACTGAATGTGGACTCAGACTTTGACGAGTCGCGGCCTGCGCAACGAAAGGTTCACGGCAGCAAGAAGCGCACTGTCGAGACCGCTGCAGAGGTACCACCAGCACTGGGAGCGTCAAGTGTCACCGCGACCAAGAGAAGGAAGCCAGACAAACCAACAGGTGGCGCGCCTATGGAGCGATCCATCAGCAGCGCTATGAGTAGCCGTGCACCGGCCATGTCACGAGAGAACTCGCAGCAGGATAACATGAAGAAGAGGAAGGCATCACAACCGACCAGTGTGGCGCGAAAGAGGTATGTTTCAGGCTTTCTGATTCTAAGCGACAATGCTAATCTGTTACACAGACTCAACGCTCAGGGCAACGATTCTCCCAAACTTGTTTCCTCACCTCTTGCTGGCACCACCGTCAAAGAAGCAGCATACAAGCGCAGCCCCGCCCTATCTGCGGCTCGTCCAGCGGGACGGGGACGACAGAACTCAGCACAGAGCTTCGACGCCCCAAGAGGGCGACAGTCATCGGTAGCTTCGAGCAAGAATGGCAATCAGAATGTCACCGTGAACACATCTGAGCTGAACAAGGTTGCTGCGCTGACAGGCAAGACTGCAGACGAGGGCAAGAGCAGTTTCAAAGAGACAAAGACAGACGATGGTGATCGGTTGCTTAAAGATGAACCAGTGGCCAATGGAACCAGCAGCGAGGAGACATCATTGCGCGGTGCCTTGTTGATAGAGCGCTCGGCTAGCAGACAGGAGGCCAGGTCCGACCTGGAGGACGTCTCAGTATCAGCCAAGGCCTCACCACGCCTTACACCGGCCCTGCGTTTGGACGAGGTCAAGCATGAGCGCGTTGGGAGAGGTCGTGCGTCTAAAACCTCTACACCGGTCGCGAGCACCTTCGCCGACGCAGAGGAGTCGGAGAGTGCCTCCGCAAATGGTGGCAAGTCTGATACGGGGTCGAAATCGCGACGTCCTGCCCGGCCAAGGGTGAAGGATCATGGCCTGCATGATTCTTTGTCGCCCAAAGGCTTGCCAATGAAGCGCTTCCACAAGAAGAATGGCAGTCTCTCGGTGTATGCCAGTGGTCCTGGGTCAGCAACAGGCAGGACCAAAGACGAGAATGGAACGCCCCTCTCAGCAACACCCTCAGTCTCAGACAAGGACAGAGATGTCGACAAGGGCGGAGAGAGCCTTGGTCTTGGTCTCGGACTTGGTGTGGAGAACGAGGATGACGATGCGGCTGACGGCGATGGCGAGCACGAGGATGAAGAACGCTACTGCTATTGTCAAGGAGTGAGTTATGGTGAAATGGTGGCATGCGACAAGGCAGACTGCCCCCGACAGTGGTTCCATCTCGAGTGCATCGGACTCAAGAGCGTGCCGAAGAGTGCGAAATGGTATTGTGACGAATGCAAAGAAGTTTTAGCAAAAAAAGGCAAGCTCACCAACGGAGGGGGAAGCGGCAATGGCGCCACCAGTACGAGTGCCAGCAATGGTGCTGGAAATGAGTTGGCTGTCTAGAGGTAACGTCCAAGGATGTTCTCGGTCTTCGACCATCTCAATCGAAATCCCATCAACGTCGCATCATCTCCCTGTAGTCTCTGGACTGGGTGCCGATCTCGACATGAATTCGACTTCCAACGGTACGACCTCGATTTACTCTATTGTTCGCAACACACAGGTGTCGAAGGCAAGGGGTTGGAGGAGATTCTGTATGATGGACTGATTGATTGAATCATACATGCCTTGTACTTTCTTTGTACATTTGTACTACTACTCCTATTCCTACTGCTGACACCACTACTACTTGACTAGCTACTTGCTCACTGTGGTTGGTATCGGTTGCTTGATTGGATTCCTCGTTCTCAATGTATCACTATCACTCATTACACGGCAAAGCATGGGTCGAGAACATGGCATAGCGACGGTTTGAAACTACTAGGTAGATAAGATACCTGTTTCTTGATCGATATACTCCGTAGAATACTGACGAACTGGGCCTTTTTAATGATGACGAAAAAATCTGACAACATGAAAGCAGGACTTCGTGCTTTCTTTCCCCGTAAGCTTTCTTGCACAGTTACACCATATACATAAATTACATACATACACCAACCCGTGAATGGTTTCACTTCTGAGTCATCCTGTACTCTTCCCAGAGACATCAGACTTGCTCTTAATCCTCGGTCATTTGGGAGACGATGCATGAACTTGAACGCTGGCATTTGGCTGTCTCATTGTTCAAGGGTGCCTGACATTCCCAAGGCTCTGCAGTTCAACATGGAGACGAGCTTCTACTTCTCCTCCTACTCTGCAATCACGTACTTGTGTCTCCCGTACATCTCCCCTACTTGCATCGATCAACACATGGGCATGCGCATTGCACAGGAACGATCGACACATGTTGGGCAGCCTACTCCACTTACCTGAAACTGAGTAGCAGAACGAGATGAGCTTGCGACCTTCACGGTGTCGACCGTGCAGCCACGCGCGGGAGGCGAACAAGTTTACCATGTGGCAGAGTAACATCGGAAAATCTTCGCGTGATCTTTGCAAAACTTCAGGCTCTCCAGTGGCATTCTGGTGGGGAACAACTTGAAATGAGGTTTGAGACTACCGGACACGGGAACCCACGGGGCGGAGGGGGGGTGAGAGGTATACGGGCCCCTAATGCAGGAAGAGCTTCTAGAAGAATTCTCATTCTCCGAACACGAACTTTTTCTGCGATCGATCTTGTCGCACGACAAGTGGGAACCATCAGCCGCTTGGACTCTGGTACTCATGATTCATGAATGCCCTGCCTCTTGAGTTCTTTTCCTATTCGTCCTCAAGGCGTCACCAGTGGAGTCAGCCGAAGGAATGACTGTTCGATTATTGTTCGAGATGGAAAACGCCGCACGGCGCTGAAAGACGGAAAAAGATGAAGAAAAGGCGCCAGGAGCATGCAGTGGCAGCGCTCCGTGCGCATGTACCGATGTTTTGATGCCTGGTGGCGTGTTCGCTTTCTGACAAGTTACAAGGTACAACACACCACCACCACCACCATCATCCTCCACCTCTGTCAGATTATCAATCCCTATCTCCGTTTACGGGGAGGTACAGTACGAGGGATCATGCGTTTACTCCGGACGCACACTGTAGCCGCATTCTGCGGGAGAACTACGGAGAAGAGCATTGAAACAAAGCAAGAGTGGTGCGCCTCAGGCCCTCTGTCCACCGACTCACCGCCAGCGTTGCTCGCATCCACTACCCCTCCTGGTAGCAGATTAGTTCGGCGTGGCTCGTTTCCACGTTGCTTTCACGAGATTTTCCAACTTGCCAGATCTATCCAGGTCGCAGTGGCAAACGACAGAAAGATCGGATCAGATCTAGGTTCGCTCTGGTGGTTTGGTGCCCCTGGGACAATTGTTCGAATCTCATCTTTTTCCTGACACTCTACTGTCCTGACGTAGGCAACGTGAAGATCCTCCGTCATGCAGAGCTGCCACCTACTCGTACTTGTTAGTGCCTCGGGGCAGAAACTTGGGTAGTCTTGGGCCTCGTCTTGTATACCAACAAGAGTGTGCAAGCATTGGCCCTTGTGCGTGCCGTGGGCGGTAGCGTGCTCTGAGGAAACCAATCTCGGCGCACGATCCTTGCTTGGACAGGGGCCTAGCTGGTGTCGCATATACTGGACTTGCTTTTTCAGCGGCTTACCGGCCACCAGGTTATCTCCTGGCTGTTGAGGCCAATCCATTCCGCTCGGCATTCCTTGCCGACGTTACAGCACGCTGCACGCTAACCACCTTGATGTCGCGTGAACACTCCGCAAAGAGGTTGCGACGTTGCTGGCCCCGCAGGTGTACAGCGTCAACCCATGGGGAGGGTGAGTGGGAGAGAAGGAGGGAGGACAGTTGCAGAGGGATCCCAGCCATGGTGTGCCAGCAATCCCGGTCATCAGATCCAATTGAGGGAAGGTTCAATATGCGTACAACAATGGTCGAGATACGACAAGTCACACATGTCACGACTTGTTGCAGTGTGACAAGCTTTTTACCATTGGAGTTTGGCGACGGAAATGTCTACAGTAGAGCCTGGAGCTAACTTCAAACTTCCAAGGCTTTTTGTATCTCAGATGCTCCATCGTGGCGGCATCGAAGCCCGGTAGTCGGACGAGAACAATGCAGTAGAAATGGACCATGGGAATCTTTACTGTACTAGGGCCCGGGTTCGAGTAGAATCGGCTGAGGGCTTTTCCGTGGCCGTCCTGTCTCAAGATTTGATCAACTGCAAGCGTCAAGAACCCAGAACCCAGAACCCAGAATCCAAAGTTCAATACTCGACAACTCTCTCTCTCTCCACCCGCAAGGCTCTGCAAGCATGAATGACCATCGATAAAAAAATTTTCTGAAACCTTCCAGCCGCGGAGTCTCTATTATTGACCTGGCAATAATAATATATCCATTATGAAATAAGTGGCTATAGGCCTATGGGTCATGGCGACTGACACCTTGACGCCCCCCAAAATGCCCCCTCCGGGTCGACCAGTCCCAATGCGGGCAGCTCGCCGTCGCCGAAGAGGAGCCTGAACAAGCCCAAAGCTTCTGGCTGCTTGTCCACTGCTTGTTTACCAGCACTAGTGGCCCGTCGACCTTTAGTTCTCTTTGCGTGGCGCCCGGATTGTGTCCAGTCAGACACTGAATTTGGCCTAGTCGGCTCTATAGACTATTGCGAGGACAATCATTGCCCCCGCAGTTGAGGGCTGGACATCACTCGACCATGATGCCTGCACGGAGTATTGCCCATGGTGTCTGGAGGAAAAGATGGGCCAGCGATTATTGGAATTGGATTTCCTCTCTCGTCCCCATCGGAGCCTCCGTCGCCATGTCTTTCCTCGACGACTCCTGACTCTCTCTCCACCATCACTCCGTGACTCCGCGATCGATAGGGTGTCAATATGCGTGAGTCGCGAGGTCCAGCCGACGACGTGGTCCCAGCTCGAAGGAATCATGGGACTTGCCAGATCGAATGCCACATTGCTACCCACATATTCACTCGGTTACCCTGTCCGCTGCCCATGGGCAGCATTTCACTGGACCGTCCCTCCGTAATAACGTGAATATGAGGGGGCGTTGCACTCTCTGGCCATCCAGACCCAGTCTATTCCTGTTCCGTGCAAGGAATTTGTGAGATCACTCGCCAGTTACATTTTTACGCTTCGCATCTACCCCCGGTTTGTTGATCCTGGCGCAAGCTCCTCCAGAGTCCCATCACCCATACTCCATCATCAACCGCGACTCGCTACGACAACTAGCAGACAGACCCTGTCGCTCAGTTAGTCAGTCCTATTCGAGCTTCTCCTCCTACTCCGCGCCTGTCATCCAAGTTCCTTCTCGGCCACAGGGTAACAATATAAGGTTCGTCCTCGCCTCTTTCCTTCGGGTGCGAGCTTGTCTTCCTTCTTCTCCTTCATCACCACCAACCCTTCTCCCGCCTGCGCTCTCAGAGTAGCTTCACTCTCCCTCCCATTTACTGATTCTCTTCTTACGCATACCAGCATCACAGAGAAGATACCCTGACCCCGGTCAGTCACACAATCATCATGCCAGGTGGACCGGTTCGTTCGCTGTCCACCACCACCGATGTCAACCGCATCGAAGCCCCAGTCACCTGGAAGGCCTATCTGATCTGCGCCTTTGCATCTTTCGGTGGCATCTTCTTTGGCTACGATTCCGGTTACATCAACGGCGCTACCTCTAACCTCGAATTTATCCACTACATCGAGGGTCCCAACAAAGATGCCTTGAGCTCCCCCCATTCGTCTCTCATTGTCTCCATCTTGTCCTGTGGTACTTTCTTCGGCGCCATCATCGCCGGTGATGTTGCTGATATCATTGGTCGCAAGTGGACTGTCATTATTGGTTGCGTGGTACGTATCATTGAACTATCCTCCCAAAAAACAATGCCTTCAGTCCATCAAGAACAATATGCTAATTTGCGGGAAACACCAGATCTACGCTATGGGTGTCTGCATTCAAATGGGCACTGGTCCTGGTCACGCTCTCGGCCTCATCGTGGCTGGCCGTCTCGTGGCTGGTTTTGGTGTGGGTTTCGAGAGTGCCATTGTCATTCTGTACATGTCAGAGATCGTAAGTGACTGGTCTGGTACCGTGGACAAGCTGTGCTGGCATCTAACGAGTCACGTCTTATAGTGCCCTAGAAAAGTCCGAGGTGCATTGGTCGCTGGATACCAATTCTGTATTACCATCGGTATCTTGTTGGCTTCCTGCGTTGTCTATGCCGTCCGCAACCGAAAGGACACTGGCGCCTATCGCATTCCCATTGCCATCCAATTCGCTTGGGCTCTCATCCTCGGTATCGGTTTGGTCTTCCTGCCAGATTCGCCCCGATACTTCGTCAAGCGTGGCAAGCTCGAGAAGGCTATTGCAGCGCTCTCTCGCCTTCGTGGCCAGCCTCCCGAGTCCGAGTACATCCAGGTTGAAGTTGCTGAGATCATTGCCAACGACGAGTACGAGAGACAGATGATTCCATCTAGTGGCTGGTTTGGCAGCTGGTACAATTGCTTCAAGGGTGGCCTCTCCCACCAGAAGTCCAATCTGCGTCGAACCATTCTCGGTACTTCTCTGCAGATGATGCAACAGTGGACCGGTATCAACTTCATCTTCTACTACTCGACCCCATTCTTGAAGTCGACCGGTGCCATCTCCAACTCGTTCTTGATCTCCCTGATCTTCAACTGTGTCAACGTCGGTTCGACTCCTCTCTCGTTCTGGACGGTTGAGAAGTTCGGTCGTCGACCTCTCCTGATCTGGGGTGCTCTCGGTATGCTCATTTGCGAGTTCCTTGTCGGTATCATCGGTGTCACCGTTGGTTTCAACAAGACCCACCTTAACGCCGACGGACTCAGCAGGGCCAACAACATCCCGGCCGTCAATGCACAGATCGCCTTTATCGCCATCTACATCTTTTTCTTTGCCTCCACCTGGGGTCCTGGTGCTTGGATCGTCATTGGAGAGATCTTCCCTCTCCCCATCCGATCCCGTGGCGTCGGTCTCTCTACCGCCTCCAACTGGATGTGGAACACCGTACGTCCCTGTATCTCGTTCTGTCTCGTGATTGTTTGCTAACCCTTCCCAGATCATCGCTGTCATCACTCCTTACATGGTCGGTGAAGACAAGGGCAACCTCCGGTCGTCAGTCTTCTTCATCTGGGGTGGTCTCTGCACTGCTGCCTTTGTCTACGCATACCTCCTCATCCCCGAGACCAAGGGTCTGTCCCTGGAACAGGTTGACAAGATGATGGAAGAGTCTACCCCACGTACCTCGGCCAAGTGGAAATCAACCAAGACCTTCGCCGAGATCATGGGCAGCCAGGGCGGTGTCCTTAACAAGGAACTTGTCCAGGATGCAGAGCGCAAGGGATCAGCCTTTTAAGAAGTAACTTTGACCTACACGGTATCCTTCGAAGACGTGAGCCGGCCGATACCCTTCGACTGTATGATTCCCAATACTCTCCGAAGAAGGTGAATTGCCAGAAAAGAGAACTGAGCGCATGTTGCAACGAAGAGACGTATGGAGAATAATATACCCAACCCAACCACTACTGAGCCCAAGATGCTGCCTGGCGCAGGTCGGTCTTTTTTCTATTTCCTCGCTCTTCCTCGACGACCGAGTATTGGAACCACGCTCGATCATTGCCCATTGACCATCATCAAAGAGTTAACAGAGCATGGTTTATCAAAGTCAAGAGGCCTCATCTCGGGATCCGCACAGGTATCAGGGGACCAAACCAGCATGGTGACGCATGCGGACGAAAAGCTGGTTGGTGTTAAATGAGAAAGTAGTAATTACGTGCATGCATGAATGGACTCTTTAGGCATCATGAATACCATATGCATTCCTAATTATGACATTTTTACGATTCGTGACAGGCGAAGTGATGATTCTTCTCGTGCTCCTGATTGCATATTTCGTGCATGCCGTATCGTCCATAAATAACCGAGATACCCTTGATATCCGACTCATCCAAAGAATGCTGGCATTTTTTCGCAGCCAAGACGACAGTATCGTAGAATTAAAGGTGACGTCTTATTGCCTATCAAAAGTGTAAATGAAGCAAAAGGCCACCAGTTAGTGTCGATGCAAAGTAAGGCTTGCTTGTTAGCTGTCGGTCTCCCGGGGTTCCAGATATCTTGCAACAAGTCGGCATTTGCGGTCTTGTACGCAGTGTGTACTCCGTATCACTGTGTTCGACCGGAAAAATGATGTCCCGAGTTCCGCTTCTGAAGCCACAGTTCCGCACTCTGGGTTGGTGTTGCACAGCAGCGAGTGCTGTTCACAGTCCTGAGAACTCTAATAGTAAATACTTCTACCGACCACAGCATGTACCTCAACTTTGAGCCTTTTGTGTTCTGCAACCAGACCGTGAGGCTGGATGAGAATCACTAAGGCCCACAGCACCATCGAACTATCCTCCATTGTGTCTCCTTGTCCAGGCCTTGTGACGGTCAGCAGCGACAACTGAAGGACCAACATGTCCTTGGATGGTCTTTCTCCCTGCGACTCTGCACCACACGCATTCACCTATTGAAGGGGCCTGTAGCCTATAGTCTATATACTCCTAGACCAGAGCATTGTCCCAATCGAGACAATAATACAGGCCTCCCCCGGGATATACCCGTCCATGGCTTAGAGCCACACACAAGACCCCGATCAATCCCCCTTGTTTCCCCCCCCCCCGCAAATGTCAACAGCCGAGAGAGCTTCCGGCGCTCATCTCGAAATTCCGCACCTTCGTCAAACCCCGGTCTCAGTTCTACTGTGCAATGATGCGATGCTGATGGCTCCATAAACAAGAGCCGGATCAATGCGCCATATGTGAGGGCCACGGCATACACGGTAGCAGTGCTCGACGGCGGTGTGGACCAAAACTACCATCCTCGGCTGTAGGTATCAACAGGGCTTCGTCTTCCCACTCTCCACTGCTTGTATATCTTGAGCTCTTGTACTTGTTCCAAGTGTCATTAGGGACATTCTGAAAGCCGCTATTCTCTGACTGACAGCACTTACCTGCTATCGAACAACCTAGCATCGTCAAAGCTTGTACTCGTATCGACAGACACCCAGTAAACCTGCCACCATGGGGTCCATCGCAAAGAAACGCAAGGTCGATATTGCCCAGCAGTAAGACTGGCACCCCTTCCTAACTGTAAACAAGAGTTGACAAGACCCAGGGAATACACTACCTCGTTCGCCTTCTTTGAGGCCATCTGGGAGGTCCGATTTTGCCAGCCCATACAATGCTCTGACGAACACGAAAGCTGATGTTGTTGTTGCAGGCTGGCATTACACATGTCTTCGTCAACCTAGGTTCCGACCATCCTTCAATCATGGAAGCTATTGTCAAGGGCCAAAACGAGAAGGAAGGGAACTTCCCCAGGATCATAACATGTCCCAACGAGGTACGGAACCACCACCTTGAACGGCGTAGTATCAATGTGCTGACAGGGTTGAAACAGATGGTTGCCCTCTCCATGGCCGACGGAATGGCCCGTTTGACGAACAAACCTCAATGCGTGATTGTCCATGTCGATGTCGGTACACAGGGTCTCGCTGCTGCTGTTCACAATGCCTCCTGCGGTCGCGCCCCGGTCCTCATCTTTGCCGGCCTCTCCCCATACACGATAGAAGGAGAGTATCGAGGGTCAAGGACAGAATACATACACTGGATACAAGACGTGCCGGACCAGAAACAGATTGTCTCACAGTACTGCCGATACACTGGCGAAATCAAAGCTGGGCGCAATGTGAAGCAGATGGTCAATCGTGCGTTGCAGTTCGCAACGAGCGATCCCCAGGGGCCAGTCTATCTTTGCGGTGCTCGGGAGCCGATGGAAGAGGACATTGAGCCTTATCATCTCGACGAAGGTGTCTGGCAGGCAGTTGGAGCCGCGGCGCTGCCACAAGATGCCGTGGAGATGATTGCGAAGGAGTTGGTCAAGGCCAAAGAACCACTCATGATTGTGGGATACACTGGGCGGAATCCCGCATCCGTCGAGGCAAACGTGGCTCTCGCCGATAAAATCCCTGGACTGAGGGTGCTCGATACCGGCGGCAGTGACATGTGCTTCCCTACGAACCATCCGGCCGCTCTCGGCCTGCGGTACGGTTCGGAGCCAGCCATCACCACGGCAGACTTCATCCTGGTGGTTGACTGTGATGTGCCCTGGATTCCTACTCAGTGCAAACCTCGGGCAGACGCCAGGATCGTCCACGTCGATGTTGATCCCTTGAAGCAGCAAATGCCAGTGTTCTACATTCCGGCAATAGCTCGATTCAAGGCCGATTCGGCCACTGCATTCTCCCAGATCAACGACTACCTCTCCTCGAGTTCTGAACTCACTGCGGCGCTCTCCGACCAGTCGCACGTCGCGGCGGCCAAGAAGAGACAAGCGGCCTATGATGCACGATGGGGCCAGTTCAAGGAGCTTGCGAAGATACCCTCTGACCCGGTGAATGCTGCGATCGACCCGCATGTTCTCGGGGGACAGATTCGCGTCGCCGTGCCCGAGGACACTATCTTCGCAGTGGAAGCGGTGACGTTGACGGGCTTTATCGCCGACCAGATAGCACCCGTACTGCCCAAATCATGGATCAACTGCGGTGGCGGTGGGCTCGGCTGGTCCGGCGGCGGTGCGCTCGGGATCAAGTTAGCTACTGATTTCCAACACCGCGATGTTGTGTTGGGCGACGGCACCGGGGCCACCAAGGGCAAATTCGTGTGTCAAATCGTCGGCGACGGCACCTTCATGTTCAGCGTGCCAAGTTCGGTTTACTGGATCTCCCAGCGCTACGACATCCCGATTCTCACGGTGGTGCTCAACAATAAGGGCTGGAACGCACCCCGAAGATCGATGCTGCTCGTGCACCCCGACGGCGAGGGAAGCAAGGTCGACAACAAGGCGTTGAACATCAGCTTTGAACCCACGCCAGACTATGCCGGGATCGCAAAGGCTGCGAGCTGCGGCAAAGCGTGGGCCGGCACCGTGGAGACGGTACAGGAGCTGCTCGACCTTCTACCGCAGGCTGTCAAGGCCGTGAGAGATGAAGGAAGAGCTGCGATTCTGGAGGTCAAGCTGGGTGCCGCCGACCTTAGCACGAAGAGAAGTGAGGTGAACGGTGGTACTCGAGTTGGAACGACCAGTGGATGAACATGGTTGAGACGCTTAAGTGTCAGAGCGAGTGCGCGATGAGCCACGGCCAAGGGACCATTGACGAGTGAGTGGAATGAGGAAAGGACACTACTCTTTCTTTGCATGATTGAGTTCTGATAAAGCCCGTATATGGCCATGATCATGGTGGAATTAAAAAACTATGAGGAGGTAGGTGGGCAAGGTCATTTTCACCCTCTGCCGTGTGGACTGGGATGGTGTGGTTTTCCCTTGTATCTATCTTACCTGCACCCAGGACGAGGAGGGTCATACATAGTACTTCCCGGAAGCCAAAGTCCAGGGTGGATGGAGGGGTTTGGTACCTATCTAGCTACGAGTAGGTATGTACAGATAGCTGCGTTTACCTAATTACCTAGCTATGGTAGTCAGTCTCCGGTGAGGAGGATTATGGCTATGGATAGACGGATGTGACGAGGGATGGATGATATTGTCCGTAGATTCAAGATTATTTCACCGCAGTTCTTCTCTTTTATTCTTTTGCTCCTCTTTCGGACCGGCAGACAATACGCTTTGCCTTCTCTGCTTCTTCTACCAATTCTCATAAATGAGCAAACGTAAGTTAAACTTTGGAGCGGCTAATCAACGCACTCAAAGTACCAAGTTAGTTATGGGCAGATTGCAAGTTTTGTACACGTTCAACACCCCCAAACAACCAACGGTGAGTAGGTAGGTATCCCGTAGGTTTAGTAAATGTTAATTAATCCCTAGTCTGTCTACCCCCCTTGTGATCCTGAGAGAGTGCCTGCCTACCTTTCCCAGGTAGTTACCTGGGTAGTTATTAGTGGTTCTACTTCTACTTCTACTTCTGTTCATACATACCCCGTCGCTTCCAGAGATGTTAGTTAACTACCGGACGACAGTTCTGTCTACTCCTGATTCTACTCCCGTTCCAACTCCCGGAGAGACCCAAATAACCCACCACATCGTCAAGGGGCCCTGCCTAGTTAGTTGGTGAGCCTCACCAGAGCTAAAACGCCTGTCGGTTCGTTTACGTGGACAACAAAAGTGGACACTGCAATGCCGAGCCGATGTTTGCTCGACAGACTCAATTTCTGTACTGATTAAGCGCAAGTTTCTTTACCAAGGGCCTTCCTTTACATAATATGCAATCCACACAGCTCTCCATCCCTATTTTGTAGTGAACCTCATTATAGACACCGCCGTCTAGGTTACCTGTCAACCAACCAACCAACCAACCAAGCCGTCCAATGCTCTAGTTGCCTACGATAATCCAAGAACAAAACAAGACCATAACCGAGAACGCTATCAGATGCAACAACCGCTCGCTCATCACAATTGGCCAGAGAGAATGGCCTCCGTGGCTGGGCAAAGAGTCAGTATACCATTCATAATGTTCGGGGGGGGGGGACCATGTTCGTTCGGACTTACCACTTCCAATGTACGCTCTCTTGACGTCCAGGTTGACGTTGAACCTGCGCTCCAGCTCCAGCTTGATACCCTTCTTGGTCACCGTCATGAGGTCTGCCGTCTTCAAGATTTCTCGAATCTCATTCAGGATCATGTCGTCGGTCGGCAGGCCTGTCAAGTCCGCCATCTCCATGTCGGCGACCGATCGGCCGCTGGCCAGGACCCCGGCCCCACCGAGCATCTCAGAGGGAGCCAGTGACAGGCGCGACTGGTTGTACCCGGCTCCATACATTGACTGATGCATGTCCAGCTGAGAAACGGATCTTGACGTGGGCATGAGATGTTGGGTGTCATAGCCTCCACCGTACACCGAGCCAGCCGGGTAATAAGACTTGGTTCCGTAACTGTAACCTGATATCTCGGATTTGGCGTCGTCTCGTTGAGTCTGAGCGTCCCAAAGCTCCGCTTGGTACTCTTCCCACTTCTTCCTGGGAATGGAGTCGGGGTCAAACTTGCCTTCGTCCGAAATGAGGATCTGCTTGCCCTTCTCACCCGTGACGAGACGGGTATTGCCCCAGCTGAAGTCGTCCATGTGCCAGAAGGCGTACAGTGGCAAGCCCAATGAGAAGACGGGCATGGCAAGGATATACACAATCATCCAGCCAATCATTTCCCATCTGCGGCGAAGGATGAAGATGATGGCTTGGAGACCGTAAATGGCACCGAGTAAGATGAACGCCGTCGTGGGGAGGACGCTCGACGATGTAGCAACTTCGACAATCAGGTACGCAATGTATGCGACCACGACGGGCGCGACGATTGTCGACAACAGGTCCAGGAACACAACGAACCTCATGCTGAAACAGCAGAAACCGCAGAGTTGTTGCAACGGAATCAGCTCGATAAGGTTGTGAATTGTACTATTGATCCAGCGACGTCTCTGGGAGAGGAAAACTGCCCAGCTGTCTGGCGCAATAGTCCAAGCGTGCGCATGGAAGATGTATTTGGTCTTGTACTTCGCATGGTGCTTCATAAGTAGCGTGGTCAAGTATCTGTCTTCTCCCAGATGGAGCAGGTTCTTCATGTGTAGAGTATCGACGCGGATCTCGGAATAGTCGTTGATGATTTCCTTGCTGACGAAAAGAGGCTTGCCTGTCTCGGCGGCTCGAATGCGAAACATTGTGAAACACCCCGGCAAGCACGTCACCGACCCGAAGAGAGATTCGAAGGCTTTGGTCAAATTGTGCGAGATGTAGTACTCGTACACCTGCATCATGGTGATGAATGACGATTTGGCGTTGCTCAGCGATGTTTCTCCGCAGACACCTATCAGTCTCGTGTCGCGCAAAAAGGCGGAAACCATGCGCGTGGCGGAATCCGGTGCCACAACTGTGTCGGCATCGATTTGAAGTATGAACTCATAGAATGTGGGGTTGACACCGATAATGTTGCGGATATGGTGATGCATCTCAAGCTCAAGAGGACTCATGGGCAGATTGTAGTGGACACGGTTGAGGAATCGCATAATGACCATCTGGGAGTCACGCTTGCCTCTGTTACCTGGTCTGGAGACTTCTGATGGCTTTCCAACCTTGACCACAACCAAGAAGGGAACAATGTGCCCTTGAACCTCGTACAGTCCAGAATACACTTTGCCCATGTTGTGTTGTTTCATGCCTTCACCAAGAGATTCAAAGCTGAGAGGCTCGGGGTCGACCGTCTCCGACACGCCCAGAATATCCAGCACAATGCGAGGCGTGGGTCTGTCATTGCCTTGGCCGATAATCATGCCATCGCAGACAACAACGAGCAGTTTGCGTTTGTCGTCATATCGCATGCGCGCGGCAGAGTCGATAGCACGTCGTAGTGACTCCTCATCCTCGGTGTAAGCTGGAACCTGGCAGATCACAAACTTGTCCAGGTTTTCTGGGACGTTCCGCCCACCAAATTGCAGTGCTGCAAAGAACTTGAAACCAATCACACTGCAAAGGAAGACCGAGACGGCGAGGAGGATATACCGTGCAAATAGACACTGCGTAGAGTTTCGAGTATCTACAACGCCGACGAAGAACAGATTGTCAAGGCACAATTGCATCCGCTGTCTCATGCCGGAATCGAGTGGGAGGGCATTCCAGTACTTGGTGACATCGTGGCCAGCTTTCTGTGTAAAGAGATCGACGACGAGCGAATCCATGAAGTCTGTGTCGACGTTGCTAGGAACCTGGTCGCCTGGTGCGACTCTGACGCTCCGTCCACCTTGATTGTAGGTCGTGAAGTCGTATACCCTGCTATTGAGAATGGCAATGGATTCTTGTTTCGAGGCCAATTTCTTAACGTGTTGGGGGGTATAGCCCACATTGCCTTTCTTGTAATTAGCTTTGAGCATCTGCATTTGCTCGAAAAACCAATCTGGCCGGGAATCGTTGGTGAAGGCGCGGAAGTCGTGATACCGCCTGTTAGGGTCATTCGTGCTGGTGATGCTTGCAGAACCAGACACATTTGTAGAGGTATAGTCGAGTTGGACAGCAGAAGAGATGCTTCCATCCTTGCCTTGGCAAAGAGCAGAAACCTGGACGGGGAAAAGATTAGTGGCGTCAAGACCGGCATACTTCTCGAGCGACTTTGAAGGCACAATGCTCGGATAATGACTGGGTATGAAAGCACCAAGATCAAAAACCACTCCCCGAATGGCCACATATGAGCCGTGTTTCCCCTTTCCATTGTGAGAAGCTAGTTCTTGAGCGGAGTAGACGTGTTGTTTGGGACAGATGAGGTCCGGAAACACGACGATGAAGAAGATCACAAAGCCGCAGCTGAGCCAGATGAGAAGGTTGATCGCAAACTTTTCTCTCCAGGCGGTCCTGACGTCCTTGCGTTTCATTCCGCCGACCCATTTGATGGAGAAGTCCGGAAGATACCATGTCAAGAAGTAGACAATCGCAAGCCAGTTCTTGCGGCTTCTGGAGACCGGAACAACATCCACTTCTTCCATGTTTTTCTTGTTGGCTTTCTCTGCGAGTTCCTCCTTGGTTTCCAAGTTGCGGAACATATCACCCGAGTTGAAAGCTGAGGCACCCGCGTCAGATTTGGAATCGAGCTCTCGTGAGCCGATGTAGCCTCCTCCTTTTCCTTCTTCGCCAAAGAATGATTGAGGGGTACCTTCGCCAGAAATCAATCTCGCTTTGGAGTCACTGAAAGGGTTCATGCCTGGTGTGTCTGGCCGGGACAGTGAGGGAGCATCGCCGCCAAAATAGGCCGCGCTTTGTGAGCCTGTAAGTGCGATACTAGCCCAACATCGTTCACTGAGGAATATACCCGTATTGCCGATTCTGGCTTCATTCGCAGGCCATTGTTTACTGTCAAGAACCAGTTGTGCTTTCTCAGCATCACTTCCAATGACGCCAGTGTCCACATCAGTTAGGCCGAGGAACTCGCCGAAGGGCAAGAAGATGCTGAAGTCGGCTATTCGAAGTCTCTGGCTGATTTCGGCAATTCCATATATCTGGATTTGCTGTCTGACACATTTGCTGTCGAACTGATTGGCAATTCTCCTGTCGTTGGGCTTCAGGCAGAACACAAAGTAGTTGTTGACATTTGGCGCAGTAAGTGATTTCGTGATATTGTCCAATGAGGCCAAAAATTGCGCTGCAGCACCTTGGGTCAATCCCATTGCGGTGGCTTTGGTGCGCCTGACCCTTTGATCATCATTGCCCGGCATGGGTTCCTCCTCTTCTGGTACAATGGATCGGTCAGCACGTCGGCTAGCCATCCTACGGAGCTCCACATGCTTCTTTCTCGAAACGCTGGGCATTCGAAGGGGTTTAGAGCTGAGCTGGGCCTGAACAATGGCGGTCTTTTCGGCAGGGTGGCTGACGGTAGTCAAGGCCTCTTGACCAAATAAGCTGGCGACAAAATCACTCTTCGTGGATCGCATCATGTTCATCAAGTCTCCAGACACCACATCGCCATTTTCCTCCACCAACTTGTTCACAGGATAGTCAACCTCACCGGCGTAGTGACGCACGGTGAAGGAAGCCGCAAGATTCGATGTAGCAAAATTGCTTCCAGGCATGGTGGAGGTGGCACTGCTGACCATGATAGCTTTGTTTTTATTTTCGAAGCGTTTGCGAATGCTTTCTAGAAACTGGATGTCGGTACGACCACGGCGGGTCTGGTCATCGAGAATAGCCAAAAGACCGTTTCCATGTTTGAGAAGACCGCGTACAGCGTCAGAGTTATCGAAATAACTTGTGGCTGGTACACTGACTTCCTCGCTCTCCAGCATATCTGCTGTCTTCTCAAAGAAGCTGTGCAGGCAAGTGTTGTAGAGCGATTCGTTTGCTGCATTGTTTAGGAGTTGATCGAGGACAGAACTGGTCGAAGGGGTTTCTACAAAGCCGGGGAAGTCCACGATAGACACCGTGTTGGCTACCGAATCCTCAGCAGCACAGATCCTCTGGTTGATGCTTTCGATGATATAAGCAACGAGGAGGGAGTATAAGGTTGTTGCAAGCTCGTCTGCATTGTCACGAGCACCTTTGGGATCCAACATGACGGTGACGCGTTCGCGGTGCAACGTCTTTGTCTTGTGTCTCAGGCTCTCTTCCAGATCCGAAACACTCAACCCCAGAAATGCGGCCACCAGTTCAAGCGTCTCGATGTTTTTGACAACGGTGACTGTCTCACCGCCTTCGTGGGAATATCCACCGCTTTCTTCCGCTGCAGTCAATGTAGCCTGGCCCGTACCAAACTCGAGCTGTCCAATATGCAGGATCGCCGCCAAAACTTGACATATCTCCGCAATTTCGGCTCTGGGGAATTCGAGCTTACGCAAGGCCGTCTTGAAATGCTGAAATCCCTCCGAGTCGTTCATGCCGACCTTCATCTGTGTGGGATGCCCTAGATATCTCCATCTCTTCTGCGAAACCGAAGCAGCTCTACCGAGGCCGGTGCCTGCAGTCGTGATGTTCGTGTGTCCAGTCAGTCCCAGATGTGACTTTTCTGCCGCACTTGTCCCCGCCAGAAGATAGTACAGGACATGAAAACTTCTCTCGCCTGTTGGAACATGAGAAATCCTGCCTTTCTCCAGGCGATGATTCAACAATTTGCCTCCGATCAGGGTGGGAATGGTGGATGAAGAATCGTATTGCAGCTCATAGAAAAGCCCGGCTTTGGAGGCAGTTAGCGTGGTGGTAGTCTTGGTGGTTGTCAAGGTATCGAAAACGAAGGCCGCGAGAGAAAGTCTGTTTGAAAGTGGTGTGGAGGAAAAGGACAGGAAAGAGGCAAGGAGGTGTGACCGAACTGTCGTCTTGCCAGAGCCGGACTCTCCACTGTGTCACGGTTAGTGTCATATGAAGTCAATGGCTGAGCTTGGGGATACAGACAAGAAGACGATGGCCTGGTCTTCTGCACGACTTCCTAACCTAGCCCATGCCCTTCGAGCCAGATCTTCAGCCTCCCCACTGGCACTTCCTTCTTTCTCACCATTGGGACCTCGTGTGCTGGAAGTATAGGTGTTGAGGCAGATCAACGCTTGGGACGAGAGCCTTGCCGTTGGAAGAGAGACGTGGAAACGACTCGCCAGGTGAGCGGTCAAGTGAGTGTCTGACTGTAAATGTGGAGGGAGTGACGGCAACGAAGCCTGCGCATGGGCGGGGATAGTCCCCCTAGCCGCCATGAGGATTGAACTGTGTTCCGTACGGCAAAGAGTGTGATGAAGCCGATCTATACAGCCATGCGTTTGTATGATGACAGAGTCGTCGACATGAAAGTGTCACAGGGTCGAGGGTGAGAGGCCGGATAGTCGACGTTCAAAACAAACAAGAGGCTAATCGTCAGGAGACGGGAGAATGCCAGAACAATGTGGCCACAACCAGCAATGCAAAATGCAACGAAGGAATTGAATTATACGGCAAGACAAGGATAGCGAGAGACGTCGTGAAGTCGTAGCAAACACTGGCAGTGAAGGCAATGGATCTAAGGCCAGAAAATCCCTATAGTGAGAGTGTGTCTGGTGTTGAGGGAGATTCCCCTTCAAAGGAACCAGCAGCTCGGAAGGCAATTGGAGGGTCATGTCTTTACAAGTGCGTAATTTTCGTCGGGGCCCGCGCGGATCTTCCAGGGCCATTGTTAGTGCAACAAGTACCGTCTGCTGTTTAAGACCTGACGGGGCACCACCAATTGACCAGCGGCCAGGGACTGCGCCACCGACCACTTTCTTTAGAACTGACAGCAGTTGTATCGATATGGCCCAAGTCCGCAATCCGAGTATATATAGAAAGTCGCGTATGTAACTATGAGGCTGCTGACTCAATAGCTGTGAAGGATGGTCATGCTCACCATTGATAGTAACTTCGCAGCAAAGAGAGTTCGCATTTTGCAGTTTTGCAATGTGTACTCCGTTCGAAGTACATGCATCCTCTTGTATCCGGACATCGTGATTTTTTTGTTGACATCAGGGATAGCGTGATGCGAGCTGCAGCTTGTTCGGGCCTAATGGTGCAAGGTTTCTGGCCTGCTCCGCAACGCCCCCTCGGCTACCCAATCGCCTACAGCTAGAATGTTCTGAAGCCTGGACGACTGGTTGTCGGGCCCTGTAGTGACTAAGGGCCTCCCCGAGCGAGCACGGTTCATGCCTGTAAACAGATCTGCTTTTGCGGTAAAATTTATCCAGAGGGGCAACTCTAATGTTTTCCCTTGGTCCTGAGGCTTGCTGATCAGGGATGGCTTTTTGTGTGAAGGCATCCGAACGCCAGCATGCTGCGGACCTGCAGGCGTCTTACATCGCACTAGAACTTCCAGCTGGGTGTCTCGCGCAAATAATTCTCCATTGCGTGACTGACGCACCGTCTGGTCGGAATTGACAAAGTCATGCTGTAGCAACATTGGCCAGCAACGGTAGAGTATGGTGATGCAAATGCAGTCAATGTTTCTCGGCCGCAGGCGAGACTCAGACATGCAGAAATCTGATGGGTGCCGTGAACAAGACCGCCCAGTGACATCCACTCAGATCGAGTGTAGGTTCCCCGGAAGGGGGGGTGGAGTGAGAACAAGGGGCCCTCTCACCAGCCTCACAGAAATCCGGCACTGAGCTTAAAACAAGCCGTGGGAAGCGCCTTTGGCCAATGGTCAATCGAGGTTCCTCGGCAACGGCCCTGGACAACGCGAGGCATCACAGAGAGTCGGAGTGCTGGAACCAGAGGGAGTTGTTGTCCTTGGGCCTCAACCCGCACAGTTGTCAGTGGGAGGATCGAATCAAGGCTGGAGAGATGCTCCTGGTGTAATCGACCGATGACTGTACCAGGAATCCAGGATTGGAGATTGGCCCTTTTTTGATGCAGAGAAATCCGTGTTTGGTTTAGGTGTCTCAGTGAGCAAATCTTTGCTCCAGAGAGGCGAAGACATCGCGTCTTCACGTGCATCTATTTTGGGCGGATTGCGGTATCGTGTTTTGTAATGACAGTCACACGGGGAGTGCATCTGCAAGTAGCGAGACACCCGCTCGTCACTCACTTTACTCCCTTCTTCCTTGGGTGCAATTCTCGATTCCTGGCTCTTTCAAACCACTCTCGTTGTATACTACACCTTTAATCGCCCTGCATTCTATCGTGTTGTGCATTTCGCTCTTGTCTTTCGCTGCTTGTTCTGTCTTAGTCCACTCGCTACACGAGCCTTTCTGACGATCTGAAACGACCCTTTATAACGCTCCCTTTCCAAGCCTGTTCTCTCCACCGGCCTTCCTCTCTTCAACCACAAGGCGAAATAGAACGCGACGGAGTTTTGCAAGAAGTGAAGCCTGAACAGTACTATACTGCTTTGACCTGGGAACAACCTGCTTGAGGCTCTGTCGACTGCCTCGCTCGACAGGGGCCCTACAAGACTTTCGAGATGGCCACACGCTACTCCTCATACTCGAACACCTCCTCTCAGGTCGGTCCTGTGCGGTCGCCGGCTCAACAGTCTGCACAAGTCTCGACGACCTCCCTGCTGAATTCTTTGCATACCATTTATGCCTCGGGGCAGACCTACCAACTCGATGCGAGTACGAGCATCGCCGTCAACACCTGGCTTACCGCCAGCAACCCAGACGCCCAGGGGAGGACTGGTGGTGCGGTAGATGCTGAGATTGCCTTCAAGGCTTGGGAGCACGCAAGAAGAAGAGCTGAGGATGCTTGTGTCATACTGGGGTCGCTCCATCCCTCTACGCCCTCAGTACTACAACCTTTTCTGCGGGTCATTCCTCTACCTACTCCAGATCTCGCCTACACTGCGTTGTCCGCCTTACGACCCTTCGTCTCCTGCGTAACCCCTGCGAACTCTTCGACATATCGGCATTCTGCACTATCGGCAAGATATACAGTGACGTTGTCTGGCACCATCACCGGATTCTCGTTGGCTCTCTCAGGATCTGGGATTGATGTTCAAAATGGCCTGTTAAGAGTACCTGCGGAGCCCGGCTACCGAGCGTTTGATGTTTTCTACTATCTCCTAACCTCCGCCTCTACCCCGGCTGAGCGGGAATTTCTGGACCTCCAGCATCCTGCAAAGTACACCTTGTTGAACAGGTCTGGCACCTACGACCCGCCCTCCTATTTGCCAACTGGCGACGACGCTGCTGCAGCCGAAGATTTCCGTGGAGCATTGAAGTCAATTGGCATCAAGGGCGCGTCTTTCCGAGGCCTTTTATCATGTCTTGCGGGACTACTAAAGCTGGGGGAGACCACTGGCTTTCTCATCGACTCTGAGGCGCTGGAGAACATATGCGAAGATGTTGGAGCGCTCATTGGCCTTGAACCAGAAGTCCTCTTCAACAAATGCAGCGGCGATGACCGTGAGGTTCTCGTAGCAGGAATGTACGAAGCTCTGGTTGATTGGGTCATCTCCAAAGCAAATGAAGCCATTGCCGCGGAGCTGCGAGCAGGTGCACTTACTCCGGATTCAAGCACCCAGAGTGGTGATGAAGTGAGCCTTTCTGTGATTGAAATCCCTGGCGAAGGACTAGCAAAAGCCGTTGCGCTGCGCAGCGTCTTCGACGACTCTATTGGGATTAATGCTGAAATGAAGGAAGATGGAGTTGAGATTACCCCTGCTGGCCATTCCGTCCTTAAAGAAATGCATTTAGCCGTCTCTGAAGTTGCGGCTGACCTGGGCATCACCGGGGGTCCGTTGAGCCGAGAGAGAGAGCACGATCACGACAGGCGAGAAGGCATCTTACAAAAGATCGGGGCAGAGGCAGAAGATGGAGGATTTCTTCACACCTTGCTATACCCAGTCGCTGGGGAAGGCCTTAACTTTGGCAAAAAGGGTCGCTTTGATCTAGCAACAACTCTCGCAAGCAGCAGAGCGTGGTACCAGCTTTCCATCCATCCTACAGACGACGCACCTGCCACTCTCGCCACTTCAGCTTCAGCCACGTCAGCTTGGTCTGCGGGTGCTGTTTCTCGACAGTTGCGGGCCTGGAGACTCCCTGAGTGGGCGAATCATCGAAACAGGCAACTTGATTTCACCGCCGACTTCGACGTTGAGGAATTCGTCACGAGATACTCCCGACTGGGTTGCAAAGATGGCAGAGACGGTATCGAGAGCTTTCTTCTTGAGCGTGGCTGGACCAATGGCGAAGTCGTCATCGGACGTGAGCGTATCTGGATGCGAGAGGCCGCTTGGTGGGAAGCCGAAACAATGCTAGACATGAAGGCCGGACCTCCAGGCTATGTCGAAGACTCTGCATTCGGTCAACCTACCAATCCTTTTCTCTCTGGATACTCTGTCAATCCGCCCAACAACGGGAGTGGCTTTTTCCCTCCCATGGGCGACAACATGAGTGTACAAGACAGCCGCGAACACCTACTAAATCAGGCTGGAGCTGACCGTGCCAAATCGATCGCGCCAACAATGGCCCGTACTGTCCAGACCATCGGTGGCGACTACGGCCTGGGTCCCAAAGGCGATAATCACAAAGATCAACCTTATTACGATGAGATGGGACGATATACTGGAGAACTAGACCCCGAGTTTGGCGACCCCCGCAACATCGAATCAAAAAAGACGTCAAAGGGCAGACAGGCCTGGGTGTCGTTTGTCTGGACTCTGACATTCTGGATTCCATCCGTGGCTCTCAGATTTATCGGTCGCATGAAACGGCCAGATGTTCGGATGGCCTGGCGTGAGAAGGTTGTACTTTGTTTCTTGATTTTCTTGATCAATGCAGCGATTGTTTTCTACATCGTGGCGGTTGGGCACCTTTTATGCCCAAATTTCGACAAGGTATGGAACGCCAAAGAGGTTGGCTTCCATCAAGGTACCAACGATTACTACGTCAGCATTCGAGGTAGTGTTTACGACATGACTCATTTCTACAGAACCCAGCACAGTGACACCAGCATTCACACCAATGCTGACAACATGATGCCATTTGCCGGGCAGAATTTGGATGCCTACTTTCCTCCTCCCCTGAGTCGGGCATGTCCGGGTCTAGATGTCGACGACACTGTACAGTTGCAGCACAACGACACTTCGGCTGTCTTATACCCTAACGCCGTTCATACCTCGGGTCACGTCTACCAAACGGACCGGTCCTCCAAGCTATACAGCTGGACTTGGTATTCCGATGTCTTCTTGCCCTCGGTCAAGCAGTATTACAAAGGAGACCTTGTGGTTACAAGAGGCAGTGTTCGAAAACAGGCAGACAACGATCAGAGAATGTGGGCGATAATTGACAAGAAAATCTACGATCTGACCGATTATTTCTACACCTTGAACCTGATGAATAACTATCCCACATACAAGTTCTTCCCTGACGAGGTAGCAAACCTGTTCAATCAATATCCAGGCACTGATATCACGGACAAATGGGGGACGACTGCAACTTTCCAAAACAGCCTGAATTGTCTAAACAACGCATTTTACGTTGGCAAGGTGGACTTTCGGCAATCTGCCAAGTGCACAGCCAACAATTACATCTTACTATCCTTCTCCCTCTTACTATGCACTGTCATTCTGGCGAAGTTCCTGGCTGCGTTGCAGTTCGGTTCCAAACGTCGACCAGCAGCGCAGGATAAGTTTGTCATCTGTCAAGTGCCCGCCTATACTGAGGGTGAAGACCATCTCAGAAAATCGCTGGATTCTCTCACAGCTCTCCAGTACGACAACAAAAGAAAGCTAATTTGCGTTATCTGCGACGGCATGATTGTAGGTGGCGGTAACGATCGGCCTACTCCAAAGATTGTCCTCGACATCCTAGGTGTCGACCCTAAGATAGATCCACCTGCTTTGCCGTTCAGATCAGTCGGCAATGGGAACGAGCAGCTCAACTATGGAAAGGTCTACTCCGGTCTGTACGAGTATGAGGGCAATGTAGTCCCATACCTTGTCGTTGTCAAGGTTGGAAAGGAATCCGAGCAATCGAAGTCCAAACCTGGTAATCGTGGCAAGCGAGACTCTCAAATTTTGCTCATGCAGTTTTTGAACCGAGTCCACCACCGATCGGCCATGTCCCCATTGGAGCTAGAAATGTTCCACCAGATCAACAACATCATTGGCGTGGATCCGGAGTTGTATGAGTATCTCTTCATGGTCGACGCCGATACCATGGTCAAGGAGGACTCACTTAATCGTCTGGTGGCAGCCTGTGCCGACAATTCAAAGATCGCTGGCATTTGTGGGGAGACGAGCTTGGAAAATGAGGAACGAAGCTGGTGGACAATGATCCAGGTTTACGAGTACTACATCTCCCACCACCTTGCAAAAGCCTTCGAATCACTCTTTGGCAGCGTGACCTGTTTGCCGGGATGGTAAGTAACGAACTTGTGATGACCTTTTGCTCCGCCAGCTAACTTGTGAGTAGTTTCTGTATGTATCGTCTTCGAACAGCTGACAAAGGTCGACCTCTCATCATATCGGACAAGGTGATTCAAGAGTATGCTGACTGTGATGTTGACACTCTTCACAAGAAAAACCTGTTGTCGTTGGGCGAGGATCGATTCTTGACGACTTTGATGATGAAGCATTTCCCGGCTATGTCCTATAAATTCGTCCCCGATGCCTGCGCCTGGACCGCTGCTCCTGAGACATGGTCAGTCTTGCTTTCGCAAAGACGGCGATGGATCAATTCCACCATCCACAACTTGGCAGAGCTGGTCTGGTTGAAAGACCTCTGTGGTTTCTGCTGCTTCTCGATGAGATTTGTCGTCTTTATCGACCTTTTCGGTACCATCCAGCTTCCTGCCACTTGTGTCTACCTCGGCTACCTTATCTATAGAGTGGCGGCTCACGAAGGACAATTCCCTCTCATCTCAATCGTGATGATTGCTGCTACGTACGGTCTCCAAGCATTAATCTTCATTCTCAAAAGACAATGGCAACACGTCGGCTGGATGATTATCTATGTCATCGCCTACCCTATCTACAGTTTTGTATTGCCCATCTATTCCTTCTGGAACCAGGACAATTTCTCGTGGGGAAACACCAGAATTGTCATTGGAGAAAAGGGAGACAAGAAGGTGGTTGCACTACAAGACGAAGGATTCGACCCCAGATCCATACCATTGCAACGGTGGGACGACTATGCGGCCTCGAACAACTTACCTGGACGGCGTGGCAACAACGACAACTTTCACGAAAAGGGCTTCGAGGCCGGATATACGGACGACCCCAGCATGATGGAAATGGACGATATGCACTCGGTCTATTCCTCGGTGAAGCCGGCGAGCACCATTCTCGCAGGATTTCCACAGCAGCAGCATCCTTTCATGGCGCCACCTCGGTCACCGGCGCCATTTGGGCTGAATAATCGTGCTAGCACGATGACGGGTTTGACCCAATTCAAGGATCAACCTGTCAGCGTCCACGGGCGCAATATGAGCATGATGAGTCTAGGAAGCCAAGGACGTCTCAAATCTCCGTCGCCAAACCCGTACCAAGACAACAATCCTCGAAGTCCGTATCAGAGTGGTTACGGCATGCCAAATTCGGTCAGCAGACCTAGCCTGCTTGGTATGGGCGTTAGTCGACCGGCATCTACAGTGATGGACTTCCGCACTGTGCCGACGGCTGGCCCCAGCGATCAAGATATGGTCGAAGCCATTCGAGCGGTGCTGAGCGAAGTCGACCTCGATACCGTAACGAAGAAACAAGTTCGAGCTCTCGTCGAACAAAGACTACAGTGTGAAGTCCCTGCCGGTGATCGAAGGCAGTTTCTGGATAGGGCGATTGACACCGAGTTGGCGAACATGTAAGGAATTTCTGTGTTGGAGCATCAATTGGAAGGAATAGAGAATGGCGTAATTGCAACGGACGATAGAGGAACTGGGAAGCTCACATATTTCTTGGTGGGTGATGTACGTCATGGGAAGCTAAGGCGTTGCATATTTATCAGTGTGGATGGGGAAAAATGGGAAACTACATGCACTGTGTGAGATGATGTACACTCATTCACATACACAGCGACGTGATAGGATATGACGGCGGCAGAAGCAGCAGGTTTTATATCGATCTTGCGAGCATACAAAGTGCAATAATGAACGGTTTTTAAAAGATCATTCGAAAGGGCCTGTTTGGAGACTCTCACAGGCCTGAGCCATAAGGAGTGTATATATTATATATCCCTAACTGTGCTTTGTCCCGTACCATTTTCGTTCAGGAAAGGGAGCGTCGCGGGAGCGACGGCAAAGTACGGGGAGCGAGTATTAGTTAGACGAGCCGTAGGGAGCTTGTCTGACTTAGTTACTGCCCCATTGAGATCCCACATGGCTGCTGTACGGGTCCTCAACCGGGTTCTGGCACCAAAAGCGACAATCGGGCTTGACACACTCTCCCTTGCTGCTTCTCCAGTATAGGGCTTCTCGTCATTCCCGGCACACCTCTGGCAGCGGTTGTTTCGCGTCCAAAGGAAGTGAACCTTATTAAGCATGGTTCGGCGCCTCGCAGCAGAGACACAGGCTCCGAGGAAGGCCAGATTGAGAGAACACAACGCCTTGGTTCGGAAACGTGGCTGCACGGCGGTCGAGTACTGTATACTTCGCCAGCACCCTGAGCAGCTATGGATTCAACTGATACGACGCTTCTGCACAACCGGGCTACTCTGCGGCATCTTTATCAGTGATACTTGCGATCATCTCACGCACAATGGACAAAGAAGGTGTAAAGGACTCATCCAAGGTAACGTCACCTATTCACGTACGAGCAAAGGACGTGAACGGCTAGTGTGTCGGCACAGCTCCAAGCTTACAAGGCGACGGTGACTTCAAAATGTCTTCCAGTAACCACGAGGTCTCTAAATCCACCATGCATTTGGAGGACCAGGCCCCTGACGACGTCGTCTCGGTCGACAGCGGAACAAGAAAAGACATCAGCCCAATGACAATGCTGGCGCTGTGCTTCAACATCTGCAGTAGCTGGGCAGGATTCTTGACTAGCACCCAAATCGCTTTGCTGCAAGGAGGGCCGATGACCTTGATTTACGGAATGATGGTAACCGCGGCCATTTAATACATATATACCCATCGATGGAGATGATGACCATCAATCGCAGATGCGATCCAAGGAGATCTCAATTTCTCCTTAGGGGTGTCTAGTGAGTGAAATAGCACCAAAACGGATTCGTCCGGTACTCGCTTAAAGGCGCGAAATATACTATAGAGTGGAGTGGGAGGGCGAAAGAGAGGAAGGGAATGGAAGAGAGCGGACGAGGGAGCGAATCGACTACATGGTCGTTGGCGGGGGAGCAAAGCGGTGGGTACTGGGTCAGCGAAAGAGTGGTGAGCGAAGACAGTCCGGGGTTTTTACATATGTATTTTCAATATATCCCCCGTTGGGTGTTGGGCGACACGCACACACGCGAACTCTTTGTTTATCATGGTTTCTATATGACCACATTTCATGTTGGCGTAAAATACTATGAAATTACCATGGAGTCATCATAAGATAGATACCCTGATGAACGCTTAGGTACGTGAACGGTTGAAAAAGTACTCCGTACAGGAGGTGAAGCGCCAGCAGCAGATCAGAGGAGTAATACCAACACGCTCATTTATTCATTATCATCCACTGACAACGGTGGACTTTGGGCACGCAGTGCAGAGCAAGCCCGAGTACAACCACTGTGTCATCGTATTCAAAGATTAACTAATTCATCCTTCCCGAGCAGGGAGGCCATGGGATCATCCTCGGCCACACGATTCCTCTTGTACGACTCGAGTTCCTCTTCTGAGATGCCCGATTGGAGTTCTTGGAGGGTTCTCTTTTTCGCCCTTGGCGGTACAGCTTTTGTCGCCGCCGTCCCAGCCTGGTCATTGGCATTGTCCTCCACTGGTAGCTGTTCCCGCCTCGAGTCACGACTCTCGTGAGATTCAGCCTGAGCTTGCTCCTCCCCGGCACCATTCTCCAACAAGAGTGTCTCGCCGGTTCTTCGACCCTCGGCCTCTTCGAACGCCAACAACCCTGCTTCGCCTGTGCAGTAGCTGTTCTTGACGGTGCTGTGGCAGCACGCATATCCCCATGTGAACTTGTGCCACCAACTACCCCACACGCTGGTGTGGTTGTTTGTGAGAATATCCTCGGGGTACTTTGACCTCGACACCGTCCGTTCTTGGCCCTTGATGTGTCCTGATTCGTCATACTCGACATAGCGTTCGGAGGACACAACCTGGGGGATCTTCTTGGCTTGCGATGCCTTGATGTATTCGTCGCCGCCGTACTTGTCCAGCAGGGCCTTGCGGGCTGCGGCTTTCTTCTCGGCCGACTCTTGGGTCTGCTTTTTCCGGAGGATCTCGCCTTCGGTCGGATTCGCTTGGAGATGGAGTTTCTTGGTCGATGAGCCGCCTCCAGACTCCTGTGTCTCCCATGCGTAGCGCTGCGCTCGCTCAAACTCGGCAGCATCGTCGGTCGCAGGACGCACGAACCCGTCGGAGACATCGACTTCGCCATTGTTCGACAGCTCGGGCGCCGACGTGTCCATCGTCCGCGTCTTGGGGTCGTATCTGGCGGAGTCGAGGTCCAAATTCTTCAGGTAGTTGGCCGTGTCTTCACGCAGCCGCAGTTGTCGGGTCGATGTAGGTTGTGAACGACCCATGTCCGTCTCTTCGCCGTATTTGGCATCTGCGTCATCGGCTTCTGTTCCGGCGTCGGGTGTTGATGTTGTTCCATTGGAAGTGGCGGCGCTCTTCTTGAGGGCTTCGAGATCTTCGTACTCTTTCACGACTGCGGCATACTCGCGTGGATCGTAGCCATTCCAGCGATCTCGTTTGGCGTCCCAGCCGAGTTTTACGTCTTCTATCACCTCGTCGGCTTGTATGTCACGGCCTGTCCAGCGCGCGCCAGCCTTGCGAGGCCGAGAAAGACAGTCTTTCGTCTTGTGTGTCATGGCACCGCAGTTCTCGCAGGCGCCTTTGCGGAATTTCGTCGAGGCCGGCCCGGCTTTGCGCCCGCGGTCGTACCATTTCGCTGTGTCGAGAGTGTCTTTTGATGCGGACTGCAGACGCTGGTGTTCGAGGTAGTCGGCGTCTGAGCTTGTTTCAGCCCAGAATGGTCGCTTGGAAATGAAAGACGGAATGTATTCGTTGCGAGACTGGTCGGGCCCGGAGGGGGGTTTCTTGGTCGACATTCTGAGGGTCCTAGGATTTCAAGACCATGAGTTGTGTGGAGTGAAGGGGGTGTATGGTGCTAGGTAATGCGGGCAGCACTGCGACGATTGGCAGGAGAGAGGAATTGTTGATGTGCTGGCGGATTCTGTATTGAAATCAGTGAAAAGGTACTTTAGAGGCGAAGAAAGAGTATCATGCAAGTGACGCCGCAAAATCGTTTCTCCGCAGGGACTTTAGGCACGGCGACTGCTCCTACTGCGGCTCCTGTTTACTGCTGCTAATTCTCCTGCTACTCTGACTTTGCGACTCCATGAATAAAATGGCTTCTAGGCCGTATTCCCCCTCTTGCTAGCCTGAGTCCGTTGCCATTTTGCCAGGCATTCCTACATGTCACAAACTGTGTTTGCTTGCAAACAAATATACTCTATGGGTGGTGCACTGCATGTGGCTGTACAAGCCATCCTTGGTGACACCACAAGGAATATGGGTTCTGTGTATAGAGTGCATGGTGTCTCAGCAATGCACCCGCGTGCAATGCCACACAGCCTCCTCCCAGGGTTGAATCGCATACGCAGGGCCAACCTGGATCAGACTCGAAAAGGTATCCGGCCTGACCAAACCCCGATCGCCTACTGCCACCAACATCTTCTTGGAGAAGAGAGCAAAACGACGGCGATCCTCCGCTGTCAGACTGGCAACATTTCTCACCACTTGAACCAGCAAATGTTTCTGCCTGAGTCCACGAGGACATTTATTTCACAGTCTTCCCATTTGCTCTCCATTTCTTGTTGAAAGCGAGATGCTTTCAAGATATGAGCTTTCGACTAGATACAAGTGTCCTGGTTGCTACTTCCCCTGTTGTACAGACTTTTTGTGCACCTAGTCTGTTACTCGTGCCGTGAAGGATTACCGTCGACGCGCACAGGGTTACAGACATGTTTCGATTCAAGAACGCCATTTCAGGCATTTCTGTAAACCACACCTCTCGGCCTGATCCCTCATTCGACGAACAATTGTCAGATGAATCAGCAGACCAAGTTCCACCTTTAGCTAGCACTGCTCTATCTACTTTACAAGATGCTATGATTTTGCCGTCTACCCCAGCTTGGCTACGAGAAGAGGATGACCGCGCGTCAACAAGGCACAGCCGTGCTTCTTCGATCGTCTCGACACGAACAAAGTATTCTATCAACTCGACGCAGGAGGATGCTCGAAGCATCAATATTGATGTAGGCGGACAACGTTTCAGAATTAGCCGGGATGGCTCAACCATTACCAACGATGAGCCTCCTCCGTACGCACCACCCGGCGATACAATCCGCTTTCGCAACGCAGAGAGCAATCAAGAAGGAGACATTGTGCTTCGTCAAGACATAAGTGGCTTGGAGCCAGACGTTGGAACGATTACGCCACGGTCCAGTTTCGTTGCGCTCAATCTCGAGCCTAGTATGAGAGCCAACATAATTGACCCTTCAGAATTTAGCATGCCGTCTCCAGTGGAGAGTGGCAAGCGTAGTCAGCGCTCATCATCTGTGAGCCTTGTCGAGAACTCAGACCCAGACACCAGCTCACACGAACGTGAGCCGCCTCGCGACACGGGAGACGCTCTCCAGAGCAGGACCACCTTTCGCCAGGCGGGTCTGCCTCCTATAGGCAGTTCCATCATGCCTTCGCGGAACCGCCGAAGAGGACTGTTCAATCGGTTACCATCCCTCGACACCTCCGGCAACAACAGACGTATAAACACCACTGGGACCGAACGCCAAGGACGGTCTTTGACCAAGCCATCAGATGGTCCTCTCCAAGTCCGATCTGCAGGTGCAATACTATCAACTGCACTAGATCATCATTCTCAGCCGCAGTCGCCCGACTATATTGGAAGGGATGCAAGTGCATCGTTTCCTCTCCCCAGGATTCAAGCAATGCAAACTGTAGATGGTGGGGGCTATGAGCTTCAGTCACAGGAGATGCCACGGATGGGGATGAGGTACAGTTATCACAGGAGCGATGATGCAACACCAAGTCATACTCCCCTTCCCATGGACACGGAGAATGACATCAGTCTTCACTATGCAAAGATGATGAGGAAGCTAGACTATACTCACAGGAAAGCCCTCCACCTCAGAGACCAAGAAATGGCCGAGCTGCGTGAGAGACTGCATGAGAAAGATACCGTGCTCCGACAGCAACTGCGGGCCAAAGATTTCCTGATTGAGGATCTGCGCAAACGGCTTTCCAATCTGGAAGAAAACATCGAGGGGATGCTCGAGAGGGCGAGAAACGAGGTCGAAGATCTCTGGGAATCCCGCTGGAAGGACCGTGATTTCCACCTGCGGGAGAGGATGCGCCGCATCGAAGAAGATGCACAAATGACGATTGACAAGCTTCGAGTCGATCACTCATCAAATGAGGGCAACAGCGATGGTTCTCTCACGCCTAGTTGACTCGAATGTAGAAACGTCGACATACCCATCGAGGCATAATGCGCTCGCGTCGCTGCGACGACGTCTGTCGGGGCGTCCGACTTGGGCGGTATACTCTCGCCCGAACGTGCAGTTTTCTCGAAGCAAAAATAATAATACTCTACACAATCACAAACTCTCACTGCGATAGATCACAATCTCACGCTGCAAAAACCAAAAAGTAACATAACCCGATGATCCGGTTGGGGTTCGATCCCAAGACCTTCTGCGTGTTAAGCAGATGTGATAACCAACTACACCACCAGACCAAGCACGAATTATTGACAGAAATTGGACCCATATAAATTATGACCTGATCCAAATCTACAAGCGGCTCGGCAAACTTAAGTCGTTGAGTATAATACACCGAGCTTGCTCCCGTAAGCACGAACTAACTAGTTAGGGACGACACCATTCTCCGTACACTCCTGTAATGCAAGAATAGGGACAGTACCAAAGAATGTTCCAGTCCACCGCCACTTTGTGTACTCTGCAAATCTCGCAGTATCGTCTTTCGAAGGTCTGTACCAGACGACAATAAGGCAGTCTGCACACGATTCCCATATCTTTAGGAACATTTACACTCGGCCTGAGGACCCTTGTTCTTGAGCGGTTGACCGTGGACCTTGGCCCAGGACCAGGACTGCCTTGCGATGTGCATGAGTGGCTTGCATCCTGCGTCCGCAATAAACTGGTTGCGGATACAATAGGGCTACCTCGTCCTAGTTTGACTATGTAGGGAGGTCGGCATGGATCCAGCGGTGTTGCATATAGAGTGCCCAGAACCCATCATTCTGGCTTCGAGGCTCTTAGAGCGACCGTACCACTCGTTCAGTCCGCCAAAGAAGACTTCAACAATAGCATCCAATCTTTGTCATCCTTCCACTCAGTATTCCGACAAATATGTGCAACTGATAGGCGCCTGATCCTGTCATGTATTTCCGCTGCAAACACAGGGACGACGGGTCTTACAGGTATAGTGTCCTGGATTGCGTCGCACTATATAAATGCGAACTGGCCAATATACAACATCCCCTCACATGTCTCTCGATGGTTCTCTGGAGACCGCCTTGTGATGCTTCCAGCCCTCGACTGGTCCAAGGTTTACTAGACGTGTTATCGAGAAGGAGAGATACCAAAGAAAACGGAGGACAATAACCTACTGAAAGTTCGTAGCGGGGACGATATCTGGAAAACCATTTACCGCCAGTATAAAGCCGTGCCCCGGTCAGGGGAGAAGGCGGCGGAGGAGCCAGACCCTATACCAGGTATGAGTATATATGACCTTTCAAAGAACTCGGGCACATCCTGTTGGAGAAAATCATCATTCCAGGTCGAGGATGCAAGATGTCGACATTCGGCGTTTGGTTTCATGCTAGTTCCCCTAGCGATGCTGTCGCTGTCATGACTTGACCAGTTTAGCAATCATTAGGAGATTGTGGTGGTCTCTGCGTTGTGGGTGGTCAAATACCAACACCGAGCAAGAGAATCAGTCGACAGGAGCAGCACTCCCTCTCGGCGCTACACTTCTGGTACCCTGAAGCTGGTGGGGATGCCATCTTCACTCGGAATTCGAATCATAAGTAACTACATGACCAGAACCACTCGGATCAACCAACCGGTTCAGTGGTGAACAGGTCCTCGAGGACTCAAGGGCACTGTGAAGCACTTCATTCGTTCTGAGGCAACCTGATAGTATGATAGTATCCATGACTGGACGTTCCTTTTAACCGGTTTCGAGTCCTTCGATCAATCATGATGCCGAAGCCTTTCCGTGGCGCATATCATTATCAATCTTGTTGGGAAGGACGGTTGTTGAAAGCTTCTGGTGAGAAGCAACGGTAGCCTTCGATTGGCCTGGTAAGCCTCAGTGGCCTGGGGCAGTTGGTGGTGTGCTCCCGCTAAGGATCAACCCACCAAAAACCCGGCGAAGTGGCCCTGGTGAGCCTGGGGCATCAAGGACCTTTCCTTCATAGGCGCGTTACGGAGTAGGCTGCTGTGGTTCAACGTTGTCGTCCCCAGAAACACTCCACCAAGTCGGGATGCAAGAGTTACCGATGTGCCTAACAAAATGAGTGACTTCATTGCGACTAATAAATTCCACCCCACGCATTTGCCCACCTCCTTTGCCTGCGCCGCTAATATTTGTCCATAACTGAGTATTTGCTCCGCAGGGCAACATCGCGATGCTGTCCGGTCACAACAGCTGACAACTACCATAACACACTTATTTAGCCTCTCTTTTGCCATCTTGATATCGATAGCGACTCACTTTTACGTCTTCCGATCTATTGTTTCACGTATCATTGGCAAACCAGTCTTCTTTACAGCCTTTGTGTGGTTCCGGGTCCGCTGTGAGCCATCTCTCATGCATTGAATCACTCTTTGCACTTACAAGTGATATCGATTTCGACCCGCTCCTGAGCGGCGGATCCCCATAACCTTCCCTTCAACAACCTTCCTGTCTCGGCGCAGGCGAACACAATTGCAGTCATGGACGGAGCAAAGGAGAAGCCTGTCAAGGCTCCCCGGAGAACCAAGAAGAAGCGAGGAAATGAAAAGCTGATACCATGGCTTTACGACCTGGTCCTCTGGGTGATGTCTGTCTTGATCGAGCTGTTCTTTCGTGAAGTACATCCACGCGGAGCATGGAAGGTCCCACGTACCGGGCCCGTTATCCTCGTCGCCGCACCACATGCAAATCAGGTAAGGATCCTTATCCGTGAACAGGAACAATCACTGAATGCCGGCAGTTCGTCGATTCCTTAATTCTCATGAGAATCCTCAAGACCGAAGCGAGAAGAAGGATATCATACCTGATCGCCGAGAAGTCCACACATCGGAAATTCATTGGAACCTTGTCCAAGGCCATTGGTGCAATACCAGTTGCACGCGCCCTGGACAACGTCAAGCCTGCTCAGGGCAAGATTTTCCTCCCAGACCCAGAGAACGATCCCACCCTTGTTAAGGGAATTGGCACCGACTTCAAGAATGGTCGATTTGAAATCGGTGGCCTGATTGTTCTGCCCAAGGTGCGTGGGCAAACACCCAGCACCGATATTGCCGAGATTATATCCTCCACCGAACTGCGCCTCAAGAAACCCTTCAAGACTCAAGAGGCGTTGGAATCGATCACAAAGCCTGCCTCAGATGGCGATTCAACCCCAGGTTGTTCATTCAAGGTCGCGCCGTTCGTCGACCAGACCAAAGTTTACAATGCCGTCTTTCAGGAACTGGATGCCGGTGGTTGCATTGGTATCTTCCCGGAGGGAGGCAGCCATGATCGGCCAGATCTACTGCCTTTGAAAGCAGGTGTCGCAATCATGGCCCTGGGAGCAGAGGCAAACCACCCTGGATGTGGTGTAAAGATCATTCCTATTGGCATGAATTATTTCCACGCACATAAGTTTCGGTCCCGGGCGGTGATCGAGTTTGGCCATCCCATCGAAGTACACCCTGATCAGGTTGCAGCATACAAAAGTGGCGATCGCAGGAACGCAGTTGGATCCCTCCTGGAAACAGTATACCAAGGTCTATTGTCTGTTACTCAGGCTTGCCCAGACTACGACACCTTGATGCTCGTACAGGCAGCGAGAAGGCTGTACAATCCCTGGGGCAAGAAACTACCTCTGCCTCTAGTTGTCGAGCTCAACAGGCGCCTTGTCAAAGGTTACACCAAATATCAAGATGATCCGAGGGTAGTCGCTGTCAAGAAGGATGTGCTCAACTACAATCGCCAGCTTCGAGCTCTTGGGATCCGAGACCATCAGGTTGAATGGGGCAACGCAGCCAAACGCCCGTGGTGGCTTGTGTTCGGCACGCTGATCTACAGACTCGGCGAGCTGTTCCTGTTGGGTATCGGGACTCTTCCAGGCCTGGCCATGTTCTGGCCGGTCTTTGTTACTACCAAAGTCATTTCGGTGAAAAAGTCCCGAGAGGCGCTAGCTGCATCAACGGTCAAATTGCAAGGTCGCGATGTCATCACCACTTGGAAACTTCTTGTCGCCATGGCATTTGCACCTGCGCTATACGCGTATTACACCATCATTGTCTCGTTATGGCTGGTATACAATCGAAGAGACGGCTATTATACATACCGAGTACCATGGTGGATGGTGGCTCGGACATATGTGCCAGACTTTGTCCCAATATGGCTCTTCGCAGTCTCTTTCCTCGTTCTCTGTATCAGCATCACTTTTGCGGCCTTGCGTATCGGGGAAATTGGCATGGATGTTGTCAAATCTCTGCCACCACTGTTTATTGCTCTAAATCCTCGTTCCTCGAGTCGAATTGCGCGACTTCGAGAAACCAGAGCTGCACTGTCCGTCAAGGTCACCGAACTCATCAATACCCTTGGACCCGAAGTTTTCCCTGATTTCGATGCCGAGCGAATCGTCGCTGATCCTTTCAGAGAAGGCGCATACCAGTCCAGTTACAAGAAGATGCCAGAGGAACCTAGGTTGTTGGACGGTGGCGAGCCAATGGCACCTACGCCGGGCGCGTTCGAAGCGACTTCCGAATCTCCGGTACAGAGGTCATTCAGCTCCATGCTACCATCGAATGAATCTTTTGGTAATATTGGTGGGTTTGGCTTCTTCGCCTCGCGACCTACAACCCCAAAGAGCCGAAGTAGAAGCAGTTCCGCTGGTGGAGCTCTCACCTCTGCTAGCATGCCGCTCAAGGCTCTCAGCACGCTGAATACAACCGAGAGCTTTGACGAGGTCAGTAAACGCATCAGGGGTGCAATGCGTGAAAGGGGAAGAAAGCGGGAAAGCGAAGGCATGGACACTGGAACTGAGAGCAGCTGGGACATGGCTTCCGAAGGGGATGAAGAGCCAAAGAAGGAGAAATGAGGATCCTTTCTTTCTGGCTCATTCGGCTTGCCTGAATGATGTTGATGTCGAGATGTGTTATGATTACCTAGGTAGTGACTTGACGGACTATTCGGAGACTCTGCAGAGCGACTTAATCATTCTTGTGATGTATGAGTTTAAGCGTCCATGCTATCATCGTATATGCATCACACAAGTCCCGTCAATGTATGGCCTGGATTTCCCAACATGTCTCCGTCGCTAGTATAATCATGGTTGTACTTAATATGTTGCTTACGAGAAGAGACCACCATTACTGTGTCTTCTTAGTGCCTGTTTTCTAGAAGCTCCGTCCACTATTAACTATCGGCAACTCGCACTGCGAATTGGTATGCTATGGATCCTCAGCCAGATCCAGAAGATTGTCGCACGACCTATGAAATTTCCAGACCGGCCCTGCTTCACATGCTGGCTAAGCCACCACCACCACAGCGCGAAGGGGCCAAAAGGCAGCTTCTTGCAGGTATAAATTGACTTTCGGGGAAGACGATAAGCTATATTTCTCATCTACAAGCTACAGCACACGGGGCATTGGAGGTGGAGCCCAAAACCTCCGTCACAAGTTAAAAAGCTCGACAAAATTGATAATGAGACCTCTGTTATCTACACGGCGATTCCCAAGTAATCCATGCAGGTTCGTCCTACTCCTGCAACGACAGTGTTCTCTTCGGTAAGCTATAGACTACCTCCAATGATGTCATGGCTAGGCCCCGATAACCGGAACAGATTTCATGGACGAGTTACCGCTTGAAGTTAAGGAGCAACAGCTAGGAGTCGAAAGCGAATCGACGATCCTCAACTTCATCCGCAGCATGTCGCACTGGGATCATAGGGGATGACTGTCTGCTCGTTGGCACCCTCAATGGTCTGTGCTCGAGGCCCCTGGAAACCATACCCGCGGGAAGCGACCAAGCTCGTGGCTGCTCTGGCACCGCGTTTTTGGTCGGCGAATGTGAACGTGATGCGTCATACAAAGAGAACGGCACGGGCAAAGATAAGCGGCCACCCTCCACAACCTCCTTCTAGCGCTTCCCTTGCATGGCCAGACCAAGCCGTGTCACACTGTGGTGCGCATACTCCCCTTCCGTTCGAATGTGATAATCTCTTTGAGGGTCACCTGCTCATGCATCAATGCATCATCGAACCAACCTGGAGGATGATGCTCGCGTGTACGGTGCCAGTCTCAGCTAAAATAGGTGTGTAACCATGGTGTTGTATGGGGAGTTCTCTCTTTGTGCATCGTTTCCTGGGCCGTCTAGGTAATTCAATCCCGGGGATGGGATGGTGGTGACCAACTGCAGCGGAACCACGGTGCGAAAGCCCCAAAGCCGCCTCAGGGGAAGCTACAAACGCAGATTCAAGGGTTCGAAGTGATACATTCAGCCTTTTCACGCAGCATCGACTGGGATGATGAGATTGGGTGCACGCCAGCCTCTCTAGGCTGCATCATGAGCCGAACTTGTGATGCTCGCCTCGGTGCCCGCTTGCAACACACCGCTGTTTGGGCCAGCGACACATGCACGAGAACACGAATCAGATGTGTGTGAAAGCCTGGAAGGAAGCAGATGCTGGCAGAATGCAAGATGCTCTAGCCAGGACCCTGATGTGAGCCCTCCATACCACTTTGCCAAGTTCCATCTCAGTGGCTAGCGGCCGCTGATGGCCTTCCCCGATGCGTTCGCTGGGTGAAAAAAAGACATGGGTCAGAGTGAGGCGAGCCCTGTTGGTCACCCAATTGCAGCGGGTCCCAATCGTGTGCGCGACGACCAGGGGGGTTCAGGCTGACAGCCATGCTGAACAGCCTGCAAATCCTCGTGACTTCGGGTCGGAGACTTGACCTGCAATACACGGTCGACTTCGCTGAAGCTCCAAACTGTGAAGATTATGTCAAGCATCTGGTTCTGGAATCAATGAACTGTCGCATACTAAAGTACCTAACGGGGTACATACTTACGCGGGGAAGAGGCTAGTTAGAGCGCCTCGCTGTCGATCTTGACATGATCCGCACACGGTGCAATCAACCAACCCATCAGTACGGATAGCTGTGCCTAGGATCGGTGCGAAAGTTAGCTCGACCCACTAGCCTCCCGGATTATGGGGGGATGTACTCCGTAAAGGTCGCCATTTACCCCGTTGTAGCCAAGCGCCTCGTGCGGCTTCGACGCTTCGACGCTTCGACGTACACCAGTCCCCATCTACCAGCCTTGCGCTCAGGTTGGGACTACCACATGTAGTTCAACTCAACGAGACAGCGTTGCAGGCCTCAACATCCCCTAACCATGCATGACACACTGGCTCTCGTCGACTCGTCGATCGAGCTCTGGACTCATGACGGCGGTGGCGCGTATCTCTGAGACGGATATGGAATGATTCACCCGTACAGCAAGGGTGTCCAAGGTCCAGGGCCTCTCTGAGTCTGGGCGTCTACTGGAGCGTCACATCCGAAATCGCTGTTCCAACATGTCAAGGTACATAAGAACGTCCTAGACCCCAAGCTCCATGTCTGAAGTCAGACTTGTGAGCCTGCGGGATATCCTCACTGACTACACCTGACTTACTAAGACATTATCTCTTTGATGCTTGTGGCTTCTGTCCATCCAAAGTGACCAATTTAAGCCTCAATATGGACGTTATCCTCACAGACAGATACGAAGCTCGTGTAAACTTTCTCCTTGCCAAGTATCACGTCCCGGGGATAAGCATCTCCATTACCAACGCCAATCGGACTGTGTCCAAAGGTTTCGGTCTCGCCAACGTCGAACCTCCTCGACCAGTGACAACCGAAACCATCTTCGACTGTTCACGGGCCGGCATGTCCCTGACTGCTGCAGCAGCGGCAACCCTCGTCGCAGACCAGCGCGTTCGCTGGGACACCCCCGTCCCAGAACTGCTCCCCGGGTTCAGACTCCACAGCTGGGATGAACCCAAATTCGCAGACATACTATGTCACAAGTCTGGCGTTCCGGGTCACCCTCACAGTATCATGAGCCAGACAGCCGAGCATCCAGACACGCCAGCTTCGGTCGCGAACAAAGCTTGCTATCTGGAGACGAACTCGGACAGGTTAGATTACTATAGCGACCTGATGTACACGACAGCATCGTACCTGATCGAACAGATCTCCGGGCAGAGCTTCGAGTCCTACTTGGTCTCTCACATTCTCGTACCATTGGGGATAGAGTCGACGTACCTCCAACCCAGCCGCGTGCAGGCCACGCATCAAGCCCACCACCTCGCCACCTGGCACGTGTACGAAGAAAATTCTCACAGCTACAAAGCCGTAGCGAGTCGAGACAAGCCCGAATGTCAAGGCGCGGGCATGATCTACAGCACAGCCGCTGAGTTTGTCAAGTGGCTTCGTGCTCAACTTAGACTCGATCCCGCACTTTTCGGGCCTAAGATGTACCGCACGCTCCTGAAGGGACGCACGTACAGCACTTGCCTCGATCCACGTCCTTTCATGACCCAGCCACAATACACTTTAGGCTGGAACGTCAGACACTACCGTAACCATCGTCTGGTGTATCAAGAGGGCATGAGCCGAGCAATGTTCGTGCCCGACGCCCAGGAGCCGTTTGGGTTTGTCATTCTCGGCAACAGTGCTGGCATAAAGTACGTGGCGGAGATCCTGGCAATGGAGCTTGTAGACGAGCTTCTCGGTTTCCCAAAGGAATGGCGTGGCCACTGGGAACCTTTGGAAGATGTGCAGGTGCAGTTCGAGCGCGATCTAGCCCTTTGGACATATGGGCAAGTGGAAGAACAAGCTCTCTCCTCCTGCCTGGATGGCTACAGGAGACCCAGTGACAAGTCGCAACAAAGGCGATCTACGGTCACACCATACCCACTGACTGCATACACGGGCCGATACAGACATGCCGGGTACGGCGACATCGTCGTCACGACCAAGTTAACATCTGCCACACTGGTTAACAATGCCGCCCCAAACGCGTCAGACATGGAGACCACGATGATCGAGAGACTCTACATCGACGCCACTGATCGTACAGTGCCATTTACTCTGACCCTCTATCCCCTCTGCTTCTGCGAATGTCAAGTCCACCGCGGTATCATGTCCAAGTTCCTCGGTCTCAAAGAGACTGACCAGCGGTCGGGATTCATTCACGTTGCAGCCGAAACGGCCCCTCGTCCTGAATGTCAAGCCGACGCTGAATGGGGCAACTTGCTTGAAGGGGAAGCCCCGATTATACAGGAGATTGGGTTGGATCTCTGCCTTGACCTTCGTACTCCCGACTTGGTCTGGTTCCGAAGGGTGTCCGACTAAGCGAGGAACCAAGAATGGTTTCCAGTCGTCAAGTTTGTTGATTCAGAGGGAGGGTTCCATGATGACTATCCTGAGACGGGCCCGGTCATCAGCTTGAGATATGGGCAGGCGGTATTCAAGAGAATTCAGTTCGAAAAGGATGGTAGATACACTGAGCTGGGCTTGGAGTCATAGGGGCGAGGCTAGCGAGCTTTCTTTGGCTTTGGCTTTGGCTTTGGCGTTGGCTTGTACTGTTTGTGATTACTTGGTTGAGGGTGGGTATTGCTGATGCGAGAAACATGCGTGGAAGCATGTTTCCACGCAAACTTTGGTATTGAATTTGCCTTTGTCGTTTCGTGTGAAATACCATTCATTGCGTTGCAAAGGTAAGAATCAAGATTAGAGCTTTACAAGAGATGTAGACTGGTCGCCGCCCTGGTCCTTTCGAAACCCGGGTGAAGTTGGAGGAATGAAACCAGAAGCACCCCGTGCCCGACCATTCCCGGGTGCCGGAAGCGACGGCCCATACAGAGGAGAGTGGGCTCCCTAGGCTGGCAGTCTGATAAGGACCTTTGGAGGATGTCTGGAGCATCAAATGCAGGATGATCTGGAGGTTCGAGGAGGAGGAAAGTGTGCGTCGGGAAGTGCAGTCAGCATTCTGACTCTACCACAGCTGCGTAGGAGATTATGAACCGTAGAAAGTCATAACCTTCGCCCTCGTCGCTTGCTCTCGCTGTTCCCTGGAACCTCCGCATCTCAAAAATCTGGTAAAAAGCCTCAACCCCAGATCCGGCGACGCTGATTGGTCCTTCCACTTGCCAGTCATTTCTCTAACTGCGTCAACAACGATCGACCCGACTTCGCCTTCCTTCTTTCATCTCTTGCTTCGTATATACCTTTGCAATCCTGCAGGCTCTCCTCTCCTGTCCTCTACTGCTCTTTCACTTGGTGGCTGGGTGTCTACTGTTGACTTTCGAACCTCGAAGATTTTCCCTTTCCTATGGAGCATTCGTTGCTGTATCATTAGCTAACCCTCCTCATCATGTATCGTTGCGCCACTGGGAAGCTCTCCCTGAGAGCTGTTCAGGCTTCAAAATCATATTCGACCTCTTCGAGCCCTCGCACCCTTGCCGGAGCTCGCCAGAATGCCCTGGTCGCGGGAAGAAAACCTTTGGCCGTCGTGGCTCGGAGCTCACTGCAGCGCAGGAGTTACGCCATGTCGGCAGAGGACACCAACAAAGGCGTCGTATGTCGACCTCGTCTAGAGGATTATAGCTCGTCTTCATATGCTATCATATGCTAAACTACCTTTCAGGACCCAAACGACTCCTTTCTCCAGGGAAACACCGCCAACTACATTGACGAGATGTACTTGGCCTGGAAACAAGATCCTACCTCAGTCCACGTCTCGTGGCAGGCCTATTTTCACAACATGGAGGAAGGCAAGATGCCCATTTCCCGAGCCTTCCAGCCTCCCCCCGGTCTACTATCGCAAGCCGAAGGGGCAGCCAGCATTGCCCCAAGCGCAGTCGCCGCAGGTGGGGAAGATATTAGCAAACATCTGAAAGTCCAGTTGCTGGTCCGAGCATACCAAGCAAGAGGTCATCATAAGGCAAAGACCGATCCTCTTGGTATCCGCGGCGAGGCTGAAGCCTTTGGCTATCGCAGGCCTAAGGAGCTGGAGCTCGACCACTACGGATTCACTGAGGCCGACTTGGACCAAGAATTCAGCCTGGGACCGGGTATTCTCCCGCGTTTCGCTACTGAGACCAGACAGAAGATGAAGCTGCGCGATATTATTGCTGCTTGCGAAAAGACCTACTGTGGCTCGTATGGCGTCGAATACATCCATATCCCGGACCGAGAACAATGCGACTGGATACGCAGCAGAATCGAAGTTCCCAACCCGTTCCGCTACACTGTCGACGAAAAGCGACGCATTCTCGACCGACTGATCTGGAGTTCCAGCTTCGAATCTTTCTTGGCCACCAAATACCCCAACGACAAGCGTTTCGGTCTGGAAGGCTGCGAATCTCTGGTTCCAGGTATGAAGGCGATGATTGACCGCAGCGTCGACTATGGTATCAAGGATATCGTCATTGGCATGCCGCACAGAGGAAGACTGAACGTCTTGAGCAACGTGGTCCGCAAACCAAACGAGTCGATATTTAGTGAATTTTCCGGAACCACTGAAGCTAGTGATGAAGGGTCCGGCGACGTCAAGTACCACTTGGGTATGAATTTCGAACGTCCAACTCCTTCTGGCAAGCGTGTGCAACTCTCGCTCGTGGCCAACCCGTCTCATCTGGAAGCCGAAGATCCAGTTGTGTTGGGAAAGACTCGTGCCATTCAGCACTATAACAACGACGAAACCAAGCATCAAACCGCCATGGGCGTATTGCTACATGGTGATGCTGCTTTTGCCGCCCAGGGTGTCGTTTACGAGACCCTCGGTTTCTATGCTCTCCCTGCCTACTCCACCGGTGGTACTATCCACATCATTGTCAACAACCAAATCGGTTTCACGACTGATCCTCGTTTTGCTCGATCTACTCCTTACTGTTCCGACATCGCGAAGGCCATTGACGCTCCGGTGTTTCACGTCAATGGCGATGATGTGGAAGCCGTTAACTTCGTCTGTCAACTAGCCGCAGATTGGCGCGCTGATTTCAAGAAGGACTGTGTTGTTGACATTGTCTGCTACCGAAAACAGGGCCACAACGAAACTGACCAGCCATCCTTCACCCAGCCACTTATGTACAAGCGGATCGAGTCCATTAAACCTGTGCTCGACAAATATGTCGCCAAGTTGTTGGAGGAAGGCACCTTTACCAAAGAAGATATCGACGAGCATAAGAAGTGGGTGTGGGGCATGCTCAATGACAGCTTTGACCGAAGCAAGGAGTATCAGCCCACTGGCAAGGAATGGTTGACCTCGGCCTGGAACGGCTTCAAGTCACCCAAGGAGCTTGCCACTGAGGTGCTTCCCCACCCACCAACTGGCGTTCCTGTAGAAGTTCTGAAGGAGATTGGCAGCAAGATCGGCTCTGCTCCTGAGGGCTTCACTGTTCATCGTAACCTCAAACGTATTCTCGCCGGCAGGAAGAAAGCCGTTGATGACGGTAAGGGCATCGACTGGGCTACTGCCGAGGCCCTTGCCTTTGGTACTCTCTGCTTGGAAGGTCACCACGTTCGCGTGTCTGGTCAAGATGTTGAACGTGGTACGTTTTCTCAACGTCACGCCGTGTTGCACGATCAGGAGACTGAATCGACATGGACCCCACTGAACAACCTGTCCAAGGAGCAAGGCGCTTTCTCCATCTCCAACTCATCCCTGAGTGAATTTGGTGTGCTCGGTTTCGAGTATGGCTACTCCCTGTCCTCACCCAATGCGCTCGTCATGTGGGAGGCTCAGTTCGGCGACTTTGCCAACAATGCTCAATGTGTGATCGATCAATTCATCGCATCTGGTGAAGTCAAGTGGTTGCAAAGATCTGGTCTTGTCTGCTCTCTGCCTCACGGTTACGACGGACAAGGACCCGAACACTCGTCCGGTCGCATAGAACGATATCTTCAGCTATGTAACGAGGAGCCTCGAGTGTTCCCGTCGCCAGAAAAATTGGACAGACAACACCAAGATTGCAACATGCAGGTGGCGTACATGACCTCGCCTGCCAACTATTTCCACATTCTGCGGAGACAAATGAATCGACAATTCCGGAAACGTGAGTCTTTTGCCCTTTTTGCTTTCGGCTGACCAGCTAACCTTGTCTAGCATTGATCGTTTTCTTCTCGAAATCGCTTCTGCGACATCCTATCGCGCGTTCAGACCTCGAGGATTTCACTGGCGAGTCTCACTTCCAATGGATTATCCCGGATCCAGAACATGGTAAGGGGATCGCTGAACCTGACGAGATCGACCGTGTCGTCATCTGTACCGGTCAGGTCTACGCTGCGCTGTCCAAGCACCGTGCCGAAAAGGGCATCAAGAACACCGCAATTACCCGCATCGAGCAGCTCAACCCATTCCCCTGGCAACAACTCAAGGAGAATCTCGACACCTACAAGAACGCAAAGACCATCGTTTGGTGTCAGGAAGAGCCTCTCAACGCGGGTGCTTGGAGTTTTGTTCAACCACGTATCGAGACTCTCCTCAATGCGACTGAACACCATAACCGGAGACACGTTATGTATGCAGGTCGCGACCCTAGCGCATCTGTCGCAACAGGTCTCAAGGCCAGCCACGTCAAGGAAGAGCAGGCATTGCTCGAGGAGGCTTTCAAGGTGACGCAAGACAAGTTGAAGGGCGAGTGACTGGTCGGAGATGTCAGTGATGGCGTTACAGGTGCGACTGTGCTTGTATGAAACCGTCTGGGCGTCTCAATGCGGTGAGTTGGAGGTAAGCTGTCGGGAGCAAACGTATTCATGAACAGACAGCAGAAAAAGGGGACGAGTGGTTTGGAAAGAAAGAAGTGCACCAAAGAATTTTGCATTTTGTATTGTATTCCACCGAACTGTGCTGCTGGGAAGATTACCATTCACGTGATATGCATGGATGGAAGAAACTAACGGTCTCCATACATTTGGCTCCTTGAGTGAGCCTGTATTAACTAGTACTACTCACTCAGCGTTTTTTTGGCATGGTGGTGGCAGTGGTGCTGAGTGTTCTTTGTTAGTAGCTGTCTGTCCATTATTGATATCCCTTGGTAGTCAACCTAGACACCGCTTACGCTGCGTAATGTTGATGAGGGAGACGAGATAGCGCAATGTCTACACCGTAATAATTGATGACGCATAAGGAAAACAGATCGTACTACTGCCGTCTCTCGACTGGGCTATTTCCATCGAAGACCTGATAGCTTGACGTTGTCCTCGTTGAAGTCTGTGATACGCGGAGGGAAGTTGTTGTATGTTACGTCCGCTAGCCTATGAGGAAAGCTCCCTCAGGCGTCACTATGGCATGGTACAGCTTGCACATGTTCCTCCTATCAAGAGATCGTTGTAACAACGACAACAAGAGGAGAAACGGTGCCGAAGGAAGGGAAGTCCTGAATCCGCACAAGGGCCTGTTCCTTCCACGGGATGGCGCCAAGAAATGATACTGTTGCCGGGGTTTCGGTTGCGACCCACACAATGTAAACAAGCCCGAAACCGGCCATGCGCAGCCATGATCATTGTGTCGTCCATGCTCTTGAACATTCGGTTTCTCGTACCAATGGTTGACTGTATCTGATCAGGCCCCGTGCGCCAACGTATGAATTCTTATTCAACATGGCTCCAACGGTTCAACAAGTCGCCCAGATATTCGAGGATGCTGCCGACAGCAACGAGCCTCAACAGAGAGGCCGCAGACTCAACCGCAACCGAGCACCATCCGTCGGCGATGTCTTGAGAGGGCGTCGAAAAGAGAATCGCAGCCCTACTAAATCGAACATAGCCTCTCACCGTGAGCCTGTCAACGCCGCAAGTCCTCTGGGAGAACGACACATCAATAGTCCTCCCCAACCTAAGATCATTCCTACAAAGACCGACGACGTGGGCGTATCCCCTCGACGACCTCTCCACAAGAAAACAGGGAGCTCAGTGTCCTTGAAAAGCCTGATACGAGGAAAAGAGAAGAGCACCACGGAATGTGGTAGTGTCTCACCAACAGAAGCAGAAGCATCAGCAATCGAGAAGAAACCCAAGAAGATCAAATCAACGGCCAACCTTTCTGATCTGCTCAAGAGAAGGTCAAAGAAGGACCTCAGAGAGCAAGCAGACAGCCAAGAACACAATACACTACCCTCACAATCTGCCATTGAGACCCCAATCTGGGCTCAGTTCGCAACCCAACCAGTCGGTAGCCCAGACGGCACGATGCTTTACCCGGGGTCGTCAAGAAGGACTGTGGAGGAGGAAATCAGACTATACACGCCCCGAGACTTCTCAGAGTTTCGACCGGCAGAGCAGAGAAACTTTTACGGCTACAGTCCAGCGACGCCTTCATCTTTGGATCACAAGCCACCAACCCGTCCTTTTCTGGAGCACAAATCTAGCCGAAGTTCAATCTTCACGGAAAATCTTGATGACGACGAGCCGCAGACCGAGTCGAAGACCCCCAAGAGTCGTGATCCGAACACCAGTCGACCAAGTTCATCCTCTGTCCCCGTGGACCGTCCCGCTCTTTCGACTCGCTCGTCAGAGTCGTCTCAGGCAGATACGAAAGCGAAAAGGGGATCCAGGGTGTTTGAGGTCATTCAGAACTTTAATTCCAAAGCTCGCCGTGGTGAGCGTAAAGCAGCTGGGACCGCACCGGGAAGCACACCACCGCTGAGTCCCCAGGAGATCGACACTGCATTTGAGAAGGTCTTGGACTCACTCAACATACCACTGAACATGCGCGACAACATGCGCAGTTTGAAGCCGGACGTCAAAGCGGGCCTGATGAAAAGTGATAGAATTGGCAGCAACTCCTCAACAGACACTACCAATTCAGGAGCACCAGAAGCCCGATCTCCTACTAAAAGTCCCACCAAGAAGGAGACTGAGCGACAAGGAAGCGAGGAAGAAGATGGGAAAGATGGCAAGAGATCTCGATCACGATCTCGGCCCCGAAGTCGCATTTTGACACTGTCGAAGCGTGACGACAGTTCCCCCACCAAGTTAGAAAAGCAAGGCTCGTCTTCCAGATCTCGTAGCAAGAGCAGGAACAAATCAGCCGACCTGACAAGCTCAAGACCTACGTCTGCACGTGCCATGACATCCACGACGTCGCTTGCCTCACTAAATCCGGCAGACAGTGCTACGACTCCAGGGGATTTTATTCACTATCTCCGGGAGGTTCAGAAGCCGGAACTGGTCGAGGTCAGCAAATTGCACAAGCTTCGCATCTTGCTGAGGAACGAATCAATCAGCTGGACGGATCATTTCGTGACAAAAGGCGGCATGGATGAACTTCTCAAGCTGTACTACCGCATCTCCAAGATCGAATGGCGAGAGGAGCATGAAGATAACTTGCTTCACGAGACTTTGCTCTGCTTGAAAGGCTTGTGCACCACGTCTCTTGCACTTCGCCGACTCCAGGAAGTAGAACATGAGTTTTTCCCAGCCATATTGAGCATGCTGTTCGATCCGGAACGGAAAGGACCTTCAGAGTTCAACACAAGAGGAGTGATAACATCGCTCCTGTTCGCTCATTTGTCTGCTGCTGCTATTGCAGGTGACCAGAATCAAGTCAAACTACGGGCACAAACCGTGCTCGGATTCCTCAAGGATCCAACCCCGACAGATGGAAAAGAGCCATTGGACTTTGTGTCCCAGATGCATGTGCCCCGACCATATCGCGTTTGGTGCAAGGAAGTTGTTAACGTCACCAAAGAGGTCTTTTGGATCTTCCTGCATCATCTCAACGTCGTCCCCGTTCTAGAGGCCGATGAGACCAATGGCTATCTTCGTGCGCACTATCCGGCCCCGAGGCCGCCGCACCCAGCAGCTCCGTATGTCGGTGGGGTCGAGTGGGAAGCAACGCAGTATCTTGCAATCCACTTGGACCTACTGAATGGTCTCATTGCTGCTCTGCCGACGGCAGCCGATCGCAATGCACTGCGAGAGGACCTCAAGCAGTCTGGATTCGAGAAGATCATGGGCGGAAGTCTGCGCACGTGCAAGGAGAAGTTTTATGGTGCGGTTCATGAAGGACTGAAATGCTGGGTGTCGGCGGCAAAGGCAGATGGCTGGCCCGTCGAAGACGTGCGGGCCGGAGCACCACGAGAGGCCGCGAGTCCCCGGAAGAGTCCTATGAAGAAGAAGACAGAGGAACCGCCTCGACTTGCCCTAGATGTCGGGGTCGGTCAGGTACAACTTGCGAAGGCTGACGACTGGATATGATGACCCTCACGAGGTGGAATGCAAGTTTCGAGCCGGCGTTCTTCTCTCGGCGACAGGCTGTGATGCGTGATGGAACTACATCGATGAAAAAAAAGGGAGGGGCAGCAGCGTGATCTGACGACTCGCGTAACACAATTGCGCTCCCTATTGATCATGCTGATATTTTTTCTTTGTCTGCCGTTTCGTGTCAGTGGCGTATGAGCGGGTTCTCTGGACTATCGGGGATGGTGGTATGGGCAGCCTAGTATGCCAGGTTATCCATTCACCAAATGTATGGACTTCCCTTCTGTGGACTTTGAAGGTAGTTTATTGTTTTATGAGAATGATACGAAGTCAATGATGAGTTTGCTTTTGCAGAAAAGAACCATGGGTGTGGCTCGGTCGCAGTTTTGCCCAAGATGGCGACAAGGACTTGTTTGACTCGTAGGGGGGGGCATTTGCATATGTACTGTAGGTATGTTTAATCTTGGGATCCGATTAGATCACTCGTACGGAGTACCTAACTATATATACATACCCCAAGACCTGAGCAGGGATCGAAAGGTCACCGATGGATATCCAACCTCTTGATTGGAATTGATGAATTGTCCACATACTTCCATGTCAGAGACTTTCGGATCGGTCGTGTGTCCTCTGTATCTAGATGGTGGTAGGCCGCGCAGTACGCATTTCGGATTAGACCACGTGTGCAGGCTTCGCGAGTGCGAGTAAATGACTAACTGATTACTCTACGTCGGTCAGTACCGATAAATAGGCTCACCAGGCTCCGGCCGTCCATGGGCCGTCGGACGATAGACTTTGTACCCCGGATGGAGAACGGACGGATACCGTACGGAGTACGGAGTACAGTACGGAGATTGCAACTAGTTAACTAGCTCCATTTGGCCATTCCAGAACAAGCAGGCCTGAAAAAAAAAACTTACCATTAAAAAATAGTACATACAGTACATAAATGGTGTACGGAGTAGTGAGCCTGATGATTTTCCCGAAATGCCAATTTCTAAGTTCTCCCCGGACCGCCTCTGATCTCAACTGACAAACGCACTTTCCCATGCACCTTTGCCGTATCGCTCTCGAATCGAGCATCATCGGATTCTTTCTGTACGTCGAGTCTCGTTCTCGCCCCTTCTTCACTCTGATCGCCACCACCTCGAGCCTCGGGGCCAGATGGGTGGTGTCACTCTTTCACTCTCCACTCTCCACTCTCCACTCTCACTCTCGTTCCGAGTCTCACTCCCAACCTCCACCGCCAGTCGTCACGGAGGCCCCATGAGGAGCTGCTGCTGCTGCTGCTGCTGCTGCTGCTGCTGCACCTGCCACATCATCTGCTGGATCAGCTGCTCCCACCTCACGCCCCAGTGCCGTAAGTTGGCCAGGTAAATCCTCCTCGCGGCGCGGTTCGACCTGTCCATGTAATCGGGCATGGTCTCGTTGTGCGCGACGTCTCGGAAGTTGTCCTGCTGCCACAACACCCTGATTATGTCGATCGGGTGCGTCCAGTAGGGGACCCCCGGGACGCGACGGGCCAGTTGTGTGTTGAGGCGGAGGACGAACGCACTCTCGTGCTCATTGAATTGCTGTTCTCCGGTTGTCCGGGGGAACATGACGCCCTGGATCTGGTTGAATCTGATGAGAATGTTCAACACACGTGTGCGCTCGATGATGGTCAGTCTCTCGAGTCGCTGCAATTCTGTCTCTGGAGGAGGACGACCGTTCGCTGGAGGCTGCTGCGGCTGCGGCTGCGACTGCTGCGGCTGTCGTAGCTGTTGCCGGAATGGAAATGGTGGAGGAGCAAGGTCCCGGTCCTGGCTGAGTGAAATAGAGGAAGAGCGATGACGGCGACGAGGAAGAGGAGGTTGTTGCTGCGGCTGCTGTTGCTGCGGCTGGACGGAATATTGCTGCGTTGCCGGCGCAGAAACCCGTTCTGGCGCGTTGCGATTCGGAGATGCGATTGCGCTCGGTCTCTTTGGGACGGGGTTCCATTTCTTCTTCGTCTGTTCCTCGTACAGAGCCTTCTTCTCCCTCAGCACTCTGGCCTGGAGATAGTTCCACGGCCGCGATCCAGCGCCATGGTTGCGGGCGTTGGCCGGAAGGTTTTCAAAAATCCGCTTGGCTTTCCACCCTTCCGACGCAAACAGGCGAAGCCCCGTGCCCCAAACGTGGTTCGGGTACCAACGGCAGATCTCTTCAAGAGTCAACCGTGCTGGGATGACTCGGGTTGCAGGGGGATATCCACGCCAGGCATCGTTGCCCGCCCTGCCCTCCTCGACGACAAGGTTGTACATTGTCCTGGGCGTTGTTTCGTCTCCGAACAGTGCCATCAGATTGCTTCCGGCGTCTGCTCCGCTCCCAATCGTTCTTGGCTGGTTGGGGATCGCGTGGTCATGGGCCAGTCTGACATGGCGACCTGACCGCGTGAATTCTGGCAGAGCCTCACTTGCATTGAGAGGTTGCCCTGTTGGCAATTGTCGGGATGAAGGTCGGTCTTGAGCGGCATCTTCTCCTCGCTCAACAGATTGTACGGCCTCCGTCTCATCCTCATCTTCCATCACGCCCATCTGGGCCGATCTCTCTAGGTTGGTCTCATGTCCAGCGTCGCCGGCTGCGCGCTGGTCGTCGCCATTCAAGTCCTGTGAGGTCTGATTGCTTGCCATGATGGTGTATGTGGAGTATGAAGTTGATTGTTTGAAGAGTAATCGGACCGCAAGAGCGACAACAGAGACCGAGCGACAAACCAGTTTTATCGACCAGAGTGATCGATCTGTGAGTGAACGAAATTTGCAGGACTGTGCAGGACAACAAGGAATTCACTGCCCTGAGAGTCAAGTCGCGCCAAGCGGTGTAGGTGTATTGTGCAGTGCAAGTGGCAGTGAAATCGCGGCCTTGCCAACATGGTGCAGCTTGTGAGGGCCCGGTAAAGCATTTTGAAAGACACGGGTTTCGAGAGGAAAAGAAAAGGGACTTTATTTTTATATAGCAAGCAGCACTCGACAAACCGACTCCTTGCCGTCACCAAATTGTCACTGTTGTCTATCAAACAAGACCCTGTTGGGCACGGTAGCCGCGGGCACCAGACGAAGAACGAGGGCATTTGATGACCTTTCTGCTTCAACCGGGACGTCGCTGCCATTGAGAATATCCGCGAACTGCCGCACCTGGCCAAACGTATTGCCCACGCCGATGGATGGCTGTCTGGCTGGCAACGAAATTGATCATCAAAGAGACAACATGCCCCGAGTAAGCCTGTGGAGGCTTGTTTGCCAAGTCAATGCGGTGGTACGTTTGTCATCATGCGATGGCCATAACCGCAGGAGTAAGAGATGTGAAGAGGGCAAAGAGGCCACCGAAGAGAGTGCTATCTCTCTACTTGTACCTAGCACACGGGGGGCAACGTTTCCGAACAGGCTGACGACCATTTCGAAAGTTGGCTCTGGTTGATGTGTGCCGGACTAGGGAGATGGGCCAAGGAGGACATCTGGAAGAGATCAAATCTGGATCCAGAACGTTCCAGACCAGACGTTCAGAAGAACCAGCGTGGTCACACACTTATGGCGAGGTACGTTGACGTCTGACCTCTGAACTTCCTGGGGAGGCATGTATGTACCAAGGTACGTTGCACGTGGTGTGGCGCGGTGCAGGGCGTCCGGGGTAGTAGATGCCTTTGTCCCGGAAAGTAGGCTCAACGTGACCAGACCACTGCCCATCCGTACAAATACCGTGACCTCCAGGGGGTTTTGGAGTCTGAGTCTGTGAATCTGTGGAGTGATGGATAGCCGCCGCCACGACCACCGCCTTGAATCTTTGTGACGAGCTGTGCCCACATTAACCGTCCATCGGATACAGGGACCTGGGTGACTGTGATGGATCTGTTGGGTCGTAAGGGAGGGTATGGCAGGAGACCTGTGAAGGTACCTATGCACCGTTGAACGGTAAGTAGGCAGGTAGGCAGGTTTGAAACACTGATGCATGCGCATGTACTTGTGAAACATCAAAAACACAACGGTTTCCATCATTCCTGTTCTTTTTGTTTAGCTTTGGTGCGTGAGATGGATGGACACGGAAGAGAATCGGTCAAATCGAACTTCGACACAAAGGGAGAGACGAATCTCTTCCCATCCACCATGGTCAAGCTTGTTTTATCTCTTATCTTGCGTTGGTTGTGATCAGCGCCGAGACGTCAGCAACAGCAGCAACAGCAGCAACAACAACAACAACAACAACAACAGTGCCGAGACGACAACAGACTTGCGTGCGCAAAACTTGATACAAAAAATCCCGTGAAAAGTCCCAAGTCCAAACTCAAACTCAAACTCCTCAAACTTAAGCGGTCCCTCTCTCTCTGACTTGTTGACAACGGGCAGGAAAAGGATGCTTCACAAAGTAACAAGGAAGGATATGGTACCAACGGGGGTTCTCGAAACCTCTTAAGACAGTTGTCATGATTCATGGTGTAAGGTACCTGCGATACGAGACAACAAGCTTGCGCCAATCATCCGCACCTCGACGATTCAACCACCTTGGACCGTCATCCGCTGGCAATTTGGGTTCGTTTCAACGCTCAACAAAAAAAGCAAAGTAAAATTCACATCAATCCTCATGCCGTGGTTGTTCTGTTGCCGTCCACCTCACCATATCCTTCAAAGAGCACCCTGGACGAGAATTTGCAACACCTTTATCAGTCTGGATAACCCCAGTTCTCTCACGCACCTCGAACGAACACTTGCAGTCACGGCGGGATCCGTCTCAAAGATGCCCGTTCGTTCACCCACCTCGGACGAGAACTCGCAACCATTCCGGGTCCGTCTCGAGGATCGCTAATCCTTCAGGGCTCGGTGGAAGCTCAGTGGTCTCACCCTGTTCATCGAAGCCGAAAAACGCCAGTCCGCTAGGTTGCATGGTTTCCGTGGGCGACGTCCCGATAAAATCTGTCGAAACGTTGCCGGAGACGTTGGCCGCTGTCCACATATCTGGAGTGATCGCCGTCCAGTCCTGAATCGAAGGATCCGTTCTGTGCTCTGGATCCACAATCTCGACGAGCTGACTCGGCAGTAATCTACATCAAATTAGTTCAACCGCGAATTTCATAGCGGGGGCGCGGTGGGCCGGTTTGACATACCCACAAAACTGCCCAGGCCCTCCGCCGCAGCGAAGTTGATGGGTCAAGTCAGGATCCACAGGTATCTCGGGATAGGCGAAGCCCGTATCTCCAGTCGCAGTCAGACTAGACGTCACCTCGTCGTCGCCGTATAGATTTCCCTCGGCGTCGGCGGCCAAAACTGCGGACTGAGAAGCCAGCGCCGCGGCCAATTGCTCTGGCAAAGTCCACGTTGGCTCAAAGACCTGCTCGACAGCGTTACCGTCAGGAATATCCTTACCCGGCCAAGTGGTAGGGATCTCGCCAACTGCGAGAAGGACCTGATTGATGACTCGAATCACGAGTCCGCGGTGATGCCGATCAGGTGACAACTCTGGACATGCACCGACATGTTTGGCATGCGACTTCAGAATCGTCGAGATGGTGTGGCGTTCCTCCAGGATCTGGGAGGTGGCACGCTTGCGGTCCACGATCCACTGTCTGACCTCAGGATTGAGTACCTTCTCTGTCAACGGCAATCGGGCGTCCGTGGTCAAAGGATCATTGGCTTTCCGCCTCTCCATGACAGCTTCGATCTTCTTTTCAACCCAACTCAAGTACGCCGGGCAGGTCCAGATGGCTTTGTACTGGAGGAATGTTTCTGTCGCGGCATTGACGGGGATGTCAAGCATGGAAAGCGCCCAACGCCGGCGTTGCTCGTTGCTGTGCGTGGCACAAAGTGGGTCTGCCTTGATGATGGTTGCACAGTGTGAGATCTGCTCCATGAAGCTGAGGCCCATGATCTTTGAGAAGATTTCTAGCTCCGGGTCCGGGTCGGTGCGTTTCTCAACCTCGGGCGTCACATCAGCAGCGCAAGACTTGGTGGGCATATTGGAATGAACGCTCTCATTTTGCTCAAGAAGTCCGTGTGACTGTCCGACTCCGAAGGGTGGCTGCCAATTCGGCTCGCCAAGATCTCCCAGGACTTTCTGCTGCAGGATAGACTTGCCATACTTTGCCCTACCGTCCTTCAGGGCTGGTCGAAGCTTTGGGGCTTCACAAAGAGCTCGGAACTTTTGAATGCTCATTCTGCGCACATGGGCCGCCAACCGCTTGAAGAGAAAGTTGCAACGATTGTGAGCAGCGCGGCATCTTGCGATACCCATGGTATGTAACTCTGCCTTGGCATGGTCGGTGAAGTATTTCCACATGTCCGTGGCCGACCAGCGCCACTGGAGGAAAGCCTCCAGATAGCTCCCGCGGACGTGGTTGGGATATTTCTCACATATCTCTTCCAGGGAGGCGGTGGCCGGGATAGGCTCGTCAAACTTGGGATAAGAAGGCAGCTCTGCCCATACCATCGGTTCATTGTCATTCCTCCTGTTGTACCAATAAATTCCATATCTGGACTCTTGCGGTCCACGGGGTCCCCACTCCCCGGATTTTTTGATCTTCCTGGGTTTGATTTTTGAGGGGTCGAATTGATCGAAGTTTGCGGGTGCAGACATTTGGGCTTTTGTGTGAGCTGGAGAGTAGACAATTGACTGCTGGTCTGCTCGCTGTAGAGCCATCGAGTCGTGATTGAAGGTCAGTGTTCGAGGTGCACAAAAGAATGATGAAGAACGAGGAATCATCTGGGAGTTGTAGCCGAAGTTATACCTTTGCGAGGTCACATCCTCTTGGGTCCTTCCAGTTCATGATTTCCGCATCATGTCACATTTGAGGCCAAGGCATGGTGGAAGAGCGTTATCATCAGGCATCACGCATGCACCGAGCAGCATCTGCAGAAGACATATCCTCGTCGACCATTATGCGGCCGCTCATTGTCAGCCAGCAATTGGATCAAATATGGTCGTTGCGCCGCATACCCAGGGCTCGTTCGTCCATGCCGTGCCATACCTTAAGGGGCAGCTGCGGCAGCATCTGCTTGATCACTAGGTCCATGGGTCATGCGCCCATTAGAAGATATCACAGTGTTTGACCACCAGGTTGCAGCCTTACGTCGTTGTGCATTTGGCTCACAAACGCACTATTGCATAGCCTAGCGCAAGTTGGCTCAGAGAGGCAGTGTCCGAGACAGGCAAGAGAGCTGAATCCCGTGGTCGACCAATTATGCGGCCGTCGATACCATTCCATTAGTGGTTCGAACATGCTACCTGAGTCGAGAGCCTGAGCACCATCAAGCCAGAGGGCGGCAAAGGGGGCCACGGCCCCACACAAAAGTACGCATAGCAAAATGGCTGCGGCATACCACGCTACCAGTGTCGACTTTGCCATGATGCGGCATGCGTCTGTCGTTGTCGACCGCTATGCGACCACATGTCATGACGTTCAGTCATTGGTTCAGATAAGGCCATCACATTTTGTCCCAAGCACAGCCTGATTTCACTGGGGGACAAATTTGGAGGAAAAGGTCGAATCGAAGCGGGTTTCGTATCTCATTCCACCAAATTCCTGGGTCATGAGGGCCCGGGCCACGGCTAGTGAGGCGGCACATCACTTTGTGCGTACCTGGGTAGAAGTGGTTGGCGCCCAATATGGCCATGCGGCATAGCCATCTTCTTCGTCTCTATCGGTGTGAGCATGCGGCATTCAGCCCCAATCTTTCCATAGTCGTCAAGCCTTCTACGCGCCTTGAGAGGACGAAGGGCGCTTGTTCGATGGTGGTCCCAAACTCTCTCCAGCTAGGCTAGGGTGTACCCCCGTCACAATCCCACATAGCGAACAAATCATCGCGTCAGCCACACTAGCCAAGGGCGATAGTCTCGTGGCACAGCGTACTCAACGCCGACGACGAAAAAGCATGAACTGCTCCGCGCAACCTCAATCCTGTTGCAACGCAGCTCTGTACACACCAGGAGGGCTGCTACCACAAGCCATTACCTTACTACCCAGCGACCCTGAACGACCTCCCCTCGCAAAAGACACCAGTAAAACATTTTCCGCCTGCAAGCGACGGATGATGAAAGCTTTCGGGTCCTGTGCGAGCTGGCCTGGTTCGGCTTGTCTGCCCCTCAGCGGGATCGTGTGAAGCACTAGAAAGCCGACCGACTTGTGCCAAAGCTTTGAGATCGTCTAGCGAGTAGCACATAAGTCTCATATCCCCGGAAGCTCTTGTCACCAATCGAGTCCTCCAGAACAGGAGTAGTCCAGTCCTGAAGGACTCGATTGGTGACAGAGCATTCAGGGGGCCGATCGAGCCTAAAGTTGCGGCGGACCACCCTTCGGGGAGCTCAGTGCCCTCCCATATCCCCAGTCCTGAAGGACTCGATTGACGACAGAGCTGTCAGAGGATATGGGAGGGGAGTCCCGACTGCTTCGACTTGCTCTCCGTCGACACCGACCAGAATCGAGAGAATGACTCGATCCCTTGCAGTAATGCATTCGTAGCCCAGTTCTGGAGTCCTCATTTGGTGACAGAGCTTTCGGGGGATATGGACCAGAACTGGACTATGAATGCATTATGCAAGGGATTAACTCGGGAGGTGATTCCTTCCGAAGGAGGAGGTGGGAATCGAGGGCCAAGTTGATGGCCAGGCAGGTTGCCTGTGCATGCGTGCTGATGTTTTTACGTGATCGAAAATCCCTGGTGGGGTTGTTAATGAACGGCCGCACCGCGCCCCTTAGAAAAGGGCCGGCCGTCGCTAACATGAATTTCATATCCCCTAAAAGCTCTTTTCACCAATCGAGTTTTCCCAGAACAAGAGTAGTCCTGAAGGACTCGATTGGTGACAGAGCTTTCAGGGGATATGGGAGGGAATGAGTTCCCCGAAGGGTGGTCCGCCGCAACTTTAGGCTCGATCGGCCCCCGAAAGGACGACCACGAGGCGGTGTCATTCCCCAAGAGGAGGATACCGAAGGGAGGGCCATGTCGAGAAGGATGGCTACCCTCCGCGGCTTACCCCCGGAGGTCTGAGGAAGAACATTAGCCAAAGGCCAGTCATCCACAAACCGCGTTTGAATCACCGAGCTGCCGAGGATAACATTCCCAGTGGGTAGGTCTGTCAACAATTCCGTGAGGCAAGTTACCCCCAGTTCACGGCTTTGATTCTGGGAGATAGTTTCCAACCTCGTATCTGAGTCGAAAAGGATCTGGCGTGCGGACAGCAGAGGAAAAGATGACAAACGCGCCCACGATCCACCTCGCTGGAGAATGATTCGAAGGCCTTGGTACCACTATATTCGAACGATGAAACTCAGTTAACATTACAAAGTTCCCTGATGTCGACCAGGTTTTCTGAACAAGTGCGATGGTTTCTTCTTGAGATATTCCTGGTCAGATAGTCGTCTGCATTATTCACATGATACCCCGAGCTTGAGACAGCTCACGAGACCTGCCCTAACAGTGGATTACAGAAGGAACGCTGATGGCTTTATGAGGCCGACTCGATGCCATTGTCGACCAGGTTCGAAGGAGGTTTTATTGGGTATTGTCTCGCATTGCTAGGAAAAAGGATTCGCCGTCATCTTCGATGCTGTTCAAAGAGAAAGGCTTGAGCCCTTGAAAAAAAGCTCAGTACTTCTGCAACCTTGGCCAAAGTTGACCTCAACTTCGGCTCAAAGAATGAACCCCGGGGCCGTCACTGATGCTTCCATCACTCATATCTCCGTCAGTCATTCTTCCGTCACTCATTCTTGACCGGCTTTCGAGGTGCCCTGGGATTGAGATCCAGATTTCCTGGATTGCTCTTGCCAAAGTACGGCTCGCCAATGGCGAAGCAAGGAACAATCTTGGGAGCGTTGATCAAGTCTCGCAACGCCGCACTCCCCATCTTCTTCCACCGACCGATGAGCCTCTTGTGAAGAGCGTTGCCAGGTTGGTTTGGGAACACTTTGTTCCACTCCTGGGTGATCTCTGGAGAGAACCTCTTGTATATGTCATTCCCAGTCCAGAAGTACTGGGTAAATGCATCCAACACCGATGGGAGCAAGGTGTGGTTGGGATATTTGGTGACGACGAGCTCCAGAGTCCAGTCTGTTGGCAACGGTTCCTTGCTTGCAGGGAACCCTGGTAACTCTTTTGTGGTGCCGACCAATTTGGCCCCTCCAAGACTCTGTCTCTTTCCAGCTGGTTCGCCTCCATTGGCCGGGATGTCCTCCTCCTCGTCATCTGGGCTCTTTCTCTTGGTGGCTCTTGCCCTTCCGATCACACCTTGCTGAGCTGGAGTGCTATTGGCGTGAGCCAGCGAAGGTCGATGGGAAGGAGCAAGAGGACGAGGGCAGAGACGAGGATGTACCGCTCTTATTGCAGGTGGCCCTCTCTGAGCAACCGCAGCACTCTGGCTGCCATTCTGTTGATCGCTGTTCGGTCCATTCGACTGTCTTTGTGGAACACCCACGCTGCTTGTGGCAGGAGCAGGATTAGAATGAGCCGAGGAGGGACGCCATCCACGGCGAAGTAAGTCTTCGAAAGACGGGAAAGGAGGAAGTCCTAATTCTGCAGCAACAACTATCAGATGCAGAGTTAGCCAAAGCAAATCCTGTGACAGGGGTTGAGGAGGACAATAAAGACTTACCACGGTCAATCTGGTTCAAGTCATCGATGCTGTTCAAGACCGACTGGATGAAGAAGTTATCGTTGAAATCTGCCATTTTGAAAGAGATGTCTACTTTGCTTCAATCCCGCCAGCGATCCTCGCGAATATGTCGTCGTCTTGATGTTGTACGATGAAAGGGAAGAGGCAGAATGGTATGTCCAGGTAGCTGAACGTGGTTCAATGGTCAAGAACAAGCCTGCAACTGTGGAAGGTGTTGTGGCTGGATAGGACAGAGATGGGAAGCTGATGATGGTGAGAGGTATTGTGAGGTACAATGGCAAGAGCAGACATATGCTCTTTCTGCGTGAACAACGCGACGCGTGGAAGGAGTATTTGGGATTCATTCACTGACTACCGACGAGGCTGAGTAAACAGCAGAACGTGACCCCGTGTCGCTGCCTCGACATCCCTTTTCATTGATGGACTGAGACTTGGTTGTGTAGAGTGGCACTCCCCTGCTCGTTGTCTTGTACAGGAAGTGTCAGAGCGCAGCGGAGGAGAGGAGGATTTGAGGAGCAATCATCGCTCTGGACCCGCAGCGTCGCTGGCAGAAAGAAGTACTCTATATGAAGTGGCCAGCATCCTCACCGAATGGACTGCCAGGAAGTTTGGAGCTTGAGGTACGCAAGAGTCTGGTGTCTGCAAGAGGTTACTGACAAGCTCAACCCCGGGGCCACCATTCGCTACAGTTGACTACCGCCAGCCTGGATAGTGCAGTGCAGGATTGATGTCTGGGCCCAGGCAAGACTCTACGAGAGTAACATTGTTCTTCGTCCTTTGTGCTCCCTTTGTCGAGTTCAACAAAGCACCTCGAACCTGCGGACAAGGAACCAAGTACGGAGCTCGAACGCGCAGACAAAGGAACAGAATACAAGACTCACCGCAGGTTGCCACAGGGCAAGGCTCGGTGGCTAGGGTGTACGATTGTACGGCACGAGGGAGCCATCTGCAGGCGAGGCAACCTTGAGGGAAAGCCCCGATCAGTCTCTCGGACGTGCCTTGGACTTTGCTCGCCAATGCCGTCCAGGACTCTCAGACGATATTCCGAATCGAGACACGACGGTGGCAAAAGACTCAAGAATGCCTCTCAAGAGACGGGACAAGCCAGGGACATGGTGCGTCGCAAGGCTGTTCGGCAAGTGGGCGAGCGTTGGGCGGGCAGTGAACGAGACAGAATCCTTCTGCTTCTCTTCGACGAAACTCGTCTAGGAGAACAGTAGCTAGGTGGGCAGACTGTCGGTCACGAACAACTACGGTGGGGGTTATCAAGTTGAAGTCTAACTCGGACACCAGTGCTCGGGAGAACAGTACGTACAGTGTAGGAGGGAGACTGCCGGGTCCCTACCGTTGACCAACAGGAGAACACACAGGATATACAGTGGGTGTCCAGATTGTCGGTGGCCGCTCATTTACAGACAAAAGGCTAAACCTGACCCGGGAGTGTGTATGTAGTAGTTGACCAGAGTGACTGACTCGTCGGACAACTGCATAGTCAACTCCTCGCACCCGGGGCTCTAACTATGTCGCTGCTAACAAGTTAACTACCTAGGTACTATATACTATACCTTAACTCTGGAAGTCGTGCACGGTACAGCTTTGAGGTGAATACACAACCCCAGCTGAAAGGCAAGTCGGGACGGCGAGGCTCCGTAACTAGGTGTTGTAGTTACAAGGTAACTTAGTTACTCGGAACGGGCGCTGGCGAGAACTGCCAAATAAACAACACCTAGTTAGTTAGTATTTTACAACGCCTCTAACTTGACTACAGCAGTCGCTTCAGTCCTCCCAGTCTAACCACCTACCTTTGTAGTTACTGGTCAGTGCCACCACGTAAGCGTCCCCGGGGAGGCGGAAGGAAGAAAGGATGTGGGTGGATTTCAGGACTAGTTAGTGAGACCTGGCTTGTTACCTGGTACAGTACAAGTAGCATTGCAATAATCAACCAGCCCCCTGCTCCCTACTCCCTCCTCATACCCACAGGCTACTTGTACAAGTTATCCCCAGCCTGGCGAGCTCTTGATTGCCTCTCCTCGGGCCTTTGCCGGCTCAAGTATCCATCGACCTGCCTTACCTATAGGCTACAGTACGCACACCAACTCGTACGTGTTCTTCGGGACTGACTTTCTCTGGTCGCCATATCCCAGAGGTTGCTTATGGGACTTCTTCCCAAGTTAACCCAAACCCCGGAGCCCCTTCCTTTTGCCCTGTTGCCCTTTTGGCTGCCTAACTTTCTCTCTATGCTAGGGTGCCATCCTCAGACCATCCGGGGAGGATACACTCTGTGTCGTGGGACACGTCGATGCAGATGCCCTTTGAACTGATGGTGGACAGCTCCTCCCACGGGGTCTCAATGACGACCAACGCATTGTGGCGGACAAACTCCAACCGCACCGTCGACCTCGTCGTCGGCTCCACTCGAGTCAAGAGCAGCCGATCTTCGTACCCGTGGGCCCGGGCGGCGATCTCAACTACACGGTAATGCAGAATGACGCGCGTGTTAACCATGTCCAGCAGCAACCTGAACATCAAAGAAAACAACTCAGGGCACGACCCCACGAGACATTCGTCACAGCGAGCCTGGTGCGCAGGGAAGTTGTCGAGAGTATGCTGCAGTTCCTTCCGATGGATGTCGCGCATGATGTCGTACAGCGACGGTGTGCCCTCGCGAAATGGATGGCACTCGAGATACCCAGGGGCGAGCAGGAGGAACTCCTCAGCTGTGCACTTGTCCCTGGGATAGCGCGATGCCCAGGGAAGGAGCCGACGGACGGCCCGGAGCGACCAGAGGTCATCGGAGCTATCCAGGGTAAAATGGTGCCGTCCGTTCTTTCGACTGACGTGGAACATGTAGCCTTCGATCTCCAGGACCTCGGACCACAAGGCAGATGATTCATTGGATCGCATCGCTCGAAGAGAGAGCTTTGACGCCGACGCCGTGATAAGCTGCTCACCTGAGCCATGCTCCTGGGTCGTCACTGCCCGGGCGGGGACGGTTATGCCGTGTTGAATCTGAGGCTTTGACATGTCTCTTTCTGTCTCTGTGTGGTCATCATTCGAAGACAACTTACGAGCCCTGGCGTATCTCAGAAATGCTCGTGGTGTTGGGGAAAAGAGGATGACGTTGGTCAACACCTGGGTGGGGACCAGACAACCATCAGTTCAGAGTTGGACACAATACTAGCAAAGGCAGCTAGGAGGCCAGGTACGTACCAAGAAGAACAATAGTTGGTGGTATGGCCACAAGATCGACACAGTCATGATAATGCCCGAAGCAACGATATGTAAGACAGCTCTTGACACGCCCCAGGCGTAGTGCCAGTGGCACAACTCCGTTCTCTTGAGGAGATGGCCTCTCTTTTCCACAAAGATTCGTTGGCAAAATATGACGCACATGACTATCTGGAGCACTTGATCGAGGATGTACGGGACCGCAAAGACGATTGGCTGCCAGTGCCACGGTCTGAAGTTGATTGTTTGGCAAGTTAGTGGGAGGTCTGAGCCAGCAGTGTTCGACAGTCACGCGCAAGACGGAGGATTGAACTTACACAACTGATGTCAGACCAAAAGGAGCGATCTTGGGCGCGAACCAGATGGCGAACACGACTGGTTCGTAGCGTATGACTTGGTTGGAGGAATGGAGACCATTTCGAATAGACTGATAAAGGTAGAGTACCTGTGAAATAGACTTAGTAAAATTGGTCAAGAGCAACGTAAATCACACTTGCCTCTACAGCCCCTTCGCACAAGAGAGCAATGCGAGGCACAGCAATGGCTCGATCTAGGTTTTTCAACGTGAACAGCAGAACGACAGCTGCAAGGGCCAGGATCGTCTGAGCAGTACGGTGCGAGATGAAGATGTAGAAAGGCGAGATCCAGCACGGCATCTGCCACACTACGTAGGCGGCGAGAATGTCGAGGACGAGGTTTTGTCCTGCTAGGACCATTGCTGGAATGGTCGCAGTAGGAACCATAGTGTTTGTTTGGTCTGATGACTGGATGCGTGGTTGGTTTGTCTTGTGTTCTAGTTTTCTTTCTTCTGTTTCCGGTGCTTCGTTTGATCTTTCGAGGGCGAGAGTAGCATTGGGCTCGAGGCAAACCGGCAACTGTAGATCAGAAAAGGGACAGCCCTTATATCTCTGCTGCGTCTTTGTGTCCCAATCTGGTCGTAAGGCTGGCTGTGTAAGTACGGAGCTGTGATACAGATGGCATATGTGACATGGACTCCGGACGATCAAGCACGAGTACGGAGTAATGCATATGGCAGATACCGTGGCTCAAGTGTCAACACATACCTTCTGGAATAGATCATGGCCTGCCAGCAACGAGGACATACGATAGATCCTCCTCCAGAGTCCTCCACTGTTGGGGGGCTCTGTCGTCGGGTGGACCTCAACAAGTGACTTGGGATCAGAGGTGAATCACTTGACTGCATTCGCCTGCCGGTAGCTGAGGTCCGCCAGCCCGTTCCTAGTTGACGGTCCAGGGTGTTGTGCATGGGCTGCTGCTGTAGTCCGTTCTTCGTAGAGAGCGAACACCCATGTTCGAGGACGGGGGTAGCTGTGATTGTGTCGATCCGAAAACTGGGTAAGGCCCTACACAATGCGGTGCCTGCCGCGGTTTGCGCCAACTTCTGGGCGCAGTGCAGGCGCAGGAGACGTGATGCTACTGCATGCGCCGTCAGAAAGTCCGTAGCTTCAGTTTTCACGTACAGCTTGTCCGTAGAAAGAGAACACCATACACCATGTCTTCCCGGCCAGAGCGGTCGTGGCGACAGTGGCAACGATAGCAGCCGGGGTGAGGGATCCTCCCGTTGAGTGCGAGTTCTGGCAAGATCATTTCTTCGCAAGGGTCAACTAGTGTCTGTAGTCGAGCACACTCGTACCTCATACTGGTAAATGTTGAATCTGAAGCGATGACACTCATGTCCGCAACAAGCTAGATACCTGCGCCGCGGGGGACGCAATCCGTATTTCCGTACTTACTAGTGGACCATGGATCATGCATTGTACATAGACGTTAGTTTTCAGTCCCGGATGAATCTGTGGAACGCAACGCGGGGCTGACCCGTGCCAGGTGACAGGGCAGAGAGAAGGGCTGTCAGCCACCAAAGAACTAGGTCCCAGCCTGCGCGACTTGGTCATCCCGTAAACTTTGCGTACGCATGTAGTGGGAGATTTTCCATCTAGCACCGAGTATGGAGGGCGGCACGTTCCCTTTCACTAGGACGCGTGGTCTGGAAGTTTACTTACAGTACACATCACATCCCCTGGGAGCGTATTCCCGAATCCCAGGCTCTTCCGGAGGATGGCCGGGATAGATCTCAGGACGCACCCTTGACCCTTTCACAGGTCTCGCTACCAGACGAGGGGAAGGACAACGTCTCAAGCGAAGTGGCGGCCACTCGAATCAGGGATCGGATGGAATATACATGTGTCAAAGTGCCATTCATCTGCTCAGACTGGCGGGTTGTCCTTCTCTTTTCGACTGTGAGGTCACCATCATTTTCACAGCCAGGATCCCAGGGTCCAGCCATGCATGGGAGACATTCTGTTTTCTCCTTCTTGTTCTGTACTGGGACAAGGCAAGGCGCATGTCACCTTGTCTCTCTACACTAGCACCGACGCTGATTTCTGTCCCCTTTCCCATTCTCGGATGCTGCACCCAACGACAATCTGAAGCACAACCTCCCAAACCAGGGTGAAACAAACTAGCAGTCTCGTGTAGAACAGAGTGCAGCCAGAGTGCAGCGTGGACCAGCGTTGTGGTTGTGGTTGTTTGTAGGGTTCAGGGATCCAACTGCCACGCAAGCGTCAAAGACGGATCAGCGGTCACACCGGGTCAAGCTCCGGACCCTTCCCAAGTTTCAGCCATGAGTGAGTGGTTCAGTGTCAGCCCTCAGAACCCAAGGCGGGAAAAAGGGCCGTGTTGTTGTGTGTGCAGCTCACAACCAGATGCAATCCATGCGCTGTGTGTGGTGCATCTCTAACGCTAGAGGCCGCAATCCGCCTCCTTGCCTATCCCAAGAAACAGGAGGCATGGATGAATTCGACAGCAATTGGTGCCCTCAGCCTAATCCCAGCGAGTCCACCAGGAAGGAATACGAGCAGGCGCAATGCATACCCCTCTCCTCTTGGTTGCTAGCCAAGTCCACCACGCTGAGCCCGAATCCACAAAATACGGGATTCATCTCGACGCATGGCAAAAGTCCGATCGCTGGTCGAGATCTAACTAGTGTCACCACTGCTACAATAGAATCTCACAGGCCGAAAAGTAGCTCAGATCGAGCTGAATGGCCCACATCGGTCGACGTGGCCCGCGGCCGCTAGGCAACGAGATGGCCACAATCGGAGACACATCAGCAACAGCCCAGCACTGCTTTTACCTGCAGTATGGCGTTTCCTCTGGAGACGAGATGGATCTCGTCCTGCTGCTCTTGGAGCCCGCAAGTTAGGAGCTTCTCCTCGTACACCCGGGCGAGCGCTTTTGGGGGAAAAAAAATAGCTCATGGCGTTCGTATTGCAACGTACCTAGTCTTTTGCGGCTTCCTCCTGCTTGCAAATTTGGCCATTGTCTGCTTTGCAAGTGTCACTGCACAATTGTGATAGGATGAAGGCATGATCCCACGACAGCGACAGTGGTGTCTCGTTGAGAGTCTTCACGTAAAATCGGCTGAGAACTCCAGCGACTTTTTAAGAAGTGACCAAGACAAGGAAGGGCACTATCAGGCCTAGCAGGAAGTTCACTTGCGGGGAGAGACATGCAGTATGTCATCGTGGGGCTTTTGTCGGTGTAGGGTATCAGGTTGCCGTGGCTTGTTTCTGCTGGAAATACCTCGATTAATTCCTGATGCCCCCCAATCACTCTCTGTTTCGCAGGACAAATAAGGCAATGATACGCCGTCAGCGAATCCAATCCTCGCCATCGGAGAACTTTGCTGTTCAGTAGGCTACAGCAGCTGAAATGTGTAGCGAGACCATGTAAGGACATGACAGGAGTAATCCTCGACGCCTCGCCGCATACCTGGGAGCCAGTTGCAGGTTAGGGGACCCTAAGGCACACCACACCATCACGAGCACGGAGGTACGTAAGTAAGTGTAGAGGCAGGACTAGGCGTACATCAGGTACGATGTATGTACGATGGTACTCTACAGTAGTACGGGTATCATCCTTGTTAGTCAGTCAGTGGGTGGGTGGGGGTCTGTCTCCCCAGCCTACAGTACATCCCTAACTGTAACACATTCACACCTAACGTTGACCACTGTATGTACTTCTGCTCAATCAATTGTTAACTGAACTTTTGGCCTGGCCCAAACACCCAACTAGAACTTTTTATCAGCTTGATGTTGATGTGTATGAGAGAGAGTGAGAGAGATTGTGTGTGAAAGGGAGAGAGAGAGACAGAGAGGGCGACGACGCGCACACTGACACACACAAAGTTGCTGTGGTTGGTTCTCGGGGGAGTTTTGGAGAGCCCTGGAGAGGCATGCCAAGTGGCGAGTACCCAAACAAGCTGCAAAGAGCCTCCCAGGACAGGACAGGACAGGACAGGACAGGGTCTGGGGTTGGGGCGGTGGGGGTCTACCCTCCTCCCAGCGACGCGAGAGACACGGGGGGGATTTGAAAAGAAAAGAGAAAGGGACAATGAACAAGGGTGGTTACTCGTTCGTATCTACTTACCTCACTCAACGTTCCGTACTTGAAAAAAAGCGTCTGCTGCAGAGTCTCTCCTGCAGGGCTCCTGTGTGGGTTTTTAGCGCGCAATGATTTGAAAGTTGTTCGAACCCGGTTCAATCAATGGCCCGGCCATCATAATGGTCCCCTTCTTTGCATCCTGTGCTGTCTCTCTGGCAGGTCTGGGAGGTCTGGAGGTCTGGGAAGTACTTGAACCTCGCAGTTCTGTCAGCCTTCTCTTCTTCTCCTCTCATTCTCGACCAATGCTTCTTCTCCTCCTCTTTTCGCCTGCTTCCTCGCCTCACCCAAAAAGCCAGAGAGACCTGTTTTCAATTTGCTCACAACGACGGGCTCAAGAAAGATCAAAAAGAAAAAGGAAAAAAGAAAAAAGGAACATGGCCGCATTGCTTGCGGATCCCTCAACCCATCATACTCTTGTTGGCAAAAGATGCGGTCTGACCTCGCACCCTGTCAATCTGGGCATGTTCCTCCAGGATCATGAGAACGGCGGTGAAGCCTCGCGCTCATCAGAGACACAGGACTCTCGCATGTGCATGAGCATGAGCGTGATCCTGGAGATTGGCGAGCCGTCCACACCTACTCCCTCACTTGCAACAGCTTCGGTTGTCGACCACGATGATAACGTTAGCAATCAAACAAACTATGGTCAGGAAGGCCACTACCTTGACGGCCCTGACTCGCCTATGACGGCTGACGAAGATCCCAACGTCGACAACCATCCAACACATGGCCTCGCCAGCCAGGAAGGTCACAGCCACCACGCTGACGGGCCCGACGTAGCCATGACGGCAGTAGACGAAGAGGCGGGCTCATCCGAGGTTCTAGAAATGGCGTACCGTCCCCCGCGGCAGCAGCCAGGAAATCGGGTCCATAGGCCTCCGGTCCGAGACGGGGAACAAGTCCAATCAAGCTGGGGCCGTTGTTGCGTGTGCGAGGCCACCGGGGAGATCATGAGTTGGCCACAGTGTCAGGCATGTCACCACAACAAGTGCCAGTGGTGTGAGCACTCTGAAGGACGCTCGGCCCCCAATGCCGACGACGTGACGGTGGACGAGAGGCTCAACCGACTGAATGAGCTCTCCGGAGAGATGGGGTTGGAGCTGGAAGCACTGGCTGACGACGAGACTTTGTTGCTGCTGCCTCGGCAAAGGCTCCTTGGTCGATTGTGGGAGTCAGTGATCCAGCTCAACGCCCGTCTCAGCGACTTGGAAGCGCATCTGCCCAAGCTGAAGTCGCCGACTCGAATCTCCAGAGAGGAGGATTCCCCCAAGGACAAGGACGACGATGATGATAATGCTGACAACCACAAAACCGAGAGTGAGAGAAATGAGCGCGACAAGGGTACAGCGGCGGCGGCGGCGGCGGCGGCGGAGGAGGGCAGCACCGACGACAATAGCTACGTCGTCGTCAAGACCGAGGAGTGCTGAGTGAAGCGTTTTGTAGACCGTGATTGTTCACGTATACGTTATCACTAGCCCACGATCATCATGAACGAGTTTCCTTGGTATTTTGGGGGTCACGTCTGGAGCTCCGACATTCAGTTAGCCCAGGGAAGTTAGTTGGGTAGATAGTTATGAGGTGGTAATTCACAATCGCCATCATTTTCCGAGGGTTGGGATGATGATGAGTTGTTTTCTTCGGGTGTGTGTACAATATATGTGTATCCGTACGTATCTCATGAGAACGGCGCCGATGGCTCAACCACCATGTACACCATCTTCATTGCGCTTCATGTCACCACCGCTAGTCTCGTAGGGAAGGTCGCTCTCTTGAGAGATGTTGTAGCACTGTAGCAGGTGTTGGTCAATGGCTGGCATGAAAATGATCGCCCTCTGCACGATTATTCTGCACATGTAGAATTTACCCACCTTACTTCCCGAGACACCACCAAGCTACCTGAGTTGTTCGCGCCAGCACCTCAGATCTCAGCCACCTGCATAGATTCCTTTCATCCACCGACCACGGAAGAATCAAGCCTCGCACTTCTTCGCCATGGTGACTTGTTCGGCGCGCGCATCCCGCGCCTTGACTTTTATGCGACAGTGCCGAAGCAGCACACAAGGGCCGGCACCAGCACCAGGTCGACAATCTCCAGTGGCCCGAACATCCAGCCGTCAATCCTCTCAATTCGCACCGTCGAATTTCACCCACGCTCCCTCGTCTCCAAAACCATTCGAAGTCGAATCCTCGTCCTTCCGGACTCAGTCTTCTCCTGCGGCACTCGCTACTCCTCGCCCAAGCTATGCGCACCCGCGCGCCCGACGCTTCACCGCCACCGAGACGTCGACCAAACTCACGGCGTGGACGTGGTTCAAGACGCTCTTTGGATGGCGGCCCAAGCCCAACTACAAGCCAGCTCCTTTCCACATCACCAACAACCCGTACCGCGCGCGCAAGAGGTGGCCCCCGGACTTTAACAACCTCGACCCCAAGCAGCAGTTCCACTTTGAAAAGACATATCGTCGGCGCGCGGCGCTCAAGTGGGCGCGGCCGACGTGGAACAAGAGCATCAAGATCCTTCAGCAGACTTTGATCACCTCCACCATCATATACTTTGTCTTCATCTTGGAGCCGACACACGGTCACGGCACACCGTTTGATGGTTTCCGCGTGTGGTTCTTTGAGAAAATCGGTACGCTCGGTCAGCTTCCCGAATCCACAAAGGTCGAGGCGGCAAAGCTGAAAGAGGAGGCTGAGAGGAAACTCAATGAGAGGGCCAAGGTTGATGTCGACAACAATTCTCCTACGACTACGAGCTGATATGACGCCTCGTGGCAGGGCATTTAGCACAACAATCATCTTGCGTGACTTGCATTTTTTTGGAGCATGTTCGCCTGAATAGCTTTCTCATTCACTGATACATGACGTCGGAAAGGCCCTCGCTTGACTTTGACCTCGCTTTTGCAAGCACTCTGTATGGCTGAACAATACAGCATAGACAAACCAAGGAGCAGGCACGACAAACAATAATCCATCCAGAACTGCGAAACTGTCACCCGGGTCATGCGTGTAGCGCTATCTATAATAGACGATGACTGTTTATCTGTGCTGTGCACTGAGGAATTGTATATCTCTGAAGCTCCCGCAATGCACACAAAGGACAAACGATACTATAGAAAATGCGAATTGCCCCCTAGGCATCGCTCACCTCCGATCTGGGATAGTCTTACAATCTGCTGTCCGCTGCTGACCTGCCCTACTTGGCTGTTGATGAGCAAATCCAGACGACTGTGCTGACTTGAGAGGGGCTGTAGCCGTCACAAATAGTATCATGGGTACGCAGAAGGTCCCTGTCGATGTTCAGGTACGATTTTATCCGTCTCACCTGGTGAAACACTGTCGGCCCGATATCTGCAGTGCTCTTCAGCCACAGCTCCGGTGTAGATTGCAAGTCTACCAGGATCACGAACGCCGTGCCTGGCCGCTTACGCGCATGGCTGTAGTAATGCTCTCAGAGTAATCGTTGCGGACATGTTCCTGACCTTGATATACTTAGCATTCCTCGTTTCATAGAGAGTCGTTCCTTCCGACAGCTTGCTCAATCCGCATACAAATCCTGTGCCGAGTTTTTGATCGGGACAAACCGTGAGCATCGCTCGGGCCACATCGGAAAATCGCCAGGATCCTTATAATACACTGCCACTCAACAAGTGATAAGTCACACCAAAGGGTCCTGAGCCTCAAAAACGAGGACCTTGTTTTGCTTGGTGCGTTTGATCCTTGACGGAGCGATAGATCAATCGACCAAAAACCCGCTCATCTTAGTTTTCCACCTCGTCCACCACGCCACAAAGCCGATCAAAATTGCCCACGACCACAATGAATCGCCCATCACGCAATGACGATACAGAGGACCATCCACACTGGAACCAGAGTCCACACGCTCTGAGTGGAGACCTGACGACGCGAGCAGACCTCAATGGTATCGTGAATCTCCGAGAACAACGAGAGAATGAGTCGAGCCTCGACAACAACGAACAGGAGCAAATCAATACGCACCCAATCAACGCCCCTGAACCAGATGCGACGGCCACGAAGGACCCCAGCATCGTCCAGGTTGATCCACAGGACCAGCACCAGTCCTCGACTGATGCGGATCTGACGGCCTTTCAACAACAACAACAACAGCAGCCACCCTCAGCTGCTGACTATGCCTCGCCTCCATTGTTCCCGACTTCGAATGCGAATACAAGTCGCCCAAGACGCATACTTGCAAAGGCCGTCACGACTTTGCAGAAATACGTCAAGTTCATCGGCCCCGGGTTCATGATTGCAGTGGCATACATCGACCCAGGAAACTACGCGACCGACGTCCAAGCCGGCGCCGAAACACGCTTCCGCCATCTCTTCGTCATCCTTTTGTCCAACCTCTTTGCCATCTTTTTGCAGTCGCTGTGCATCAAGCTCGGCAGCGTGACGGGTCTGGACCTGGCTGAGAATTGCCGCAAACACTTGCCCAAGTGGCTAAATATCATCTTGTATCTCTTTGCGGAGTCGGCCATTATCGCTACTGATATCGCTGAGGTGTGTAAATGAATCCTCCCAAAAAATGAACGTTATAACCTTGAGCCCTGCTTGGAGGCGTAGGTCTAAATCTCTATTTGACCCAGATGGCTAATATCGCTTTACAGGTCATTGGTTCTGCCATCGCACTGAATCTTCTTCTACATATTCCCCTCGTGGCAGGATGTGCTATTACTCTCGTCGACGTGCTCATCCTACTCCTCTTCTACCGGCCTGATGGGTCCATGTCACGGCTGCGTCTCTTCGAGTTCTTCGTCATGAGCTTGGTGCTGGGCGTCATGGTGTGCTTTTGCATCCAGCTGTCCTACATCCGCAACACCTCCGCCGGACAAGTGTTCAAGGGCTACCTTCCCTCGGCGGCGGTCGTTGATGGAAGTGGAATCTACATATCTTGCGGAATCATGGGTGCCACGGTCATGCCGCATTCTATTTTCCTCGGTTCGGGGGTGGTCCAACCACGCTTGAAACAGTTCGACGAGCAGAACGGCCACATTGTCGCATTGGGCGGCGCAGAGTCGGACGACGAGGATGAGAAATACCGTCCGTCCATCTACGCCATCCGGGCATGTCTCAAGTACTCGATTGTCGAGCTCGCCTCATCGCTGTTTACGTTTGCCCTGTTTATCAATTCTGCGATCCTCATCGTGTCAGGCGCCTCCCTGTATCCCTCGACCACGGCTACGGACGCAGACCTTTTCGGCATCCACAGGCTTCTCAGCCAGAATCTTTCCAAGGCAGCGGGGACATTGTTTGCTTTGGCGCTGCTCCTCTCGGGCACATCGGCAGGCATAGTCTGCACCATGGCTGGACAGATGGTGTCAGAAGGCATGCTACATTGGACGATCAAACCTTGGATGCGGAGGCTTATCACGCGGTCGATCAGCATCGTACCGAGTATCGTCATCGCCGGCGCCATCGGTCGCGACGGTCTGAACCAAGCTCTCACCGCCAGTCAGGTCGTCCTCAGTGTCATTCTTCCTTTCGTGACGGCCCCGTTGGTGTGGTTCACGAGTCGGAGCTACATCATGACTGTGCCGGATGGGAGTGGCGTCCGCGATGGTGCAGTTGTCAACATGCGAAACGGCTGGATCGTGACGGCGCTGGCTATTGTGATATGGCTGGTGCTTGTGGTCATGAATGTCGCCTTACTGGTCCTCGTTGGCCTGGGCAAGGCGTGAGAGTGGACATGGGAGATGGTGTCTGTAGAAGATACAAATGGCCGGCTGCTCGTGGTGTTCAAAGTGCTCCGATCTTGTTCAACTACTACGGGGGGTCCAGGGTAGAGGGATTACCAGTTGTCGCCCACGTGCTTTCAGCACACCTGCAGCAGTGAAGAGAGCAGCAAAGGCATACTGCATATGAACACGGTGAGTAGTACCTAGATAAGAGGTATCCAGTACGCCTATAGAGTGTACGTATATCTAGAGACTAGATGGCGGTAGCTGGGCGTGGAGGAATCCTTCTTGTTGCCTCAACTACCTTACTGTAACGGCGCGGGGTCTATGGCATATCTCATCGTGAGTGCCAGATCTATTCAAAGTTCAGAAGGCCTGTCCTGTGAAGCCTGTTCAATAACCCCCGAGACAGTTCCTGTGCGTTTGGATCCCAGTCGCAAGTCGCACGTTCACGAGCCGAACCTCGTTCGGTAGGAGGATCGTCAGTCAAAGGCGCCAATTGACCTTCTTCTTCATCATCCACGATCTAGTTAGTCTCTGGGACTTGTCGCTCTGCTCTGATTGTGCTTGTACTGTAGTTTCTGTGCATTACTCACGAACCAAGACGGTGGTGACGAATACCGTCCGTACGACCACGGCAGAAGTCGAAGTCGTCTGGCTTCCATCCCATGCACTCGGTGCGACTCTTGACCCCCGAGCGATCAAGACTCGGTCGGAACGAGCCAGCCTTCTCTCTACACACCCGCGCAGTCAAGAGAGCGATAACACACAAACACTCAATTAATTGTTTTCTTCTTTCCTCTTTCTCATACGCACATACGATACATGACACAATACGCATGCAAACGGAACAACCGAGATGCGACAAGTGATGATTCAACGACGCTGCTCGTCATCAAAACCCATCGAGAAACTCCTTGAGCGTTATCGGTTTCCTGACGGCGTTCGAGAAGCCCTCGTGGAACGAGACCCAGATGCGCGCCCCTTGTTCCTTCGTCGTCATCGTCGTCAAGCCCTTGCGGCCGGTTCCTGAAGAGAGAGACTTCCTTCCCCCGTCGGATGACGGGAGCCAAGTCTCATTTTGAACATGGGCACTTTCAAGAATAACACGACCGAAGAAATCTCGCTTCGCCCCGGGATTCTTGGTGGGTGTGGTTCCACCCACCTTTTCCGAAGTCGCCATGTTCTCCTTGTCAGCCTCGACCGTCATGCCGAGGTGCGACGGCGCTCCCGCACGAGCGTGTCTCGCGGCCGAATTCTGTAGTATCTTCTCCTTGACGAGTTCCTGGTCGAGCACCTGTCGCACGGCGTAGCGGACGGGAGCCACCTTTCCATCCAGGTGGTAGGTCAGGAGCGTATCGAGGGGCCTAACCGAGGAGGGAGGAATTGGTTAGCATAAACGCACCGTGACCCTAAAGGTGAACTCGATCAAATCAAAAACGACGGGTGGTTCTGACTTACGGTTCCATGCGGTAGGCGTAGCCACCATTGGAATGGGCGCCGCCACCTTCGATTTCAACCCGGACCTTCTCGAAAGACAGGCCTAGTGCCATCATTGTACGCACAGCGTTCTTGATGCACATCTTCTCCGTGTCCTTTCTCACACTCGCGACACTGGCCGACCCACCGGAACCCCCGATCACGACGGGCTTCACGTCAGGCGCGAGCATTTTGCCCACGTTTGGAATCAGCTCGGTGGCAATGGTGTCCACGGAGCTGAACAGGCGCAACAAGGACCCAGAGAAGCTCGACTGAAGCTCCGTCAGGAGAGTGCGATTCTGCTTCTCAGCCTCGTAGGCAGCAAAGTCGGCCTTGTCACCACTGAAGGGGTGCGCGTCCACTTGCTCTTCGTCCGGCTTATCGTCGTTCCACGCTTTGGAACCCTTGTCGACTGCCGCAAACAGATGGTGGAAGGCGCAGGCACTTGTGCTCAGGTAGGGTGTCAATTCCCATTCTTGGCCAGAATAGACTCGACTGGACAAACAATCGTGGAAATGCAGCCAGTCGTAACTCGCGTTCGGCTTGCTCAGCTGGACGTCGTCCTGGTACACTTGATTCGGATACGTCGCAAAGCACTCGGCCATGACGCGGTCGTGGTCACCAGATGTATCGACCATTTCCCGCAGAGCGGCAATGGCAGCACGCTTGCGAAGGTCGGCAACTCCTACGGGGCTTGTTTTGGACTCGGCTACGAGCCGTTTATCGTCCGCTGAGAGGCTGGCTGGCAGGTCTGGAAGCCCTGCCCCTTCGATGAATACTCTTTCGACGATTTCTCGCACCCCGCCGCGTCCAAGACCTTTCTGTCCTGCTTGGGCATTCTCCAGCTGTGGCTCCAACCACTTTCTCGTGAGCTTTGTTTTCGACCCGTTCGCTCGCAGCTTGTGGGCAATCCACTCGGCCTGAACCAGGACACCCCGGATGTCACCCTCGCCTGACGCTCGAGTACCGAGGCCTCTCTGTTTGCGCATCGCCAAGCCCCAAGCATTCTCACACAGCCGGCGAACGGCGTCATTCTCACATGCGATGCTCTCTTTCTCGAATACCGCCTTCATCCTTGTTATGACCTTGTCGATTGGAGCTTTCCTCACGTGGACGATTTCGGCGATCGAGCTTGTCCGCAGCAGTCGAAGGGAAGGGGCGTAGACATCGTTGCAGACAAGGATCAGAGGTCGCAACATCCTGAACTTGTCACCCTTTCTTTTCTTTCCCGCGGCACTGGTTTGGTTGCCGGTCTGGCTCGAATTGCGCTGGTCTAGCTGAACAAGGTCGATGAGTGCTTTGACAAAGCCACCCTCCCCTCCATTAGAGCTGGAGCCGGCTGTGACACCGTCGACCTCGTCAACGACAACACAGACAGGCCTCCCAGCTTTGCGCGCTTTACCATGCTCTTTGATGCCACGAACAGTCTCTGTACCGAGAGTGTCCTTGATTCTCCCTTTCACAATGTCCCGGCTACGGTCGTCGCTCGCATTGATTTCGAGAACCTCATAGCCGGCCTGTTTGGCACACACGTGGGCTAATGTAGTCTTTCCTAACCCGGGAGGGCCGGTAAGTAACAGCACTTTCCGATGCTGCTGTTCAGTGACGTCCCTGTCTTCATAGATCTTGGTTGGCTTTGGTCTGCTGTGACCTGGGAAGACCAAATCATCCCAGGATTTGAGCCAGCGAAGCACAGCTCTATGGGTTCTTTCGTCCCCCACCAGGTCGGTGAACTTTTTAGCACGGTATTTCTCAGTCCACATCTGATAGGCGACTGAATCACTTCGCCTCCCCAACGGAGGAGTCTCCACTGAAGGCGTCGTGGCGACCTGCTCTGCCTGCCTCTGCTTTTCGAAATCGTCCAACTGGCGCTGTGTTCTGGCTTCGTCTACGAGTTTGTGGATCTCAACACCGTAGTATGATCTTCGCGACCGGCCGGCTACAGTTGTTGAGCGCTGGGCGATGGTTCGCTCGTATGACACCGCTTCGGTCTTTTGTCTGAGGGGAACATCCACGTTCGCCCCAGAAGCTGTCCGAACGTTGAGTGTCTTTGGTGGCAATCTCCGCAGCAAGGGCCGTGGCAACGGAGGGAGACTTGGTGTCGAGGAAGGGCCATGGTGGGCACGGTCGCTTGCTGAATCTGGTACTTCTGGAACTCCCGGGGGTTGTTGTTCGGTCGCGTGTTCGACTGTCTCTGGGTCCGTTCTAATCGACACGTTTTCGTCTTCGTCTTCGTTCTGGTCCTCTTCTACATCGCTATCTTCGAAGAACCCACCCACAACCTTGGGCCTCTTTCTTTGCAATTCGGTGGGAAAAGGCTGAAAGAGTCTGCGTTTCTTTGCGGGAGGCTGCACCGGAGGCGCCGGTGAGGAGCTGGGCGGATACAGCACGGGAGACAAGGAGAAGACCATGTCGTCTGAGGAGGGCGGTGAGTCTGTGGACAATAATGGTAGACTGCTCTTGATCTCGTGCGTCATGAATGGTTCGGCATTGCGATCGTGTCGGTCATGGAGGTCTTTGAGGATTGGTAGTCTGGGAGATGAAGGGAGGATTGTGCAGTGCTGTTCTTGGTGATTGACAGGCTTGGACATGAGGTACGACTATTAATGCACCTCTGACAGTGTAAGGTAGCTTTCATCTATTGTAAAGGAACATCAAGACCGATGCTGGGTAGCCTTGTATGTGCTCCGCAGCTTTGTGTGAATTATCTCTATCAAAAAGACGCGACGCGTCCGGAATACAAAAAGCGGAGCACGCGTCTTCAGGTTCCCCGCCTGCTTACTCCGTAAATGTGAGATCCACGGATCCGCTGGCGCTGACAGTGCAGTGAAGACATGGTCCGCCTCCATATACTGTGCGGTGAAAGGTTCTCTGACAAGATCAACTGAAGGGGTAGCAGGTATTTTGTGCTTTGCAAAAGTCCGTATATCGGTTCCCCGGGGGAACAATGCAAAATCCTCCGGGGATTAGTTCCGGGCAACAAAGTTCAGCACCACCTTTTGGCGGTGTCACACTGACTTCGGTTCGTAGTTTTGAGGGTGGTGTGTACAGCTATCACTGGTAGAGATAATGCTCAACATGCTCTCTTTGATGACTGAATGAAAGGATGGCCAATATAACCTCAGAGTGTTGATGGGGTCAGACAGAGTGTTGGAGCACCGGCCCTTTGCATTGAAAATTGATTGAATTCTGTTCCAAGGACCAAAAACTAGAAGTGTGAGGGAGGCGGAGGTGTGCGTATACCTATGGTACATTATATACCAAAATGATGGGGATCTGAGTGTCTTCCCTCAAAACTTTACAGATCGCATCGTTTCCCTTTCAGAGTTCTACTTCCTCGAGGACGCGCTCGATTATCACTGCGCCTAGCCATTATTGTGACCATACTCTGCACTCGCATCAGTGCCGCCAGACACATACGACGTACGAGTTATCGAGTGCGTCCAGGGGTTTGGCAAAGCGCTGCACGGAGTAGCGACAGGAGAGATAGTCTCGGTGCCGGATGCTCTGCTCTGCTGTAGAGGAACACCATTTTATCTGTGGAACGCATGTCAGAGATACAATCCTGGCAACTTGTGATAAGTAGCGAGATGAAGTCAAGGTTAGTCGATCACTCTTATCTGCAGTTATCAGTTGTACTCCGTAGTCCGTAGACTGTGCTGCCGCTTCCGAACTGGGTGCGCTCCAACATGGGGGGGAGAAGGACTCGGGACTTCCCTAGACATCGCCTATGCCAGGCTTGTGCGACTTTGGCACACTGTTGATACGATCATGGCCATACTCGTCGAGTAGAGCAGCGTATCACAGCAGATTTCTTGCATACACGATCCTTGCTGTTGTGAGACTCGAAACCAGCGGTCGCTCACTCTAGAAACAACTTGTGCCCTCTCAGCAAAATTCAGTAGAACCTTGAGGGACAGCGGGTTGGGTTTGGTGGAGTGGGAGTGGAACATGAGGCTCTCGGTGATTGGTGTGCCTGGAGAATCTCCCGTCGATGGTCTCGCACAAGGCAGTTCAGCATGAGATCGATCCCCAAGTAAGGTTTGGTATTTCCTGTGGTGAATCTGTCGATGCTGCACAGACTATTGAAAGTCAGACAGGGTGATAAAGGTCTGTTTGCAGATTAGTTCTTGAACTCGGCTGGCGGTGAATCAACCACAAGGCGGTGTACGCAGTGCAGTAGCTTGTGTTGGACTGTCAACTGGTTTTCTGTCTTATCTTGACGACTTACTTCTTCGTGGGATGAAAGGATGAAACACGGTGATAAAGCTAGCAGGGGTTACAATACAACAATGACTTTGGTCTGTTGAATTCCCATCGCCGAGTAATGATGGCCGGACTCAAGAGCGCATATCCGGGGGCTCCAATTAGTGGCACGGGCCCTACAATAGTAATGACTAGCCTAATATTAGGTATCGCATCCCTACCTAAATTCGGCTGGGGACGCCCATGTCGGGTACTCCTACAGGGCGGATTGACCAGACGTGGTGGCCAACTAGGAGCCTTTGAGTTTCTGTAGATTCTCCATGTACTCCGGTGGATTGATAGTCTGGTGGTGACGGTGAAGATGCCGTGCTGAGTCTGTGCAGTATAGGGCCTCTGTACCTGCAGTTAACGAGATAGCTGGTTAGTAGCTAAAGTTAGCAGGCACTAGGAGACTAGTTGGTTGCTAGCGGGAACTTGGTACTTACTGCCGCCTGCGCCCTCAGCCTCAGCCCAGTCGCTCTTGTCTCGTGCACCCACATGGCCCATTTCCCTATCGCAAAACACGGAAACACGCTTTTCTTCGCTGCATGTACTATTCACTTATCGCTGTCCTGAATACAAGCTTGCATTCTCCTTGTGTCTCTCTCTCTACGCCGGCTGCCTTTTCCTTGTTGCCTCTCGATTTCTTCCTCACCCCCGGCTCCGTTATCCTCCTTCTCTCCTCGCGCTATAATACAACAAAGTCCGCTCCCGTGTGACTTGCAGCCCCCGGCAATGACTCGCATGACTTCCGCACCCTCACCTCCATAGCATACTCCTTCGACCGGCCAACCACATAGCCTCTTATTCGTCTATCGCCCGCCGTGATCAGCCTCGGATTATGGCCTATGCTGCCGTGTCGCAGGCTGAGCACGATGGCATCTACAGTCAATCGCCGGACCTGACCCTGCACACCGACCAAACACTCCCCGAGACGTCTAGTCCTCCTCTTTCACTCTCCTTCGATCATGTGTCTCGAGATGGCTACCACTCGGATGTTCCTCAAGCAGATGCGGATGGCAGCGGTGGCGCGCATCTCGGGAAACTGCTCAAGTCTTTGAGCTCGTCGCAGTCGTATGAGATGGTTGAAGACGACGACTACGACGAGCCCATGCGGACACCACAGGGCTTAGGTTTGAACACGAAGGCGCCCGCGCCTGTAGAAGACGACGCCCTCGCATACCAGTCCGAACAAGCCCCAATTCGGACCGCGTCTATCAGCCGAGACCTCCCCCTCAATCACCCAACTCCAGATCTACACACTCTGCAAGGGGCGTTTGTCAAGAATGTGGAAAAATTGGAAGAGAGCGCTGAGCGATTGAGCATGACTTCGAGTCTCGAAGAGGAGTTGACCAAGATGAAATTAGACCAGAGACGTCTGGAAAGACAGTCGTCCGCGCCTATTACCTTCGACAACCCTGGACATTCCACTGTCCAAAGGCAGTTCTCGAGCAGTTCATGGTCGAATTCCATTCTCAGAGTCAATCAAACAGCCAGGTCAGGGGGATATTCACCGTCGGCATATATCACCTCTCCGACAGGCTCGATACACTCGGGACGACGGCAACAGCAGCACAATCTTGACCGCCACTCGTCCAAGGGTAGCCGTCATGATCAACCATTGAATGAGCCTCCCCTAGAAGGTCGTCCACTGGACTTTGGAGTCTCCTCTCGTCCTTCCGATGCTGCCATCGTTCCCGATCAAGAGTTTGTCCAATCACCGGGTGCTTCGATTGACTCGTCTGCAGAGGATAGACCACCGACCTCGAGCTCGAATGATACCTACCGACAGGCTCAAGCAGCTTTCCACGATTTTGATGGCGTCTACTTCAATTCAGGTGCATTGTCTCACCGCAGCGATTCTATATCGCGCCACATTTCCTTACGGCAACCTCCACTGGCGCGAGATTCCAAGGCATTCAGAGAAGCACAACCGGGCGAGCGCATGATCTACTATCCGGCGCCTGTTCCCGTCATGCTGAACCTACCACAGAGACTATCTAGAATGGACCTCAGCGAACGTGAAAGGCGGCGGCTTCAAGGTATATCTGCTATACCAGAGGATTTGCGCAAATCAGCACCGTGGCTGGCTGATCAAGACAACACGAAACTGCCCGGTGGTAGAAGCTCACTAAATCTTCCACCACAACTACGTGCCAATGCTTTCTTCGAGCAGCCAAGTATTACACAAGATCTCAAGTTGAAGAATGGTTCGGCTGTTCGTACTCTCGACGATATACTGGATGCAGCTGCCTATGCTCCAGTCAGTGCATTCACAGACCATCCCATTGCTGGTCATCTGGGCAAGGAGGTGTATGGCCAAATTGGATCTCCCCGAAAGAGCATGCAATCCACAGAACAACGGAAGAAGAAACGTCGAAGTTCCCTGAGCACCTTGTTGAAATCCAAAAGATCCAGCACAGGTCTGGACGGTGCCGCTCTAGGTCGCTCAAAGTCCAAAGGCTCTAGGACACCGCTGGACGGCGACGAGAACCCCAGTGACGATGAAATTGATCGAGCGGCAGCGCAGTCTCTAGCGCCTGATGAAGATGAGATATCTGACGGTGAAGACGATGCTGAAGATGCTGCTCCACAAGGCTTTTTTGCTGCTCCGACCACTCTGCTGGCTGAACTACAGATGCGCAAAGCCCATCAAAAACAACGCAATAGAACCGCGGCAGATGCCTTTCCTAACGGGATGCACTCCACTCTGCTGGAGCTCGATGCTGTCACCCAGCTTCAACAGAAGGCCCGGAAAACCAAGCATGTTACTTTGGCTTGGGAAGACCATGATGAGGCTGATAAGCAGAATTTTGACGACGACGAAGTTCCTCTCGGCCTTTTGTTTCCAGAAAAGGATCGTTTGGAGACGTTCAACGCACATCGACCTGTCGGACTCCTCGAACGGCGAGAGATGGAAGACAACGAGCCTTTAAGTCATCGACGCGCCAGACTGAGAGGCGAGCCGCTCCAATCAATGAAGTCTGAGACGAAAGCCCCTTACATCGAACAAATCCCCGGTCTCTCTGAAGACATTCCCCCTGAGCATGAAGATGAGACACTGGCTCAGCGCATTGCTAGATTGAAGGAGGAAAAAGAGCACGCGAATGAAGGAAATTTTGCAGCAGAATTGAGTCAAGAGCTCGGCTTGAACGTGGGAAAGAGTGAAGCTCTACCTTCTACTACTCCCGACCCAGAGGAGACATTAGGTCAGAGACGAAAGAGACTCAAGGAGGAGGCATTACGCAATGGCAGACAAGTGAGCGGTGAAAGTGCGGCCAGTGCTACTAGGCCACAGCTGCGGTCCATGCACAGCCTCGCCGACATACTGCAAGCTCATCCAGTTGGTGTCCAGGATCGAAAAGTGTCAAACGAGTCCCACGGCTTTGCAACCCGCAATTCTCACGTGCAAGGACCGTTGCTGAATTTTAATGGACCCGCTCCGCCTTCCCACATGAGAATGCAGCCTGGTCATGCTGGTACCTGGGGGTTTGGTCAGCAGCATGGCGCGTATATGAACACAGGTTACGGCAATTTCTACCAAAACAACGGCGTGGCCACGAACGGGGGTGGATTTGGAGGAATTGCGCCCAGTCTGTATGGTGCTCCTATCCCAATGCATATGCAACAACCTATGGCTGGCTACCCCTATGGTTATGGAGCTCTGCCCTACATTCAAGATCCGATGAGTGGACCACCACTTGACCCCAAGCAACGAGCACAGATAGATCGTTGGCGTCAGAGCGTTGCTCCGTGAGGCTTGGTATCATTACCTGGCGCACACATTTTTCCTTTACGTGGGACGGTTTTCCGATTGGATATGCGGATAGAAATCGGCATACCCGGTGCTTCACTGTGAATAGACGAGGACACAGAGGGTTTGAGTTAGGCGGCCGACGATTGGAAAGGTCTATCCTAGGACGAAAGATATGTTTGATTACGACGAGAAGGATCCCAATCGATACCATAATGACTTTTGTGCCTAGGTGTGATGTGCTCTTGATCAAAAACGTCCCCTACTACCTAGTCTCTATACCGACGACAAGGCATGGCTCATTGCTCACTTGGCTCCAGGCGATGTGCCTGTCCATTTCTGCTGGTGCTTTGCCTTTTCGTCCCCGTGAAAGATGCGTTTTCAGAACGTCCTCGAGACGGCCCCACTTGGGTCACCTAGTGAGTACTCGGAGTGCTATATCATGTTCTTGCCATTCACTGCAATGTGTGCGAACTACAAGCTTCTATTCCTTCGTTTCTCTTCCCGTATCCTAGCCTGAAAGATGTTTCACAGTACAAGCCGCGGTTGAACACGCGATTGCATGGGCAGGTCAGGTTATCGTGAAAGATAACAAAGCGTAGGTACTGGCTCGGAGGACCCTTCGATCTGGACACTGCAGGCCCATGGCGACACCCGGGACTAAGTCAACTCTAGTTAAGTCAGAGCCCTACGGTCCCGTTCCGATCCCCGGTTCTCGGGCGTCTTTTGCGGCTACGTACAGTCTTCGGGGACTTCGAGGGGTCGAATAAGGACCTACCCATTGTATGTTTATAGACCGTCGAACTGAGGACCTCGCACCCTCTTTCAATGCGGAATAACAGTGCATAGTCCACTCCTGCTACTCGTCAATCTCCCTCTCTACACGAGAGAACGTGAATATCGAAAACGTTCGCTGACGGGCGAGAGATTGTAAGTACCTCGCAACCGGTGTGGGTCGGCAGGCTACGTACCGACTGGGGCTGGGTGTAAGTGTCTGAGACACTTCCTGTTATTGGCTCGTCACTTCTCAACCGAACTGCATTCTGCGACACATGCGACTTGCTCTTATGGTTGTCACTGTCACTCGATCAACTTCCCGCATCACCGCTGCACTTTCAGTCAAGGTATTCGCCATGGGCAAGAGGTTCCCCTGACTCTCCGGCGTATGCGGTACGCATCTTGCAAAAAGAATGATTGCTCCTGAGTGGACTCCACCGACATATCGGACACGATGAATTCGAACAAGACGTCCTATCCATCGTTGCAAAGACAAAGACCTAGACGAAGGTCGGACCATCTCTCACCCACCTCTCCTTCGTTCCCTCGTCGACTCGTCGAGCGTACAAACAGATACAGCGACGCTCTCAGCCCGGGCGAAGCCACCTCCGGTACCGACGAGTCGGACAGCCCAGCAGGCCTTACCCTGACCACCTCCCTCCCTAACTACGACCGACGTGCCTTGCCTCCCGCGCCTCCCGGCGTGAAAGATTTCGAAATCGACATCGTTAGACACCATCAGAGATCTTCTGAGGATCATGGTCGTGCAAGATATCGTACCTCTGACGAGAACGCCCGTCCTGCTACAAGTGATGCTACGGACCCTCATCTGAGTTCGCCGTATCACAATCTGCGGACGATGAGACAGTACTCGGAGTTGCCCCTCCGGGCGAAACCTGCCACTTCCAACACCAGCCCAGACGGCATCCATGACCACATCTATGAACGTCCGGCAACGAGGCATGAAGAGAGCACGCTCTCTCCCAGTTTCCGCGCCAGTGGTTTCCCCTCTCCGGGTCTCGACAGACCTTCGTTCGACGAGTCACTCCATGTCAAAGGCCATGCTGGAAAGAAGAGTAGGTTGAACTTGCTGAACCCGATGAGCCTACTCGCTCGACGACGGTCGTCACAGAACCAAAAGCTGGATGATGTCAACCTGAGTATCAAGACATTTTCGGTTCCTGCGCTACCGGATGACTTCGATCCAAGTATTCGGGGCAAAGTTGTGCACGACTTTTCTGCACCTCGCACTCGTAGGGTTTACTCTCAGAACAATGTGGCCGGCCTCGAATCTCCGGCGGTGCGATCAGCAGGGCCAGTCCCATGGAATGAGCAGCCTAGCGGAAGACTGTCCACAGGCGGAACGCCAAACCTGAACCACAGCCCCATGTTCAGAGAGCATTTCCAAGACGACCGGCCTACTTTACGACCAGACAGGACAGGGTACTTGCATAATTTCAATGCCTCGCAGACTTCACACGAATCACAAGACCCGGAAAGCGTCCCTGCATTCGCAAAACGCCTGCCTGCCGCGGTACCACAAACAGACTCGGACTTCAAACCGCCACCTTTGGAAAATGCAGGGGCGCCCCTTCCATATATCCCACCGAGCGAGCGATCGCCTCCTCCGCCGACACCCCCACCGAAGAGCACTCCCTCACCAAAATTCGAGCCGCCACCTGCCACAGCATTGCCCAAGCATATGACGAGCACTTCGTCTCGCTTCAGCTTTCAAATGGGAGGGCCCGGGTCCTCTGCCCAGGAGAAATTGCTTGAAGAAAAGCATAAGCAGCATGAGGCCACGCGGAAGCACGATTCCATTGTTGGCGATGAAGACGACGACTATGCAAACTACGACTTCGATGCGGATGATGGTTTGGAGGAGAAGATACCTGGTGTCAATGCAGATCTTGATGAAGACGACGGCTTCGGAGATGACGCTCTCAAGATCAGTCCGCTGGTCGCTCGCTACGACAATTCCGCACCCCGGGGCTCCATGGCAAGTACTTCGCCTCATGATCCACCTCCACCCAATAAGACTGTGCATACCAACCTACAGAGGACGTCACTACAGGGTTTTCACTTTACGCCTCAGTCCCTGACGTTCAGTCCCACAAGTACCACCAACGCCTCTCAGCCCACGCCGGTTGACACAGAGGGGTTTCCAATCGGAATCGCGAACTCTAGGGATTCTTCCCTGCACGGTCACCCTGAGAGATATGACAAGACTACCACAGACGGTGACATTTCGGTTTTGGGAGGTCTCGGCATATCCACAGCCGAGATACGTGGCCGACGGACCTCATATACAACGCGTCCGCAAGGCCAGATCTTCGACGATGAGGACCTGTACTTCGACGATGGCGAGTTCGGCAACCTCGATACCGATATCACCCCAGGCGAGTTTGACGAGGAGATTTTTGATGATGATACGGGCAGAATACGCGATATCCCTGCTGAAAACGCACGCAAATTTGAGGCTGCAAAGGAACTAGATCTTGAAGCCAATGCCCATTACGTCGCTTCTTTGGGCAACGATGCTCCCAACGCACACAAGTTTGAGACTGCAGGGGAAGTGGATCTCGAAGCGGAGGCTCAATCCGTCGGTTCTTTCGATGTTGACCCAGCATCTGCTGGGGACCACGACAGTCAAACATACGGTCCCCGGACTTCTCTCGATCCTTACCAGACCAATCCAAACCGTCAATGGCAGAAGAGCGATGCTTCCGGTCTCACGGAGATGAATCTGGCAGCTTATCACGATGCGTTGGCTTTTGCGGCCAACCAGGCGGCCGCAGAGGGCAAATTCGACCGCAAAGTAAGCTTCGGTCAGGATTCGGACGACACGTCTGATCCACCGAGTCAGGGGAGGGTAGTCTCAAATGATAGTCACCTGAGCTACAATTTCAGCTCCGCCATCGCCGCCGACGACGGCTTTCCCTTTGACGACGATCTCGATGACGATCCTATGATTGCCGAGGCCAATGCTGAGGCACTTGAGAACGACGACGAAGGATTCTATGGACGCGAGTTTGGCTTCTATGCTCGATCCCACAGCAAAGGAGGTACGGATCTCGTCAACGGCGGATACTTTGCAGAACGTGGTTCGAACGGCATCAAGAGAAGTCACAGCGGCAAAGCTACCTTCCAAGAACCCAGTCTGACGCCTATCACCGAGCGAAGCGAATGGAGTACGAGAAACTCGGTTGCTTCTTTGCCAATGCACGGCGGCTGGCCCGCTTCGGCACAATCTCTTCCCAGTCCAGGAATCGCTCAACTACTTGAACTCGATTCGCCGAGCCACGACGAAGATATGAGCTTCAGCGCACTTTTGAAACTACGAGGAAGGACGTTTGGGGGTAGCTCTTCGAGTGTCGGTAGCCCAGCAGCCAGTCATCCTCTGAGTTCACCGTTGGCCCATTACTCGAAACCCCTGCTCGCACCCGGAGACTTTGCTTCGAGAATGTCGGCATCGATGAATGGCCGATCGCCGTCGGCAGGTATTCCCGAATCGGAAGAAGAAGACGACGGTGATGACAACGAAAACGAAAGGTCGACTTTGACACAGAACACTCCTCGAAAGAAGACCAAGGACGATCATGTTATGACATCTCAAGAGGAAATGCCGTCGTCGCCAGCTTGGCTGACCAACGAGCGACGCAAGGGGCACCATAGCAGAAACAGCAGCTCTACCGACAGTGTGACCTATTCGCGCGACCCAGACGGACGATGGGTGTTGGAAAGGAGAAGAACCGATGAAGAGAGTGGAGTTGAATCGATCGTCGATCGCGAAGTCTTGGCCGGAGCACATCTTTGATCAACGAAGGAAGCAGCAGAGTCTGAGCGTGGTCAGCGATAGTTTTTCGAATTGACAACAAATGCTGCTGCTGCTGAGACCCAGCATACGAAGAAGCCCAAATGTGGCAGGCAGGCAGGCCGGAGGGATTCTGTCCCATGTGTACGTACGTCTAGGCGTACGAGTGAAAGAGGAGGCTTGTCTCTCGCTTTTATTGATGATGTTAAGAGAATTGGCCCAGTGGACGGGGATGCCATGGATCCAACGAGAATCGAAAACGGGGTTTACAGACAAAAGGGGGAAGAAATGAATGAAGATTAAGAACAAGAACTGAGAATCACCCTTGATGCGGAGGTCGTTGCCATCACCAGAGATGCGTATATCTACTAGATAGACGGCGACGACGACATACCTACCTACCTACCTACCTACCTACCGAATGAGTAGCTTTAGCTATTAGCACTACGATACCCATGACGAAAAGCAAAGTACTGTAATTAATTGGTTAGAATTTAGATGCCTAGGCATGCAATTGACCACTGCACCTTACTCGGAGAGAAAGTGTTCAATAGTCGAATAGTTCAGGTAGTGACTGAGACAACACTGAGAAGAAGAAGAAGAAGAAGAAGAAACAGAAACGCCGAGTGTCCCTCGAGCTCTTGACGTTGTCGTTCGTAATGGATGAGTGGATGAGTAGACGGGTAGAGCAGACCAGAGAAGGTGCCGTCAGACTATCAAATGATATTATGCCTCGTTTTGAAAGGCCGCGCGCAATCCTTGGATGAAGTGTGAAATATCTCGACGGAGAGAACCCAACGAATTAAAACAAGTGCGAGGAGTGTTAGCCAGACATGAAGTCAACTGATTAACTAAACTGGTGTAATTATCACCTAACTAGTCACATACTCCGAGACTGCTGAGACAGTCATGATTCAAGCACAGGAACAGGCTCAAAATACGCCTTCACAGAAAGAAAGAAAAAAAACCCCCGAGGCAACCCCTGACGTGTTGTCGGTCAAGGAGGGGGACTTCGAATCAAGGAGGTAGTAGGTATGAAGTCGTGGTGACCAGTCAGGGAGTGCCTACCTAGCTGAATTGTTGTATCCGAGTGCTCATGCACTCACTCAGTCACTGTGAACCGGATCAAACACGAGTAAACGAGCGCCTCTGGCCCACCACAACCACGTTTTCCGGGGGGTGGGTTGGTTGCCAGTTTCGCAAGATAGTGTCGACGTCGCAATCACCAGCCCGAGGCGAGGGGGCACTTTGGCCCACAGACTCCAAACGCAAATAAATGCGCCGTGGACTCACGTACTGGACAATATCATCTGGGGGCTTTAGATTGGACGGAGAGGCCCGCTCAACTTGTTTTTCCGCCTCCCCTCCCGTCCCAAATCTGGTCTGAAAGGGGCATTTCTGGCAGATTTCCCATGTGGATTGATGATTCTCGGTCCTCGCTCCCGTCATCTTGGTCCGTGCAAACGTCAAATTTGGAAAGCACTGTCCATCCACATATGATCGATGATCAGTCCGAGCGACCGGTCACGTTCTACGTGATCCCTCGCGAAGGGTAAGTTGGAAGTAGATTCCGTTGCTGTGCATCGTCATGCCCACTGTCTGGACGGGCCGTTTGAGACCTTCGACTCTGAAGAATGTCGCGGTGCATCGCAGAGATGGCTCCTTCCCTACCATGACGATGCTCCAGGTGAGTTTGTTCGAGGCAAGTGGCGAAGCGCCGCCAATACACCAACGCTGAAACAAAGTGTACTTGCTTTGTTCTCGGCTGTTGTTGTTGTCTTCCGAGTGAGTGTCAGGGCCGACTCCTCTCCTGAAGTTACGATCCTGATTCAGCGTTCCACCGTCGGTAGGACAGTCAAAATCTCTTGTTGCAAATATTGTCGGTGCGCTCGCGAACCTTCTCTTATCGAAAATTCCCAAGCACTGACCTTTTGTTGCTGCAAGAACTTCTGGTGAAAGACGAATTGGCTAATGATTGAAAGTCACTTGCAAGTCAGAAACCCTGTTGTTGGGGGAGAATTGGACCATGATAGTGCTATCGACAGCGCCACGTTCCGGGGCACAAGGTTTTCTGGGCCGAGTGAGCAATGCAACCTTGAGGCACTCTTTGGCCTCAAATTATTGTCACCCGAAGCCGTTATAACTCGCCACAGCATTCGCGACGTCAAGGCTCTTGCACCCCAGGCCTTATATTCTCACTTCGGCAGGCTAGGAGCTGTCGTTCCGCTTCTGAGTTCTCGGATATATTCCTGTGGGTGGTTTCTGATAGTCCAGGTCAACATGAACGGACCAAGTGCATGTCGAATGAGTGGTCTCAAAATCCTAGTCGCAGGGGGGTCGATCGGTGGTTTGGCCACTGCTGTTGCCCTCAAGGCTCAAGGTCATTATGTTACTGTCCGTTCTCACTCTGCTTCTGTGTCCGAATGGACCAAGACAGACCAATATCTGACGCAGCACAACAGGTTTATGAGCAAGCACTTACCCCGGATACGTTGGGTGCGGGCATAACCATCTTCCCAAACTCCCTTCGCGCCCTCGACGCGTTAGGAATCGACACCAATCAGATCAAATCTGTGAGGATCAAGCGGGTGAGAATAGGAACTGAGGCTCCCGGAGAACACTCCCACCGTTCAATGGCTAACTTTTTGGGCAGTTGATCAGGACATCCATTGAGGTGGATGGGTCGGCTAATACTGTTGGAGACGAGATCGAGGAGAAGGACTGGGTATAATCTTTTCTCCCTCGTTAGCAAGGCCATTGGTACTAATTACTTCGCAGCCATGGTATCAGACGACGTACCGAGATCTGTTTGTGTCTCTTTGGGAGGCTGCGCACGATAGTTCCAGGCCTGGTCCGCGAATTGATGTTGTGAGCTCAAAGTCGGTCATCAGTATTGATCCCGTCAAGGCTATGGTGTACTTCTCGGACGGGACACAGGCAGTAGGAGACGCCATCATTGGTGCCGACGGTGTACACTCTGTCTGTCGATCGTTCGTTCCTGGAGGGAGTTTTCCGCGGTTCCGCATCAAGCGTCACGTCTTTCGAGCCTTGATCCCCCGTGAACGGCTCGCAAAGGACCCTCGCACGATCAAATTCATCGAGAAAGAGGGTGATGCGTACTGTTACATTTACCAGGAAAGGAGCCTTCTGATCACGCCGGCGTCGAACGGTGAGAACTGCTGTATCAAGTTCCTGTACGAGGATCGAATGGCGTTCAAGAACCTGAGCAAGGACTGGAGAGATCCGTCGAGCAAGCTGAAACTCCTGCGACTTGCCGACGGCTTGCCTGAGGAGTGCATGGCCTTGTTCGAGAAGATTTCAGACCGGGACCTCCAAGATCAGCCGATTTGGGACATGGACCCCCTCACAACATTTCGATCGAACCGGATGGTGTTGATGGGAGACGCCGCACATCCCATGCCCCCGTACTGTGGCCAACGGATCGCCATGGCACTAGAAGACGCCCTCGCGTTGGGCGTCCTTCTGGAAACCGCGACACCCGCCAGCGAGGTCGACGAACGGCTCATGTTGTACTCGGCCACGCGCAAGACGCGCGCCGTTGCCGTGCAGAAAACCATGAGGGGACTTTCGGAATCAGACATGAGAAACTTTGCGACAGAATTTGAGGGTAAGTCGAGCCACGAGGGAGTAGAGAAAAAGGAACCCCGCCCTCCTCCCCGGGAAGCACCTCTTTTGCAAGTCTGACGTTGGACAGCGTACTCTTTTCACAATTACATTCTTGGCCACGATGAGCTCGAGCACATGGCTCAAGCTTTGCGTGTTTGGAAGAAGCAAAGATGCTTGACGCAGGGTTCGTCGGAGTCTCTGGAGCCGCGGCAACAACGGCCGGCCCAGGTCTGGAAAGAATGCGACGAGGACAAGAAGAAGAAGGCGCCACAGCCAATGTCGCCTTCACCGAAAAAGTGGTGGTCAATAGGAAGGCAAGGGTCGAAGACATGGTCGAGGGTCTTTTCGTCCGCAGAAACGCCCCGATCTGTCGCTACAACATCATAACTGTCAGCGCGCGCGACTCTCTATGGAACAGTTTAGTGGTTTTCACCAGGACGTTTCGGAATAGGCGGGTTAAAAGCACCCCAGGGATTACAGAGACGATGATGTCTGCACCCTTTTGCGCAGCTGCAAGGAAGCATATCATTCTTGGGTACCCAAGATTCCTGGCAGCAATTGAAACAATATGTACATTAGTAGAGTAGGGAGGATTATTGGACAACCTGTACACCTACGTGACTAGGACGTCCTCCGTACTGCACCGGCCCGTCTGAGCATCACAAGACTTGGAAGATGTGATTTTGAATTATGGCATCGAACGACCTTGGCATGTAGAGAAGATTCTGAAAATCTGGGCTCAAGACAAGCCGCGTACCTGGGGCGGTATGCATCCATCCAGCCACCTAGACAGTCTAGACAAGGGGGAAGGGCGCAGGAGGTGGGAAACAACGGCAGAAGAAGTCCGTACTACCAAAAAAAGAGGATATGTAGTAGTAGTAGTTCGATCACGTCGACAATGCGGCACTGACACAAGTATTGCACTGCCTGACCTCCTGTGTGTGCGTGCCGTTCTTCAGCCAGCAATTCGCAAAGTCCGACGTATTGCTGGCCGCCATTGCGCCATTCCATGTGACACCCTTGCAGCTGTGCTGGCTGTCTTGGCCCCAGCGATCCGCGAAGTAGACCATGTTGGAACATGCGTACAGGCAGTCTGTGACGGTGTAGGCGAACAGGGCGACGTAGTCGGCGACGGTGAGGTCCGGATTCGTGTCGTCCGGCGTCGAGCTGCCCATGTCGATGCCGCAGTAGAGCGTGAAGAGTCGGGAGTACTTGCTCGTCGTGATCACCTGGGTGTCGGTGTTGCAGTCGGGATATTCGAGGCTCCCGACGAAGTAGGGTTCGGCGACCACGTAGTTTTGGAGGGAGGAGGGTGAAGGGGTCGACGTCGAGGACGTACCGGTCACGCTGCCGGTGCCACCGTCTGCTGAAGCCGTGATGGTTATGGTGGCTGTGGGTACGCTGACACGTTGAAGACTATGTCAGCTTTTCGTAAAAACTGTCCGGAGCACATATGCGCAAGGAGTCGAATTGACGACGGCTCTGAAAGAGTACGTCGGAGAGAGAGAGAGAGAGACAAAACAACTTACGCTGCATTTGACTCCGAGTTCGAATCCGAGTCTTGACCCGACATGGCACCTGCCACACCTCCTCCGACGGCGCCGCCGACGACGAGAGCAGTTATCGTGGCGACGAGGAGTCCAAATGTCAAAGGTGATAGACCCCACGGGTTCCGCTTGCCCAACGGCGGCGACGGCTCTGCCACAGCCTCTGGTGGCACGTATCCATTCTGATGTTGGTATTGGTATTGATCGTGCTGCGGTTCCGAGATGATTGCTTGAGGCAATGCTGACTTGGGAATTCCCGGCGGGTTATGAGTCGCGACCTCTGGGTAGACGTGCTGCGCTGCCTCACCAGTTACAGCATACTTGTCTGACAAGCCACTTGATGAGTATGTTCCTGACATCCTCTTTATCAAGCCGGGACGAAGCTCGGAGCGTCAACGCAGAGTATGCTGTCGGGGTACCTCACGTTGGTGGTTGAGTGTTACATCCGAGTAAACGACTTTGTCAGCGATAACGACAGTAACGACGGCAGTAGCAACGACGGCAGTGGATGCAGAAGCAACGTCCAGGAAGACATCCACTACTAGCAGTAGCAAGGAGGGTATAGAAGAGGTTGGGCGCAGCAAGAACACACACCCCTCGGAAGCCGGAAACACTCTCCTGTAACACTTTCAACGGCCGAGATCTCTCGCATGACTGGTTCACACTCCCCAAACAAGGAGATCCTTTCACCGGGGTGGTTTGAAGTAGGACAATTTCGGCACAATCGGTTTGGAATACATTAGGACCACACAAGTGCCATCAACGCTTGAAAGCGAGCTTTAGGCCCCCATTCGGGGCTTGGCCATGCCGTTTCAACAGCGTTAGAAAGCGACTAGTGGTCGACATCCTAAGTCCAGAATCGTCGTTGCAAATCCTTGTTTGAGCGCTTGTGAACGAGGGGCGAAAGTAGAGAAGAAAAGGAATCAGATTGGCAGCGTCGAGACATATCACGAGCACCGACCATGAGGTACTTAAAGAGGACAAGAGATGATTATGTCAGTCCTCAGACTCCAGCCAAATGCCCACTCATTTCTGGCCCCTTGAGTCAGGGGCTGGTGAGCCCACTATCAAGGCTTAGTGTCAAAAATGGCTGCCGTTTGTGAGAACGATTCGCGCTGGAGCCTGGCCAACCGGAAGAGAATTTTGACACCAAGCACCAGTGATGGAAAGGCTAGGGCAAGGGCAATAAGTGGTGATCAGTTGAGGTGATTCATAGACGCACAGGTATACAGGTGCTTTCGACATGGTGTTACGGCTCGTATAGATACATTCATTTGTGGCCATGATTTCCAGAACGCCAAACTTATGCCCTTCGATGCTGTCGCCCAAGCTATTCCGCCACCCAAACGGCAGCCATACCCCTGTTCGACAAGTCAGCATGATGAGATCGATACGCCAATCGTCCGTGGAGGAGCATCACTCACATTCCTGTCCCTACACACATACTGGTGACACCAATCTTCTTATTCGTCCGTTTAAGCTCCGTAAAAAGTGTGCTCACCTGTCGGGCGCCGGTGCATCCTGTGTCCTGTTAGCAAGATTCCGTGCGCAAGAGCATGTTTCATAGATATGTCGTACCGAGAGGATGGCCAAAGGCGATGGCACCGCCCTTGGGGTTGACCTTCTCAAAAGGCAGGCCGAGCTCCTTGACACACCACACAGCCTGACTGGCGAAGGCTTCGTTGATCTCGTAGATGTCAACCTCGTCCTTGCTCACCCCGGCTTTTTCAAGGGCCACCGGGATCGCTTTCCAAGGCCCGATGCCCATCAGTAGTGGCGGCACGCCAACCACCGATGCAGCGACAAATTTACCAAGGATGGGCTGACCCAGGCGCTCAGCAGTACTGCGCTTCATCATGAGCACAGCAGCAGCACCATCAGATACCTGTGATGCATTGCCGGCGTGAATCGAGCCGTCTTTGGCGAACGCGGGACGGATCTTGCCCAACGACTCGGGTGTGATACCAGGTCTCACGCCGTCATCCTTTGTGACGGTGACGGTCTTCTCTTGTTCCGTCTTGGGGTCGGTGTACTTGACAGTGATGGGGGCAATCTCTTCGTCGAACAGGCCTGCCTGCTGGGCCTTGAGTGCTTTCTGATACGAGCTGGCAGCAAAGGCATCTTGGTCCGCACGTGAAATATTCCTGTCTTTTGCCATCTGTTCCGACAAGACGCCCATTGGCACCTTGCAATTTGCGGACTGCATGTGATCCTCCAGAAGCTCCGAGAACTCGGTCACCGCACCAGGCCCGTACTGAGAAGACATACTCTCAACACCAGAACCCACGCCAATCTCGATCATGCCGCTCTTGATGGCGTTGGCAATGTCAACACAGGCCTGCAGACCGCTGGAGCATTGTCTATTGAGAGACTTGACCGCGGTCGACTCTGGGAACCCGGCCACAAGAGCCGCAGCTCGGTACTCGGTTGCACCACCGCCAGGTGCAAGGACACAGCCTGTGGCGATATCTTCGACCAGCGCAGGGTCAATCTTGGACCGCTCGAGGAGATTCTTGAATGTGAGGGCGAGGAGGTCGGCGGCTGCAGTATCCTTTAGCAAGCCCTTGCCTCCCTTTGTGAAGGGTGTCCGGAGAGCACACGTCACGACAACATCGTCGGGAGACTTGGAGAGGATGGACTTGTGCAAGGAAGGAGAGCCGCCGAGGTGGGAGGACACTTGGGAGAGACGTTCCTGTGCTTTGTTTGGGGCTGCACATGTCAGCGGCAGTCAACTTTCCTGGGGTCCAGATGGGCTTACATTGGGCCATTGTATCTGTTTTTGCTTGAGTATCTGCCTGGGCCTTGTAGAGAAGAAGAGTGATGATGTTGGAAAGGGAAGGAAGAGGGCAGATGGCAGCTTTATGATCACAAGGAAGGCCGGATTAGTTTTTGTTGTCTGTGTCTGAATGTCATCCTTGTCTCGCATGTGCCCTGAGGAATTTCCCAACTTGAGCCGAGGCAAACATCCAGACTGCTGATGTCATTGGTCGCAGTCATCCACGTGACCATATGCCTGTTATAGCAGCGCTAGGTTTACTAGTAAACTAACTACATGCAGAGGAGGCGCGTGGCCGCTATACGAACCCAACGATCTGTAGCAGTCCGGAAAGACGTATTTCCGATAATGTTCCCCGCTAAATTCCACTGGTGGTACCGTGGAGTACAGAGGACCGCTTGAGGTTCTCCTTCGATTCCCAGCTCGGCTATCAGTAGGACATGTGATTCGACAATATCCAAGAGATGACCCCTAGACACGACCCTACAAGCTGGCACCTCACCTTGCTTCACTGCTTTGAGGCAGGACAGGGTCGACTCAGTATTGAGTGATCGAGTCAAGGGAACAGGCTTACGGTAACTTTGGTTCTGCCGTTCAAAAGTCCGCATCGGAGAGACTATCGCTTTTCATTGACGGGTCCAAAGACCTATCAAGACTCTAAAATGTACTGGACAACCCAAAGAAGATTCGTTACTGCCGCTCTCCAGTGCTTGATCCAAGGTACGGCGTGTCCCACCTCTGTGACGAGTCGCCACAGTTTCTGAACGTCCCGTAGTACGCCGCACTTTCCTTGCAGAGCCTCACTGGGTCTTCGCTCAACGCGTAGAAACGACCTCAAGTAGCATGTTCAAACGAAAGTATCCTAGGCCCGTGCCATTCAAAGTTTCGTGTCAACCTCCAACTCCCCGTGCAAGACCCAAGACGTTGCCAACTTGCCGTTGAAAAAAAAAGGCACTTCTCACGTACGCGTAGTATGCCGCCCGAAATCGTGAATGACCGTTCGAACTAAGCCGCCGCGGGCTGGCGAACAATCTCGTAGGCGGAGAGACGGGCCCTGAGAGACTCGTTCTCCGCCATCAGGTCCGCAATGTCTGACTCAGCCTGACGAATATATGCAATGGCATCGTGGAAGACGTCGCACTTTTTAGATCTGCTCCAACCCTTTGTTGTTCCCTTCTTGTCCGTGTCATAATGGAACACCTTGAGCTTGGATGCGCGACCTGTGCCGAGCAAAGCATGGAAGAGGGCGTTGATCAAGTTGTTGATCTTTTCCCGGTACTTTCGTTCCGTCCCGGCGTGGTTGAGCCTCTTCTGTTGTCTCTCAGTTGCTTCTCGCTGTGCAAGCTCTTCAATCTGTTCCGCGCAGTCTTTCAATATCTGGCCCTGATCACTGGCCTGATTGCCCAGAGGTGGTGCACGGCGGAGGCCGCCTGGGATGCTAGCGTTCACATGGTCGATCTGCATTGGCGGCTGGACATGATGAGGAGAACTGAGTTGAGCTGGAGCGCAGGCCATGGCTTCGGGACCGACTAGATGTGTTAGCCCATCCTGAGAGGGTTGTCGGGTCGCATTTGGTGGGCTGGAGGATTGGACCGCGTTGTTTGCCTGATCTGCTGGGCCGACCTGGACAGGTTGGAAGAACTGGTTGGGTGGATGCGCCTGAAGTAGCGAGCTGGGATGATGCCCCTGTCCGGACACACTCGGGTTGCAGAATTGTTGTCCTGTGACAGATGGAAGTGGCGATATCCCATGGTTCAGTAAGCCGACTTGCGTGGGGGAAAACTCATGAGCTCCATACGTATGGCCTGGATGACCGACACGATTTGATGGATGGGCGTGGATAGGATAGTAGGGCAGGCCCTGTGCTTGGGCTGCCAGCGCTGGTGTACCATAGAATTGGTCGTGACCTGGGTAAGTCGCTTGGAGGGAAGTGTTGCGGTCAATTGGAGCGACTGGAGGTTGGCTCATGCTGATGAAGGTGTCTCTGCTCTGCTGAGGATACAACGGCAAGATATAAGAATGACGCGCCGCGATCGGATTTTGGGTGGCAGGAAAGTCTTCCCGGCTTTTGGAGTCCAGAGAATTCTGGCCAGCATTATGATGCTGCACGTTGGACTGCTCCATAGCGACGAAGACTGATGGCGGTGGCTGCAAGACGTTACGAGGAAGACTGCAAACCAAAAAATCTTGAGAGGGAGAGCTACCAATGAAGAATCAGGGAGATGAGGAATCAGAAGACGAGGGATCGGGAGATGAGGTTGGGACGTGCGGGTCTTATATACCAATTTTGCCCAACTTCTGAGGAAGATCATACCCGAGCGTTTGGCCTCGAGGCTGCTTCCAACGGATCAGCACCTGTACCTTGTGCCCTTTTCTTCGCTCTCGAGCCTGTACTGTAATGAATCTCGCCAAAATTGAGTGGTTCAGCAAACAATTTGGACCGTATCAAACAGTCAAAGAGAGGGGGAGGGGTGCATTCATTGGGAATGCGCGAGAGTCGGATGAGTGCAGGTCAGAGAAAGCAAAAGTTGGCGAGATGGCGTCGTGTGCTGTAAGGGTGCTGGTTTGAGATACGTCGTGCTTGGAATCCTACGAGTAGCAACCCGACTCCAGCGAATGTGCTCCCTGTGTTCAGACCAGGGCTGAGGCTATCGCGGCATGGGATGTGGTGTGTTGCAGGGATTCGACCCATAGACAAGCTAAACCCGCAATACCCTGCATCACTCCTGGCGGCAATGCTGCACCCTCCGGGAGGGGGAATCCAGCGTCGAGATCCTACGGCGATACACCACGATCACCGGTCTCAATGACCACTTTCTTTACGTGGAAGGTCGGAGACAAAGTTGGTGTGTAGATTGAGTTCAACCGGCTCTGGCGGGGCGATTATCTCGATCGAGTCGCACTCTCATCGTTGGTGGGAGAGGAGAGTTCATCGGGAGAAGAGCTAGCGCATCCACATACAGCTCGATCCGTCACACCGACTTTGCTTCCCTTCGCCTCCGGCTGATGACTTTTGGCTATACTTGGGTCGTCCTAGCTCATCCGGTCTCTCTGTCGAAAAATTGAATCTTTGATGTGGGTGCCGGGATTAGTACCATGGAAGAAGCCCAGGGAGTTGAGGTCTCGACCAGACGGTCTGCAGGGTGAGGCTTTCCAACATCCATTGCCATGGCTGTGGATGGTTGGGAAGATGGAGCAAGCCTAACTTAGTGGGCCCGGCATGCCGGAAACGACGCCTGTACCCGCATCAAGGCCCGTGCACGCAGAGACGATGCGGTCAAGCAGTCTGTCCTTTTGCGGACTGGATACTAAAAACCATCTGGAGCAAACATTGTATACTGGTCCAAAACCTTCCAGACAGCAAGTCCAGACCACAGTATCTGGTTTCTAAACAACGCCGAAGGTAGACCCTTGCTCGGCTGCAATCGAAATGTGCCGAATTCGGGACAAGGATCTGATGGCTTGAGCTTTACTGAGCGCAACAACGCTCTTCGGTAGGATATGGGGTTAGGAAATCCGTCACCGAGTTCCGCATTTCCTGATGAACATTTTGTATGCTTTGTCAGGTGAAGTATGTGTAATGTAGTGTTAGGAGCGTTTGGGAGATATACAAAGAAAGAGAGGAGATTGCCCACATTCGACGAGTACTTTTCTTTGTCACATGCAGCCCGTACGCAAACGAGTACTCCCACCTAAGGCTGGGGGGCTGCACAGCACGAGTCCCAACAAGTCAAGAATTTGTTGTCAGTGGGCGCAGATTGTATCCGGACTTGTTCGGAATTTGGCTGCAATCACCACCACAGGCACCTGAAGGCGCCTTGTGAATGCATTGCTCCGAATTAAGTTCCTCCCGTAAGGGGGTGCCAGGAAGAGACAGGTCTTCGACTCTACGCTCGTGTAGGATGCTGAATCTCTTGAATTGCTTCTGCGGAGCCGAGACACGAACAAACCAAAGAATCCAATACTACCCTGCAGGGCATGCACCATTGTGAAGTCAGCCTCACCTGACTCGTTCGCCAACGGAGCGCAGGTAGAAGTACTTTGGCACCCACAGACTGCGACTGCCAAAGACGAGTCAGCCTGACACTCTATGACAAAGACCGGATGCATCGAGTTCTGATTGTTCGCCGGCAATGTTATCTATTGTGTGCAATAAGGCTTGCTGGTCATCAGGAAATGCCTGGTAAAGATTGTATTAACCGTATGCCATATCGGGGACCACCAAAGTACTGACTATGGGTTTCAAGGCGGTGAGTACTAGGGACAGTGTCCTTACACAGTTGTTGTTTGGGACCGCGTTTTAAGCTCTTCCTTGCTTTGGTGTTCAGCGTGCGAATCGGCAGAAAGTGGGCATATACATGTATGTAAAATTGGATAGGTCGAGCAGGTAGCAGCAATAGGCAGCCAGGTAGAAGATACACGACTTCATGGGAGAGCCGTTAGCCTGCAGCACCGAAGAGCAAGCCGAGCGACGAAAAACCACTCCAAACTCCCATCATCCTCCAAATACTCGGAGGACAATAGAGATCCCCTGACAAGTTGACGAAACCAGCCCAAAAGAGCCATTGTCCAATGAAAAGCGGAACCATATAGATTGCCATTCGGTAGACGAGGCCGATGTGGTCTTGTTCCAGATGCATCTTCTGCAAAGTCTTCGGCAACGATGATTGCTGCCTTGAGGAGGAGGAGTAGTCGGACAGCAACATCTCATTTTGCTGCCCGGACACATCCTTCTTCTTTCCGAATCCGAGCATACTGAAAATCTGGTTCCTCATCTTTCGCATGATGACCAACAGTGAGATCAAGGCGAAGCCGACTGAGACAAGGACCAATACCGATCCACGGTACATGAGTGTTGCGTGGTAGGCATGAGGAATATGGGCAAGCCTACTAGTAGAGAACAAGCCGTTGACGCGTGCGTAGTTTGCAGTTTTTCCAACATATGTGAGCCCAACTAGCTGTTGCAATGTTTCGGATAGAGCTGCTGACGCCGCAGATCCCAGGTACTCACTATCTTCACTCTGGACATTGACGAGGAGTATCATTATCCAAGCCATTCGTGGTCGAGTAGACCAGAGCAGGACGAGGCTGCCGATGGGAACGTGTCCATAGCCCGGTGTATGGTTTAGGAGCAGCGCGTTGACGAAATTTGCGGCCACGCTGAGTATGAAGCTGAGAAACCCGGTCAATATCCACATGCTCGACCCTGCTTTCCCACATCGGCCAAAGGTAATGCGCTCAACGAATGTTCGTCGACTCAAAAGAATAGATACCAGCAGGACGATGACATTGATGGCCGCAAATGATCCGAGTTCCGCCGGAGTCGACGCGCAGTCAGTCTGAGTGGTAGTGCTGTTGTTGGTGCTGCGCGTCTCATTTCGTACTTGCCACTTCCACGGGAACAGTCCCTGATAGGCGAGATCACTTAGAGAGTCTAAGTCTGTCCAGTGCCGGTAGAACTCTTGCTTGTGGTTCAGAGGATTGTAAGTGTTCAGATAGTCCCTGCAAACATGAGTATTCCAATTCATGAAATCTCTGGCCCCGGTGCTGCTGTCCTGACAGAGTCCGTCGCAGGAGTTGCGTACAAGGTCGCCACAATAGTAGTTGCGTGGATCTGAGGTGTTCCAAAACCGTGATACGTCAGCAAAGACAGACGCACAAGTCTTGTTCATTTCTGCTGCGCATCTCGGTGGATGATCCCCAAGGCTGGAAAGGTAGTCTGTGACCGCCACAGGTTCACTAGCAGGCGCCTCAGTATGCTTAGAACTTGGAGCGGAGGTCCACTTATATATCCCATGAAACGAATATCCTTGGCCCTCGGTGACATGCCTGTAAGAGACTTTGAGGCCAGAGCAAGAGGATAGAAAGTTGCTGGCAGGTACCAGTCTAGCACTTCCAGGTCCTTCTGCACATCTCAGGAGTGTCGCGTGGTTCCCATAGGAAAGTGTCTGGCAATGCGAACCAGGCTTGTCACTGAGAAATCTTAGCAAGTTCTGGGTGACCACCGCAACTTGGTTTCGCTCACCAGTACAGAGTGCCATCAATGATGCTTGACTGAGATTGACTCTTGGTGGTGCGAGTTGCACATACGGATATCAACTCGGAACATGAACCGCGGGAGGCACAACAGACATTCGAGGATGCTAAGGCACAAGTCTCTGTTGTTTGGCAAGTGATAAATTCATCTGACCCCACGATAAACCTTTAGATACTGCGCAGTAACAACAGATTTCAGCAAATGATATTAATGGATGAACCTACTGGGTGCGCCTCCGACGAACCCACACCAATTCGGTGGCAGGACAGACACTGTCAAATCGTCAAAGACTGCGATGGCAGGGCGCTTTGTCTTTCCCCCTCTCGCCTGGAGCACCTTAGAGGTATTTAACTCCAAATCTGACGGATGGGAATGCCTTGGACTTGTAGTCACCAGAGGGGCACGCGCGTGGGCTTTCGGAGCCGGATGAAGCGACAACAGAGGGTGGAAAGTAGTCGAGGAAGGGGTCCCAGGACTGGTTGGCCAAGAAGACACGCTCCAAGGCAGCAGCAAGGACATGTATGCAGTCCAGCGCATTGAGGTATTCGTGAACTGCCGGATTGAAGAGATGCTGCAGGACAGAGTTGTGCGACCAGGCTGTCCATGGGGCAGCACTGGTCTTCTAAATAATGCAGAAAGGCGAACACAGCTAAAGCGTAGGCCGATCGCCTTGTCGTGTGGCGCCCTTGGCAAGGCGCATAAACAGGTAAATGGCCAAAGGTTTGAAACAACGGCTACTCAGCCTCAGCAGCGCAGCCTATGGCAGACTGGCCTGGGATGGTCATTTCCAATATTTCTCGAGGCAGAATTCGGTTCCAGGAGTTGGAAAGGGGTGTGAGCCGCTAAAACGGGTGGGCGTGCGTCGCTCCTAGGGAGGTGCACGCTGACCGCACATAGTCCTGTCCCAGCTATTGTGCATTTCTGTAGATTTCCACCGTAGATGATCGGCTCCTATCTCGAGAACCAAAGTCAAAGTATCTGTCCATCGGTAACGTGAAAAGTGAGTTCATCTCAGTCTGGTGGTCAACATTTGTGTGATCCAACTAAGGTCGAAGTCTGACAGCAGGATTCTTGAGAGAAAATGGCAGTCAACGGCACCTTGGTCACCGCAACACCTTTCGATCTAGGGCCGAGAATTTTGTATGACGGCGTTGCGTACGCAGGGTCCTTGAACTCGACATCAAGCCATCATTTCAGTTTCAGCATCAGCATCGAACTCTCCGTTCCGCTTGGGTTCCTGTTCGGAGCCTTGGTTTGGTGGTACAGGTCACACATTGTGCGGGCTTTTTGTTAGCGACGGATGGTCGGAAGATGTTATATGCGCGACATTGCCTTGGCTTGTTCACAGGGGAGTCCTGAGAAAGCGTGGAATGTCGGGACAGTTCAGATCTGCAGGCTGTGCTGGCTGATGCGTCGCACCACTGGGAATTCATACTGGGTGGGTATGGAGAACACCAATGCTGGATGAGATCTTTACTGGCATAGCATTGGGAGGTGCATGAGGTCTACGGATACTCGTAGTGCCTGGGTGTCCAAAATGGGTGCCGATGGTGAGAGCGATTTATTACACTGATTGTACACAGTGCCGGGCAGAGGATTCAAGTTTGTTGGGCGCGGGTGGACAAGGTGCACGGGTGGCAGGCGCCCGGTCCCGAAGTGTGGATAAACATCATCATCCCACGTAGCACGATCATACAGAATCTCTCATTGTTCAATCTAATTCTGTAGGCACTTGGATTCTTGAGATGTGGTTCGACCATTGTACAGGAGAGCAAGACAGAGGGTGCAGTCTATACACACCCACAGTGGGCGTCGTCACCTTTCTCTGCGATACACTGCCACAGGCTCCGCGGGCGTGAGTATCAGGCGTCGCGGTAGTCTTCAACTGTCCACCATGATTTGATCTGGATATCCCAAAAATTGTTCTCAAGCGCAGAGAGGATATTGTGGAATGAGGCATTGTTGCTCTTGTGTACATGGAATAGATGGAACGATGCTATGACGAATGTCCAACACAAACACACTCAGGAGCCCATGCACCTTTGGGGCAAGAACAAGGGCGAAATTACGCCTTGCCCCCCTACATTGTGGTTCCAGTTTTCGTAATTGTCTTTCTTTGACCCGAAATACGGCCACCGAGTCCTTCAGAAGACTTCGTTGGCCATCACCTTCGTCGCAAGGGACTGCAGGGCACTGAGAAATGGCTTCGAGGCCCTCTCTGACAAATCGTTCACGGCCTCGGTCCTGGCTCTCTGTCTTGTTTCCAGCGGTCTTCCTTGCTGGGCCAGTTGCTGGTGAAAAGAGATTATTGCCTCCGTGATAAATATTATGTAGATGTTCGTCCAATCGTGGGCGATTTTGGCTTTTCTCTCAGCATAGATAGGGAGACGATCCAAATCAAGGTTGAGCTGTTCACACAAGTACATCGCAAGTTTTGAGGCGTCGTACTTGTTCCCATCGCGGTCACAGCGCTGTTGTGAAAGCGAGTAGACTGATCGAACAACATGATGCATCCGCCGATTGAAGTTCTCTATGTGCCTTTGGTCGAGTTGGTGGGCATCCATTAATCCTTGACCGTAGACAGCACACATCTTCTTCCGGCGTCTCAAGACCTCGGAATCGGGAGGCAGCGCAGCCTCACGCTGTAGGCGGGCACCGAAAGGAGTTCTGAGGATGGTCGTGAAAGGTTTTGCGGGGGGATGCTCTTGAGAGGCCAGAGGGAGCATAGGAGGCTGCTTGACGAGAACTTGAGGTGTCTTGCTATGGAGTTGAGGAGACTGCTGACTGACCAGAGCTGGAGGGGTGACAACATGGACTTGACGATGTTGCTGACAGACAAGATCAGGAAGATCGGCAATATGGTCTGGATGAATTTGCTGTCTGTCAAGAACCTCAGAATCCTCAATATGACCTTCAGGAGTGCATTCTCTTTGTTCTTCAATCCGAGCCTTGGTTCGTCGTTCGGCCGGCTCCAGGCCAGAGTCTGCCTTTCTTTTCTTTGGCTGTCCAGAGACTGTGTTTTCCACTTTGTCTTCCAACGAGTACTCATGCGCTACACTCTGACCAAGAGACTCGTGTAATTTTAGGAAATCACCCAGTTCCATACCCAAGCCGTGCTCGAGCAGATTCATGGTTGCATAGAATTGAACTTCAAAATTCTCGGCGTCCCATGCCTCGAAAGAGGTGTAGTAGTGACCCTTGCCGACGCGGATTCTGCCGATTCGGTTGCGGACGGATACTGGGTCTTCTTCAAAGACAAAGCAAAGGTCTCCGTATCTATCGCAAAGGTAGTCTATTACATGAGGGGTCAGTGAGTAGTGCGCAGCTTAATCAATCGCCACGGTGACTTGCCTCTCTTCTCTTTGAACTTCTGTTCCGGGCTCAGTGAGTCCCAGTGGGACGCCTTTGGCATCTCAAAGACGAGAGTGTATCCGCGAATGACCTTGGGTGCATTCTTGGCCGCGTCCCTAATACGATTGTATTCCTTCAATTGCAGAACATCGCTGAGCTGAGCATAGCTTGCATCTTGCAGATATGGTGGTGGAGACCATGGCTTGTCAGAATCAGGCTCGGACCGAGCAGCAAGACGGGGCATCGCGGGCGAAAGACCAGGTGAATCAAGCGGACCATATATCTAGATAGAGAGGTACCTAGAGGGAGAGGTAGAGGCGGAGGTAGAGGCGTGGGAGCATAAACTCAAGATGGACAATGTGGTGTGGAAGGAGCATATTTTATGTGATGAGGGCAGGAGCACAAAGGTGCTGCCTAGGAAATGTCTGATTGTGTTGTTTTCACCATTGAAGGGGCAATCCAGTGGAGGCGACTGCTCTCCTGCCGTCCCGTCCATGCCCATTGTCTTTGTGGTTGTGCTTCAGTGAAGGCAAACAATGCCTTCACATATCGCTGTGAAGCTGATCTATTCGCAGGCTGAGCATCGGGACACTGTTAGCCATCTAAGGAAGCGCAGCATGATCTCAGTGTCAAATGTACCACGGTGAAACCAAGGAAGGATTGGCGCAATGGTCGTATCCAACCCACTCACTCTCAACTGATGCCCTCAGTAGCCTTGCCTCTTCTTGGGCTGATACGGCTCCTCGAGGTACTTGATGTCCTCGTCACTCAACTTTATCTTACAAGCTTCCACCGCCTCGTCAATTCTTTCCTTCTTGTTCAAGCCGACGATGGGGCAGACATCCTTCTTACTCAGGGACCAAGCGATGGCGATCTGCGCCATACTCTTCCCCATCTTGCGTGCGACCTCTTCCACACGGCCGACGATCTCCTCGTCAACCTTGTCATCCCTGGACCGTACTAGGACCTTGAGGTAGTTGTCGGTCTTCTCTCGTAGACTGTCGCGGCTGCGGTATGGTCGGGCCAAGGCGCCACGGGCCACGGGCGACCAGGGGATCAGGCCGACCCCGGTGTGGTTGCAGTAGGGGATCATTTCGTTCTCCTCCTCCCTGTACAGAAGGTTATAGTAGTTCTGCATCGAGATGAACTTGTGCCAGCCATGCTTCTCGGCCACGTTTTGAAGTTCTTGGAATTCCCACGCCGCCATGCTAGACGCTCCAATGTAGCGGACCTTGCCGGACTCGACGACGTCATTGAGCGCTCTCATGATTTCTTCACGGGGGCTCTCGCGGTCAAGGCGATGGATCTGAAGGACGTCGATGTAGGTGCCCAGCCTTGCCACGCTCTTGTCCACAGCATCAATAATGTGTTTCCGGCTGAGACCAACTTGATTGACCATGTCGCCGTCATTCTGTCCGTTCCAAGTGTTAATAGCTGTCCCAGAGGCGGGAGCGCGATCAAGGGGCGGGAAGCAAAAGGCAAAATCATACGACGGAGCTAGCACTTATTTGAATACCGGGTGCACTGGGGACCACGCCAAAATAGCATTTGCTGAGGATCACAAGCCTCTCTCTCGGAATGTTGTACTTTTTGATCGCCTTGCCGATGATCTCCTCGGATCGACCGTGGCTATAGACGTCTGCTGTGTCCCAGGTCCGTAGACCCACTTTGTAGGCGTGTTCCAGAAGCGGGAGAGAATCTTCTTCGTTCAGAACCCAGCCTTGCCATTCCGGTGTTCCGTAGGACATTGCACCACTGCCGGAATCAGTTTCACCGCACACACAAAGCAACGTTTCAAGAAAGCACTCACAGAATGACCTTGGAGACCTTCAGGCCCGACTTTCCAAGATATTGATATTCCATTCTGCAAGATGATGAGCGGTGTGTATTCGAGATGAAGGGTGACGAGAAGCTGTTTAGAGCTGTTCTCAAGAAAAGATGTCGTTGTATTTACGTCGCCGCCCGGCTTGTTGATGGAGCAAAAGCCTCCACACTATCCGAACATCGGACGGAGATAACGTCTAACGCCGCTCCGCAAAGATTCGCTTATCTCAGCCTGCCCCATCTCGTCTCGCGGGCCTTGAACACTGTGATGAAAACCTCGTCCGTACCATGCAATCCATCAGAGTTATCCTAGCCAATGCATTCGAAGCGAGAACTTGCATTCACTGTATTTATCTGTCATTTGGTGGTTTCACTGAGAAATTGTTAGTCAACATGTGTTTGGGTACAATTGGTTTGGGCTGGGCAGTGCCTCGGGCCAACTGTCCAGGTATTTCGGGACAACCACCACCACCAAACTTGAAAGATGAGGGTCCTGACGCTTGAACAAACCGAAAGAGGCCAGGAGGGAGGGAGAGAGGGGGGTTACCAGGGTCATGTAAGGGAACGCCGTTGATTGCAAAAACAACCGGGAAGACTCGCCTCCATCTCGACGGATATGTGAGGATAATCATTTCAATCCTTTATCATTCGTTGTTGTTTCCAAGACCATTATTCGTTCAAAGACAGAATTCATCCAGACGGGTCATTCTCAGGGTTAGGAAGAAGGAACTCGTGCCAGCCAACAAAGAACTCATCCCACCACCACCAACAAAGGGCTCGACAGTCGGGTTTCATCCCCAACGAAGTCAGTTTCGTCGTCCTCCTCGAAACCTCCTTCTTCATCCAGATATCAAGAGCAAGGAACGCTTCCATCCATAACACTTGACCATTCATTCTGGACTAGATCGACACGACGCATTTCATCATGTGCTGGCGAATTGCAACTTGCCGCGAAGGAGGACCTTTCATGCAGCTGATTTAGCTTTGCAAGAGAGCCTTCGTTGCCGCGCCCGTTTTTATATTCAGCTCTGGCCTACTCCAAGCCGTGTAAAGGTCGATTCGATCGCTCTCGACATCTGCCCTCGAGATATTCCCCCCGATTTCCCCGAGTGCCAGCGTCGTCACATCAGCGTTGCTTGAGGATTTCCCTGTCGTACATCCGGCGTGGCTCACTAGGTTGAGAGTATTCGCCAGGTTGGAGGTTGGTCCCGACTCTTCCCGAATCTGTCTGCTTCCCTCTCTCCACCCCTTGGGTTGTGCTTTCAGCATCGCATCCGCGCAACCCCATGTGCAGAGGATAACTCGATTAGTTGAGACGGCTCATGCTTTGACGTTGGCGAGGGTCTCAGAGAGGAGAATGCCGCTCGCTTGGGTCGTTTCGCAAAAATGTGTTTTGGTCGGAGCTACTACTACTGATCTCTTCTTCTACCTGCTCCTCCCAACCAGTGGTAGGACGTGTGCTCCCAGGGTCTCATATCCACCATCCAAGAAGCGGCAGAAAGACACCTCTCGTGTGTGGGCAGGTCAATGCCTGGCTCAACTCGACACTGGCGATGCAAAATCAGAGCAACGTTTTGTCCGATGTCAGTGTGATCTAAGCCGCTAAACCTTCGCGGCCAGGGAAACTATGCGGCCACCAACCACTCAAAACGATCGTCAAGGCCTCTCGAACGATATCCGCTTGGCATGGGTCGCCGGCATTGAAATTTTCACGCTGGCCTGCACCTGAGTCGGTCTGTCATAGTCTCGTTCCTGCGCTGCCGATAGCGCGCGATCCACACGCGCTGCGCCCCTTAAAGGTACACATACACATCGACACAGCGTCAGGCATGAATGCTTAGTCATCGATCAACACCTTCGTTTGGCACTTGGACGCAACCGGCGACTCTGAATCCCACCACTCCTTCCTGTCGAGGCTCCAAAAATTGGTCTTCGCCGATTCCATGTGTTAAGGGATTTGCCTGCGCGGGTAGTTTTCTTGCTTCGTGCTCAGCTTGTGCTACCCCCATTTTTCTTTTTCTTTTTCTTTTTCTTTTTCTTCTTCTTCTTCTTCTTCTTCTTCTTCTTCTTCTTCTTCTTCTGCTTCTGCCGGTTTGTGCGATGGGTGCGGCCTGATATGTACCTCTCCGACACCGTCCACATCGTCTGCGAGGTCGACAGTGAGATGAGTGTACCCTACCAAGCGACGATAGGATGGGAACTTGGTGCGAGCTGTACAGCAAGCCAACTTGTACTATTCGGCCGATGACTTTCCCGTAAGGATATCGAGAACAATCCCTTTTCATTGATCCCATCCTCTATCAATACCTCCATGCGAGTCGTTTGCCGAGCCACAATGCCCAGCTTTGTCGAGGTACAATGTCCATTAAGTCTTCGACCATTATGTCCTGGGAGGCCTGGACTTCGCTTTGACAGAGGGAATGGCCGTCGAAGTATATAGGTTGCTCTCTATCTCTCCCTCTCCAGGTCCAGGTTCTCTGCATATCCCACACGCAAACCACAGAGAGTTCTCCGCCAAGTTCAGAAACAAGCAAGATATCTTGATCCCGTTTTTTCGAAACACGTCTGATTCTCTGAACCAGCTAAACCGGACTCACTTGGTCACCCTTTCCCTTTTTCCGTCACAAAAGCAAAGCAAAGCAAAGCAAACCCGCAAGAAAAACAAAAGGATGTCTCAGGCTCAGGCTCAGGACCTTGGCTTGGAGGAGGAGGCCCCTTACTACGCACCTCCGGCCGATTTGCCTGCGCCCCTCCCGACGACAGACGAGATCAAAAACGCCACCGACATCATTGCCGACGACAATGGGCATCCAAAAGTGGTCTGCGTCGGGCCTTATGTCATCAAGTACGGCCGCGGCGTGGACCTCTACGAAGGCAAGAACATGATGTTCGTCGAACAGGCTACTACCACCGGCGCGGTACGACTACCCCGAGTGTATGCTTTCTTCGAGGACGCCGCCGACGAGTGCACCTACATCATCATGGAGAAGATCCAAGGACAAACCCTGAAAGCCCTCTGGCCGAGTCTGGACGATGCGCGCAAGGATCGAATCTGCCGACAGATCAAGGCGTCCGTCACCGAGCTGCGCGCCATGCCGTCCCCCACCGGTGGTTACTGCGCCCCGGGTAACCGACCTCTCCGCGTCGGCTTGTATCCCGACGTGGGCCCAGTGGACACTGAAGCAGAATTCAACGATGCCCTGCTTGAGCACTTCTTGCGCACAAAGGGTGGGTACAAAGCGCTAGACCCCTCCGATCCCATGTTCGCCATGCTCGCGAGACACCTTCCCACTCTTGACGAAAGCTTGAAGAAACACTCGTGGGCCGCGAATTGGTTCCGTCGACAATTCTCTGCTGTCTTTCGAGATCATCCGCCTACATTCGCCCACGGAGATTTGAAGCCCGAGAACATCATGGTTGATCCGCAAAACAATGACATGGTGACTCTCATTGATTGGCGGAAGGCTGGGTGGTACCCCTCCTACTGGGAGTATTTCCCGGCTGTCATGGGGTGCACCAACTTCTACAACACCGACTGGGATGAATGGCTGGACCGCGTTCTTGTACCTTACCCAAACGAGTATGTCTGGCAGATGTTTCTCTGGTGCAACATGTACAATTGAGTACCTAGGTGCATCTTTTCGAGCATCATGGTAGGTCTATTCCCCTGGCACATTCCCTCTCGATGATCAACCATTTTCGGTTCATTGCTGATGCCGACCCCTTTTCATTCCTGAGTATGCCCAACCCCAGCCCAAACCACTATCAATCCCAATCCCATGCCCATGCCCCAGCACCTATCACTCCTTCCAACTCCAATGCTGGACTTGATCAACCCTGCGCCTGCATACCTGGTACAGAGTTGGGGTCCGCACTCTGTCTTTCGTTAGCTTTACTCCTCATAGATCAATGGATGACAAGTTTTCTTTCCTACCTCTGAATGCCATGACATGTCGCTTGAGGAGTCGTTGCTGTTCCTAGATGATTTGTTGGGCACGAAGTTCGTCGACCACCTCATTGACCCACACTCTCACAGTCCTCAGTGGTGTGTCGGGGCTGATCCTCTTATACTGTTTGAACTGGATCTCGGGCGGGGGAATACGGACGCAGACCTCCTCGAGTCGAGGGTAGTCGGCCTGCGTCACTGTTCCGACGTATATTTTTCTGGCAAAACTTGGATCGTCTTCGGGCACGTAACCACCAATTGGCTGGCAAGTCAGACCCTGGGCAAGGTTGCCTTCGACTTTACACACATGGCCAAATTCGCCAGGGAACACGTCGACAAAGAGTTCTGCATAGTTCGGGTCGCCCCTGTTGAACTCCAAGATGTAGACCTGATACTGCTTCATCCTGACGTGGAGAATTGATCGCGATCCGGACAAGGAAGTAAGTGGCAGGTAGGTGGGTAGGTAGCAGATTGGCAAATCCAAGGAGCTCTCCTTCGAACTCTTGTTGATGATATTGGGGGGTAATAATGCCACATACCTTGCGAGGCATCTTGAGATGATCCTGTTTGTTGAATGAACTGCGTGGGGAGTTTGCTTGTGACTAGAAGAAAAAGAAAACCATCATTGATGGAATGAGAGATGTATGTATGTATGTAGCAATCAATGCCGCGCTTTCTGTCTTGGCCGTTCAGCATTCTACTCAAAAAAGGGTAGGATACATACCATGATGTGGTTCCCCACTGAGTCACCAGTGGGAGTACAAAGGCATTTGCTAGCAACCGCCTCTCATTGTGTCAAACGATGAAAGAAAAATGTTTTGCCTTTTGTGGTATGGATGGCGGTGCTTCGGAACCCTCCCAGAAGAAATCATGGGGAATTGAATGGTGTGTCCCAAACGATGCAAAACAATGGTTTGTGTCCCGACTCTTTGCTTTGTTTTTATTGCGGCCCATCGTTCCATTGCTTCCGTCGAACAAAGCAGCATAGGGGCAAACCATGCAAAGATGATGCTAGGAGTTTGACCAGAGCGCTGAACGAGACAAAGGCGGTAACTTCGTTCAGGTCTTTCCGCGTGAGATACCAGCCTGCGGAAAAAAGCGCTCCTCTTGCCGTTGCCGTACGGAGTGTGTCGTCCTCAGAGCCGTCGTCGTTGGATGAAACAATTGCCCTGATCGGGGCGCGTAGAACATGGGTCTGGATCGCGAGTAGTACTAGTAAGAGTAAGTGTCTTGTTGCTTTTGTGAAGGCGCTTGCTTTCGATTCTGAAGATTTGCCCATGGCACCTCAGGTTGCGTCGACTCGTAGAAACTTGGCTCCGTCCGTTCAGTCCTGCAGCACAAGACAACGAGGTACACGCCACGCCCCAGCCAGATCCAGATCGTGCTCCTTCATCTCATCCACCCAGAAGTCTAACACGCCACGACCGCCCAACTTCGCTATTGCGAATCCGTTAGCTGTTGAGATCTGGAGTCGTTCCTGTTGTGCTCGTGTCATTGGTCGCTTGGTTGCCCGGATCGGACTAGTGTTCACCCCATTCGCCTCGTTGTGTTTGAATTCCCGCAAATCTTTCCTCCCTGCTGGCTACAATGGCACACATGACATGATAGGGTGCAGGAGGAGATTGACGATCTCAAGAACAAGATAGAAAGACGGAGAGGCGGGTGGATCTCCAGCTTTGAACCTTTGGACATGACCCAGTTCTTGTAATCGTCCAGCGGCTACTCATTCCGCCTTGACCTTTGGTACGAACTTCTTGTCCAACACAGGCTGGATCATCGTTGCGATCCACTCGTACGAGGTGAACAAGATACCACCTGCCAACACGGTCCGGCCGAGCCTCATGGTACTTCCCCTCCACAGACCTCGGACGCCATAGTCGTCGACGATGCTCTTGAAGGCCTCGGCGACGCCGGCACCTTTCACGCTCTGGGCACGCGTTTTGAGCGTGTCAAAGGGCTGCGTGACGAAGACGACGACGGTGCCTGCGACGGCGCCATTCGCAAACGTCGTCGCCGTCGTCTGCTCGATGTTACGCAGCCGCTCAAAGTCTTTGAGGATGTTGTACGTGCCCAGCCTCACGGCCGTGGTGCTCGCCTGCTTCAGCGTCGTCGTGACGTAGCCCCGGTACAGCGCATTCCGGACGCCGTGCTCGGCGATGAGAGTGCGGGTGGCGTGCAGCGGGGACGTGAACCGCCTGTCGTGTCTCGCGTCGTCGATGAGCGCCGTCTTGATGCGCTCCGTCGGCGTTACGGCAAACGTGCTGGCCACAACGCCTGCAGAGATGCCCGCCATGAGGTTGCGGAGCGGCGATAGCGTGCCGGTCTCCGGGTCCTTGAAGGCGTTCTTGATGCTGTCGAACGAGATGAACCGGATCGCGTCCTTCAACACCGTCCCCATCACGAGCGTCTCGCATCCCTTGTACAGAGATCGCGGCCCTTCCTTTTCGATGACTGCTTTGATCACCCGGAAAGGGTTGCGCGTCGGACTGTCTTCGTGTAATTGGACTCTTGTTTTGGCGAATTCGAATGCTGTACGAGAAAAATGTTAGTTTCCACAAACGCGGGTGTCGATGCGGACTGAGGCCGGAGCTTGAGACACGGTTGAGGTAGAACGTGTAGTAACAGATTCACAATAGTCTCTAGTCCCTCGTTCCGAGTCCTTGGTCTCAAGTCTCTATTCCCACTGCCTCGGATATCCAAGATCAGGCCGTGATTTGACTTACGATATGTGATTGTCGCCTCGACACCACCAGCCGCTCCTCCAGCTATCAGAGAGACGAGCGGTGTCTTTTCAGAGCCCTGCAGAACGTGAGATGTTAGCCAAAAGCCCTCGAAGGCGAGGTCATCCATAGAATATTGGTATGGAGCAGAAGGACACGGAAGAAAAGACAGAAAGCCGGGAGATGTCCCGTGAAGTGCAAAATACATACATCACTGGAGACCATGATGTTGGACGCCGGCCCAACTCCAGCGCTGTTTCCGACTGGCACGGGCTAGATAATGAACGAGTGTCGCCGCGAGGGCAAAGAAATCACTCTGGGAAACAAAGTAGGGACCTCGAGGTCTAGTCTATCTTGTATGGAGTGGGAGATTCGGGGTAACAAAAAGACGTCGAATTTTGATCAAAACAAATCAACCATAACCCAGGGAAGGGACCTGAGGTACGTCAAAGGAAGCCACGATGGGCGGATATAATATTATTATTCGGCCATGCGGAGCCCCCGATGTCGCTTGGTGGGAATTCCGGACGAGGCGTCAAGCAACCGACTGTGTTGTACGAATGTCACGGCGATTTACCTCGGATACTTCTCGGCTCAAGGCCATGAAAAGACCACTTACTCCTCGTAGGGTGCTTCGCTGACAGCCTCGAAGACATGACAAAGGGAGGAATCTGACCAAAGGACGTCGAGCCCCCGATGTCTCGCCCTAAGAGTCCCCGATCGGAGCTAAGGACCGATCGATCTCCATATAACTCATCAGCATTGAACGGATTCGAACAAGCATGGCTTCTGAGAGGGCATATGAAGTTGCGCTCGTATAAGACGTCTTCACACCTTCTCTGTATTTTCAGCCGAGTACTACCTTCGCCGTACGTCTTGAAAGACAGAAAAGATGGTCAAAGAATATCTAGGTACCTCCTACCCTTGTTTGACAGGTACAAACAAAAGAGAATGGAAACGACACGATCCATCCATGGCGTCCTGCGTTGCTTTCCCGAAAATCCGAATACGTTACATACACAAAGACACACAGAGCACGGGCGCGACTTAGCCCATGTCGTTCAATTCCTTTCTTTCTTTTGTGCAGACGTACACCATATCCATTTTTCCACACCTCAAAAGAGAATAAAAAAGATCAACGCCAATCCACGGTATCACTAGGCGTAGAGTACATAACCCGACGGTCAGACCTTCAGCAACAGCTCTTCAAAAGACTGCCAGGTTTCACTAGACCTCAATAGTCCTCTTCTCCTCGGTTCCTTTGCTCATCAGTGGTGGTTGACCTCCACTACCCTCGTCTGTTCCGTCCTGGAATCCGAATCGCTGGTTTGCATTGCTGTTGACTGCATCCCGCATCATCCTCATGCCCTCCTCGGGATTCTTCAGGCTCGCTTGTCGGAAGGCATTCTCCATGTCAACCACCCTCTTCTTGAACGCGAGCCGATCCAAGAACAGTTGTTGTCGGCTCTTTTCCACATCTTTGCGCTCCGTCTGCACAGTTTCCTCCATCTCCGAAAACTGCGACAACTTCATCTCGAGTTTCTGTAAGGTGAGGTTGACGCCTGCACCGATCATGCGCGTCAGTTCGCGCTCCTCGTAAGACGCGAGTCCGCTAGATCGTGCCGCCGCAGTGGCCGTTCCTACAGTAGCAACGTCAGTCACGACCGCTGCAGCCGCATCAGCACCGTCCGCGTCAGCATCGGTCTTTGTTTCCGCAGCCGACTCGTCAACCTCCATTGTATCCTCAGCCTTGACCTTCTCTTTGCCCTTGGTTGAGTCTGCCTCGCCTCCACCCATTCCCTTCTCAAGTTGTGCTCGTATCTCTTTCTGCATCACCTCAATAGATCGACCGGCAGCCGCAGCAACAACCTTTGGGTCGGCCATTTGAGTGAGGAAAGCCATGACCGACATGACCGGATTGTCCGACTGGTTGAACGGACTTCTTCCAGATAGCGCCTTCATAATGCCGTTACCTTTGAGAGGACCGTCCTCGAGATATGGGTCTTGGATGTCTAGCTGCAAGAATTTGAGCACGCACTCTTCTCTCGTCCTCGTTCCCACGTGTTTGGAGATTGCCTCCCAGTTGTCGTCGAACGTTTCCATTGCCTCCAGCAGCAACAACGTTTCTGAATCTGTCCAAGGTGCATTCTTGTCTGGAATATGCGAGTATGCGGGCTCGTCCATCTTCACAAAATCCGATGATCGGTGGTTGCTGGGCATTCTGGATTGGAGATAGCAGTTGGGACACAGGTCGTACTTGTTGTCTCCAGTAGCATTCGACACCGTGTCTGACTTGGCATAATGAAACCGAGAGCGAGTGCAATCGACGCCACAAGCATAGCAATTGAACGTTTTGATGGGTGCTTTTGCAGCCGAAACCATTGCTTTGGTTTCGCCATTTGCCGACGGTCCATCTCCGTTTTCCTGCTTTCCCGGCTCCTCACTTGCCTTGACCTCTTTGCCCTTGTCATCGTAGACGTTCCTCCGAACCTCGAGGTTCAGATCCGCCTTGGACGCGGGTGTGGCAGATTTAGCGCGGTCGGTTGAAGGATGTGGCTTCCCAGGGGTGGTTATCGTCTTCTGGGCAGGCTGGAATGGTTGGAGTCCGCGAGGAGTGTCTGCCGTGATTTTGAAGTGCCCAGTAAAAGGAGGACCGATATGGGCGGGCCGGGTTTGGGGATCGACCTGTTTATGTAAGTAACCCGCAGATGCGAAATCCTGGACTCCATACCTGGTAATTGATGAGGCCCCATTGTTCCAAAAAGGCATGCACACGCATAATCGCGCACACATCGCCAGCCAAATTCCTCCGACACGCGGTCACAGTCAGGTATTCGATGGGGTTCAATCTGTACGAATTGATCATGAAATCGCGGTAGTCCTTGTAGACGGCAGGTGTTTTACTGCGATTCCTGCTATTGAAAAACTCTGGCAGGGATTTCTTCTCGAGCGGATGTATCGTTGTCATGTCGAACCATGTGCTGTAGCTTGGGAGGATGATTTGATGTGTCTGCGCAACCAAGTGAGAGCTAGCTGCGGCTTCGAGTGCAGATTTCGTCTGTTCAGATTGTCCATCTACAGCCTCATTAGCAAGTCCTTCTTGACCATCATTCCCTGTCTCCAAGACCGCGTCTTTACCTTTGGCTTCGTCTTCTACACCCCCCATTTCAGCATCTTCGACTTCTCCAGTCGCCTCGTCTGCAGCGGCCGATGGCTTGGACGCATCGGCGGGGTTACCGTCTGTGGCGCTGCCGGTTTCCGCCGGAGTGCTCGTCCCTGCTCGTGGATTGTGTTAGTATTGATGGTTTTGAGCGACAAGGGCGCCGCCGCCAAATTTGCTGCATTTCGACGCGTGCATACCTTGCGTGGCAGCCTCCGCCTCTTGAGGTGCAGTCGCCTCTTCTGTCGCCATAGCAGGATCTTCCGAAGCCTCGTGCTTCAGAGCGGCGGGAGATTGTTCAGAGTTGGGCATTGTTGCGAAAGACGTTGATTGATCGCAACCCACCCACGTTGGCTCGACTCTGTGGGTGTCTCAAGAAAGTCCAGATTTCCCACGCGCCAGAATTGTAGCTTTGTCAAAGCCCCAAATCCCGAAACCCCAGAAGAGATTGTAAAAGACTGGATTCGAATAACGATGGCTGAGCGTGTTGTCGCGGAAATGTCAAACACCCTGTCGCGAAACTGCGCGGCGCCTTCGAGTGCTTCGATTGTCAATTGACCGCTAGTCCTAAAATAGTTAGGTTACTCTCGTGCCTCGAGGTCACGTGAATCATGTTTACATAAGGAAGGATCCTTCACATGCCATCTGTAGCCGAGGCTGCGCTGCGGTCCCGTTCCGAATCCCTCGTCAACACTCTCTACGAGTAAAGGACTCTTGTCTGTCTGTCGGTGCGAGTACTCGGACTCGGTCCTATTTGCCTACCTGCCTACCTAGATCCTTACTATATGTTGATGTTTGCAGTTCCAAAGATCAGGACATACCCAGACTCAGACCTCTCCTTGCTGTTCTGACGGGTACCTCTGATGTTGATGACAACAATCATTTAACTTGTTTTCCTCGACACGGCACTGGCAGTCTCAAGAACATGACCGAGAAGTCCTCGGGGTAGTGAAATGTTGATGTTGTTGAATGTTGCTGTCGATATCTAGAACCACCTAATTCATTCTCCTCCCGCTCCTGTCGAACCGTCATCCTACCTCCCTTTGGTTTCTGCCACGCGACACAACATGGCGGTGCAATCCAAGTTGCTCCCTCCAGGGCGCACTGTCAAACAACTAATCTCGAACCTGACGTCTTTGTACCTCAAAAACAGAACCAAAGTCTCGCGAACCGTCTATATCACGCTAGTAGTGGCTCTCATACATCGAATACACAATGCCATTTCGGAGCAAAAGGCCGCCGCGGCCAGAAGACAGGACGACTTACGGGTGGCACGTACGCGGCAGAGCGACGAAGCAGCCCAGGAGTCGGAACCTGAAAAGAACAAAAAAACAAAGAGGGTAGAAATCAACAGAGAGTTTCTGCGCAATCTGTTCAGGCTTCTCAAGATTGTCATCCCGGGCTGGCGGAGCAAAGAGTTGCGCCTGATTGTCAGTCACAGCGTGTTCCTGGTTCTGCGCACTCTGCTCTCGGTCTACGTGGCAGAATTGGACGGCAAGGTTGTGTCGGCGTTGGTCAAAGGCCGCGGACGAGACTTTATCTTGGGGCTGGTATGGTGGATGCTGGTGGCGATTCCGGCGACCTTCACGAACTCGATGCTGCAGTACCACCAGACGCGACTGGCGCTGACGTACCGGACACGCCTCGTGAACCACGTGCATGAAAAGTACCTCGACAACGAAAACATGACCTTCTATGCCCTGTCAGCGCTGGACGACCGGATCAAGAACGCCGACCAACTCGTGACCGTCGACATTGCCCGCTTCAGCAACTCGCTGGCAGAGCTGTACTCGAATCTTGCCAAGCCGATCCTAGACATGGTCATCTACAACTATTCTCTCTCCAAGTCTGTTGGCGGCGAGGGCTTGTTTGCCATGGCGTTACTGGTGCAGCTGTCGGCCAATGTGATGCGGGCCCTGACGCCGCCGTTTGGACGATATGTCGCGGACGAGGCGCGGCTGGAGGGAGAGTTTCGTTTTCAGCATACGCGCCTCATCGATTACAGCGAAGAAATCGCCCTGTACGCGGGGCACGAGGCGGAAAAGGACGCACTGGATAAAGGGTACTTCACGCTGATCAAGCACGTCAACCGCATCTTGCGGAGACGCTTCTACCATGGCTTCATGGAGGACTTTGTCATCAAGTACTTCTGGGGAGCGCTTGGGTTGATTCTGTGTTCGCTGCCCGTCTTCTTCAAGATCCCCGGTCAGACGCTCCAGGCCGCGGGTGATCACACAGAGAGCTTTGTCAAAAATCGAAGGATGCTACTGAGTAGCTCGGACGCGTTCGGGCGGATCATGTTTTCGTACAAGGAGATCACCGAGTTGGCGGGGTATACGTCTCGCGTCGCCGGGTTGCTGGAGGTCATGGACGAGGTGCGCGCGGGCAGGTTCGAGAAGAACTTGGTCAGCTCGGCGAGCATCGAGGAGAATGCGGCGGTGCTACAGGGCAGAGGAAGCATCGAGGAAAGCACAAACATCGAGTTCAAGGACGTCCCCATTGTCAGTCCCAACGGTGACGTCCTGGTGAAGAAGTTGACATTTGCCATCAAGCCCGGAGACCACTTGCTCATCGTCGGGCCCAACGGCTGTGGCAAGTCCAGCCTGTTCAGAATCCTCGGTGGTCTCTGGCCCGTGTACGGTGGGAGTGTGAAGAAGCCCAGCTTCGAGGATATCTTCTACATCCCCCAGCGGCCGTACCTGAGCCGGGGCACGCTGCGGGACCAGATCATCTATCCGGACACATTGTACGAGTTCCGTGCGAAGAACGGGTCCGAGGATGCCCTGAGGGAGATTCTCGTCGTTCTAGAAATTGAGTCGATCCTCAACCGGCCCAATGGCTGGGACGCGGTGGAGGAATGGCGAGACGTGTTTTCTGGTGGCCTTCAGCAGCGCATCGCTATGGCCAGGCTCTTTTACCACAAGCCCAAATACGCCATCTTGGACGAATGCACCAGCTCGGTGACTCTGGAGATGGAGAGGAAAATGTACGAGACTGCAAAGGGGCTCGGAACGACGCTCATGACGGTGAGCCATCGACGCAGTTTATGGAAGTATCATAGCGTGATTCTCCAGTTTGATGGACAGGGAGGATACGTCTTTAGCAAGCTCGATGCCGAGAGGAGGATCAAATTGGAAGATGAGAAGGAGGAGTTAGATGCTCTTCTTCGCGGTGTCGAAGGCTGGAAAGCAAGGTTGGCTGAGTTGGAGGGATGAGGATGAGAACGATGATTTCCTTCAGTCGAGGACTTGCGGGTCATTATCACACCATCTACTCACCTACCTATGAGGTATGCCTCCTTCGATGTACAAGGTACCTCACCTACCTGGACTTTGGTTTTGCAATAGAATGCAGTGGCTATACTGCGCGCCGAGAATGAAAGCCGGAGCACAAGCCTAGGAAGCGCTCTTCTGACCTGTGCTTTTTGACCGTTAAGGCCAAAATACTCTGTTTACTGAAAAACCAATCTTGAGTTCGTAGACATTGGAAGAGCAGCGGAGTATGTGGATGACTCAGCAAAGAACACGCTAAAAACCAATTTACGCGTGGACGCGTCGAACGTGTCCGACGATATTGTATGGGTACTCCGTATCTGCGCCCCCTGATCCCGCACAGAAAACGCTTTCCTTGTGACCTCAGTCCACGCCTCACCAGAACATCTTGACCATGGCGCTCGATACATTTCAGTTGCGCGATAAGGCGGTTCAGGACAGAATTCGCAATGCGACAGAATTCCTCGACCCCACCGACGAGGAAGCGCGATCCTACAGAGGAGACATCGTGCTGATGCTCAACCGCGGTCTGCGAAGACTGGTGGTCAGCATCGACGATATCAGGGCACACTCGCGAGAACTCGCCGATGGCATCCTCTACAAACCCTTCGACTATTCCCTCGCCTTCGATGCCGCTCTCAAAAAGGTCATTGGCACGATCCCCAACCGACCGCCCTTCGAGCAAGATGAAGATCGTTTATACTATGTGGCATTCTCCGGATCATTTGGAGAAAACACCTGCAACCCAAGGACCCTGGGAAGCTCATTGCTCAACCGGATGGTCTGTCTAGAAGGCATCGTCACGAAGTGCAGCCTGGTGCGGCCAAAAGTGGTCAAGAGTGTTCATTGGAACGAAAAGAAACAGACCTTCCACTTCAGAGAGTACAGAGATCAAACAATGAGTGCAAATGCGCCCGCAAGTCTGAGCGTCTATCCTCAAGAAGACGGCGACGGGAATCCAGTGAGTAAAAAGACGCGGTTTTCTTCGGCCTCAGGCACTAATGAAGCCGTAGCTTGTCACTGAATACGGCTACTGCACGTACCGAGACCACCAGACAATCAGCATACAAGAGATGCCAGAACGAGCACCTGCTGGTCAACTCCCTCGAGGTGTCGACGTCATCATGGACGACGATATGGTCGACCGCGTTAAACCTGGAGATCGCATTCAGCTGGTCGGCATCTTTCGATCTCTGGGCAACAGAAATGCTGGGTCGGGCTCCTCTATCTTCAGGACTCTTATCCTCGCAAACAACGTGGTGCTGCTATCATCTAAGTCGGGTGGTGGGATTGCAGAAGCGCAATATACCGACCAGGACGTCCGAAACATCAATAAATTTGCCAAAAAGCATAACACGTTCGAACTGCTGTCACAATCACTGGCTCCCAGTATCTATGGACACGACTATATCAAGAAATCAATCCTCCTCATGTTGCTCGGAGGTATGGAAAAGAACTTGCCTAACGGTACCCACTTGAGAGGAGACATCAACATATTAATGGTTGGTGATCCTTCGACCGCAAAGTCTCAATTGCTGAGATTCGTACTAAATACTGCTCCTTTGGCCATCGCCACCACTGGCCGCGGTTCCTCTGGAGTTGGTTTAACCGCCGCCGTCACATCAGACAAAGAGACGGGTGAGAGGAGGCTCGAAGCCGGTGCTATGGTCCTGGGAGATCGTGGCGTGGTCTGCATTGATGAATTCGACAAAATGAGCGACATAGACCGTGTTGCCATCCACGAAGTCATGGAACAGCAGACAGTAACGATCGCGAAAGCGGGCATTCATACATCACTCAACGCACGATGCAGTGTCATTGCTGCCGCCAATCCGATCTTCGGTCAGTACGACAGCAACAAGGATCCGCACAAGAATATTGCCTTGCCTGATTCTTTACTGTCGCGTTTCGACTTGCTCTTTATCGTCACTGATGACATCGACGACAAGCGAGATCGCTTGATATCAGAACACGTCCTAAGAATGCATCAGTACCGGTCTCCCGGCACAGAGGAAGGCGCTCCCATTCGCGAACAGGCTCATCAGATTTTGGGAATCGGTGTTCAAGAAGAGCACAATGCGAAACAGACATCTGAAGTGTACGAGAAGTACAATGCTGTCTTGCACTCTGGATTCACCATTGCAGGCTCTAGCAGGCGCCGGAACGCACAGTCTCAAGCGCATCCTGTCAGCATGCCTTTCTTGAAGAAGTACATCCAATACGCTAAAAGTCGATGCAAACCCAACTTGACGAAAGAAGCCAGCGATTACATTGTCAATGCCTATGCGGATTTGAGAAACGACCAGATGAAGGCGAACCAGCGTCGGACCAGCCCGATGACTGCCAGAACACTGGAAACACTCATTCGTCTATCGACTGCTCATGCAAAGGTCAGGTTGTCCAGCCGTGTTGAGAAAGCAGATGCTATGGTAGCAGAGGAGCTCTTGAAGTTTGCCCTCTTCCGTGAAATTCCTGAGAAGGAAGACAGGAGAAAGAGACGCAAGACTCGCGATGCAGGTGCAGACAGTTCCGAAGAGACCAATGACTCTTCCAGCGACGATGATAACGACAGTGGTGGTGATGATGATACCCCATATCGCGGCACAAGACCCAGTGGCAGCGGCCGCGGTTCGAAGCCCCTGACTCGCAGTCAACGATCGGCACGGACCAATGGCGGCGCAACGCAAGGCAGCGCTTCTGGTCGCGGCAATGGGCTTACCGACGCTGGAGCGGATGATGACCACGAAGAGTATGATGAGCAGCCCACCAGCTCGCGACGCTCGAGACAGACAGGAGCAGAGTCACAGATGTCCCGAATGAGCATCGGTAGCTCGTTGCCCAGCTCTCAACTTCCCTCCACACCGGCCGACACACAATCACAGAGCGAAACTCAACGGCCACCAGCCGCCATCTCGTCAGCGCGGCTTGACATGTTCCGTCGTGCCCTTGGCCCACTGATGGTTACTTCGCTATTCCAGAATGATATGGCCACCGTTTCGGACGTAACTGCTGCCGTCAACCATGGTATGCAGGAGAAGAACCAAGAAGAATTTTCCGACGTCGAGATCGTCGCAGCCCTGAAGGAGATGGGAGATCAGAACCTTATCATGTTCCTGGAGGAAAGTGGTGAGGTTTACAAGCTGTAGACAAACAATGAACGCTGTGCTCTGGTCTTTCACGGTTATTGTTGTTGTTACTGTTTCTTGAAGGAATGGCATATATGTGGGCGCTCTACTTGCGGGGATTGAATGGGCCTCTCCATGGGTTACTTGCTGTACTGTATGGGTTTAGACGAGTGACGAATCAATTACTGCCATAAGTGTACATTCTGTTTCTTGCGCACCCTGAGGTCCCCCGTGCTCCGACGATCCTGGAAGACGCCACCCTCCTCCTAGTAGACATGCAGTTCCCAATAGACTCGCCTTGAACCTGGGCCTCGCACATCGTCCGATCAGGAGCATAACTGAGAGAAAAGTACGATTTCTCTTGGAAAGGAACTATTCGTCGGTGCCGTAGGATTGTGATCTGAGACTGCCCCGACCACTGTCTAGTATGGTGAACATTGTACATGATTTCCGTACGCGATCTGTGTTGTCTGTCGCTCGATGATAGGTGTTCCTGTTGCGATCTGAGTCGAAGTACACCTCCCGAGCTATTCTCTACCTTCATAAAAGATACGACGTCCTCCGTCGGCGAGCGAGACCACTGAAAAGACGATGGTTCTGAGACTGAGATGAACTATTGTGTGTTGAGTAGTACCTGTACATTGGCTGATAGCTGCCAAAAGCGCCTGTAGTACAACGGAGATATGCATGGTAAGACAAATACAACAGCCAGGGACTTGAGGAGATTAAAGACAGCTCGCTGGCGCCGAACAACATCGTCATCTCATTCGTTTCAACTGCTGAATAGTACCTGCCTGCTTCGGGAGATGCGCAGTTGCCCTGGGTTGGTACAAGTTCCTCGAAACGTTTGCTCTTGGTCAGGATCATTCACTTTGTCTTTCCATCAGCAACCAACAAACCCTCCCTCGCTCCCTGCTACTTGGCCAAACTCACCCTCATTCAACTCGCTTCGCTTACGGCCACAATCAGACTCACAATCTTCACAAGGCTCTCGCCTGCTTTCTTTCTTGACCAGCCCTTCCTCACTGACTACCCTTTCATCATGACGAACCGACTCCTCCTGCTTGTGATCGTCGCATGCGTTGTCAACCTTTCGGCTGTCACTTTCATCATTCTTGTCGTCTCTCGCTTGAGGAAGTTCGCTTGAACAACACTTCACTGCTCCGCTTTTCCAGAGACGCAGCAACGACCTTTGCGGGCCTCATAGACCCGCGTCTCCTGCTCCTATTTGACAGTGATTGTCTCGGCCAGCACAAAGGTAGGCTCCGCCATCTCCGCTCCATCTCCGCTGTGTCTCCTGACTCCACTGTCCCTGTCTCCACATTGTCTGATATTTGCTGATGATTGACTTGCAAGGGTCCTGAAGCGAATTCCGGTCATAATCTGACATCACTTTCACAAGGGGTTCAACTGAACAATTTGAAATTATGTCGAAATGGGCTTGAATGAGGCTCCGCGCAGCTCCACGCTGAACTTACTCGGAACAAACATGTGAAACAACGAGAAGCTATGAGAAAGAGATAGGCCACCGCAACCTATAGAGTATTCTGCAGGAACTGAGATGGGAGGAGCAGCATTGTACGGCTATCACGAATAATCACAAACAAACACATACAAACAATCATGGGCAAGAGAGTTGGTGAACTATCAAGACATGCCACATCACAATCAACAGCTCAGTGTCAGAAACTGATATCACCCATGTCATTCAGAAAGGAGTGGTTTTTGCAAGCATGGAAACAACCAACCTCATTCTTGTCGGTCCGTAGCATCCAAAGATTCAAGAACGCTGAGGCTGCCTTCGATCTCGTGGGTGTTTGGTGCATATGCCTTGGCCTGTTCAGACGGTTACCGAGAGGCCCTGCCAGCTGAGAGATCAATCCTATCGTACACCCTAGCAACGAAACGTGGCAATTCTGCTCGTGTGGTTTGTGCTTTGCCCGGGTCCGTGTGTCGAGAGTGAAACGCAGAAGAAAGGGGCGGACGGTGGTAGCCTACTGTTGGAGCTGGCATCAAAAGAAGACGGGAAAGCGAAAAGGGGGGCCAGACAACCATACCAGTCCTCGTATGGTACGGCGAATCGTAGGACGTCGATGGCCGAGCTATTAGAAAAACAGTCTGGATCGAGCGGCCTGTGCGGGTTGAGGAAGTTGCCGTGGCCCGAAGTTGACAGGTACAGTACGATACAGGATTCAAAGTTCAGTCAAACGATGCTGCTGCTGGTGAGAAAGGAGAAGTGATCCTTTGAAGTTTGCCCTTGTCCTCGTGATGAGCGACGTGATGGTAGTTCACAAGTAGCCCTATGCTGTCCTGTCCCATACCGAGCACGGCTTCAGAAAAGGTTGGAGCTGCAGAAGAAGCTTTGCAAATCGAATGCAATGCGCGCGGGAAGTGAGGCAGCCAATGATAACTCGCGCTGGTCGAAAGCATGGAGACGTCAAAGCACGACACCATCAATGCATATCTGAGGGTGATCACTTTATTAGCGTGTCCTGAGACGTACCGTGGGTGTGGTTTTCACTTTCTCAGTTTCTAGAACGTCATGAACACGAGAACCGGCATACCCAGTGCGCGTGTCAGATGTCAAGACGTCAATTGCGTGTCAGGATATTTGTGGTTTCGTCGAGATGCCGGCGAGGAACACGATGCATCCGTGCGTCATCTTGGTGTGCATGAGCCAGATATGGTGTCTTGGAGGAGACGCGGGAAGACTTTGCGATTTACCGGCGATGTATCGCGGCCTGTGCATGTTGAGATATTATCCGAATACCCTGTACAAGGGCATGGCATCAGTCCCGACCTAGTTGGGATCTTGGCAGACTTCCGACTGATGGGTTGGTTGGTTGCTTGCTTGGAGGAGTCAGAGAAAGCCTGAGACCCTTGATTTCAAAGCTTGTCTTTTCGACACGTCCCATTTAGCTGACGGCCGGATGGTGACGAGTGTTTTCTTGATTGCTCCTTTGTTGAGATGATAGACAGATGTCAATCCGATGCCGCTACGGTAACGAGGATCATTGGGCGCAGAGCAAAACGGCAGAACTCTGTGGCGGTTGCGCCCATTCGGGCCCATTCGGGGAAGAGTGAGAAAGTATCTTCGGTGGCTTCATGAGTATGTTACACAACTGCATGAGGAGTGCAATTGTTTCCGTTTTTTCCCTTCGTCCTAAAAATCAAGGAAAAATGTGAAGCCGCTAGAAACCTGAATTCGAGATTCCGTTGGGGGAAGCTGTGTGCAGTTGAGTGGTAACTTGCAAGGGGGGCGGCATGGACAATAAAAACTGGTTCGGTTGCATTTTGTGGTTTACGGAAGTACTCTGTTGACTATTCCAAGAACCTTCGTATCTAAACCGACAAAAACCTGGAAAGGACCATACTTACTGGCCGTCATGAGCATCGGTGGGCACAGTCGACAGAGTCTCTGGTGCTCGAGCCCATTCCAGCAGGTGGTACTCGTACTCAGTAAGGCCACGAGAGAACTGCCACCAGGGAGAGATCTGTATATTTCATTCGGTACTCGTGCCCCGTGCGCGATCCCGTCAAAGCTGTCAGCGCACCACAAATAACAATGAAGCGGGTTCCAGGGAGTCATTGAAACTGGTCATGGGTCGTGGGACCAGATCTCTGGGATCTGTAACTTCCCTCGAAGTTACAGCACGCAAGGATGGCTCTCTTCTGCTGCAGGCTGTTGACAAAGTCTTGTTGTTGTTATCGTTATTATTGGTGTTGTTGTTGTTCGGGGGATCCCTGCAAGGTTTTCTGTGTCCAAAAGTAAAAAGCTGCAAAGGGGAGAAGTAATTTGACACCTTCGGTCTGGCCTGAAGACAAGAAAAATTCTGGGCTCGCTAGACTTCGCTTCGCAAACAGATAGCGTGCGGGTTATCCAGGCTGGTGGCTTGCTCGGTCAGCCACAATGGCACCCATTGTGCGGCCTGCCCGTAGAGTCTGTCGCTGTTGATACGTATCGAGGCCATCCAGAGACCTGTTCGATTTCTTTGTTATCCGCGTGCAATGGAAATTAATTCCATTGCACGCTGGTTCCGGAAATGGAGCCGTACAGGGATCCAGCCATTATACAAATCCTCCTCCGTCTCTTACTGTACAGTATTGCATCACTGCTTGGGCTAATGTGAAATCGAACGAAACGCACTTTCGGCAGCAGTAACAACAACAACGCAACGCCCGTGAAATCGGGTCCGCATCCCGCCGTGTCAACAGTTGCTTTCGTCGCCGCGACTGGAATCCAGTCTTGAAAGCTGACTCTGTGAGTGGGTTGGACCACACGAGTAGATCACGATCGCACCAGACCCAGAATCTCAGGTCTCAGCTGCAGCCTACAATGGGATATGGAGCCCATTTCGGCAGACCTTTACTAGTGCCGGTACCGTTTGTCCATCAGGAGCCTTTCTTGTAACTATCTACACCATAGCGGGGGACTAACTAGGGACTACTCCCTTAAAAGTCAGGCACAAGATCCGTACTTGGATAGCTTTTGTCCAGGCACCGCTGGGAACTGGAGAACTCGCATGGATCGAATCCAGTGTCGACATGCTCCCGGGCCTTCCACACAGCTGAGCAGTTCCTCCGGCCGCGTTAACTCGCCACTGCCATGCTAGGCTACTACGAGTACACATGGGACATGTTGTCATTGAATTCAGCCGTCAAGGATGTTGAACCGGGCAGATCGGCGTGCATCCCTGGAAAGTCATTCGACCACCAAGGCCTGCTCCATGTTCGCTTTGATTAGACTCTACCAAAAGCGACAGGCGCGCGCCCGGAACGTAGTCCCTTGCTTCGACGATGCACCTTTCCGGAACACAGCACAACACGCACACAAGTTGTAGTGTCAGTGTCAATTATGCCGCACGCTAGATTGACTTTGGCGATGAGAACTACCAGGGGCTGGCAAGACGGGAAACGGCGATGTCGGTCGAAGTCTCGCCTAGACACTGTCGCTAGGTACGTTTGAACACTGTATCCGTACCGTAAAGCCATTTTTTGACTCTGTACAGTACGTCAGTCTTGAGTTCTCGCCCCGAGAAAGCCCGGACCAACAAGTGCTGAGGGTGTGGTTGCACTGGACCCTGGGTTGCTGCGAAGCCACCAACAGGCTGACTACTCTTTTGTCTCGTCTTTGGCCTAGTCGCCCATCGCAACCGGATATCTGACTCTTCAGCATGCAAGGCACCAGATGGGGTTCCTGACTAGCCTAGTCCAAGTCAAACCCGTTGTAGAAAGTACATTCTTCAGCTCAGCAGCAGTTCGTCGGGGCGTTACCTTTGTGCTTTCTTGGGTCCAGACACCCTTGCAAAGCTGCGTGGCTGATTCGAGCCCATCACTAAGCCATTCTCTGATCGCCGCATCCAAATGAGTACCACCTGGTCTGACACGATGACATGACATGGCGCTCACTAGTGCCTACTGTCTTGACAGTTTTGGGAGGGGGCTTTCTCAAAGCCCATTATTACCCCAGGCACACCAATTGGACACACTTTTGCCCAGCTGTCGTCGCCTTGACCGTGATGTAGCTCGTACCCACGCCCCATCGCAGAAATGATATGACAGGCGACCCATGGATATGTTCGAGACCTGACACCGAAGACAAGGTTCAGTTGTGGACGAGTGCTTCTTTCTGCACCGGGTTCAAAATATCGATATAAATATGGGTGAGGGCTCCCCGAGCCTGGTGAGGCTCACTTCACTACCCTCATGCAGGAGAGGGCACTCGCAACAAATGGTATTGTTCGTCGAGTTGCATCGCTGACCCTTGACCACGACTCGCTCACTCTTAGTCTTTTCGATTCCCTGGCCGCAAACCACCTACCTTGCTCTCGTCCTCTCTCCTCGAACTCGCTCTATACTGCATTGAACTTGTACCATACTCCATATACGCCCCGTCACACAATAGGCGCCCAGCTAGCAATAAGCGAGGCACTTCCCCTCCCAGCAAACATGGCCTCTCTCAAGGGCCAGAGGACAAAGTCTCCAACCTATTCGCACTTGCTCTATCTCTCCGAGACCGACCGACAAATCTTTACAACCCCGTCCTCATCCTCACTCAGGTCATCGCGCTCAGTGCACTCATATCAGACCGACACAACCGCGGCCTCGGCATCAACCCGGGCCACGTCGAGAATGAGTATTCAAGCACCCCGCTTTGCCGATGACCATTACCCCCTCATCACCACCATCTACCCGGAAACGGTGCCAGAGTCTGTGCCAAAGGATCACGCAGCGCTGTGGTGCGCGCGACAAATGGCCCAGATCCACAACACAATGATCCGAGCCTTGAACTCGGCCTGGAATCATGCCGTTACGATCCAACCTTCCACACAAGAGGCCGAGGACTTTCTTTTCTTCAACCAACAGATCTGTTCCACATTGGAGCACCATCACAGAGCCGAGGACGAGCACTTCTTCCCCACGCTGGAAGCCATGCTTGGGAGGCCCGGTGGCGTTGAGAAAATCGCAAAGGCCCACGAGTCCTTCGCCGAGGGCCTGGCCATCTACCAGAAGTATGTCTTCCTCACCAAGGCGTCCGAGTACAATGGCGTCACCCTCAGGCACATCATCGAAGCCTTCGCTCCAGACTTGATCCAGCACCTGCATGATGAGATCTCGATGCTCGTGGCCTTGCACGTGCTGGACTCCAAGTCTGTCATGAAGGTGTGGAAGAGTTCCGAGCAACTCCCCGCCACGAAGTACTCGGACATCTGTGTTCTTGGCCCATGGATACTGGGCTGCCAGGACAAGTCTTTCACCATCGACGGACACAAGGCGGACTTCCCGGAGATGCCTTGGATCGTGGAGCTCGTGGCAAAGGGTTGGTTCGGCAGGCGCCATGCAGGTGCTTGGAAGTTTTGTCCGAGTGATCTGAATGGCCGGAGGAGGCAGCTCTATGTCTGAGTCGGCGCAACGGGGACTGGGATTTTCATCCAATGACTTTACGACCTATTGTCTCCTTGATTTCTGTATTTTATAGTCTCCTTGGTTGAAGCGTTCAAGCAGGTATTGTTAAGTCAATCAGGCCGGCCTACGTCCATTTCGTGTGTTGTGCAAACGTTAACAAAAGATCATTGGTCGAGCAGAGGATTGGGATGGAAAACTGGGATTGTACTATATTATCATCTTCTGGCCCACCGGCATCGCCTGTACCTGTACCTTTAGCGGTCTCTCTCTCTCTCTCTCTCTCTGAGTGTGAAGAGTCTTTGCCGTAATAATGCGCATTCAGTCTAATTCTTTTGGATCTTTTAACACTTGTTTCGTGTCCTTGACGATTTCCGGGAACAGTCCTAAGAGCTCTCGAAGGTGGCTGATCTGATGTTGGCTCGCTTTCTGCGGAGGGTCGGGAACGCTGGGCTCGACGAAGTGGACTGTGTTCAACCAGCCTCTTTCGTAGGCGGCTCGACAGTTCAGGAACGAATCATCGACGAAGTATATCTCCGTATCCTTTGATGCCCCGGCCTCTCGCAGTGCCTTTTCGAACATCTCTGGAAGCGGTTTGGGTGCCAGTGGCGTTTGGGAATAGTCACAGTACGTGATGCCCTCGAAGAGGTCTTCGATTCCGAGAAGTTTGACAACCCTACGGCCGTGCGTGATGTGGGCATTGGTGAACAACCACATCTTCACCTTGGTCTTGTCGAAGGATTCCAGGATGGCCCGGGTCCCGGCGTCGGGCGTCAGGAGATCATCTAGGGGGAGCGCGTCATCGACTTCACGGTTGAATTCCAGCGGATCGACCTGGTGGTGTCGAGAAAGTCCTTCGATCGCGAGGCCGTAGTCTTTGTAGTATTGCTGGTGAAGGCGTGTGGCTTCCTCGGTCGGCATGTTCAGGTGTGTTACAAAGTACTTGTTGATCAGCACCGCCATGTGATCATGGACCTTTTTGCTTTTCGGATAGAGACAGTTGTCTATGTCAAAGAAGAAGATTGCCCGCTCGTCTTTTGAGCCAGGGTCTGAGGCGATGGAGCCCATTCTTTACGCCGGGATGTCCCTTTATACGTCTATGTGAACGATATGTGAAGCGAAGGTCTGTGACACTCAGAAAAACAGAGATGTATTAACGTCAAGGAAAGAATAAGTCCAGTGAAGTCTATTACTTTGAAATCATGCCTGGTGAAGGATGAAATGCACCCGCCCTTGAATCATATATGACTCCCGGTCGCCGTCACAGAAATTCATTCAGTTTCGGATCACGTGTACTCCGCCTGACTTGCCCTTTTCGAGGAAGTTTGGTCGGTCCCTTGGCCGAAATTTATTGGAGCGTAGTTTGATGCGCTGTGTTGCTTCCCATCCTCGAACATCTCCTTTTCCTTCTCTTCCATCAAGCTTCAGCGTCACCACAGACGGCAAGCTTATCTTTCAGTTGTCCTGGTAATCGATCTTCATTTCGTTTGTTTCCTGCTGTCGCCGACGGTCTCACCATGTTACTGTTTTGGTAACATCTGTTGACACCGAAATCGCGCATCTTTTCGACGCGCTTCCTGCAAAATGTCAGCTTCGGCTGCCCCTTTGCTGAATGGCGCCATCCCAGGGCCTATGGGAGCGTTCAATGAGGCGTCAGAGTTTCAGAAGATTCTTAGAATACGCGATCAGGTATTCTCCGGAGATCACCCTCGACTGACTGTGCCTGCCCATTCCATCAGACTGTCGTCGTCTCAGACTCCCTCGACTGTGTCCCAGTCTCTTTTGAATGTCCCTCCTCCATTGCCCAGCAGTGTCTCGCCAAATCGTCTTGCCGGCATCTCATCAAGACAGGAAGAAACCACCAAGGCCAATGGTGTTGCCAGTAATGTTTCTGAATTTGACCCAATCCTCTTGACCAAGTCGGATGATCTAGTTCGAGCTGAAATACAACTGAAGCGGCAGAGGCTGGAGAGGACCCTTAAAGAGCAGTTTGAACAAAAAAGACAAGATGCACGAAGGAAGCCTGCGCCGTCCGAAGCGAAGCCAGACTTTGACCTTCCGGCTGTCCTTGCCAAGGTGCTGAAGACACCCAAATCGCCTACTACTAAAGATGAGGGCGAGGCCAGCGACTCCTTTGACGCAAACTCTTTGTACTCGAGCAGGGCTCCAGACTCGACACCAGAAGGGCCCAATTCTGGAGACGAGAGTGATGACGTGCAAGCTGACGAGCCTCCCAGGCCACCCGCTGTGAGTGCTGTCATGGGTGAACCTCTCCCGCAAGATGATGAGCGTCCTGCCTCTACTAATGTCCAGCCGGTGCCACAACCTATTGCAGCTACTTCCGCAATAGAGGTGGATGATGAAGAGGAGGAAGGTGAATACTCGCCTCCAGAGGCCACGGCTTTCCCCGTCGCTAAGATTGCATCATCACAACCTATGCCAGACGATAGAGATCCAAGAGGACGCCCCTTGCGCAGATACTCGGAGACTGAGGACAATGGGAGGCGGCCACTATCCCCATCGGAAGCCAACATGCGGATTGTAAGGAACCAAATCACCTCCCCAGTTGCCCCAGTCCCTTCGCGTGTCTCTCCTCTTGCTGTAGCTAAGGATCCGCCCTTTTTGCAGAACGGACGTCAAAAACAGTCACAAATTGGTAGACCGGGTTCGCCGCCAAGTCCCGATGAATCACAAGGAAACATTCCTCCTAGGAAGAGAAGAAAGCTCGAGCGGCGAGCAGAGAAGAGAGCGAGACAGAACGGCGGTTACGCTCCGCATGTCAAGGAGGAGAACATCTCGCCTCCGCCGTTTCATGACGTCCAACCGCTTGGCTCGGGCAGGCTCCGGCCGATAGGTGCAGATCGACCGATCGTTATTGAAGAAGATCCAATGCAAGACGCTCATTATATGCCGCCCCCGGAACGGTACGTGGACTCTCCCGCGCGGCCGATTCATCGTCAGGTCGAACAGTTGATGCCTTTGAGTGAGCCACGCGCCATGTCAAGGGCTAGTCTGAGGCCGATGCGAGAGGATCAAGATCTCCGAAGAGTTGCCAGCATGCACAACATGAGAGCCGAGGGCCCTCGCGAATACACCGATCCGTACTACGAATCTCCCGCTCGGACGAGAGCGGTTTCTTACGCTAGAGCGGGAACTCCTGCCGCCTACGAATCACCTCGCTATCAACGTGAACCTCTCGAAGAGTACGACAGACCCCACCAGGAAGTGAGGGTGGTTCGCACACCCGCACCAGTTTACCGCGAAATCTACGATGATGCTGAGCCCTATCGCTATACAGCCGAGCCAATGCCACCGCCCCGGATGGTGGAGAGGATTGTGGTCGACAGCTACGGTAGACGGTTTCGCGAAATCATTGAGGAGCGGCCGCCTGCCTTCTCGAGAGCAGTGTCGGTTCGGAGAAACGATGTGGAACCGAGCTATGACGGTTATCGGAATACGAGAGCAGGATCTGTCTTTGTTGAGCCTCCGCCAGAAAGAAACTTCTCAACAGCAGATATGCCACCGCCACCACCCTCTTATCGCCGCGGCGGTGAGACGTTGCGTAGCTCAGTCGCCGCTGCTCCTCCCTCGCGAGAATTTGCCGAACCTGGATCGCTGCCGCGGAGCGCAAGTGTGATGATGAACCATTCACCGCGGCACGCTATGTATCCTGACGAGAGGCCTGGCTTTCGTGAACCCATTCGGATGGGCAGCGTGCGCCCACCAGCGATGCGATATGAAGAAGCCCCTGCGGCGCAGTTGATGGCAAGATCACAAAGCGTTCGCCCAGGCATTCGTGAGGGTAGCTATTTTCCACATGATAGACCTCCAGTCAGCCACGAGTATGCCACTTCAGAGCAATCGAGATATCATGCACCTGAGTCAGACCCAAGACACTACGATGCGCAAGGAAGGGAGATCATCCCTATGGATGGACCTATGGACATGAGACCAAGAGGTGTGGATAGATATTGAGATTGAGGAAAGTGTCATAGTGTGTGTGCTTCGGATATGGCACTCTCTGGCATGGGGAATGTCTATCGTCAACAGATCAAAGGACGCTCTTATTCATCACAGCTTTGGAGTGATGTGTGTGTACAAAACCGAACGCTTGGGTGCTGTGTTTGATGCGGAGTACTTGATGTTATTACTCATCACCGATGAATAGCCATCTTAATCATTCATGAAACGCAGCCTCATGGGCTCCTGGCCTTAGTCCGAAATGCACAGCGATTGTTTCAGGATTGTGTGGGAATGAACTACACATGGCCTCGCCAGCAGATGGCGTATCTCGTCTGTGATTCGTCGAAGGTCGAATTTACGCGCCCCGTCCTCATTTCATCCCATCCTCCTTCGCCAATCCATTACAGCAAATAACATGGCCCAAAAGACTATCAACATTCCATTCGCCGCATGCTGAGTTCGGCGCTTGCTGCCTCGAGACCTTGTCGGGAAACTGTTAGCCCATCTGGCCAGACTTGCTGGCACGCTCTCAGCCAACCATCTGGGACGCCGCGACGTGTATCCATACATGGAGGAAGACGTCGCATCCCAAGCGCCAAAGTACAATGTGATTGCAGCAAGGAAGGATTGAAGCTCCGCTGTAACATCCGCTCGGCGCATCATGACGAGGTTCTCAGGAACCATGGTTCATGGGCAGCTTGAGAAATTGGGAAGCTGCGTTTCATGTTTTTCCTCTTCGTTCCCTGCGGCTGACTTGGTAGTTCCTTCTCGAGGTAAGAGGAGCAGGGCGTGGCTGCCACTGTTATGTTGATCTCTTTTTCGATTCACCTCGTCTGACTTCCACCGTCGTCCTTTATTCTTTGCAAGGTTCACTCTGATGCCGGGCTTCACAACATCTTCGTGTCGAGACTGAGTCGTGAAGTGACCTCAATCACTTCTTGGTGTGTAAAGCTGTCCGGATCGCCTATCATGAGGTGTGGATCTGCAGCGGAGGACTCGCAAGAGCAGTCTTGTGCCATGACGCTGTTTGACTGCTTCTCTTCCCAAAAGACTGGTGGTGCGCCTGGGAGCCATGAGAGGCCTGATGGTGAGTTTCCTCACGACAACATCGATGGATTGTGGCCTCGAGACTGACGTTACTCAGGCGTTGAGCGTGAGATGCAGATCATGTACCAGCAGCCGCATTTGGTTCCGCCCATGAAGCTTACGGTCTTCGATGAACTTCCGCCTACACCTCCTCCTCAGGTCCCCTCGCAGCTCTCCCAATGGGTTGCACAAGGCAAAGCGAGTCTCAGGTGGAGCCTATCAGTCCGCAAACACACCACTCGACCACCCGTCTCAAGACCTCTTCCACTAATGACAACAAATCAATTACCTTTTCGAAGGACGGGACCCGAGTTTAGGCCTATTGAACTTAGTATTCACTCGCCTGACAATCGCCTCTCGGACCTTCCAAGGTTTGACCGCCTGAGTTTCACTGAATCTGGAGAGATCAAGCTACCGCCTCGAGCATTGTTACGTACACAATCAGAACATCTTGTGCCTTCCAAGATCTCACTTTCGCCTGCCATCGTCAAGCCTGCGTCAATGATCGAGCAGCGTAGGCTGTGGAGCATGCGGCCGCAGACTTCATCAACTGTCATCTCACATTCTCGGCCTCCCTCAGAGCACGATGCTCTCCACTCCCACCCTGTCTCGATGGTGTCTCTGCCGGGACTTCCACCGCCTGTCCATGGTGCAGATCGATTGGAACATCCTTCAGTCGCTATACTCACTCCTATGCAGGAGGAGTTCAGCCCACCTGCGACCTCCGTCACCATCGACGGCGTATCGCTTGGCTTCCCCAAAGACGTCGACCTGCAAGAGACACTAGCACGACGACGACACGACGTGCCACAGCCAGAAGGAGCGCCCGCCCCCATTGTACCTACTGCCCTGATGAGAAACTTCTCCAAGCCTACGGAGACAGATTCGCCAGAGACGTACTTTCATCCTAATTACCACACGCAAAAACGGATATCTCACTGGCTTGCTCACAATACTTCGGCGTCGATGGACACTACCAGGTCTTCAACTACAACAACGTCCTCATTTGCCGAACATCGTCGCAGGCGGGCTCAATTCTATCAGTTGTCCGCGGCACCACCAAGGGATTTAAGCATGGTTCCAGTTCCTCAGAAACCTGAAAGAACAATGACACAGTCGACGGTTGTTAGTAACGCCGAGACAGACATGTTGTCCTCTGAATATCAAAACCGCACCGACACAAGCATGACCACTGTGGAGTCCCCAGGACCGATCGGCCTGGTCAAGAGCATCTCTAAGACGACGGAGACGGTCGCCAACGGAGTCTCCGACGTCCTACCCTCACCCGCTGACGCAGAGGCCGTGGACGGGGCCGATGACGGCCGCGTTGTCATCGAGGAGATCGGCGGCCCTTTGAGAAGCCCAGGAGTCGGAGTGGCCTTTTAGTATCGCTTTGGATTCTCTTTTGGAAGCCTTGCTTGGTTTTATTTCTTCTCAACCCACTGCAAGCCTCCTCGGACAGCTTCCTTGACGAGCAAGGGGACACCAAAGCTTTAGTTTTCTCATTCAGCAGTGCTGCTATTTGCAAGGGAAGAAAGCTACGGCAAAAAAGAAGAAGAAGAAACGCTGTTTGCAAAACATGGGAGGGATTCACTCGTTGATCTGTTCTTCTGGCTCGGGCACCAGACCCTCGAGAGACCTACTTACCTGGATTTAGAGATACCCAACCGTATAGTTTTTTTGGATTGTTTGTGTTACAAAAAGAAGTATGGGGGCTATGGTGACGGAAATGAGCAAGCCGAAGGAGATTAAGACTATTTTGTACATGCAGTCTGAGGTTAATATCAATCGAGTTTTTCTACTTTGAAGGCACCAAGGAAGTTTTATCAGACGTTTGTCCCTCTTGTTACTTTCATCACACAGCCCGGGGGGGCAATCTGGACTACTATTGTAGCAGATCCGAAGTAGATGGACGACTGTGGACGGAGTTTTCGCCGTCACAGGGACGTGTGGAACGACCAAGGTGAGGGAGTGGTAGGCAACATCACATACCTCGGTAGATGACAAACTAGTAGAATGTAAACCAAGAGAAAAGGGGACTCGAAAGGGAAAAGCAAAGAGATTGGACAAAAAGGAAGAGGACAATGACATCTACTTAGTACCAAGGTACTCCGTACTTGGGGAGTCAGTCAAGTAACTGTTTGGGCTCGGTGGTAGTAGTCATATCCATTGCCTTTCACAATCCCATCTCAAGCGGACGGACCTCGATCTACTTTGCAAAAATGTACAAGAACTCTTCACGCCAAACGCTAATGCTCCGTAACCATCGTCATGACCTCTATAACACCCACTCCAATCAGAAACACAACGAAACGCCATCTAATGACCGCTTTGCAACGCAATGCAAAAAGTAATCAAACATGACCCATGCATCCATCCACGATTATTGTCCGTCATTGGAACCCGCCGCTCGTCGAGTAATACCCACTCAGTCTCGAATTGTTCATCTGACTCGGTCGGCGCTGCAGATACTCCGATTGAGATGCTGGCTGATGCTGATACATCTGCTGACTTGTCCATTGCTGCTGCATCGGCGTTGGGGTCGGTGAGAGACCAAGGGTACTACCTGGCGCCCTTGAGTAACCCCACTGGCCACTTGCTCGCGGATCAACAGTATGCTCATGCATTGGATATTGTTGGTATCCATAGGTCCGCTCAGCGGCGTGTCTTTGGGCAATAGCCTCCTTGACCATGTGTCCGGCAACGCCTTGTTTCATGTTGCGTCTTTCCTGTTCGCGAGCTTCAATAGCCCCAATTAGACCAATAGACGGATCGGGGGTGTTGCTTCTTCCTCCCAGTTGGATCAGAGGACCGCCCGTCATCTTGGCGACATGTTCTTGTTCTCTGGCTGACAGGTACGAGGAATAATCGATGAGCAGCGAGTTTCTGGAGCTTGGACGCACCAGTGAATCTCGGCTCTTCTGTAATTTACTCGGAGATCGTTCAACCTGGCTGTATGAGACGCTACGATGAGGTGCATGACCATTCGGGACTCGGGCAGCGGCAGCCCTCAGTTGAACAAACTCTTCTGCAGTCAGGCCACCACCGGGGCTTTGTCGACCTGCTGCAGTCCCAGGATGCCACGCGTAACTAGACGAGCGAGAATGCTGCGGTCGTCCACTTAAACTACGTTCCGAGGGCGACGCCTTCCCATCATCAGGCGACATGTTCTGCGGTGGGACAGGGGATGTTTGAGAACGCCGAGACGTCGTTGGCTGATCAAGTATTCCACTTGCTGTGGCAGGGCGGCTTTGTCCTCCTGGAGTTAACATGGGGGTGAAGGTTGTGCCGAAGTCCACAGTCGGAATATCTGTCTTGATGAACTCTGAAGCTTGAGTACGCGAGTTCCCCAGACTTGAGTCCCCCACCGTCTTCAACACTCCCGTCCGTTTTGGCGGAAGGATAGAAGGATTAGAGTCTTCATAAGGACTGTCGTAGTCGGGCGAGCCAGGGGTGTCGTTCTCGTAGCTCGATGCTGAATAATTAGACATAACGTTGGGTGATGGTGCTCGTACAGGCGGCGGGAGGAGATTTGACGTCGGCGTCGGGACGGGTTTTCGTACAATGGGCGTTTGTTTAGGCCTCGGCAGGTCAAAATGGGACTGAGAATATTCTGGGGTCACATCAGCTGGGCTTTGGGTGAAAGCACCATCATCTGCTACCATCGCTTGAGAGGCAAGTTGATTAGCAGACGTTTCTCTTTCATCATGGGGTGTTGGATTTACCCCTCGAAAAGAATTCCCCTGGCCCTCATCCGCGTGTCTCCCGTTATTCCACGCCATATGCGCAGCACGCCCCGCCGCCCCACCATTGGCGGCTTTGTTCACGTCAGCAATCTGAGACAAAGTGGCGTTGCTCATGCGGCTTTTCTCTCGCCTCAAGTCTGGCCTGGCGTCCGGTCTCTTTTGAGGAAGATCACCAGCGTTATGTTGGAAGCTTGGAGGCGGCACGACAGGAGATGGAGGTATTGGCTGGCCGACATCGGCTTTAATATCCTCTGGATTTGTCCGTGGCGCCTGTCCATCGCTATCTGAACTGTATCGGCTGTCAGGGGAATCGGTTTCTGTCATCATCACGTTATTCTTGTAGGTGCCATCACGGTAACTTGGAGGCACCGGCGGAGGCTGGATGGGCTCTGTGTCGGATAGCTCGGTTGACAGCCTTGACGGTGGAAGATTCTCCTTTTGTCGGCGACTTTTTGTCGGTGACATATATGTTACCGACTCCGAAACAGATCTCGAGTGGTGATTCTGTCCAGGAGTCAAATACGCACCATTCGTCGGTGCGTTAGAGATCTTTTGCGCCGAAGGAAAAGCCATGTCGGTGGATTGGTTATGCTGATGTCGAGAGGGCGTCGACCGTATCGACGCTCCATCATCATAATGTACGCCTGGTATAGATTCCGAAACGGTCCTGGCTCCGGCTTTTCCATCCAGGGTCGTGCTTGATCTTCTCTGCGCAGTCATGGCCATCCGACGGGAAGTGGATTCTTTCAGCTGTTTGCGCCATTCTCGTTCGCTCCATCTGTCACTGCCTGGGGTATGAATAAGCGCTGCGACATCAATAATGTCCAGGTATCCATATCTTCTCTCCTTCGGCATAGCAAACATCAGCCCCCGAGTGTCCCACGTGTCGGCTATCAGTCGCTGAGGGCGACCGTATAGATGGAAAACATCATACACAGGGAAAAGCCACCGCAGCAACATTTCGAAGCCAGACACTGCAGGATGGAGCTCTGGCATGACGAACACAAAGCCTTCCGTTTTTGACTCTGGCTGCGAATGGATGGTGATTCGTCCCTCGACCTTCACCAGGGTCGACTGGTCAATTAGTGACTTTGCTTGGGGATAGATGGCATAGGCAGAGTACGCTTCGGTAATAGTGGCTATGGGTTTGGCCTTTTTGGTCTTCTTAGTGTCGTAGAATTTGATTTGACCTTTTGGCAACGATGGCCTATCGTATGCCGACTTTTTCTTCAGCGACTTGTTGGACTTTTGCCATTCCTTCAGATCCGGAGGATCTATAACACACCAGCATCGTCTCCATGGAGTGCCAGCGCCAAACCTGACACGGGCCCAGTCTTCTGAGCGAAACCTCGATCTTTCCATGATAGTACGGATATTATTCAGATGCTTTCCTTTGCCGGCGATCAAAGAGCCGGTGTACAGTTCCTGCAGCGACGAGTGTTCGAACATAGCCAGCCGGATTCCCGCTGTCCATTGTGTCAATGAGTGCAACGAGTTGAAGTGGAGCAGGTATCGATTTTTGCCCGCGGTAGATATAGACAGGACGTTTTGGAGAGGCGCAACGTTAGGATTGCGGGTAGGGAGAGTCTCGATCTGGGGAAATCAGTATGCGAAGCCAGACACAAAGGAGACCAGACCATCTTGATCGAAGCGTCTGCCAGGTTGATGAACGTGGGAGCAACCTCTCCATCTTGACCAGCCGCATCCAATGCCGCGGCATCCCAAAGCGAAAGTATCGTTCCCACCAGTTGAGCAAAGCATTCTGTCCAGTTTCGATCGGGATATGGCCGGCCGTCTATGACGATGTTAGCAATCTGGACAACAAGGATGAATGTTCCTTTTACTTGTATCGAGATCATTGAGCTTAAGAAAATAGCCTAGAACAGCAGTCAGCCCCCTCTCTTATCTTTGTTCAGGGCACTTCTGTTTCAGAACCTTCTTGGTACAGCTTGTTGTTGTGACTAGTCAAGAAGCTGATGGCCTCGTCAGCGCCAGATTTACCACATATCTCAGAGTCCTTCGCACCTGAAAACCGGCACCAGCTCTTCAACGTGCATGTCTCTTGCCGAATCCATCGATGGAGGTACGTATATGGTGGAATTCGGCCGGGATGACACTCGATCGCCTCGTTGGTCCACCCGAGGGTTGTCTTCGAACGGTGAGGAGCGTAGTTCTGGAGACGGAGCGGGCGAATCCTTGTCGACTAGTTGTGTCTTGCCGTGGGAGGAGGATCTGGAGAAAGACTGAACCGAGTCATTGGAAAGGTTTCCCAGAGCAGCTGCTTTCAAACTCTGGGAGAAGTTGCGAAGGCGACCCATGTTGTTTGTTGTGAAAGGGCTCCTGCGGCCTTTGAGCGCAGCCAAAAGATCACAACAAGCAGGTAGGACCGTGCAGCGCAGGGCAGAGCACTTTCACCACCGGGTTGACTGTGTTTCCAAGAAAAAGGATCAGGTTGCCATGAGAGCTTCCAGACTGACTAGAATTGTGGGAGGCTCAAGTGACCGGTGGACAATAGTGGCGCAGCGCAGTGGGCACGAAAGTGTCTTGAACGAAATCAAATTTACAGCTTGATCGATGTGCCGTGATTTAGCCAAGTTTATCGATAAGATGAAAGACGGGATGACTGCGACGTGAATCTCATGGAGGTGATCGAACGAGCGGAACGGGAACAGCGAGGAAGCTCTATGGAACCATGCTCCAGGCGATATTGATGATGTCCATGATCTTCTGCAATGGCAGCGAAATAGGAAATAATGGATGGCCTGTTCCGTCACAGCACGAGTCCGAGAACAGGGCGATATTGCGACCATCCGTTCGTATCCAGCATTCGGCTCTCATCCTGGCCTGGCGTGCGAAAAGAGGGTCTATTGGACACTATCAATCACCACTGACGTCTTGTTTACCATCCGGTCCATCGCTGGCGCTTGTTTGCCGTCTTGAGAATAGCACAACGCCCAGCCTGTCAGGCATGAAATCTTCGGCTAGTGAGGCTCGGCTATGATCTGGCGCGCGAACGTGCCTACATGCCCTCGCACACTGCAGCTGAACGGAGCGGACGGTTTGCGATGCTGGCCTGATGAGCCTGACCGCGACGACAATAATATCAGGTCATAGCGCATCACTAACTAGTTCTCTCCTTACTGTACAGTATGACTCGGGAGCTCTGGTAGCATCAGCGAACGAGACTCTTGAGGCTCCATCCTCCGGGAGATGATCGCACAGCGCCGTCATCGTTGGTGCTTGCGTGGCCCGTCCAAACCCCGTCGCGCCGTCGTCCCCTTCATGCTAGTACAGAAGCCTCACTCACCATTGGGCTCCCGGCAGTCTGCGGCGAAACATGCATGGGTCATGTGTAACCTCTCCGCAACGCTTATGCAGTGGTGCTTCGCGTAGTTCCGTCGCTGTCCGCTGTACTGGAAATTAGAGTGCGAACACACCGGCACACCACACTGCAAGGAATTGCTCAACGACTTCACTTCTGTCGAATACAGTTGCAGCTTTGGCACGAGCGTGAATCTCCAAACTAAGTTCTACCAGATACAAACCGTTGACCGTAAATGGCCCTCAAGGGATAGACTCCGTTCCTGCTATCTCGGGGCCGAATCAAAGGTCCAGAACGGAACGTGTGTCTGAGGGCTATATGGACCTACAATAGAACTCTGCTAACTAGTGGTCTGCTTAGCAGTTGTCCGTCGAGATTGAGTTCACCGGCCTTTTCCTAGATCAGCTATCTGCGTTTGGTACGCTTCAACCTGTCGATCTCGGAGATTTCCACGTGTTCGGGCATCTTGTACCCTGTTCATATGAAGTCGACGATCTCATGAACGGAAAGAAAAGAAACGGTGCAAATTTCCAGAAGATGCAATAGCATGAATTTCGAGCCAATTCTGCAGCAGATTCGGCAGCTGGATCAAGTCCTCCCATAACGCCTAGCTTTGGGGTATCATCCGGAAAAAGCAATTTATCACCGGCCATAATGTACAATGAGTTCTGGTATCATGCGTCTCGTGCCATGCCAGTGACGTGATTTTCGTCCATCATGTCTCGTTAAAGTGTTGAAGAGCCATTGCAACTCTGGACTCGGAGTCTCCAATCTCATCTCCATCACCTTGGCCAAGGTGGCCTTCACCTCCGTGCTTTGCTTGATTTGGGCCACTTGCCTCTTCCATCATACCAGCCTCTTCAGCAGTACCTGCAACTGTGGTCTCCAGGTTCGGGTCGATCATCATGTTGGCGTTGTTATTTTGGCTGTTCGGGAAGTTTGTGTGGTTTGAGGACGGTCCTTCTTCATGCTCGAGTCTGACAAAGCCATACTCCGGATGAGGGGTTGTGTGAGGTGCCATGGCCGTGTAATAGGCCGTTGCTTGAGGTGGGTAAGAGACATGGTCTGCTGCTGCGGTCGACAACGCTTCCAGCGTGTGGGCAGCGACTTGTTGGTATGGATCTGCTGCAGTAATGTTTGGCGAAGGAGAGTTTGTAGGTGCATCTTCTGACGAGGGATCAACAGTCACCCAAGTCACTGAGGCATTGTCAGTCAATGAAGAGGTCAAATAAATGGAAATAACTCACAGTTCTGAGGAATTGGCACAAAGCGAGTGTCCTGCCTGAAGCGTCGTTCATTGCCGTCTCTGTTGTAGAAGCTTTTCAGAGACTCGTCTCGCTCCATGCTGGCATTTTGCTGGTGTCTGAAGGCGACACCTAAGAGTAATCAGTCCGAGAAATCCCAAGGGTCGATAATGATTAGATGCTCACCCTCACCCCTCTCACAGGCTCTTCCTGACTTCTGGCACTGTCCGCAAACTGGTGCCGCCTGCACGAGCTGGTCAGTCACAGTTGATTGAAAACAATAGTTTGAGTCTCACCTCATCACACTTCAACTTGCGGCGACGACAAGTCAAGCAACCTGTCCGAGTCCGGACAGGTGCCGACGATGCCGTCGCCCTGTTGTTGTTAGCTGCGTTTGCTCGTCTGGCCATAATGAAACAAAGGTCAGCGGGTTTGCAAATGCAAGAGGAAAGTGTGCCGATGGAGGGAGAGTAAACCGAGAGAGTGTCGGTTTCACGTCGGAGGATTTTTCACTGCCTGGTTGTGATCTCAATCACGCTAGCAACAACGCTAGACCTAATCAGGCTTACCGCCCTCCAGTTCTTCGCCAAGCGGGATCTCTCGGAAGACTTACTCAATATGGTCATATATATATTTATGACCCTGAGGCGAGAGCCCCTTCTGGGGAGGTTGAGGTTGAAAGACACGCGCGGTGTGCGCCGAATGAAAGAAAGGAAGAAAGGAAGAAGAACTCAGTCTGCGGCGCATGAATTCATGGGAACTACAGAGGCTGCTTTCGAGCTAGACCGCTTGTGGCGTGAAAGCCCCGAGGTCATCTCCTCCACATTATTGGACATCCATAAGTAATCTGGATGCGTGGTGTTCTGCAAACACTCAGTTCTTTGCCTTCTTCTTCGGCCTCCGCTCCTCTTCGTCCTCGCTGGCCATATTGGCATCGTCATCGGCATCGGCATCAGCATCGCGCATCTCCGCATCGCTTCCAGCATCACTGCCACTACTCTCGTGAGCAGAGTCATACTCCTCCGCAACATCACTATCAGACTCGTCCTGAAAATCTTCATCGGGGGATTCATCATCTTCGTCTGCCGAACCGCGATCTACGGCATCTTCATCGTCGGATGAGGCGAGGTCAGGGTCCTCGAGAGCCTGCTTGATCAGGGTCGAAGTATCATCCACCATCTCGTTTTTGAATCTTATTCCTTTGGCCTGCGGTACAGATTAGCAATGATCCCACAAACCCACATGAGAACAATTTACCTGGAAGAATGCCTCTAACGGCTGCTGCTCTTCGCGGTTGATGTTGCTGAATTGATGTTCGCCCTGCCCATTCTTGAGGGTGATACTAATGTCAAATGTCCTGCTCGCTGCCAGAGCCCCGCCTACTCGTGACATAGTGATGCTTTGAATCGAGTCTATTGGCACGTAGGTCGCTGGTTTTGGTACAAACATGAAGCTCTTGTCCAAGCAGAAAAGAAGTCCTTCATTGGCCTTGATGGAGCATTTAACCCCGTTCATGTTGTGGTGACTGACGAAATCTTTCGAGGGCATGATGATCTTTTTGTTGGAAAGACCCTTGAAGACCTTCGCAATGACATGGTGAATTGGAGCTTCATAATGTGCATCGAGTTTGTCTTTGTACTTGGTTTCGAGCAATTCCTCGGTCATGTTCAGGTCTAGATTCACCTCGTCATCGAGTTTGAGCTGCATCACGATAAAGGGATACCGCGTTTGACCTTGCCGTAGTGGTGGATCCAGTCCGAGAGTGATCAGTGTGTGCATTTCGTCGTTTTTAGGTAGGATGAAGAACTTCTTGATGGCCGAATACTGGATCTTGTAGTCGTATGTCTTCCCACGCAGCCGGAAGGAATTTTCGTACATGTCAATGTCAAATCGTCCTCTTGGGGTGAGGTGCAAGATGTCTTGAAACGTAGCAAATGTCGCGCCCGCAACATCGCCAATCTCTGCCTTGTCCATCAAGGTCTCATAGAACAAGTTGGCGGCATTTTGTTCCTCTTCCTCTTCGTTCTCGACATCGCTTCCTTCCTCACCGTTGACCTCCTTCTTCGAAACTGTGCCAGGAATGTAAAACCTCATTTCCACTAGTTCATCTCGAGCGGCGGCAGCCTTATGTCCCCTGTTCTTGGTGCTCGCGATTTGGTGACCGTTCGTACCATTTTGGGATGGATCTGATCCTAGATTGAACTCGACTGCAATCTCATTCTTGCCCGCCAGATTCGTGTTCGAGATTTCCGAGTAGGGGATTTCGAAGGCTGGCTTATTTTGAACATTGAAAGCCAGTTCCGCCCTACCAAATTCGGCCTTGCCCCAGTTCCACCCTCGCAGAGCGTGTTCCTTATTTTCTAGATTGAGACCATACCAGATCTTGAAGGCCTTTGCGGCGCGGTCGTAGTCTTCTTGCTCAAAACCGTCGAACTGTATGACCCTGGAATCTCTGGTGATGATCTTGATTTCATATCCTTTCGAAGCTCTGCTCCATTGTGCTGCGCCGACCTCACTGCTGTCCAACGTGAAGGGATCACTGCCGCCACTCGGTTTCCAACCAAGCCCACTCTCGGCAAATCGACATCGCCCTGCCTGTTTCGAAAGATCAAGGTAGATATTCTCAAAGGTTTCCCTATTGTTGCATAGTCAGACCCTGTCGAGATGCCACAGAGACATAGACCTACATCTTGCATCAAAATGCCGCGCGCTGGCAGAGCGGCAAAGACTATTCAAGGCAGAAGCACTTTGGGAGACGGAGGTGAAATCGTGTGGAAACTTCAAGGCCGGGATAAGGTATGGGAAGGAAAGGGAACAGGAGATCGATTTGAGGGTGCGATAGAGGAGAGACGGCAGTGGTGATGCCGGTAGAGAGAGCGGTACGCATGCACTCTGTCGTTGATTCCGCCGCAAGAAACTTGAAATTAATTTGGAAAGTCGCGCGAAACAGGCAACGCGCGCGACTGTCACCACGGGCGCGTCACGGCCAAAGTTCTTTGGCTTAGAACTCGAGCCTCTTCTTCCAACATCCAACATCAAAACCTATGAACAAAGTCGCGAACCGAATTTTTCCGGCTATGCTGTCAGGATGTTGACCAGCGCTTGTGTCCAGAAACAGTAGATGAGTTCTGCGATTGCCACACCAGAGGCGGTTGGCCTCTTAATCTACAACGACAACAAAACAATCCAGATAGGTGTGCTCTGGAAGGATAACCCACGTCTACTCAATCGATAGCAAGAACACCAGAAGTCCGTTTGTCCAAAGTAAACCCGACCGCTACCCTGTCATCCCTCAAAATCACCCCTCCAAGGATCCGTATCTGATTGCCTCCACGCTTGGGACCGATCACGACAGCCAAATCCTTTTCGCAATGGGTGAGGTGATCGAAACTCATTTCGACATATCCAAAATCAACCCACGACAGCTACCAACATTTACCTACGCTGATGCCAAAACACACCTAACCAAACAAGAGCGTGATTGCAAACGGAAGCGGCATGTCATGTTGCAGCCAGTGCACTATCTCAGGCCGCCATGGCATTCCACTGTAGCCTCACATACTTCCTGGGAGGGGCTAAGGCGAAGTGCAAGTGCTGGCTTTAACCTTCTGATGCGCAATGCTGTTGTCGTGTGTTGCTCTTCATTTGCCACCGGGCTTGGGATACACGTATGACCATGTTTCCGTGAATATGTTGGACCCCTTGTCAGAGTAGACCACCTCTCTTGGTTGTGCGTATCAGCCACACGAGTATCAGTATCTTCTGGTTCACGTCTTACAAATAGGGACTAGCCGTCGCCTCCTCTCACTTCATCGGTATTTGCCGATGGTGGCTGACTGTTTGAGCCAGCATCCTCAACGTGGGCATCCACTTTTTGCTAAGAAGGTCTCATCTCTGTCGGTCCTGACGATAGAAGATCCTCATCTCCTGCTTCCTGATGCGATACTGTTCTCTCTCCCGCGCCTTAACTGCTCGATACTCTGGTTCTGTGATTGTCGTGCTCTAGATCACACTGCTGTCGATCAACACAACAGGCTGTGGGAGGGTCTGATAAATCGGCTTAATTGCTCGATGATGATGATATACTTGAGAGGTGCTTACAGGATCATCGACATGGGGTTCAAGGGACGTCGTTCGGCTAAGGCGAGCGTGATCATCAGAGTTAACTTGGATCTCGGCCTCTTTATCTTTGATTGACACCTCCCGAAGAGGATACGGCACGGTTGGATCATCTCCCAGAGATCGTCCCAGGAGATACAGAGTCCGAATGACGCTCAGCTGACATCTAAGGCTTCTCTGGTGGCAGTTTTCAGTTATGGATTGTCTTCTCTTATCGAACAGCATTTGCAGCTAACGGCGCGCCGGTAGCCATCGATGATGATGATGCCCCAGAGTGTAGCATACCACAGACTGTTTCCTGGAGCCAATCTCAGCAAGATGTACGAAAAGCGATACATGAAGAGGCGGAAGGTCAACAAAACGACGAGAATCGTGTGCTGCATCCTGCATCGAAATGTCTCGTTGAAGTGGCTCCGCATTGTTGTGTCTTTTCCAGGATTTATACATCTCGGCGGATCCTCTCTATTCTGCGGCTGGATAGCACCCTCAATTGTGAGACCGCTTTGCGATATGGCTGAAACGGGATTGACAAAGGACGCAACAATATCTCGGTGAAAGTATCACTAGTCACAGAAGTTGAGCGACAAATAGGTAAACCACGGTCTACAAAAGAGAATATACTGAACGGTGATACCGCTCTGAGACATCTTCTTGACAGTTCCAGATGATGAATGATGAACCAAAGCTTCAGAAGTGACGCGTGCGGACTGCAGGCGAGTCCATCGGACCCTTTTCCCGCTGCAGCCCGTGGCAGGTACCACGGACTGTCATTGCACACCAAAGCAGATCTCCCCTCGCTCATACGATGAAAGAAAGCACTGCGGGAAAATGAAGGAGACGACCTCAACAGCAAATACGAGGGATTAGAGATGACTCAGTTCCTTCCAATCCTGGCTTCGATCATCACGCTTGAGTGACCATTTGTGGTAACTTCACTCTGGCATACTGCTTTTGAGTGATTGAGGCCGTCCTGATGTATAAATGGCAGATAGAAGATGCGTCTCCCACAGGCGCACTTCGTCCTCGTCTGGTTTGCTCCGTCCGACATCCAGAAGAGTTGACGTCTGCAGTGGAACTTGAAAGACCCTATGGGATGTAGTAAGAACTTCGTTAACAACCCGACGAAGAGAGAACACTTTAACGGCCATGAAGTCCCAGCCGAAAAAGACTTACGGCTCTCAAGATCAGCCACATATGTGTTTTGGTTACTCTCCCAACATCGACGGAGACGTTGTCACTCAGCCTCAAGAAGATAAATATTCTGCTCTGGCTCAATTGGTCAGGTCAATTCGATGCATGACCGACTCTTTTCGAGCCTCTCGCATATGAATTTTCGAGCAACGCGATCGTGCTAGATGACTGGCGAAACCGGGAAAGTGGGCCAGACGGCGGAAGCCCGATAAGACTGGCCTACGCCGTTACAACCAGGCACCTCCTTACTGGTGCTAATCAACAACGCATAGCAATGGTTGGAAGAGAACAACAGTAATAAAAGGATCACCCTTTTGTTGGCCACTTCTAGAAGAAATGAAGAAGAGGTTGGTGCAGCGCCAGGCTAGCCAAGCGACAACTCCTCAGATTGCAAGTGGCTTTGCCGGACATCGTGGAATTCGTCAATGGCCAACAAAGGAAAGACGAGCCCGGGCTCAGTTTTCGTCGCCCACACACCCACCCCATGCATGATTCTGCGTTGGCTCCCAGCACCTAATCATGGAGGTGCCGATCTTGGCCATTGTTCGAGAACTCGAGTACTTGCGATTGGTGATTTGTGTCGAGGCCCGAAAGCTACCTACCCCGTTTGGGACAGTTCATGCGGCTCTAGCTTCTGGCTCAGCCTGCCACGCTACCAAAACCCTGTCTCTGACTACTGACAACTTTTGTCTGTTAGTTGTAAGGTAAGATCAATCATCTCCCTGGCGATAGCCCTGCCTATTGAAATGAGACATGATGGTCTCTTCGGATGACAATTAGGTAACCAACGGTCACTCGACAAAGAGTGACACAAAATTGTTGCACAGGCCCCGCTTCGAGACAAAGCGTATATTCATCAGTTATTGATTTCTGTCTGAGATGCTACCGGGATCACCCCCGGCAGTCTACCTAGCGCTCAGTGCCTACCCTAGCATAGGCGTGGCATCACCTGTGCATTTAGCGCACCTGTTGGTTCATTCACGGGACGGTCCAACAGCCAGTTGCAGCTATGGTTCGTCATGGTTCAGGGATGTGTCTTGTAACCATCCTCTAGCCTCGCGTAAGCCGTTTCCCTAAAACCTCTGTCCAGATCTCTGCTCAAGGCCTGGTCTCTTCAACTGAATATCCCGGCTTTTCCGTGGGTCGGTACCTGCGACCTAATCTGGCAGCCATGTCCATCAATGTCTGTTTGACGAGTGCGGATGTTGCATACTCCAATCATTGCCTCACTCCATTGTTGGCTGTCATTGCACTGTTGTCCCGGCTTGCAATCAAGAGTCCCTTCCACACCGCCTGTTGAGTATTGGACCCAAGGATTCGATACACCCTCGTACATAGTCTGCACTGCGTTGGTCACATTGAAGGAGAACCGACAGTGTCGCAACGGGCAGGGCGTTGGGCGTTTTCACGAGCAAAATGGCTGCGGTTGTCGAGCGTGGCAGGACTAGCCGTGCATTTTCAGATCCATATCGAACCAACAACGCAATCTCGACACGCTAGAAAAAGGTCTCAGCCATTAATGTGGCTCTTTAATTCAGCCTAGCAGATCAAACGGCACATCTGACAGTCGTTGCTAAGTGCCCGTTTTCGGCATGCCACCAAGTAATCCTTACCCCCTTGGATCACACCTAGCTGGGGCAACGGCATTACTCATGGACCTTCAAACTCGCCTCCTTTCCGGTCGTCAAATATGTGAGCGAGAGTAGAGCCGGGACTCTTTTAGGAGTCTAGGTGGCGAACCTCTTCCTTTCGCCTTGAATCGCCGTTGCGACCGATCACAGCCGCCCTGGGCCAAGATCAAAGTCCACCCCGTTTCAAAGATAATCGAAGTTGCTTTGGGCTTGTGTCACTGTCACAGGACTGGCTGGAATGTTCTTTTCGTACAGGACGGTCGAAGATTGTTAAGTCGTCCTCCGGTCCGCAACCCAATCAGTATTTTCCCGGCGCGGGCTTGTGACACCTTGCGCCCTCAGGCCCTCCTTACTCTCAAATGGTAGAGTTACGTGGCCTTGAGAACCTGGCTTTGATGCTGTTGCCATGTTCACCGACTTTTGATGCTCAGACAACGTTCTCGTGAGATCTACCTACTGTCTACGATCTGGTGGTACAGTTGGTGCGCCCAAGATATTAAGTCTTCGCCATGTCGTCAGCTTTTTTTGAGGCGGATGCCCCATTCCTGCGCGGTCAAGATCAAATATCAAGATATTCCTGAAGCCCTTCATATCTATGGACTTCTGTTTGGCACGGCCTAGCGTTTAGAAGATGTCTCTCACTTCAACACCCAGGGTTCAGATTGGAAGCCAGCATGCTGGTACCGGCCTTCATAGGAGATCTGGAAGGTCTCGTAACAATACCTCGTCATACACGGTCGAAATCTTTGCAATGTCAACTGATCAGATGGATCCGCTGATTTTGGGTGTCGTCAATCAACAGACGAGACAGATGTCAAGCTCGATCCTGTTTGCTCAGCTTGATACCATTGCGGCTCTCTTTCAGCAACATGGGACGCCCATCCACGTGCCGATATCCTCTATCGAGAGTACTGATCTGGGTAAGTCAGTCGAACAAGTCGTGGACTACCTAAAGCTGACACTTTCCAGCCTTTGTTGGAGGTCAATTCGAGCGACACAGATAAAGCAGATGACCAACCGAGCAGGTTTGCAGTGGACGCCCAACTATCCGAGCCTCGACACCTCGCGCAGAGCCACAAAAGGTTTCGATTGGAGCCAGCAGATGTACCAGGAGATGACTCGAAGGGTAGATTGTCGTCGATTGCTTTGATTGATGTCCTGCCCATGGCTTGTCTTGCTTGTGCGATCATCCGTCACCAATCTTTGTTCGCTGCCATGGGCTTGAAGCGACATGTTCGGTTCAATCTCGAATTCTAGGATGTTTCATGATCTCATTCAGGCAGACAGACCATTGACTGCGGTTAGAATTGGATTGCGACTGGGGATTTAGGTTGCGGAGCGTGCATCTAGGCATTGCGGGAGGTGCTTCTGGCGGATAAGCGACTGTCTAGGACAGGGCGATGCAAGCTACCGTTCGAGTATTCCGTGTCGAGTGGGACGATGCCGGTGGAGCAGAATGGTGCGAAGCATTGGTTTCCATGTTGTGTCTCAATCAGCAACAAAGACGGAAGAGTGTCCATGACTAGGGATTCGCTTGGAGACACGGTCGACATCGCTTTAGAGCACGGTGAAGAAACGCAGGGCAGGCGATTCTGCACGAAATCGCAGGGGGAGGGGTGTCTTTTCTCTGCGGGGTCTTGGTCGGACAAGGATCTGTCGGGCGGTAGCAGGAGGCGGCGAGAGGCAGCGAGCTCCTTTGCTTTTTTCCATCGATCTATCCCTCGACTTGTATGCATCATCAAGCGACAGTCTCATTTGCAACCCAGGCGTCTTATCTGCAGTCATCGTTTGCTGTCTCCTCCGCAACTAGGATACCTTCCGCCGCTCCTCAGGGGCATCAGCGATTTCTTTCTTTCTCCCCTTCCGAGGTAACCGTGGCTTGAGTCGATGTTGCACCGCAGATGGATTGCGCTGTCACTGATTGACTATCCCTTGCTAAGCTTGCCGACCACGTCCCCCTTGAAGGATTGTTGTTCAACAGCTTCCTTAAAGTGGATTCACGGCCACCAAGACCGTCGAATTGAGCTGGAAGGACTGCTTTGAAGGACTTCTTAGTCCCGATTTCGACGTAGATAGCCTTCTGGCATTGGCTTGCCCACCTGCAGCCGCAAATATCGCGCTCGCTGACAGGGAAGGCCACAGTTGTCATCCCTGCACGCGAACGCTTGCCGCCGTCGGCTTTGCCTGTGTGCCCGACTTTATGACAGAGGTGTTTCACCGATCGTTCACCGTGCAACAACCCTTGCGGCTGACATTAGTCCATCGACCAACGAAACTCTCCGCTGCCAATCTGTGGCAGCTATCGACCTTCAAATTCTGCAATAGAGTAGACGACTTTTCAAAAACATCCCGTCCGGTGGTATCCACGAGTACTGCCTCTTGACAACCCGGTGGTTGTTGATTGCTCCACATCAAGAGCTTCATGACAGGGTGTTTGTGACACCGATGGAATCGGTGTTCCCGAAACTTGACATCCTCTCCTCTCGAGCGGCCACTCTCCCGTGTAGCACAGACTCTCCTAGCTAATGTATACACAGTACAGGTTAGCTGACGGGCGGCATCGCAAGTTGCTCGCTCCCAGGGTGATCGTCGTTTCTGTACAACATCATCAAACAAATCACCACGTCATTCACTCCGTCGCTCAGCTAGTGTCTTGTAAGAGAATGATCTAATAACTACGCCCGACGCACTGCAGCTGCTCCAAACCGTGTCGACACTCATCCGCCGAACTACTGGACATTATTGCGGCGTCACCCTCTCGGATTCGCTGGGGAACACCGGCCCGGAATCATCTCAGGGAGCTAGTCATCTTCCCCGGCCATGAACTGCCATTGAGCACTCGGGATGGGTGAGGGACATCCCTGGCCGACATGGTGATGGCGCAGCATGAGGCTCCCAGCGATATGAATAATGCCCGTCAAGGAAGCACATACATCAAGCGAGATATTGCGCGTGGAAGAGACAGATACAATTGGTCAACAGTATCTTTGTACGAACATGCTATCATACCGCAGGGCGGTTACTTACCGTTTCTGCCGAAGACGCTCAGGCTTTCTCGCACGAAGTACCCCAGACTGCCGACAAACCAGATCACTCACCTGCTTCTGTGCTAAAGGGTCAGGAGAATCATAGAATGTGAAAGTCGGTGCCTGCAACAGCCTCTGCCTCCGAGCAAGTGTGACGCAAATGCTTCGAATGCCTTGGAGATCCCATTATCCGAGCGCTGGAGTTGAAAGCACAGGTGACGATCTATTTCCGCTCCACGAGCGTGGGAGTAGCACCATGGCGATACGACTTGCCGACCCTCGTTACAGTGGATCTCCGACGCTGCCGTTACAGATGGTCAGCAGGAAAGTATGACTGCTAACAGGTCCTTGTGGTTGGCGCACTCCTGGCAGGTAAGGTCAGCACCTTGCTACGGACTGCTGCATCGCCTGCTTCTTACCTTTGCTTCTATCTCCCTCTCACACTCCTCGAACCGGGCTTTTTCTCTTCCCCTCCAGCCCTCTAACTCTTAATGAAATCAGTCGTTTCCGCTGGTATACGGGAGGGTATGGCTGGCGAAAAACATGCCAAGACACAACCCCCTTACCTGATGTAAGTCTTCTGCTTTCAGAAGCCCGACAAGCGAGGTCGGACCCCCTCGAAACAATACTCAGTGAACCTGGGGCGTATCCGTGGGCCCAGTCGGCAGCGGTCCCGCCGCTGAAATCAGACTTTCACTTTCTTCGGGCTGAGGTACGATAGGCTCACCGGGTCTCCTACTGCAGAATTGGTCCAATGGAATTCAACCATGTCTTCGAGAACACAGCACTTCTATCCGCAACGCATGCACGGGCCAGTGTGAGGAGGTGGCACGACATTGCCCATGAGCTCTTCAAATTTGCATGCCGGCACCCATCTTGCAACAAGCCATCAGGCCTCGCGCCTTGTCTCTACTCCTTGGCCAGTCTGGAAAGGGACTGGGTCCCTCCCGTTTCCCCGGCATCTCGTCGACAATTTGGGTGAGGAGCCATGATACCACATGATACCCCGCGCGTGATTGTCTTTCCGAGGTTTCAACACTCACCACGGTAACACCGAGCAAGCCGTCGTTCTTGTCAAACTGCGTCTCCTGTTGCCATTGCTGTATCCTGCCATCGATGAGATCCACTCTGTCGTCCCTGGTAATCGAGAATCTGCGAGGCGAGTCTGCTGGTGGATCCGGGGATGAATGCACAGGCGCCTTCCTGTTGAGGAGGAAGTGGCCCTCGAACGTGATCCGAATGGTATATCAACAAAAAGCTCTTCGCTTCGTCTCTCGTCCATGGCCTTTCTATTTCTCGCCACCTCTCAGAAAGGCAAGTAGGCCCCCCTTGGCTGCGCATATGCTGCACTCGTGATCTGACAAGTCCAGTCCCTCCTAAGAATCCTCATGGCGCCTAAAACCTTGCGCGCCCGCTCCTCCAACGAGCGCCCAGCAACCTCACACCCAACAGTACCTATTTCTGGTCTTCGGGATGTTTCCGAGACCTCCAAGGGAAAGGCCTCGGCCAAGCCTGAGGCCGCCATCGCAGTGTACAAGACCAAGGGGGTCGGTGGGATCCATCTACGTACGAAAGCTGCATCACTTACCGATAGGTAAATCACTGACTGAAAGACACAGTCGGCATTGGTGGGCAGTTCGACAATTATGTCCTGACAACCAGCGACGGCAACAGACGCCCCCGCCGCATGGTCGCAGCGACGAGCCAGACCTCGAGAACCTGAACTTTGACCTGGGGAAGGCGTTGCTGCTGCGTTGGGTGGAACATCTGCCAGTGTCACTGGGTGCCCGCTATGCAGGCGCAGGAACAGGTGACGATTACTGTCTGTATTGATGCTGGTGGGATTGTGAGCTGTCGGGCGGTGTCTTTCCCTCCTTTCCTGCGAGCGTGGCATGATGATGGATGCGTGGATTCGGAGTATCTGTAACGCACCACCCGTCGACCGTATTGAAGGCCTCGTGGAAGCCCATTTCTGAGTGGAGAAGACGGCTTTTTTTGTGACACTGTTTCCTCGTGCAATGTCGAAGTGTCGAAAAGTATCGACGACAACGACATGTTCCACAAGACGTCGGTGGTTGTTTAGCAGTCTATCTTTAATTGACAGATTTCATGAACCTCACCGCAGTCTCAATATCTGCTGCGGCTGCTGCCGCCGCCGGCGTTTCCATGTGGGTACAGCGGCATAGCCTCAAATTCTACTTCCGATCAAGGCGGTGAGATATTGGGCAGCTTAATTCCGTCTCCACAGACGACAATAGTCCTCGACAGTCCGTACTAGGATAACGATTCGTTTGGCACTTCTGGATCGTCGCTGATGTGAGAGGAGCGGTGGGGTGTCGACGTCACCCTTGTTCATTCTACTCAAACGATACCTACCTACTCATAATTTCACGCTAAGAGGTCTGTACAAGGACTCCCTCAGCTGCTTTGTGCCAATTAAAAATGAAGAAAGGGTTTTGCACTTGTTGCGTGGTCCAGCGGGCGGACTCGACAAAATTCATGGGTCAGCTGTCCACTGTACCCTCCAACAAGATATAAATTTGTCTCATTCTGTTTTATACCAGCGTGTTGCTCTGTTTCGATTCGATTGCCACCAGTGGATCCGTGTCTTCCATTGTTTCGGCCCACCCAAGCAGGTCAGAGGCTAATGATGCAACGATAATGCCATGAGTTGATCATAGGCTGGATGGAGACAAGGCTGTAACCTTGTTCCATTGTCTTTGTGTTTGGGCAAAGAACTGTTTCGCACGCATTCCATTGACAGAGTGCGGCTCAGGGTCATAATAACAATACCAATGATAGCGACGATGACGGAGCGTCCACGGATATACACTATGGCGGTGTCCGAAATACTCCCACTGTAGGATAACGCTAAGCATCGGTTCAGCCAAAATCGAAAGGTTGTGACAAAGGATTTGAATTCTGGGAGCCGTGCATGGTGAGGGGGGAGCGTAAAAGCCCCTGTGAGGGAATGAGAAACTCCGAGAGATCTCCTGTAAGATCGATACTTCGGCACAGCAAACTGCTGGAGGAGACGATTTTGGATTTCGTGGTGCTGAACGTAGCGTGACAACATCGAATGACTATGGGTGACTTCCATGTCAAGTGTCGGGCGTCGAGTCCACCTTGACATCGCCATCATCATTAGTGGCAAGTTGAACAACATCCACCTCTTTCCCTTCGGGATGATTCCAATACATGTCCAGAAACATCCTCGCTTTCTCAAACATCTCCCATTTCGACGCTCTGCTATCATCGTCCAACCATGAGTCGGGGAATTGTGTCCACCCATGTATCACGCCTTTCACTTCGACGACATTCAGGTCCGAGCCACGCCCCTCGTCGTTAACCTTCTTTATCCAAACGACGCTTTGATGATGAAGTGTATCAAACTGTGGTAGAATGAGCATGATCTTGGCCTTGGGGTGAAGACCAGAATTGTCTCCTTCAGGCGCCCTCAGATCCGCAAGACCTGGACTTGCTCTGGGATGCCCACTTTTAGACGCAGGCAGGTAGGTTGGCATCAGCTCGGCTTCCAGTCTCCATCTCTCAGCAAAAGTTGGGGGAGCGTCATAGCCCTCGGGTCTCGGTCTTTGGTGCGGGAGCAGTCGAGTGTCGAATGACGGGTAGAATAGCAAGAGAGGCACATGGTTCTTCAGGTCCCATGGTACAGGGCTAGGCCAATCGGTATGGATCGTCGGGTCGTTCTTGGTGGTCAGGGCCATGTTCAAGGCCAGATTGCCTCCGGAACTGAAGCCTGAAAAGGCAATTCTCTGCTCGTCAAGTTGGATGTTCTTTCGCTTTTGCTTCTGGAGAGCAGACTGAATGCTGGCTCTAAGGACCCTGTAGGAGGGCTTGGTGGGGTCTAGTACTGCGCGGGTCACGTCTTCAGCATCAAAGTGTGCCGCTGGATACTGTGCGGCTGGACCAAGTCGGTAGTCGACAGATATCACGACGCAATTCAGTTCTCTGCACATCTTGGCGCAGAATGGCACTTGTTCCTGACACGATCCCAAAACAAATCCCCCACCGTGGAAGTCGATGAGGACAGGCAAGCTTCTTTCCTCGTCGCCCGTGCCTCGCGGGAGGTGCAAGGCCTCATGCAGATGTGTCCCTTCAGAGGCTGGTTTGTGGTGACGTGGATTGTGATCCGGCGGGATGAAGACATAGAGCGGTATTTTGTGCGAGTCTCGAGATGGTACGTCGAAGACTAGAGGGTGCGGACCCTCGGGCGAGGTCCAGTGCAGCACAAAATCAGGAACGAGGCGTGGGAGTGATACAAGGGCCTTTCGCCATGTCACACCAAAGTGGCTGGAAGACATGGCGCGTCTTACGGCCCTGGAGATGATGCAAGGGCGATTCTAGATGAACAAGGGATGTATGTGATGAAGACCACCAGACGCTGCCCATTGTGAAATTAGAGTAAGTCGCTGCGAGGCTGACGTCATCGAGAAAGCGACAGGAGAAACTAACCACCACGCTGAAGACAGTCACAGCTCATTCTTGTGCAGCAGATCTCTTGATGCTCGAGTTCAATGCTCAAGATCCTCCACTAAAATGACGCAAGAGCGCACTGCACTCCATGGATTGATGGAATCCAGAGTTTTTGGCTGGGGGTGGCACAATCTACACATCAACGGGAGTGTGCTCCACCGAAGCGATATGCCTAGCCGGCCCTCTGTATCACCGTAGAACATACTGCCCGAGCCGGATTACAAAATAAGTGGCACACCAGAAATGGCCCACTGCACGCCCACGCAACCAACAACTCGATTATTTGCAACTATTAGGTTCACCATACAATTTTCTATGGTAGATCTAATCGTAATGAATACAGTTACCAATTCGCAAGTAGGTTTGCAGTAGCTAGAATTCCGTCATCTCTCCGCCGTTCCTGTGTAAGCTCTCTATATATCTACACATAGAATCAATATATTTGTTCACTGTTGACTGTGTAATCTCATCCTAATAATGTATAATCGCTGCAATAGGAGTCTCATTATCGAATTGATTAATAGCTTTGATCTTCTGCTTTTGAGCGCGCTATATATTCTTAATTAAAGAGAGATTTAGCGACCCGAAGGTATTAAAGAAGTATTGCAAGCTAATTTACTTTTTATAACGCTATACATCGCTATTCTAGTCTATACTATACACTGAATCTTTATTCTTCTCTAATATAAAGTTATTGTCGCGGTTAATTTATAACTTAATCTCTTGAAGAATCTTGTTAATATATATACGGTCTGTTATTTTATTATTTAATAAGCTAGTCTTATAGAACACTAGCTTAAACTTAAAGTTATATCTAATTATGATCTAAATATATTATCGTTTCTCGTTCTTATACTTGGTAATCTTTTCGTTAAATGTTCGCTAAATATAGTTAGGGTGGTAGTTAGTGTTCATTTACTTGTTAGATTATATATAACTTGCGCTTTAGATCGCGACCAAAACGGCACTTATTAGAGAATTATATTTAGCGCTATTAGTTAAGCGTCTATAAGCGTCGCAAGGCGAGAAATTCTTGTTTTTACGCGATCGATTATACTGTTAAATAAGGCTTTTAATAAGCGATATATTTATAATAATCGTGAGCGTTGAATACACGCTAAATAGTTACTTTATATATAACTCGCTCGAGAAAAACCTCAAACCAAATCTTAAACTATATATATACTCATGAACTAAATTCACTATCTAGCACTCAGTCTTTAATAATTTGAAAGTCTAAATCATTGATTTTAGGCTTATAACCTTAGTGTTTAATAATATAAAGCGAATTACAATAACAGCGCGAGTCCTGATTAGGTTCAAGATATTTATAACCTATTCTTCTTTTTACTTCGGCCCAGTTAAAGATAGCTTATTAGGTAATATCGATACTGTTATCCTAACAGAACTTCGTAACTATATAAAGCTTATTCTTCACCGGAGTTGGTTTCTGAGGTTGATCTATGCCGTCTTCCTTTGCTGTAGGCGTTACAGGCCTTGGATACACCATGGTGGTAGATTAATAGCCGGGGTGGTTGTTGGTGTAGTAGAGAAACAGCTTTGCAAGTCGAGGCGCAAGTGCGGCAGGAAAGGGGTGGTGGTGTGACGTCAGGTGTGCCAACTTTTTTGTAATCCGGCTCGCTGCCTAAAGACCCATTTTTATTATATCGGAATGCTTCACCATCACAACAACCACCAAAACCCACAACAACCACAACACTCTCTCAGGACAGGAACAACATTGCGACAGATCTCGTCTTCTGGGAGGCGACAGTGTGAATATGGACTCACAGCAGGGCTCTACGCTTCGACAGAGTCACGCCGAGATCTGCCCTGCGGATCACACTGACCTGAGCGGCGATAGTTCAAATTCGCTTCTTGCCCACGGTGAACGATGCGGTACAGTCGATCAACCCTCATTCCCCAACATTGCAGCCTCTGGAGACGCGGAGCAGCAGTACCAGTTCGAGCTGCAAGAGGTGGCGAGGTACCTCCGAAGCTCACCATACAACGATCAACGACCCGAGTTCTTCCTCCCTGCAGAGCAATTCCAACAATTCGAAGAGGAGTTGGAGCGTCGTCGTGGATTCGCGGGAGCGCGTCCGAAGTAGGTCCTTCCGCGCGACTCCTCTTTGGCAAGAATGTCCCTCTCTTCCAGGCTTTAGCTAACTGTAGAACGACAGATACGACTATTCTTATGCAACTGGGACGCTGACGCTGAGAATGCCCAGTCACATGCACGAGGCTCTGGTGGCAGATCTCAACCAGAGTCTGATAGGGTTCCTCCTCGAAGCGCGAAAGAACAAGGAGACTCCAGTGTCTAGCTTCGCCAAGTCAATCTTCCCCATGGCCTCTGCTGACGTGCGATATCCTTCCAAAGACGGCACGGACGATGTCTTGCGTCAACCCGACTTTGAATTCAGAACCGTGGAGCATCCTGAATACCCGGTTCTTGTTGGTGAAGTCGCATTCTCGCAGACAACCTAAGAGCTGAAAAAGATCGCTCAAGAATACATCGAACAGACGGAGGGCCACATCCGAACCGTCATCGCCATCGACCTGAACTATCCAAAGGGTAAAGGGGCGCAGCTCTTGGTATGGAGGGCAAAGTTTGGTGAAGACGGGAAGTTTGAGGGGATTGCCTGCGACTCCATGGTAAGAACATGTCCTTTTCTTTTGTCCCGCGATAGCACTAATTGTATCGATTAGGAGATCCGAAGCAAAGACGGCGCCAAGAACCCCAATAGTCAAGCCAGGCTTGTCATATCACTTCAAGACTTTACCTTTGGTCAAGGAAAGGACGAGGATGTGGGTCTTCAATCTGTGACCGTGACCCTATTGGCCGACGATCTGTATTCGGTCTTAGAACGGATGGAGCAATTGCTCGAAGCCAACTAAAGCTTACGAAGCTTCTCTGGATTGTTCTCGAACTTGGTGAAAGCAGGCCTGTTGATAAGCCCTGCTAGGTGCGGTAGCAATGGGAATGATATGCACATAAGGGACGCACAGGCTGTGTGAAATTATGAATTCCGAATAGTGGTAGAATTGGTCTTGTGCATTGTGATAACACTACTTAAGACCAGGGAAGCAGGATCAAGTCGATCTGCCTGCCGTCAATACTTTTGGATGTCCGATGGATGAAAGGACCATGGACTCAGGAAGCACACGCAAGATAAAATCATCACCCCCAATTTTTTTTGGTTCCATTTTCTCCCCATGTTTCCATAAGCCTCAACTCATTGAGGTCTTCAACGCGCAAATAAAACAATGAATGAATGAAAGACACACGAGATGTTTTCAGTGCTGCAGTCCTGCTGATTGACAATTCCATGCAGATCTGTCAGACTGCGCAGGCACGCCATCAATACTGACTTGCTCTTCAAGGCGGCGAACCACCAACTCCATCTGGATCAGGAGCGTCCCAGTAGTTGCTCTGGGCATTGTTCCACACACCACCATATTTCTTATTGACCCACTTGGCGAGGAAGAACAGAGCGTAGCTGTCCAGGTTGGAGGCTGTCTTGTTGTTGACGGTGCCAGGGTTCAAGTAGGCAAAGTTGTTTGCCAACATTGCTCCCTGGATTGATTGGTAGGTTCCGTACAAGGTGGCCCATTCCTGGCCGATGTGAGGGTGTGGATCGTCCGCAGAAGAGTAGTTGTGGAAACCCATGATGTCGACCTGCATGTATTGGCATATGAGTTCGTCCTCAAATGTTCTTCGGATGTTCAATTGGCTGGGTGACACACGTGGTGCAATAGACTTGTCCCACAGTTTGTCTGCGTATTCCAGCTGAGTCCAGTAGTCAGGGCAGAAGGTGACGGTCCATTTGCCATCCTTGCTCTGCGAAGGGTTGGCAACGTAGGCATTTGTTCCTGGTTGGCATAGAGGAGAGCTGGACTTGGTGCTTTCACTGCAGGTGTAGGAGAGGCGTTCGGTGACGTCCACGTTGCCGTCTGGCTGTTTGCCCTTCCAGACAAAGTTGTAAGGATACTTCAGGTTTTTCTTGATCTGATCGAAAACGTCCGAGTTGTACTTCTGTTCCCAAGCAGTTAAGTTAGCACTGGCAAGTCAAGTGAGAACGTGGATGTGGGTGCTTTTCTTGGCTTACCGTCTTCCAGCGCTTGGGCTGACCAAAGAACCAACCGAAGATGAAATCATTGTCATGACCGACCAAACCAACGTCACTTGGATCCAACATCTCAGTCACGGCGACGAAACTGGCACGCTGAAGGATAGCAAGCTGGCTTGCGTTGCAGTCGTTGTAGGCCTTGGAAAAGTCGATACCCTTGAACTTGCTGTCATCGGGCTGATCACGGGCAATCACTCCATTGTGATCAACGCCGGTGAGAGGGGTGCCGAAGGCAACGAGGAAGAAGGTGAAGAATGCAAGGAGCAACATTCTTGCTTTGTGCGGAGAGATAGAGATTTTTGTCTTCAGTCTGAGTTGTTGCGAGAGAGATGAAGAAAATGAGGTGGGAGGGGGAAAAGAAAGAGGAAGAAGAAGAGGATGAGGAAGAGGAGGAAGGGTATTTATGTGTGAGAGATGGAAGGAGTGAATTATCTGGCGTGGGATGACGACGGCCTGCGGGGGAGGCAGTGACCGTGAATGGCAGAGAAGTAACTGCGGAAGTGGCAGTAAGATCGAAGTGAACCTTGTGTGCTCGAGATAACACGACAATTCAACTCATCCAAGCACAGAGAAACTTTGCAAGATGAGATCGACTTCCCAGAAAATGGGAAGTCTCTTTCTGTCTCTCAAATGGTCTTCACAGCTTGCATGGTCTTTTTCACAATACAATACTAGCTTCCTTGGTTCACCGTTTCTCCTTGCACCCCTGTCGAGACCAGCCTGAACAGGAGGATTCCCTCAGTATGCTCTTGCTTCACGGCACAAACTCTGAGCCATTGCTCCCATCACGGCAAGGGTTGCTGGCTGGCCAGCAATGACCATGACTCACTGCCTTGTCTCTAGTACTGTAAGGGGGATGAACAACGCACCACCAAAAGAAGTGTGAAGGGTTCTTTATTGAGCCTGTATGTGCGGTGCACGTAGACAATATCCTCACATCCCGTATGTCTGCCCTGAACAGGTCCTATGGTCGCTTGCTTCAACCAGCATCTCAGCGATTCCAGAGCCACATTCGTCGCGCATGCGGCTTTGACTGCATGAGTATCTGTAGACTGACCTGGAGGAGATAGTTGAAGCATGATGAATCCCACCCAAGCAAAAGACGTGTCGTTGTCTGTTCATGGCGAGGCTGCGCTAAATACCCACGTGACGTCGAGTTTAACCTCTTTTGGGATCCGCTTCCCACAGCCCCACGTGACCCGCACGTGACCCGTTTTTCCACCTTGGTTAACCAGTTACAACCCATCACAGCGGGCATTGTCCGAAGCGATAAACCCGACATCGGACAATGGCTGTAAATCGCTCATATGACTCCTCGACATCAACACATGTGGTGGGTGGTATACAAGAATATATAGAGGGGTGGTTGAAGCAACTGAGTCAATGAACTATCTTCTTTGGAAGCATGACGCCCAAATATACCAAGCTCACCCCATCTGTCAGCACTCTCGTGCGGTTCCTGGTCCCTGAGCATTGCAGCCGCGCCGTTCCCCTGACCAGGCCAGTCCACTCTTCAACCACCGCAATGGCGACCAAAGACTGGAACGCAGCACAGTACCTGAAATTTGAACGGGAAAGAACACGACCCGTGGCTGACCTGTTGTCCCAAGTCCCTCTGGCATCTCCAGGACGCGTCTTCGATCTCGGCTGCGGGCCGGGCAACTCAACTAGCGTCCTTCTCAAACAATACCCAGACGCCCATATCACCGCTGTGGACTCGTCTCAGGACATGGTGAACAAGGCTCGACAGACCCTCCCGGAGAGCGTCGACGTGCAGCTCGCGGATCTCGCCACGTTCCGAGACACCGCCTCGGCAGATCTCCTCTTCGCCAACGCTGTGTACCAATGGATTCCGTACGACGATCGCATACGCACCTTCACCGAGCTTATTATGACCCAGAAGCCAGGCGGGGTGTTTGCCTTCCAAGTCCCCGACAACTTCAACGAGCCCTCCCACGTCGCCATGCGTGCCGTGGCCGAAAACGGTCCCTGGTCGGCCACGCTGAACCGGCTACCTGAGCCGCCCACGCGCAAGCCGTTCCAAACACCCGAGGAGCTGTACAATAGCTTGAAGCCGCTGTGCTCCGATGTCAACATATGGCGTACGTACTACCACCACATCCTCGATGACCATCAGGCCATCGTCGAATGGGTCAAGGGGACGGGCTTGAGGCCCTACATTGATCCGCTAAGCGACGAGGAAAGGAAAGGCTTTCTCGAGGCCTATCTTGGAAAGATCGCCGAGTTCTACCCACCCTTGGTCGATGGGAAGGTGTGTCTCCGATATCCGAGGCTGTTTGTGGTGGCCGTCCGACGTTGAGTTCCGCGAGTGCACAGTTACAAGCGTTTTGCTATGCCATCCCCAGCAGTCATGTATGAAGGATTATCACCTATATTCCAATGCATTGCCCCCATCTTCATCCACATCACCCTCGTGCTTTTCAGGATAGCCGCACTCCGTCAATGTGATCTCGTATGGCCAGCTCGACATCGAACTCGGAACTTCGGAAGGTGTCCATCCAGTCGATGATGACAGACTGGCTGAGCAGCCACTCAGAACCGGGCCTTGGTGGACCTGCCGGTTGAGTAGTATTATTGTTACCTCCGAAAGTTTCGGTGACCGGTTCTTGCATTGCACCCTGTTCGTCGGTGGTCCACTGGGATAAGGAGAGCACCTCGTAGTCTCCAAGCACGGGATCACTCCTGTTGGGCGCAGGACCAAGTAGGTAGAGTTTGAAACCCTGGCCATCCTTTTGGGTGAACAACAGTGGTATGACCCGCGACCGGGGGGGACCAAGCCTACCGAGCATGCTTGAGTGCGGCGCTGCCGTATTGGATACAGGCTCGAACGCACGGAGAATCGTCAGCGCCGTTGCGAAAGCTGGGCCGTTGTACACGCCCTCGCGGCCGATCAGCTGCAGGCGTTCAATAATAAAGTCCCTCCACAGGTTACACGGACAGCATTGCCCACAGAGATACAACATGGCGCTGAAGCCGATTTCCAAGGCCTCTCCAAAGACCCAGTGATCCTGATCCCGGCCTTGGCCCACACCTGTCGTGTCTGAATAACAATGGGATAGTTGGACGACTTCGTTGACGTGAAAGTAGGCCGAAAGCTCATACACCTCGTCATCGCCATTAACGCGAGACAGCGCCCACATAAGTCTAGCCATGCAGAAGTGATAGAGCGCAGCCGTCAGCGCGTACTGATAGGTGCGTTGCGGACGTTGCTGCAGCTGTGTGCTCAAGAGCCCGTCGATATCCCGCCTACTCAGTCCGGAGGGGTATTGCTCAGCCGCCGACTTCAGTGAAGGGTCATTGAACCTTTTCTTCCAATCGTCTACTTCAAGCAGGAAAGACATGATCCTTTCCGACGAAACATCTTCGATGTTCTTGACAAAAGAATTCCATACTAGATCAGCGACGAATTCTTCCGCCGAGAAGACGTCGAGGAGCTGATGCATGTACTCGGACAATAGCGGCCCATCCTTGTCTCGTCCGAGAAAGTGGGTGCGCCGTCTCTCGTCTGGGTGAAGTCTGCACGAGTTCTCGGCGCCAAACAAGCTGATGGGCAGGGGAAGCATAACGCGGCAGAGGAAACTCACATGCCGTAGAGAAGATTTGATAGGCAGTAGTGAGTCGATATTCCCTTCTTCGAGGGACAGGCTGAGATAAAAGTACTTTGCGATATGGTAGTGCCGAATTGCGGCGGAAATATTGCCGTTGAAACACTAGTTAGGTCGACTTTGGTCAGCGAATAACTAAATCTCCAGGTCTGGGTAATGATAGTACTTCGAAATATGCCAGCAGCTGCAGAACTGCCACCAAAACATCCGGTGCCGGTGGCTGCGACTTTAGCTGTCTCGAAAGGCCCTCTATAGCAATAGTGTATGTCTGTAGCGCCGTGACCTTGGTGTCGGCTCCTCTGCTCCGAGCGTTGTCCTCGGACCGTGCCAAAAGCAAGGACGCTCTGTGCAAGGAACCCAGAGCTATGATTGCGTCGTAGATACACTCGGTCTCCCATGCTTCCTGGCAAAGCATGTCTCTCCAAAAATGGAAATAGCAGGCCGGAAACAACACAGGGACCGTGCGGAAGATATACTGATGGTATGCCAATATATCCCGTGCTCTCGAGTGTGGCCGCTGTACAGGAGTCGGATTGTTCGGCAGAGCTATCAAGGGCAGTCCATCCCGTTCAAAGTGGGCGACCGGTTGGGAGGGAGATCTTGTTGAAGTAGCACTGTCTGAAGGAGTCTGGTATTGCGGAGATTCTGCCGGCGCACGATGCCGGACATCGATGTATCGCATCTGCTCGTACCCGGCACAATGGATATTTGATGCCTCGCATCTCTCACATGTGGGTTTGCGCTCATCACATTTGATTCGCCTTGAAGAGTTTAGCAAGTGAGCACGTCTTTCGCGAGAAGGCGTTCGAATGTACCTTTGACGGCAGGTCAAACAACCTGTTTTCCTTCTCTTGCGAACTCCGGACATGCTTCTAAAACGTCAAAGAAAAGTCTAGCTTGCACAAAGTCGCTGATGGAAGAGGTTCCGAGGTTCAGACAACCCCCGCAGAAACAATCCGAGTCCAGGTCTCAACACTGTAGCTCGTAGAATACTGATTGGAGTGAGAAAGTCGCTGACTAAGGTAAGATGAAAAGACTTCAGGTCGCTTAGGGACAACCAGCCGGCTCGTCATTGGCAATCGCAGAATCCTTAGTTCCGATTGCAGATAACTCTTGTTTACATACAAGCAAGACGGGACCCCTCTGGCATCTGTGTAGATAGGCGATGGGCGTCGTCGCAGCGTTGACGGGAGCATCGCAGGTTAAGTTGCAAAGACGGTCTGTCTCCTCTTTAGGGTCTTTACAGTAGAACCTGTGCCTGAGTCAATGACAGGGCGTGGCTGTGAGACGAGGCTTTTCTTCGCACCCGCGGGATCCTCCTTCCTTCAAATATGATTCATATTTCAGCACCGCTTCTCACCACATTGCAGTCTCCATCATCCACTCCTCTGACCTGAGGCACGCGTAGCGACTCCATCTACCATTCATTCTGGGGTTTAAAGCCGTGCCGGATCATGATCGGTCAAGTCTTAACCAAGTTCGAGATTACGACAGTCCTCTGGGTGGTCCTTGGACATGTATTTCTCGGCGGCCTCACTCTCATCCTTGTCCTGACTGGCAATCTGTACCTGTCTCGTAGGGAACTCAGACATTTACGACGCCTAGGTCAGCGCGGGGTGAGCGGCCTCGCCGACCAGTTTGACGCGAGATACGAAAAGGAAGAAGGAGCAGCGCAGGACGAACCGATCATCGTCAAGGCGCTCTACATCTACCCCATCAAGTCATGCGCACCCATCGGACTGCAACGGGCTCTGCTGACCAAAACTGGCTTCGCATACGACCGATGCTTTGCTCTTGCCGTGGAGGCCAATCCGGGTGAGTGGCAGTTCATCAGCCAGCGTACGAAGCCACGGATGTCACTAGTCAAGCAAGAACTGTGGCTTCCGGACGAACAGAGCAGCCCAGACGACCGACTGGTGCAGGCGGGCGGCTGTCTCATCGTGAGCTTCCCCAACCCTGATGCTCCCAACGCGTTCGGATCCATCAGAGCCATGTTCGAGGCGCGGGCGTTGTCTGCAGTTCCCCACGTCCGCTTTGTCGTACCACTGCTTCCTTCAGCCAGTCAAACGCGCCAATGGGGTCTACAGCTGAAGCCATTCACGATCCACAGTCGCCAGGCCTCGGGCCTCGATTTTGGGCAACTGCCTCCTGTTGCAGCGGCACTCCCCAAGCTGAAGAGGTTTCTCAAGATCCCGGAACGTCAGAGGCTTACCTTGATGAGGTGTACACCAGACACTCTTGTCCGCACAACCAGGAATCTAGCGCCGCTGAATTACATCGGCACGCCCGCGGTTCACGGCTACACGGATCAACAGCCTGTGCACGTCATAAACTTGCCATCGGTGCACGCCACGTCCAAGCTGCTACCACGAGAGAATCGGCCTCTTGATGCGCTGCGGTTCCGAGCAAACATCTATTGTGCAGGCGCACCTGCGTTTTCAGAGGAAACGTGGAAACGGTACAGGATCATACCCAGATCCGTAGCCTCGGGACTACGAAAGGCCAAGGTTGCGCCCGTATTTTCGGTGGTTTGTCGCACGTCCAGGTGCACGATGCCCAATGTCATCCCTGAAAAGGGCGTCTTCGAGGAAGACACCCCTCGTCCGGAGAAGAAGAGGGGGAGGCCTCAGCCGAGCACCACGCTGGTCAAATATCGAACAGTCGAGAACGGCAACCCGGCAGCGCTGGGATATCTGGGCATGCATTGCGTGCCGGAAGACTCATCGCTGAAGGAGGCTGTCGACCAGATTCTTGGCCTGTACGTCGAGGTCGGTGACGAGATTGCCGTGCTCGAGAGGGGAAACCACCTCTACGGCTCCACCGGGGATGACTACTGAGCAAGGACGCCGCTGCAATCGCGCGCAGCACCACCTGCAGATCCCTCTCTCCGGTCACACCCGCCCGGCTGGCTGCACTCCACGCCCCCAAGCACTCCTCCCTCACATTCGCTGTTCGAGGTGGTCATGGTACAGAACCTGACGGGGGCGGAGAATGGCCGGACACAAAGGATGCGACGGCTGAACAGAAGAGATGCAGGATATCGAATCGGGGTCTTACGTGGACAAGACCAAAATAGACTTCGTGTATGCACAAGCGAATAGAGCTCAAGGATGCGCAAGCGAACATGGATCGTATTCCCGGGTGCCCTAGTACAGAACTTGACGGGGGCGAAGAATGACCCGGAAAACAAAGCATGCGGCGAGTGACAGAAGAGATGCAGGACTTGCATCGGGGCTCTAACTAGTAAGCAACCGAGCATAGTAGAGTTCAAGTATGCACAGGCGAACATGGATTGTATTTTGAACAAGCAACAGTGCAGATATCTATCAAGACTCGAATCCCTACAGGTCCTACACAGTTCTCCCAGAGTCCAAGTACTCCTAGACCAAAAAGTTTGGCTTCGGACGAATACAAAAGTGAATACTCGGAAAAGCCACAAGACAACACCAGCCAACACTGTGAACACAGACTCCAGCTTCCCAGCTTGAAATCCATCCACTCTGCAAAACCGGCCGACCTTGTAGCTCAACCGCTGTGAACACTGTAATCTATTTCCTCAGGGGAAACTTGAAAGCCGGCTTGATGGGCGAGAGATTGAAAGGGGTGAGACGCCGCGAAATGGGGCTTCTGGGTCGACTTGGGGCTCCAGTTGAGCATCATGATATTCGGATGCGGAGGAGGAGTCTGGGGACCTTGATCTTAGGGGCAATCGCGATCTAGGAGGCAGAAACCGAACGCGGTCGGACGCTGACATTTGCAACTCGCTCTCTCTTAACGGTGGTGAGCGAGGGTGGTCAAATTCTGGATATTCCCTTGCTCTTGGATGAGGGTTTTCGCTGCGAGTCGAACGTGCATGAGCTGATTTCCCTAGACGTCGTGATAATTCGATACGTACAGCACGAGCCGACATCTTTGGGGGTGGTGAATAGATGTGATCGGACGCTTCTGGATGAAACATTCCTGCTAGACCAACCGGCAAGCCTTGTTCAGTTGATAAGGAGGAGGAGGGTCTCATGGTAGCTGGAGATTTGTCACGACGAGAAGCCGGAGGAGACGTATGCTGTGAAAGAGCTCGGATCGATGATGTGACGCCGACATGGGCAGGGCCTGTTTGATGGAAGCGAGGGTGCGGATGGCGGCCGAGTGGGTAGAGACGGTTTGGATCTCCAGTATTGGCAAAATCGAATCGTTGCTTGTGATCCATCCATATCAAGTCGTTCACTCTTTTGATTACAAAGAAGCACCTTTGGCGTAACCACCACGCCCTCGTTCTCAGTATGAACGGCCTGGGATCGAAAGTCCATCCTAGACCATGGCGAGGCCCGGTTCCCGATTTTCGGAGTGTGACATAGCTAAAATCTCGGTACTAACGGTCCAGATCGACCGCCAACTTGGTCAATCTGTTCCCAGCTTTCCTTCTAATGAGCTTGAGAAAGACTCGGTCTGCACGGGCTTGGTCTGGAAGAGGCAGCTCCCTGTCAGAGACAGGCACACGGTCCAGGAGGCGCTTGTGGAGGGTAAGAATCGATTCGTCCAAATGTGCCACATGTATGGCAAGCTTCTGGTATGAGAGACAGTGGTCGTCCCGCTGAACTGCGCTTGGAGCCAAACTTCGATCGAAACGGACATGTCTTTGAAGAGGAAATGGGCGTCGATCAGTATGCTGGCAACTGACTGCCACAGATCATCCATGAAGCCTGGATGCTTGGGGGGAGTTTGAGCAGAGCAAACAAAGAATGTTGAGAGCGTTAAGAGACTGTGTTGAAACGATGAAGTGAAGTGCCAGTAGAAGTCGGGTGGAGACGGAGGCGGAAGGAGAGCCAGGCTTGTTCCCAAGGTAAAGGAAAACTTTGAGAAGTCGCCTCCCATGTATGGAACGACAGCTGCGTGGGTCTTTCTGGTTGAGCTTTCCGCGGATCTCACTTGCTCTGCGCAGTCCAGGCTCTCGCAAGATGCCACTGAGGTTCCCTGTCGACTGTGCGGCCATCATCCTCAGGATATGGAGTCGGGGGTCTGGGCGGCGTCCTCTTTCCTTCCATCGAAGATCGACGACTAGGCAGCTCGGCGAACACTATGTGCGACCTGGTACTATTCGGGCTGGCTTGCTCCTGGGACTGGACAACCTCGCTGAATCTCGATCCGTCTCTGTTACGCCTGAAGCCCCCGAGCAAGCCTTCAGCAGCCGGCGTTGCCATGTGGCCATTCGGGCCCGTCAGTCTCTCGCAGATGGTGGTGTATTTGGGTGTCTCCTTGGATTCATCATTGTCAGACTTTGTCCTTCTCAGGCGTGCGACGAGTTTTGGAAATTGCTCTACAAAGAAATTCTTTACAGCCATGTTGTCGACAGTGGTGTGGTTTATTTGGCAATGTCAAGTATATCTCTGGGAGCGTGTCAACGAGACATGGATTCTAACGACTGATACAGAGCATTCAAGAAGCAGCAAAGAAAAGTTATGTTCGTGTCTAGGTCCTCAAAGGTCCTCGCAGGTCCTCATCACTTACCGTGTGAACCAGACTTGCAGTGCAAAGTCTTCAAGCCCACCCACCAGTCCTCATGGCGATCGGTATCGGTCCCTAATCACCTTCCGATGAAGGCTTCGAGAAAGCTTGAGCGAATTCTCTCACATGGGCCAGGCTCCTGGGACTAAAGCCAGGTGATGAAAACCCTTCAAGTTTGGAATGTTTCGAGAGCCTTTTCACGATACTCGAGAAGATCAAGGATACTTCGAGTCTAACGGCTGAAATTCTGGTACCGGCTGTTGGATTCGGATTAGCGTCCCGCACGTTTAGGGCCTCGGGCATCTGAATGTCGGCACAGAACAAGCTTCGAAAGGGGAACATCGAAAAGTACTATCAGACTCTCTCATACCTCACAACAACTAGTACCCGGCTAAGGTAAGATTTGACTCATCTGATGATAGAACATCTGAGATGCTTTCTGGTTTCCACCCCTAATTCATTTTGCTAACCCTTTCAAGTCTGAACCGGCGGAGGCGACTGCTCCGTCGAGGTACCGCGCGGGTAGTAGCCATACAAGTGGATTTGGTGGCCTACATCGGACGCACCCAACCTGACTTTCCTCACACTCGACTCTGTCTCCTCTAAGCAACTTCTTGTTGCTTGACAGCCTTCTCCTCGTCATGGTCATTCTCGCTGAACTCTCCATGACCTACATCAGAAGCCTGTTGATGGCGGAGGTCCCGATGCGTCACTTCAGCCATGTCGGTATCGTGCTCGACGTTCAGACTGCGCCCTCTCTTCTCAGGACCCACGAAGGTGATAATGATCAGGTAGGCATACACGCAGCCCATGAATATGCAAATGACCTTTCCGTAGTTGTATCGCTTGACGGTCTTGCCCTTTTTGGTGATAGGCTCGAGAGGAAACCGTTCGCCGAGGGTCGACTCGATGGTCGACGACGCCGATGAGGCCAGATTGCCAAGTTGGTACGACGTGCCCACCACGAAGGTACGCAAGGATCCGGGCGATAATTCCATCAGATGGATTGGGATCACACCCCATGCGCCCTGGACGCAGAACTGCTCGAAAAATGCGGCAGCCATGATCGCTTTCGACGATGTGAAAGTATATGGATACAAGAGTGCGCCTCCCACGATGCAAATAACTATGATACTGAGTCGCCGACCAAATATTTGAGAGCAGTATCCCACTGTGGTTCCACCGGTCATGGCTCCGAGATTGGCGACAACCATCGTAACCGTCGTGGCATCCGGGGAGAATTTGAACTGATTCCCAAGCATGGTTGGATACCTATGGCCTTGAGTTTAGTTCTATGTTCATTGCACGTCTTGAGGGAACTTACAGGTCTTGACTGCCGTGACTACTGAAATTCATCCCAGCCATGAGAAGGACAAGATAGATCAGGAGCATCCAATGATTTTTGAGGGCGACTCGTCCTTCAGATATAAAAGTGCCTGCGAGACTGCCCTGCTGGTGGCGGATCGCTTGACGAGCGCGGAACGTGTTCGTTTCAGGAAGACACAAGCGGAAAAGAATGATGAGAATGGGTGGGCATGCACCGAACCAGAAGAGAGGCCTCCAGCCATGTGAAGTGGTGTTGACAAGTGCGCGGGCAAAGGCTGCGGCGAGAAGGTAGCCAAAAGCGTAGCCCTGCTGCAGCATGCCAGAAATGATGCCACGAGCGGCGTCCGGGCAATCTTCCAGCGCTGTAGCTGCGGCATTTCCGTACAGACCACCCATTGCTATGCCAAACAACGCCCTTACCGCCAGAAACTGGGCATAGGTTTGGGTAAACCCAGTACCCAGCTCCAAAGCGACGAAGAGAAGATTGTTGATTATGAACGGCCTATCACATGTGAGTATTAGTGGATGTTTTATCCATCAAGATCCCAAAGACTTGGCTCCTACCATTTGCGGCCGTATCGATCAGCGGCGATACCGAAGATAGTCGAACCGAGGGATCGGAACATGAGCACCAACGTAATGCCCCAGGTGATGTCGGTATTGGACTTGCCAAAGGTCTCGGCGAGATCTGACACTGTCAAGGAGACGGTGAAAAAGTCAAAGGCATCCCAGGACCAGGCAAAAAAGGCCACCAAGAAAAACAGCCACTGCTGCGTGTTGAGCATGGCCAGGAGCTTGAAAGGATTCTCCGCCTTGGCCATAGGTGGCTTCAGGGTGGTGAATCGAGTGGCTGCATATCTGCCAATAGACATGCGCTGGTCCGTTGGTTCTTCAGACTCATCTCGCTGGTCCTCACGAATCTTGCTCTCGTAAGGTGGATTCGGACCAGGTTGAACGTCGACGTTGGCCATCGTGAAGCTAGTTTGTGTAACGGGCGGGCAACAGGCAACGAGATCTCAATCGAGGAAGGATTGTAAGCCCTCGTCTGCAGAGTTGGAGACGAGTCGTAGCAGTAGAAGGCGGAATCGAGCATGGGACATGTCAGGCTTTTTAAAGGCGGTCGAAAGGGGAGCTCTGTGCCAGGTGATCAGCAGAGCAGGGGATACTCCATCCCTCGTGCTCTGGTAGCAACAACACCACGCACAGGATTGACAATATGCCCATTGCAGTAGCGGTAATGGGGCGCCATGGTGGTGTGTTCAACGGATCGCACACGATCAAACCATTGGCCGGTGCTGGCGTCGGCTTCTGAACTGTTACCTGCAACTCTGGAGAAGGCCCTCTTCGGTAGGCTGGATCGAGGGAGGTTGCGGGGTGCAAGTCAAGGATCTGTATACCGCAACGAATAACAGCACGCCCACGGGTGGCCAGCGCGGGATCAGAGGTAACATCGCGACGATCGACAGGCCGACCGTGGCGCTACTTTTCGGAGGATACAGGAATCCCCTTCGACCTTGGACCACTGTGTCTGTAGGTTCTGTGCAAGACGTGACGAGAACGGGCCGGAGAAAGTAACGCCCTCGATGGAACATCACGGCGAACATTCTCTTGAGCTTCCATAAGGTTACTGAGATCGGCGAGTCGACGCGAGGACCTTCATTTGGGCTTTGGATGAGGCGACGAGAAGACGCCGGGGATGTCGGTGGTTGATGTCGCCGCAGGGCCATGGACCGTGGACCACGGGCTCAACTTGGCTACACTTGGCCTCGCACTTGGCCTGCGCGAGTGGCTTTGACAGCTGCCACTAGGAACGCGACACTGGAAGTGTCGAAGCCTGGGCAAGCCAGACAACAGCCTGTCACTGGTCCGGTTACGATGCTTTGGGGCTCAAGGACTGAAAACAAGATCATCGCAAGCCTCCACAAGCATTTTCGCACCCCGTGAGTTACAACTTCTAACCCCAAGTGGCTCTCGGCGGTGGAATCTTCTGCCGCGGGGTGTGTGAGCTTAGATGGCCAACAGACCACCATCAGTCTATCGCCGCCTTCCTTTTTCTTTGGTCATCAGCAACAGGTTCTCGCACAGAGTAGTATAGGAGGTATATAGTGGCGACGAGAACTTTGTCTGTTGGCGATGAATGCACGACGTACCGCCGCCCAGCTGGCCAGCTAATGTGTACAGATAGATCGCCGTGGGGAACGTACTGTATGTCAAGAAAGCATACCTAGCTAGGTAGGCAAGGTAGGTGGTGGCTGTAGGTACACGTAGCTGGGTGGAAACGCTTAAAATGAGAGTCGACGACTCTCCTCGGGTTCCGTCGGGATGGTTTGTTCTGAGACGTCTTGTTGATCACAAGCGAGGTTCAATGGTCGGAGGGTCAACATTCACTGGAGCTTCCAATGGTCTGTCTGGCCTGGTTCGTGCTCCCAAGGGGAAAACACAGTGAACGTGGTCGACAAACGTACGGAGAAGAATCACATCCAGCGCCTGCCCATTGCCGCCCTCCTCTTGCGCAGCAGCATGCATGTCAAAACGTACTCAGTAGCCTGGTCTCATTCTGGTCGGCCACGGCGAGAAAGAGAAAAAAAAAGAAAGAAAGAAAGGATCCAGACTGCCTTCGTCTCGGAATAGCACGTCGACACGTCCAGCCCGCTCGCAGCTGGAACGGCGGGACACAACGACCGCGCTCAGCTGTCTTCGAAGGGGCAAACAAAGGACAACCGATACCTCCGTACCGTGCAGGACTGTACTGTACGTGTGGAATGCGAAACATGGCAATCGGACAATTTGACTTGACTACCGACATGATTAGGAATACCAAAACTAAAATACCTATACGAGATAGGTAGACAACCGCCTCCCACCCCACCAAGCCTAGTCATTCGGAAACCGTAGATACTTTTGTGTTGGAGCCATTCCCTTGTCTTCCCTTCATCCCATTTCTACCCGAGTCAACCTCATGCTTCAAAAAAGGCAAAGCAGTCGTGAGTGACTTCGCCGTTAGATCTGCATAATAAGCAAAAAAGGACAAACGGGAAATACCGCGAGGTGGAGGAGAGAGACGTTGTGGATTGTCACGTCCTGCATTGCCATACACCCCTTCCTTGCCATAGAAAATTAATGATAAAAACGCCGTTATGCTGACCAACCGAGCGATAGCCACATTACGGAAATTGTGATTACCTGGAAACGCTGGTTCAAAATCCCTTCCCACCTTTGGCGCCGATCATAGAGGTTTGTTTCTTTCATCATTTATGTTGTGTGTGGGTATCAATCGACATGTTGGTAACAACATGGAAAAGAAGAGCTCAGGCACCCACGGGTGTGGTTGGAGGTGTGACCTGAGTTGATAGGCAGGCGTCATGCGTAACATGCGTGATACGCATGACGTGTGCGCCCTGAGTAAGTAGGTCGATGACATGCGCGTAATGAGTTGGTCGCAGGGACCATGGCATGAAGGGAATCATTCCTGAGGTTCCTGCGATAGTCGAGGCTTCTTTGCAGGGTGGGCTGCATCATCACGTTCCTGGAGCTGCTTTTCCAGCTCTTCAACTCTTCGTTTCAGATCATCGCGCTCTCGAACAGCGCTGTCGCGCTCGCGACGCAGATTGTTCTCATTGTCCGAGTAGAAGCCGTTGATGACTTCTAGTTCCGACACCCGCGTGCGGAGGTTGGTGTTGACGGCGACAAGTTGTTCGTAGGTCATCGACTCGGATCGATCTGCGGTCAATGCAGTTGCGCCGGGGGATGGATGACTGAACGAGTGGACGCCAGGGAGAGAAGGGGAGGAGTTGGTGTGGTCGGCCACTGCGGCAGATGCGCCATCGAACACGTGCTGAGGCGCAATGTTGGGATCGTGCTGCGCCCCTGGCGTGCCCGTCCGCGAGACAGGAGAGTGAGATCGTTCGGAAGGTGCAGTTGTCGTGGCCATCTGTGAAACACGACGATGTAGACTGAAGCCATTGGGGGCGGATACCTCCGTGATGGGCGCAGAGGTGCTGTTGGGCTCGTACTGTGCAGAGTCAGCATACACGACGCGGATCTTGCCAGTCGCTGTAAGGCGCACCTTCTTCTTGGGCAGCGCAGTGGTCGTCTTGACCCTATTGCGACTCTTGATTACATCTGTCTTGAGACTGATTGGGCGCGGACGGCCGTGCAACTTGAGGAAAAGTCCGCAGGCGTTGCACAAGACCGAGCCAGCTTCATCGCGCCGCCATAGAGGAGTGGTCGAGGTCTGGCAGTTCTGACATACAGGCTGTGAAAAGGGAAGAGTCTGGTCAGCGCTGGGTAATGAGGCAGCCATGGTGCGGTTGTGAAGATGGAGATGGGAAAGTAGAAAGTTTGTTATCGAAGCGCAGAGACGATAAGATAAAGATAAGAGAATTCAAGGTTGCGGTGGGTGGTGGATGAGAATGTAACCAAAGGCCCAAAAAGTCTTGGCGCCGGTTTTGCCGGTGGCAGGAAAGAGTGTGGGAGGGAGTCGCTCTTACCGGTGCACTTCCTGCAATCCCTGCGATTCCCGGTGTTGGCACTGGTGGCATCAGCGCATAATGAGCCAGTGGTGATCCATGGCTGCCTGAAAACGACCTGTAAGGTATATCAACACACGATTCCTCTTCGGCTTCATCTGCACCAGGCATACCTCAGCGGTGGCCCGTTCGCCAGCGATGTCAGAGACGATAATCCAGGTAGGTTGGGTCGTGGTTCCGAATGGTAGCCTCGTCCCAGACTCAGGCTGGCGCTGCGTGTGTGGAATTGAGGCTCGTGCAGGAACAGATGGCTCGAACTCGGCAAGGCAGTGGACGACGGGCGTGAGATATCCTTCCCATAATATGCAGGCTGTGGCAGCGGCGAATGCGGCCTCTCCCCCTCTCTTCTGCTCGTGCTGTACTCCTCCAACCCCGGCTCCTTCAGCGGTGTCGATGGTGGTCGGTAGGGGGGATCGACGGGAGAGGCTCGAAAGAGCGGTGGACCTGCAACTGCGGAAGCCGTGTTGGGCGGTGGCTGAGAGACCAGAACCGTGGTCTCGTCGGGGGGACCAAATGAGAGGACGCCTCTAGTATCAGAGGCAAGAAACGAAAATGAGAGGATTGGCAAGGAAAGCAAGCAAACAAAACTGAAAGGAGTGAATGTGTACAGAAGTAGCACCAAGGCAAAGCGAAAAGAGTGTGTGTACCAATTGGCAGGAATCAATGAATCAGTGAACGGATGTATCGATAATGTGAAGAGACAATCGATATCTCGATACGCGGGCTCCTCGAGGCTTTTGCTGGCACCCAATCCAATTCCAGCGTCAAAGGGGCCTGGCCTGTCTGTGGGAGCCGCACAATATTGGACTCCGCCGTCAGCCTAGGAGCTGCATGTCTAATTGCGCCTTGTCGGAGCTTGGACGCGTCTGTTGAGATGAGGGTTCTGCCCTAAATGATGTTAGTGAACTCGTCGAGGTCCCAAGAGTAGCCTGGTGGTCCTTTCGGTGTGCTCCGTATTAGGAGGCTCGAATCCGCACCTGAGGCCACCACAGTCGACTGTAGTCTGCGAGGGAGTACACGCGTGCGGCGAGGAATGTTTGTTCCAGCAGAGCGCCAACTGGATCACGGCCCTACCTGGAATCCAGCAATTGTGCACGCGTTGATTCGGTGGCTGTGGGAATCTGGGGAAGCAAAAGAGATTGCCCAATCTCACGGTGGAGGTCCGAATTCCGAATGCGCCCCCTTTTCCCGGTCGTCGCGGACGCTGCCACAAACTCAACCTCTTGTCGGTACCCAAGATTAGAATAGAAGAAACGGCTTCACCCGCCCGCAGTCAGTACGGCGTGCGCTATCGCGTTTATCAGAGGGAATTGTTGACAGCCGCGACACCCGCAGCAAATCTACCAGACCGTTATGACAAGCCTTGCGATGGGATTGCCTCATCCCCCGTCCATATAAACGTGCCGCTGAAGGTGCAGCTGTGACAGCTGTCATCATCTCTATCCCCTGCTCGCTTATTTCAAGATCGTCTGCCGCGCCGCACTTGGCAAACCGTGCATCCAGACTGACATACAAGTAGCCCGTTTACCGCCGACCTGGTAAAGTCATGATTATTGTCAATCTGACGAGCACGCAAAGGTGTACAGCACATGCAGAACAAACAAGGCCTCCCTATCGGGGGACAAACATTCAAATCAGATTAGCAACAAACTTCCGACCATCAAGTTTTCTGCGCAACCACATCTACGGCACAGGAAGCCTCGTTAATGTCTTCGACATTCTTGCTCGTTACGGCATCACATGTAAGTTGCTCGACACTATCAATACCTCAGCAGCGGCCCGAAATCCTGATGGCAGCGGGCCCCTGCGTGCTTGCCTGCGTCAATCACGTACATTTGACCTGTCTTGATCCAGTCTTTGCTTAAATATCTCAACGCCAACGCCGGTAACCACTGGAGTATAACAAAGTGTTGCAATACCAACGTAGAGCTGAATGCCATCTAAAAACTGCGACTTATCTAACTCGCTCCAACGACTGTACTTAGTCACGTCGGCGCGTCTGAAATTCTCGACCACGTTAAAGCGCCTTCATACGTTAAAAGAGAAGACTCTTGACTGAGTGACAACCAATAGCGTCTCAGGTGTACGGGTGATGCACCATGACCAACCTGACAGGCAATAACAAGAACGATGCGTCAGCTGACAGAAATGACATGAGCCAGATGTGTATCTCTGATGAGGGCTTCAGTGCGACTCGTCTAGACTTCCTTATCAATGTGAAACACATCTTTCCACGTCATTGAGAGACAGGATTCAACCATCTCAAAAGCACAAGGCACCACCATCGACTATCAAGTCTGAACCAGTGATATATCTGCCGGCTCGTTTACTAGTGAGGAGGACAACTGGACCAGTAATCTCCTCAATATCTCCCATACGGCCCATAGGGCATCGACTGGCCCAGATATCTCTGACCGGCCGCAGACTGTCGCCCGCATTGAGCACTGTGTCCATGTAGCCAGGAGAGATTGAATTAACACGTATACCATGCACTGCCCATTCAGCGGCAAGGTTTTTAGTCAGAGTCCGTACACCACTTTTGCTTATGTTGTAGGCTGTTTGAGGCTGCGGGTAGTTGGTTGAATGGCCAGAGATCGATGCTGTAAAGAGTATTGAGCCTCCTTTCTTGGTATCGATCATGTGTTTGGCAGCTGCTTGAGCACATAGGAAAGACCCTGTCAGGTTGACGTCGACGACCTTGCGGAATTGGTTGGCGGTTGCTGATATAGAGTGGACGCAGCCAACAATGCCCGCAAAACAGCACAAGACATCGACGCTTCCCATCAAATCCCGAGCATCCTGGAATGCCTTTTCTACGGCTGTCTCTGAGGTCACGTCAACGTGGACTGCGTGGATGGGGGTTTTCGGAAAGTCCTGTTTCAGGTCGGAGATCGCTTTCGAAGAGCTGTCAATCGTCGATTGCAAGTCCATCAAAGTTAAAGCGGTTGCGCCATGCTCCAGAAGCGCTCGAGCAGATGCCAATGCCAATGTACCAGCACCGCCAGTGAGAACAGCATTGCCCTCAATCTTGAAGCGAGCAGCGGCCCTCTCAGCCGGAGACGTCGATGAAACGGGTGGGAGGGGTGCTGTCAGAGGATTGTCGGCTACTGACAAAGTCATGGTCGGAATGACCCTGGAGGTAAGAGAACCCCTCTCATCTTGTGAGACTATCGGCAGCACTGACGGGGCTGAAGTGTCGCCCATAGTCAAGACGCTCTGATCAGAGTCGAGATATGGCTCGCCTTTGGTAGAGCGTGCCAAGGTTGACGAAGAATTCCCCGTAGTCGGTGCCGCCTTGGGAAGACTTTAGTTAGATAGGAATTCGAGTGAGGCACTTGAGACTCAAGAACCGATTACGGGCATCTTTAATAAATACGAGTCATCTTTGCATATGTGAGGCAAGAAAAGTGGATCGGGGATGGAGGCATCGGCGCACAGAGGCCCGAAAGGTGCAGCTTTTTCAAGTCATTGGTTGCTCCATGAGTAGAGAGATAAGTCGGCGTCTGTACGCAGCATGAACTGATTCTTATGCAGGTAACTAGATCCAGGGCGCCAGGATTGGCTGTCCGAGTTGTGATGAAGTCCCTTGTAGTCCCAAACAACCCTCGTGGAAGCGGCGGTGGTGCCATTCTCGGTACACCTGCCGCTCGGCGAATAATGGCCCGGAGCCCGGAATTAAGTAGATCCTCCCCGCATACTCTTGATTTTTTCTGAGGAAATCATTTGCCATAATGCCATTTCATTTTTTTGAGATCCCGGCGTTCTACTATGACATGAGCCCACAGCAAAGTATTACTGCTCGACGATAAGTCTGCAATGTCCGCCGTCAGCGTAAACGGTCCTCAGGCCGTATCACAATTTGACCTCTCGAAGCTGTCCTCGCAAATTGACCTGCTCGTTGCCCTCCATCTCTGGTCATGGCCTGCGCTGACTTTGGCTATTCAAAATGCCTGGGGCGGCTCAGCACAAGTCTCAAATGACAAAAGAGACTGGATGGCTGGTGCGGTGTCAGAACTCTTGATCTCTACTCCTCCAGCACTCGCGGATGTCGGCGATCTGGAAGAAGTCCTTCTACAAGTTATGGTCGACGAATTCGAGATTGTCGTTGACGACGGGACCGCCGAAGATGTGGCACGCAGTATCTGGTCTGGCGCCACAAAGATCAGGAACGGCGACCTTACGGAGCTGAATGACCTCTATATCAGGTGGCAAGAAAAACAACAAAAGGGTGGCGACAGAATTGTTAACATCGTACGAGGCGAAGACAAAGATCAGGATACTGATGCAGATGAGGACGACTATGAGGACGAAGAGGAATGGAATGGATTTGAAGATAGACAAGACGTCGATATGGACGATGCTCCCCCTCTGACCGGTTCCAGAATGCCGAAACAAAAGGCCGAACCTGAGGTGGATGAAGATGGTTTCACCAAGGTTGTTGGCAAGAAGAAGAGATGAGTTGGCTCAAATTCAGCGAGCCCCGAACTGCGAGTAACAAATTGACGTCTTCTGGGAACATCCCTGAGGTTGGCAATATGCTACAAGAATCATAGAGTACGCGTCTGGGTGGCTATCATCCTCGGCTAACTCGAAACCGGCGCAACTAAGCTCAATCGTCGTCTGGATCTACCAAGCCGAGCTTCTCATTCTCGACCTTGCTCCTCTGGCTCCACTCTGGCGGCACGTCGATACCCTCAGCTTCCTCTTTATCACCTTGTGCCTTATCCTTGTGCACTGTGGTCGGCTTGTGCTCTGCAGGAGAATACACCGTGTACAAGATAAGAGGAGTGGGACCGGTGTTGATAAACTGATGCTGCGTGCCTGCGGGCACAATTATCAAATCGCCTGCTTTGACGTCCTGGTCCACCCCATTGATGGTGGCCTTGCCTTTCCCAGACGTGAAGGTCAGGATTTGGTCAACTGTATGTTTCTGCTTGATGTCAGGTCTTCTGCTGTTGGAAGATCACAACACAATACACAACCGTATATCACCTACCTCGTCACCGATCTCCCCATCTACAGGAACGGTCATCAGCACGAGTTGACTGTACAACCCTGTCCACAGCACGCGGCGGAATTCGGCAGACTCGCTGGGTAGGGATCCCGTCATATTCGGGAAATACGCCATTTCATGCTTAGGCGGGTCCATCGAAGGGGTCGTGAACTTCATGGTGGTGGCAAACGATCGGTTTCGTGGGGAGTGCCGGTTCTTTGCTCGGATTGGGCCCGTTGCCACAAATGACGAACTACTGGCTATGTAGCTTGAGCAGTCCGCCGTGCGAGACAGTCGTAGGAGGCTTTTGAGTGCGGATCCTGCTCTTGAATATCCCCGTGGAACACCCTGTGCAGACATGCGCCGTATATCGCGTATCAAGGGCCTTAGGTCTCCGATACTGTTGGTCAGTACGATTGTGTCCATTCAGGGAGCCGACTTTAAACTGTCGAGGGAAGGATATAATATGTCATCACATGTCGAATATCTACACTCAACTGCTTCTCATGATATACCTTACTGTGGAGAAGATGGTCATGATGACGAGAGAATAACATTCACCATGGCCGGGATTGTTTTCCATATGCAGGTACACATGGTCGACGTCATCACCGGCCGTTCCCTCCCTACTCGTATTCGTACCTTATGTTATAGCAGTCTCACTATGTGATGTTTTGGGCTGTTTTGGACTGTAGCCGCCAATACCTGGCAAGGTGTGAGCAGTGACGATGAGCCCGAGCGATATCGTTGACGTTGCCACCGGCGCTTCGTTACGAACCCGGTTTGAACGACGAGCTAGCTGTTGGTATCTCTGATCACGTTTCAGGCGTGACTCTTGTGGACATTGGCTGGTATGTAGTCTTTGCAGGACTCTGTAGTAACTCGCCAGCAAACCGGAGGATGTACTACTACCCGTCGATGTGGGCATTGTGATCCTCTAAACACCGAAGTCAAGTTCTTCCCTCGAGGGCGGAGGGTGCGGAGGACCAAGTGCGCACGGGTCAACACCGATTTTCTCGTCCAGGCACGAGTTAAGTGAGCTACAGCGGAGGGCGGAGGCGCACCTCCGCGCTGGCCCGCCTGGCTTACCAAGTCTCTCTCGGCTCTCTACACCTAATGGCACCACATCTGCTGAAATTGTTACTTCAGCATCGTGAGCCAGAGTCTTGTTCATTGCAGATCTGATAGAAAATTCATTGGGCACCTGAGCTGAGTAAAGGGAAAAACGATGGCCTTTTGTCAGCAGCAAACTTGGAGTACTCAGGGCTCAGAATGTCTTATTGATATAAAGGCGTTCTACCGCGATGGAGTTCGCGACATATTCAAACCATTAGAACGTTGAAAGATTACGAGTTCAAAATGTCGCCTGCCGCAGTGATCAAGAACGTGGTGTTGATTGGGGTAAGTAAATAACCCTATCCCCGTCTCTTTAGAACAACCAGGTGCAATACCTACTTGGCTCCACATGCTGACTAGATAACTCCTATACGAAGGCTGGTGGCAACCTGGGCTCAATGATTCTTTCTGCACTGTTGGCGTCCAAGGAATTCAAAGTCACGGTCCTCACTAGACCAACGAGCACGGCTACTTTCCCAGCCGATCTCTCGGTCATCAGGGCATCATACACCGAAGACGAACTAGTCAAAGCTTTCCATGGGCAAGATGCCGTCGTGTCGGCTGTAGGAGCAATGGGTTTCGCGGACCAGAAGGTCTTCATCGACGCAGCGATCAAGGCCGGGGTCAAGAGATTCCTTCCGGCGGAGTATTCTTCCAACACATTGAGCGAGGCTGTTCGAGAGCTCGTGCCGGTGTTCGAGGCGAAGAAGGTGATCCTCGATTACCTTAAGCAGAATGAGAAGACGGGCTTGACCTGGACCGGTCTAGCCGTTGGACCCCTTCTAGACTGGGTAAGTGGTAGATCGCATGAGATCACCGCACCGTCCTTCCCTGCCCGCGCTGACAACTAGGCCAGGGTCTTGCGAATGGCTTCTTCGGGTTCGACATCGCCAACAAAACAGCCGAGATCTGGGACGGAGGCAATGTGCCATTCTCGGCCACGAACCGGGCCGACTTTGGCAGGGCGGTCGCATCCACCCTGAAACACCCCGCCGAGACCGCGAACCAATTTCTCTACGTCGCAACCGTCACCACCACCCAGAAGGACATCTTGAAAGCGTTCGAGGCTGCCTCGGGCCAGAAGTGGACCGTGAGGGATGTGAAGACGGATGACCAGATTGCCACGGGGAGGAAAATGGTCTCTGAAGGTGACTTCAACGGCATGCTTACGCTTGTTCGAGCATCTGCATGGGGTACATATCTGGGAATCAGGACGAATTACCCGGTGGATGAAAAGCTGGCCAACGCGGTTCTGGAGATCCCAAATGGGAGCTTGGACGATACCGTCAAGGCTGTACTCAGCTCTGCTTAAGGAACGGTGCTGCTAGAGACCGCTTGAGTACAGAAATCACTCCATCGCATTGTTGTTTCCACGCTGTGCTTGAGCATCGTGAAGGTTCCGTGTACTCTGGGTTGAACATCGCGAAAATCTGGTGCCCATCAAATCAACTCTTGACTCAGTCCCGTGAGCCTCGCGACGCACGGCGGTGTATGCACGTACCGTGGAACTAGAAGGGGTTTATCACGCGCCGAGGTTTAACAAAGACGATGTGTCAAGCTTCTCTGCGACCGCAACATCTCGAGAAGTGGCGCACAGGATTTTGCATCGCGCTGGGATGATTCGACCCATCGATCTTGGACTTCATATGATGTGACACCCATCTGCGTACATGTTTCCTTGTCGAAATAGGTATTGTCAGATACCTCAGATGACACGATCGCCGTTCAGAATTCGGCCAGCGTCTTCTTCCAGCAACTTTGTCATTGTCCAAAACTGATCCTCTCCTCCACGACTACCGCCCTTGTCCTCTCCCTCGACAGGAACCGGGCTTCGTCCTCAGCAACTTTATGGCGGCGTTAAGTCATCAAGATGCTATTACCAAGATGATAATAATGCCGACGTTCTCGGGACAAGAACGAATCGTCGATGCTGGTGTGAAGCGATATTTTCCGGGAGAATTTGGCATAGTCACTTCCAACGAGGCCACCTTGCAGTCGTGCCCTTTCTAAGGGCGAAATCTGAAGCCGTCTCTTTCCTCCAGAGTCAACACGCTTGAGGATATAAGGCCAACTGGCCACACCGGTGGGCCTTTCTTTGACTGGTAGTGCGTCTTTCTTCTTTATCTTCTTGTCCGGTCTCTTATAAGATCTTTTCATCGGACGCACCCCAGCAGGGTGTCGGTTGATCATCAATTGCAGGGCTCCATGCAACGGATCTCATTCATTCGCTGTTACATACAGAATGACACGTATTTATCATCCTGACTTTCGTCGTCATCCTTTCAGCCGCTCTGCGCTATCTCTGGTCGCTAGCTAGCGTCATGGCACGGGTCCTTTTACGCCAGATACGCATCGCCTGCCTCAGTCAGTATGTTTGGGTGAGATCCTTCATTGTCAACCAAAGACCGAATTTTGAGTAGTCTCGAAGAAGCGACGAGGGCTTTTGGAACAACGCAAATGGGAGAGAACCGCGTTGCTTGGAAGGTTTGCTCGCGTCGATCTTGAGGAACAAGTATGCAGAAGCTGAGGAAGCTTTAGCCGTGGGTGATCCTGGCCAAGCTAGGACACCGATGAAGGATAGGGGATTTCGATGCTCATGGATTGGTGTCGTGAGTCTGAGCTGGCCTCGGAAGGTGATTGACTAGTAGTGGGTAGTGGGTGCACAGTCTGATTCGTTTTACCCGCGACACAGTCGCTAACCCTGATTGGGCAGAACACCGCCAGTATCATGTGACCTAGAGCGAGAGTACCAGTATTACCACATTAGGTATAGCGTCATAGCGCTAACCCAAAAAGAAAATTCTGTTATGGTATCATTATGTCAGCAAGTCCCGGAGTCATCAGATATATGCGAAGGTCATCAAGTCCGAACGGATGACGCCAAATCAGCTGCGATCAGACTTCAGAATCTCAGAGAAGCGAGGAAAAGCTCGCTACATCTTGTGGCTGAGAAGAAATGCGGGCCATTCTGGGAAATCTCAATGGCTAACATTTGCTTGGTACTTTCGGCGATAATGTCCAATGCTGACAGGAAACCCAAGCAATACCTATGTCCGTGTACTGCTCAAATTCTACATAAAGACACCTTTCCCTCACCGGGATAATGGCACCTGATGATGGGATTTGCACATATATTTCAACAAGCGTTATACATACCCCCGCAAACATCACCTCCAACCGATGGATGACCCTCACAACCCTTACGCTGCTGCCCACAAACGGCCCAGAGGCGCCGGCGATGCACGACCAACGGCGTTGCAGATCATAAAGGACAATGATCGCCTCTCGAAGCTCTCTGACCTCGTCATCCTGATCACAGGCTGCTCAAGCGGGCTGGGTGTTGAAACAGCCCGTGCATTGGCGGCGACGGGCGCAACACTCTACCTCACGGCACGGAATGTGCCCAAGGCCCGGGAGGCCCTTGGGCCAGAGATCCTCTCAAACTCCCAAGTCCATCTGCTCGAACTGGATCTTGATTCCCTCACGTCCGTCCGGTCCTGTGCGTCGGCCTTTCTCGCCCAGTCATCCAAGCTCAACATTCTCATCACCAACGCCGGCATCAGGCATGTCCCGTACGCCAAAACCAAAGATGGCTTTGAGCGCCACCTGGGCGTCAACCATCTGGCACACTTCCTCCTCACGTACCTTCTCCTCCCGACTCTTCAGGCGTCGTCGACGATGGCCTTCCAGTCTCGTGTTGTCGCCCTCAGCAGCACCGCGCACCGACACTCCGATATCCACTTTGACGACATCAACCTTGCCAAACCCGAAGCTTACACGCCACCAACCGGCTACGCCCAGAGCAAGTTGGCAAACGTTTACATGGCCACGGAGATCACGAGGCGCTATGGCTCGCCAAAGGCCGCCCTGGGTCAGCCCGGCGTCTGGGGTCTCGCGGTCCACCCGGGCGGCATCAGAACGGGTCTGCAAGCGGCCAGTGGGGGACTGCGGGAAGTACTGAATTGGTACTATGCACGTAACTTCATGAAACTGATCAACTACATCAAGAGCACCGAGCAGGGCGCGGCGACGACCGTGTTGGCCGCCGTCGGCGAGAGGTTTGAAGGCCGCGGCGCAATGTACCTCGAAGACTGCGGCGAGGCTGTGCCTGTGAAACCAGGTTGGGGATTGATTGATCCGGGCTATGTCCCGGGGAGGACTGACAACGAAGAGGACGCCCGGAGGTGTTGGGCGTTGAGCTGCAAGCTCCTCAAGGTGGAAGATGACGCATAGTTGCAGGACGGTAGTACAAGGAGTGCCAGGACCCGCTGCCGGGATGAGCCTGACCGCTTCGGTTCGCTCCGTTGAACGCGGTTGTGCGAAGTGGATTGGTTGTCGTGGGGCGCGAGAAAGTCATGTTGTTCGAATTGACTTGGCTCAAAAGGGGAGACGTCCAATCGGAGCCTTCACGCGGTGGCTTCGTCCCAGGCGGCTTCCCTGCCAGCAAACAAAACAGTAGCCCAGATTACACCCGAGGACGGCGCAGAAGCGTGATCTTACACCACCACTCATCAGATGCTCTCCAGGTACCTTTGAATGGCTTCTATTTGAGCCAACCAAGCAACCTCAGCCACCCGGCAGCGACGCTCAGAATCCCGGGAATGATCAAAACACCAATACCCAACTAGCAAGTAGCCTAGAGAGGTCACATGTCTGTACCAAGTTTTGAAGCGCCTTGGACTGTTGCTGAACAGCAACAGCGAATTAGGTTCATTTTTTCAACCTCCCTGAAGTAGGTACGTGTAGCGTGAAAAGGCTCGAGAAGCTTCCATGCTGGGGCGCATATTTCTCTAGCAGATAATACAGAGCTATCCTTTCGTCCTTTCGACAGCTTGGGCAGCTATGTGACTAAGAGTAGTCATGTGTGATATCAAGAGATTGAAGCGACAGATGGTGCCAGCGATAGAAAGTCTTTGCTCCGCAATCAAAGCCTCGTACGTCAAGCCGTGGTATATTTCCTCAATCTTTTGCCGCAACAAAGCCAGCCGCATTCTTTCTGTCGGAGCCAGAAACAACTGATATCGCGAGACGGCCCAGTAGCCGTCAAAGAGTAGCGACCTGAGCCGGTCCTTTTTCAAGCGTCTCGAAGGGTCACGGACAGTTCCAGGGGCGATGCCTAGGTAAACTCTGTGATCCCGCTTGAACAAACACGATGCGTCTAAAAAGTCCTCCTCTTTTGCTCTTGTCTCTGGGGTGCAGTGCATGTCTTGCATACCCGCACAGGTCAGGCTCAAATGAGCAGCGTGACCGAGCAAGTCGGTTGGGCACCGGTCGAGAAGCGCCTCAAGACTTACTGAACCACCTTTGAACTGGAATCTCAGAGATGGGGCCAAAGCTCCCTCACTGACAGTCCAGAGGCGACTCCACCACGTTGATTTCATTTTGACCCTGAGATCGTCGCATCCCCCTGTAATGACACTTCCTTCGATCAAGCAGTCCAGAACCAGCACAATGGAAGCACATCTGCAGACTCCGTCGAAAAGCTCAAAGGCCATCGACTTGCCTGGCTCTGTGAGCGGAATGCATGCCGTGTCAATCCAGAAGTAAGGTGGCTGGTGGTCCGCCGGATACAGATCATTGACCAGGGTTTGGAGTCGGGATAGTTGGCACACGGGAAGAGCATTCTGTTGTGTGTTGCCCAAGCCTTGTGAGCGGACGTTACTGATGACGACAAAGAAGGGGACCTCTCTGGATTCAGGGTGGAAGTGGACGGTCTCCACGGACGACTCTCGCACTCGAACAAGTGGGACGCAAGACTGCATCACAATATCGGTAATTTGCCACCTATTGCAATCCTCGAATACTTCATCCACACAAACAGAGCCGGGCAAATGTGGTCCTGCATGGACAGGACTGAACAATTTCAGATCGCCGTCAGGTCTGATCGAGTTCTGCTTGCGCATGCGGGTGCCTGAGCTACATAACTTTGTCGTCAGCTGAGGGCGGCCGGCATCGGAGCATGCATACATGGACTCACAGGCATTGAGAGGACTGGACTCTTCTGGGCAAAGATACCATTTCGCGATAGTGAACAACCTAGACTTCATGGGTTCAAGACTGACAGGGAGACGACGAGCAGTGGATGCCTGGCAGGCTGAGCCAAAACTGAGCCTGGTCGCGTCTTTGTTCCATAGTAAAGCGGCGACATGTTCCCAGTGCCGTCGTGACTTGTCGCGTGAATACCGGTTTCAAACACACACACACACACACACACACACACACACACACACGTCTGGAGATTGAACAACGCCTCGCCATTTGTGTTATGCTAGGATTCCAAAAATGTTTGACGTCACAGTTACCACCCGGTGAGGGACAATTCTACCTGGTGCCCCTACTCGCATTGACGACGACGTTTCAAATTGGTAAGTGAGGCACTTGCAAGGTGATTGCGCAGTCTTGATGGTGTGGCGCGGTATAGGATGCCCACGGAGGGTTCCGTGCCTTGGATTCAGCCGACAAGCTTCCGCAAGCGCCATCAGCACGATTCCACATGTTTTCGCCGCATAGTGGTTATTTATCTCTGAAAAGCTAAATGGTATTGTCTACAGTCTAATCTTCGAGGAACACTACTCCACTACCTATCCAGATGGCAACAACGTCAATATCCCAGCCATCTGCCCATCGTCGAGTCGACGAAGACTCTTATCTTGGACGAAGATCCTGCACCAATTCCCAAATGTGACTCCATCGCAGATATAGCTGCGCCAGCAAAACGACGCTAAAGTGACAAGATTCCCACGTTGGCATGTAGCATGCGCCCGAAACCCTTGTTCCACGCGCTGCCAGGATCGACTTGTCACTCCCTGGTCTGGGAGCGGCGACAGTGAGGGTTGCCAAAGCTAGGGACTGGACAGCCCTGGACTGCATGTTTCCGCATGCAACGAGGAAGGGACTGCGAAAGCGCTCAAATTGGCTTGGATACGTTGAAATAACACTCTGGCCACGGCTCAATCATGTGAGAAACAAAAGGCAGATATCTTGCTTCATCCTTGAACACCCTTTCCCCCAGCATCTTGGACCTTCTTCCCCTAGACAGTCACGTAATATTTGAGCTGACTGGCCTCGGGAAGGACAGTGTGCATCCATATATCAGATATCCTGCGCAGCCCAATTGTCGCGTTTTGGTTTTGGCATTCACCTTTGCATGGTAAAATTGACCACCTGTACAGAGTCACTCATTTGAGAGACAATTACTTCACAACCTCAAGAATAAAAGAATAACATAAAGCTCCAAAATCACTTGGAAGGCATTAAATAGTAGATGTATATCGTCAGTGTTGGAGATTCTGAAGATTTTCGCGAAGAACAAAGAAGTGACGAAGCTAAGATCTCTACCTGAAAGTCTTACCCAGAATCTTGGCTACAATATTTTAGGCTGTCCTCCTAGGTATACTCTAGTAAACAAGAATGGCAAGACCAAACCGCGACAATCAGGGCTGCGCAGGAGATACCCTGAGGCCTGAGCACAAAGATTGTCACTCTTATCGCGTGGTTAACTTCTTGAGAGAGTGAGGTCTAATAACTCTTAAGGAGTATTTTGAAAGCAGGTAGTTATCATACAACTTAACTCAACGTTTCTTTTTCTATCTTTTTTTTTCTTTCTTTTTTTTTTTGGAAAACTTTTGAACTTTAGATAATCTTTAGGGCTTGTTTAGATTGTAATCATGGTATAGTAAGTTGAAGTGTTGCATAAGATTTGATGCAAATAAAGCACTCTTTAGCCTTATACTGCTAATAACTACTGCGAGTGTATAATATAATACTACAACTATAGGACTACAACTCCAGGACCTAGTACAAAGTGCCCTCTCAATTCTCCTTTTCTTTCTTCACATTCCTCCCTGTGTCTTCATCTTCTTTCCTCTGTTCTTTGAGCTCCATCGTCTGCGCCCGTAGTATACTTGGACGTACTACGGACATCGTCGATACGAAGTATCTTTCAGCGGCCCACAAATTTCTCATTCATCAAACCACAGACTCTGTGCTCGTGGACAGGACTCGCACGGCATGACTTCCAATGATGTTCAGAGCATATCCCCGACTGATGAAAGCAAGATCCAACACAAAGGTTCGCAGACCCATACTCAATGAAAAACACCTTTTCTCGTCTCTGGTTGGTCCTTCCAACCAGAAAAGACCATGTCCAGACTTTATCAACAGGCCGGCGGTAGTGAGTCGTATCCACTGTCAAGATTGTTCCATGACTTGATCTGACTAAAGCAGTAATCTCTGACATTCTCTCTATACACCCCTCCCACCCGCGACACCTTCATTACCCTGTACCTTTATCCACGAGAACCAAGTACGATTCAGGGGAAAAGGTACAAAGATAACGGCATCCCAAGAGCATGGAACACATAATACTCACAAGGTTGAAGAAGAAATTCAGGAGCGTGTAACACACAATACTCACAGGGGGGAAAGCAACAATTCAAGAGCATGGAAAACACTATACCCATCAGGTCGACACAGCTTGGAAGAGGATGGAACAAACACATTACTACTCACAAGGTTGAAAACCAATTCAAGAGCAAGGAACATAACATACTCACAAGGCTGGTGATGAGTTCAAGAGCACGGAATACAGCATACTCACAAGGCTGGAAAAATAATTCAAGAGCATGGAACCGGCCATACTCAAAGGGTGACAATCAGTTCAGGAGAAGGAACACGCTATGCTCACAAGGCTGAAAAATAATCCAAGGGAAGGAAGACACCATACTCACACGGGGGCACACAACTCACGAGCAAGGAACATACATACCCACAGGCTTGATACAGCTCAAGCGCAAGGAATGCACTATACACAAGGTTAAAACCGACTCAGGGGCATGGAACACACTAACTAGGTTAGGCCCACAAGACTATCAAGGGAGAACGGCTGTTGAAGCCGTGGCCGAAAACAAGAGTCAAGTCACCGCCCCCTTTCGGTAGCTCGCGATCCTCGAACCCTTGAACCTTCAAACCTCCTGTCCACATATCGGCCCCTTACAAACGATTCTGGCTTTGCAAATTGGGCCAGGAGACGGTCTGAACGTATCTCAGGTGGAATAAAGAGAAATTGACACAGAATGGCAGTCCATTAAAGACATCATACCGCTCAGGAGAAACCGTGGCCTTCCCACCTGTTTTCATGCCTGGCAACACACACATATCAGTGTCCGCTCTGTGGACAGAATTGACGATGTGAAGTATTGGACAAATTATGGGAACATGTCGACATCGACATCCTCGTGAGTACATATCTGCATGGTTTGCGGTTCATGATTGCGTCCGAACAGCAGGGCCTTCTTCCCAAGGACCTTCGAGGCTTTCTCGTAGAGTTGAAGAAACGCAGTACCTCAGAAGTGACGAGGAGGGTTTTGGGAGTTTCTTCAGCGTCGACAACTGAGCTGGATGCCATCCGCACGAGAAGACCGTGCGCGGATGAATGGTTGTTTGACATCATCTGCTGTCACTGAAGTGGGCATGTATCCAGCTCATCGTCCCAGGTACACACGCGCTCATCACTCCACTTCATGACCAGTGGGTGGGTAGGGTGGAAGAAGATGCTAGCATCGGCCAAAAGTCTACCGTGGCGTTGACTCTCGCCGAGATGCGTGTTCCAGACGCAGTGCATGAATGGTACTTCCTGAAGGGCATGCACTGACATGGTAAGCGAGGACGCTGCATGATTATAAGCTGGATTAGTTTTCTGACGTGTTCCCCAGGCACTGGTCAATCACCATTCCATCAAGGTCACTGCTGCGCACCCCGGTCGTGATAAATGACCCTGCCCACGACATCCGACTTACTGTTGCCTCCTCGGCCTCTTTCTGGTTTCGTTGTGCATGGGGGCGGCGCAGCGTCGCCCAGGGGGATCGTTTGCTACCGCGTGTTCCGATCCTACTCTGGATCCAGTAGGACTTCACACACCGGAGCCTCGACGCTGTCTCTCGGGTCACCGAAAATTCCATGGCCGAGAGATTGACAACGGCACTCCCATGGACAATGGCACCAGGTCTGGAGCACACGGTCCGAGAATCAGGAGAGTCATTGACTCGCTCCGCGCCATCACAGATCTTGCAGTTTGGACTCGGGGACTCTGACTGCGCTGGTTTCCGGGCCACACCGCATGCCTGGCTCGCGGGGAGGCACGTCAGATTGTCGTCCTGCAGATCAGTCGTGCCCTGGAGCGACAGCAATGGACAGGGTTGGAAGCGTCCGTGAGTTCCGCGAGGCCGGTCTCACACCGAGCCGACCCCATTCGCTGTCACGGCGGAGGAGCGAGAGCCGAGAGCAACATACACGCAAAGATTGGTACCACATGGAAGGATGAAGAGAGCGGGTTTTGTCCAGTTCGGCTGATCTATTCGTTCACCGTGCCTGTTGGTGTGGTTCGTTTACCGAGTGCTGTGAGAAGGGAAGGGAAGTCGAGTTGAAAAGCTTTCATTGAATGTTGAATGATTGGATCACTGACTGACTAGTGATCCACGGATGGGACCCTTGATTTTCGCGAGTGATACTGTCGAGTGCACAGAAGGACGTCGACTACTGCCTAGGGACTCAGCTAGACATTGTTCGTGACTGTCATGGTATGATTAAAATGCCTTGCTCCATCGCTAATGCCTACCTATATCGGAATCCCCAGGGGCGCCGACCATCAACATGGTGCAAGTCTTCCTGTGATCGCTCAAACGCTCAAACGCTGAAAGTTATGAAAGGCTTCCAGAAAAGGCCCTTGAAAGAAAACAAACAGCAAGAAAAAGGGCCGCTCGCAACCAGATTCATCGCTCATTTCAGTCATAACTCATAGTCCATCAAGTCCACATAAACGACGTACGTCTCTCCTTGATGGTGGAACCTCAGCTCCAGTCCGTCATCCTCCTTGCACGCCCGTTTGTCGACGGAGCGGCTGCCGGTCAGTTTAGACAACACAGTGTTGTACCTTCGGGTGAACTCCATCCAGGTCACGGCTCAGCAGAGCAATGATGTCGTCGTTGCGCACCCTGAGCATTTGCTGCTTCGCCATGGCGAATGGTACTTGCGGGAAGCTCAGGAGGGTGCATTTCAACAGAACGTCGTGCACTTTGCGGCTCGCTAGGGGTCTTCTGCTGTCCCTGAGCCCTCTGAGAGTTGGCGTTGGCAAAATCCCTTTTGCGTGCGACAATTTCTCGATACGCATCCAATGCGGAGCAAAGGGTTCGCAGCCGCGAATCTGTAGCCTCGTCGAGAATGTTCTTGATTGCCCGAGAAAGAGCTCGAATCCCTTGTGGGTCCTTTAAGAGATGTTGAGAACAGTTCTTCCACATGAAAGGTGTGTTGGTCTTCCTCTCCTCCGGGAGCCTTTACCCAGTGTACATTGATCTGCGCAAGCTGATGGTCCATACTAACCGAGAAGTATTGAGGCTCATTATATTCAAAGGTTTGTATCCTCGAGCTACGCTGTGTCAGATCCATACGGCCATGTAGGGCGATAGCCCCTGCACCAGCGGCCTGGTTTGTTGCCACATAGTGAGTCCCGTTCTTAGCCTGTGATCTAAATTCGATTTCCAAAAAGGGGAAATGAACGTTTTCATCTGGAATGGCGTAACTTCGGCCGAATTGATCGTCGATGAGGAGTTCAATCGTCGCGCGTTGGTTCCGAGTGAATGCTGTTTCGGAATATCCAAAGACCAGATCAGGTTTCGGCTTAGGTAAAGGTAGTGGGTTTGTCAAGAGAGATGAGTCAAGTGGGACAGGGACAGAATTGTACCACAATTGATTACGGCTGGAGCATAACCTTGCATCGGGCAAACTGTTCATCGAGGGGATTAAATCCGAAGCCAATTGCTGGGTGATGGTTTCTTCAGGCGCACTCGCAAGCCTGCGTGACTTCGCTCGCACATCTTGAACTGTGGCGTCGTCCATTTCCGGAGGTGCTCGAGAACGAGATATTATTCTTTTAGCTCGTTGCATCAGTTCCGCAGGAGGGTCGTCGGACTCTATGTAAATACGTCGGAACTTCAAGGACTGCCGATAATTCGCATCGGGGACACTTGCAACGGACTTCTCAGACTTTCGGGACGCGGAAAGCATGCTTTCAGGGCTTTTGCCCGGAGAGGGGAGAGCAGGAACAGGTTCGTGAGGCATGTTGGCGGATAAATCAGAGATTCGAGACCAGCTAGACCTCTCCAGCCACTCCTGGATGAAGTTCTCCTTGTCTCCAGCACTTGTCTGTGCCTGTTGGATGGGTCTGCTACTTGGGTCTTCCGTGTCGTGAGGTTGGCCTTCGATGTGTACACTGCGTGGTGGTGATGGCCTTGGTAAGCTCCCGCTCGTAGTTCGTCGTTGCTTCGCAGCTTGTCTCTTCAGTGAGCACGTTGTGGTTGTCGCTTGCAGGGGTGGTTTGCCTGCAGCAGCAGCACTATCAGCGACGTGCTCATGAGGCGTTGGTGTAGTGGCTAGAGCAAGGAACTGACATCTCTCTTGTATTCTCCGGCTCTTTCGACGGTGCTCGGGCTCAATTGTGTCTGCGCCCTCGTGTCCGTCTCGAAGAGGACGGCGTCTCTTTCCTGTGGGCATTTAGACCGATTTATGTCAAATGGCTTCAGAAACTCTTACGGCTTGAATCATCGGGCTGGGCCTGTTGCCTGCCACGTATGTCGCGACCTCTGCGACGGCCAGGCGTCTCTCGTAGTGCAGCCCTCGTTGTCATTGTGACCAGATATTTTCGACATGTGAGAACTGCGAAATATTTATATATAGGGTCGGGCAGGAAACCGCAAGGAGATTAGGGCGGGTTAGTCGACGGCTGCCTGTCCTGATTCGCTTGAGCGGCCGAGAGGTTGAAGCCGGTCAACTGATGGAGGGTACGGTGTTCGCACGGCTTCGAGGTGAGCAGCCCATGGTTGGACGTCGCAAATGCTGGGACCCAAACAATCGAGCGGTGCGGACTGGGGCGCACACGGGTGTCGTAGTACAGAAAGCACAATGTCGAGGCCACAGAGTTGAAGGTGCTGTTCTGAGTAGAGCGATGGCATTTGTAGAGGAGCAACTTGCAAGTCGCCTTGAGGCCCCATTCACCCAGTAAGGTACCCTGGGGACTTGAAGTTAGGCGCGTCGCGCCGATCCAAGCGGGAGAAATGGACTAGCCAGAATAGGCAAGGTGTGATATCACCCAAGGCTTCTAACGAGTTGTCAGAGTGCCTCAAGAACTCGATGGCACAATTAAGTGAGCCGGGGGTCTGAGATCCTGAGGCTTTGTGTACGTTAGGCACGAATCAAGTGAGTAAATAGCCTTCAATACAACGACAGTAGTTGCCATGAATCAGCCTGGTACTGCACTCCCAAACGAAATTGAAATCGTCTGGCTGTGACGAAGAATACATCACTACAGATACAGCGCTCATGCTCTCCCTGGTCCCAGAACCCGATTCCATGCACACATACCGCAAGTCTGCCCGGGTTGTCTTTGTCGTCAACGTGTCTAGCCGAATCGTAACATCATTGTTATCATTGCCCTGAACTTTTGCACCTGTAACGCTCAATCTTTCTGAAAGAAGTAAAAGATAGACCACGCCCAAAATAGAGATACTTTGCTTTGTGTTTGCTTTTGTCATTCCTCACCACGTGCCCCTCTCTGATCTTGGTGTCCTGTTTCTCCTGTCTCGGCATCGACGAACTGTTCAGTAGAGGTGGCAATACTAGGTCTCCGACTCGAGATTGGAGATCCATAGCGATCATCCAAGGCTCTCATGAGACTGCTAGCGGTTTCGATGGCATCATCGCCGTCGTTGTCGGGAGCCAAATAACTGTCCTTTGCACCCTCAGTTTCTTGACCAGCTGTCCTCAATTTCATTCGGTCTTCACGCGACATGCTCTGCCATTCCGAAGACATGGTGATGACACTAGCTTTCTTTCCGTGCAAAATGAAACTGCCAGCACCGCGCTTCAACTCTCCAGGTTCGCTGCCCAGCGACAGAGTGCCATCGTCAGTAGGCGCAATGCTGGAACCGGAATCCCTGCCCTTCTTATGACGATGTATGCTTGGAGAATGGTGGTGTATCCCTTCTCTAAGGTGGCCTGCTTCACGCAAACTTCGATGGAGACTGCGACGCACGCCAGAGTTCTTAGCTCCTTCTGCCGGCGCGGTAATGGTGCCCACTCGATCACGCTCAGACTCGCTCGTGTCTGGTCGTTTGTTTTGGAGCACCGCTCCTTCAACTCCAACCAATCCTGCATCCCTAAGTACCTGCTCTTCCGTGTCTTCTGTACGCTTTGCCGACTGCTCTTTGTCACGGCTATGAGAACTGGTAATGGAGATTTGGTGAATTAGGGATTTCGAGTCATGGGTGCTTTCCGACTTTGTCAATCCAAGATCGGTGGAAGAAGGATTAAGGTTTGCCTCAGTTGTAAGGTCGATCGTGCTCGGTGCCGTATGAATGCTTCCATTTTCCGAATTCTTAACGCGGTCGGCCAGATTCGACGGCCGAGAGGATGTCGCACTGATGGGAGACAGCGTTGGATGGCTTGTCTCGGTGGCACTTCGTCCAAGGTTGGACAGACCGGTCTTTGCTGGTGTCGCCCTTTGGGGTGTCAATGACGATGGCGTCCTTGGAGCCGGAAATGCTGTTACTCCCTCGTGCTCCAGGTCTTTCCACAGGGTGTCTCGATGTGTCTTTGTCCGCCATACCTCGACGCGGGTCCACTTCAACTTTGCAGACATGCGACCGGCAGCGAGAACAAGCTGTTCGCGCGTCTTTTGCTGAATGGGGAGCAGGATCAACAAATGCCGGGCATTTCGTAAGAGGTTGTCGAGTTCCTTCTGGGCAGCGGCCAGCCTCTCGTCAAAGTCACTTATCTTCTCGTTGATAAGCTGTCGCCGATAGAACATGATTTCCCACGCAGCTGCTTGGACATCTTGCTTCTTATCCTTATGACGGGTTTCACCGCTCTTAGATGAGAAGTCCGAGTCATTCCGAAGAAGATGCCGACCCTCGTAATTGGTGCTCACAGGCCCACGCATCCTCACACCAGCTGTGCGAAACGTGGCGGCGTAATTCAACTTGCCCACCCAATCATGCATCTCCACCTCGCTGTTGGCGAGGAACACCTCTTCGAAGCCGCCGTGCTTGATAAAGGTGAAAGCGTTCTTGTGTCTCTTGTAACTGGAATCTATCAACGCAACAGCATCATCCATGGACATGAGCGCGTCAGGCTCGAAGGAAGATAGAGGTGGTTTGAAAATTAGGGGGCCAGACTTGGACCCAGTCTTCGCATGTGCATCGTATTGTCCCATCAACTTCTTGACCCAGCCAACGTCTTTGAAGAAGTAAAGCTTCGAGTCGGTCAATATCGCACCCCATTCCTGCCACGGTCGCTTGGCCTTTTTCTTCTTGACATCTTTACGCCATAAGAGTCCAACCTTGGCAACCTTGAAACTGACCAACCCGACCTGAGCATCAACAGGATTGGTGATAGTAGCTTGAGAGAGGAAAGCATCAGGCCGTGATCGTGCAGAAACAATCTGCAAAACAGCTGAATTGACGAATGCTTTGTGGACGTCGACGTGCTCTGGACCCCCGGCCGTGCCAGTGGAGCTGTAACAGTCCTCGGTGTCCATCACGTCCTTGAGCGGCGGTCGTAGTGAGTCCAACTTGTTGTCCAGAATGAGAGTGTACGGATCCACAGGGCCTCGGAGACTCTCAGTACTTTTCGTCTTGATCAAGGTCTTCTTGAACTTTGGAGCCGTAGCCAGGCGATGGGTATTGATGGCAACTTCGTCCTCAAAATGGATGAAGGGGGTATAGCAAATATTGTCGTAGAAGCAATCCAGGATATCGCTGGAGATTTGCACAGGGCCCTGCTGGGTATTCTTTACATAATCCTGCTTTTGCATCTTCCGCTTATTGTTCTTGTTGTGGGTGTCAGAATGAAGAAGAAGGATTGAGAAAGCGATAAAGGCAGCTTCATCAGTCGAGACGAAAATACCAGGATTGCATTCATAGTACCTGTCGGCAAAGCCCGCCAGAAGCCGATCGATCTGCTGGGTTTCCTTTGGGAGTTCCACCTCCATCAACATCTTTCTTATAGCCATGTCAATTGACTCGCCAAAATACGAGAACCCACGCATGTACTTTCGCAGACAAGTCCTTGAAAACTCGTCTGCGGCTTTGCAGAGGGCTGTTGCCATTGCTCCTCTAGGAACGGCAGCTTCCAGCTTTTCAAGATAGCTTGCCGGTGTGTCGCCATCCTCACGTTTGGGATAGACACGCTCGTGTTCCTCTCGCGGTATATGCAGCGAATTGGACTTCGAACCTGGCGTCCCTGGGCTGTTACCTGCACTATTTCGGACAGGGGGAGCTGAGTTCTGCCGTAGTCGATGCGGAAGATTCAAGAGATCCCCAAAGCTCCTTCTACCAGTCGTAGAAGTGGACGTCCGCGCCGATCCAGGCTGAGGAACAGTGTCAAGGAATTTGTCTGCTGATCGGCCGAGTGAAGTCATGGTAGAGGACCTACCTCTTCCATTCGTCCGCGGTGGACCCAACGTGACTGAAGGAGTGGAATGACCGGAATGCGTGGACCAAGCTGCGGAATCTTGTCGTATAATGGCCGGTCCTGGTGACCCAAACGGTGCATTTGTGAAGGCAACAGCTGAATGGGTGGGCGACTGGTGGGCAGAATCCTGTCTACTGGACTGTGCCTCGAATCTCACAGCAGTAGTCGACTTCCTGCTCGGCGACAAGGATTTCCTTTCGCTCGTTGAATCCTCTCGGCCATAAGAGGCGCTTGTTCGGCCCGAGTCAGAGGCTGTGAATCTTTCTGGCAGAGGGAACAAGTGCCCCTTGTTCTTTTTCCGTCTCTTCAGTTTGAAAAAGGTAGTCGTGGTGGAGATGGTGTGGGTAGTTGTGGTTTTGGCGTAAACATGGTGGCTGCCAGAACTGTCATCGGATCGGGACGAGTCAGACAATCGTGTCACCGGTATCGCCAGCGATGAGGAGGTTTCATCGCCGTAGGGAGGAGGAGCCATAGGGTTGACGTCAGTTTTTCGCCGAGGTAACCGTTCGAAGGAGGTGTTCTCCCGCAGCATCCCAGCTTTCGAAGATGTCGATTGGACTTTGTCTCCATCTTCATGATCATCCTCACGAAGGGATTCCTGAACGTCATGTTTTGAAGCCATACCCTTTCGAAAGGAACTCGGGGCTCGGAGAAACAGTTTTCTTTTAGGCCGTTTTGCAGGTTCATCGAATTCTTGCGTGGTTGGCGCCGTGGTTATGATTTTCGGCGCTACAGAGGACACGTTAGATGACTGATTGTGGTACATAGAAAATGGCAATACTTACGAGCCGGTTCATTCGATGGTGTAACGCCGTGCTCATCCTTTCTGAACCTCGTAAATAATTGGGGGTCCGAAGCATGTCTGAAACCGAGGACCGACAATCGTTGAGGCTTGGGCAAAGGAAGATCCTCCAGATCAATTTTCACCCCTTGCTCTTGCTCAGACTGGTCTTTGAGCGTCGATGTCATGGTGGTCGGAGTGCTTACGCTTTTAGGGAGGGCAGAGGGCGCAGCGGACAGGCCATTGTGTTGTTCAGGTTCTTTCCGCGATAACGTGGGATCCGGCTCGTATGCCATGAAAGGATTGAGTGTCTCTTCGTGAGACCGTGTAAATCCCAGGCTCAGTCTTTGCATCGAATCGGCACGGATACGTCCCTCGACCAGACCTCCTTCTTGAGAAGCATCGTCGATAATGCTGCTGTGTCTCCGATGGGGGGCAGCAGTCACAGGCCGCGACAACAAAGTCCGCAGAGACATGATAGGAGGGCCGTGACGACAGAGAGGCGGTCAGGTCATGACGGACATGAGTATCTGATCAGCGAGGTTCTCGCTGTGAGGAATTGAATGTCGGAGTCGATGCGACTTTAGACAGGCTTGGGTGTGATCTCACTCGGCAGGCCTGCTGCGACGATGAGACTGTGTTGGGGGGAGCGTGGACAGTAACAAAGCAGTGAACGCTGCAGAACGATGGGTAACGAGCTTGAACGATGATCGAAAGAGTAAATGATAAGCCTAGTGAGCCTTGCCTTGCCTTGCAGCGGAGGCTGGGTACAAGTCGATGCAGGAAATAAGCCGGAGGGAAAAGTTGGGATACACACGCGGCAGGGGAGCGATGATTGGGGGAGGAAGGGGAAGCGACATCCTGCATAACTCTCTACCACGTGGGGTTCCAAGCCTAGTAGCCTCAGTCCCGGGAGCCCCATCATCCGCCCAGCGGTCCACCAGTAGCGAGTGCCCGTGGGCCCCTGGCCCCTGAGCCCTGGCCCTACAGGCTACAAGTAAGGTTGCCGGAGACCCGGGCCTCGACCTCTTCTGGCTGCTGGCTCACTAGGCTTCCCGACCTCTAGTTTAGGCTCACTAGGCATACTACCAGGCCACTCCCCTCAGAAAGTTTAGGCGTACCCAGGGAGGCAGTTCCCTGGCGCCCTGATAAGGACTCTCGATGCGCTGCCATGCGGCATGCACAAAAGGCACTCCTCGTAAATTAACTCACACAGACAGGCACCTAACTTTAGTCGTATCGCAAGGAAATCCGGTGGCTGGTGCTATTCGCGGCGCCAACGCTCGTGATCGTCTGATGATAGATTGACACATACTCTTTTCCCTCCAACGTCCGTTGCGACCCCCGACATCCCTATCTGTCATAAAACCCTGCTCCGTACTCCGTACTCCGGTCTCCGGTCTCCGGCCTCGTCAAGGATCATCCTTATGTAGATTATGATCAAGCTACACAAACGTGCTTGAAGCTCATGCACCGGTTGCCTCAGCCTTACGCCGACGAGACACATCTACAAACATGTATAGGCATATTCGGCAAACAAGAATCTCGTTGTGGAGAGTCTACGCCTATACAACTTACACGCGGTAGAATTAACCGTGCAGGGCGTTGAACAACGTTTAACTCCCTCCAAAAGTTTCAAAACTATCCATTGGCATCACCATGGACATAGCCTGTGCTTCAGCCAAGATCGAATCGGCATCACGATAAAAGGTATCATGGCCGCCTGTGATCAATGATGTAAGACGATCGTGTCCGAGGTTCCAGGGGGACTGGACTGAGCGTGCTTCTAGAGGGGTATCTGGTGTGGGATAACCTGCAGAATGCAGGGGCGTGGTAGCTACCATGTCCTTGGAGATACTGTGCCTCATTGTCTCATGCGGGAGAGAGCCAGCGACGCTGCAGGGGCAGATCCCGGCGGTTGCGGCAACGATGTGGTCGACATCGAAGAGAACAGTATGCGAGAGCTGCTGAATTAGCATCTGCCAGCCGTTGGTGTTAGCGGATGAACGAGGGTCACACAGAGAGGAGTATGTCACGATGTCTCGGACAAGATCGTCAAATTACCTTTATTATGAGCAGGCACTTCACTGCGCCGTTGTTCACGCAACGCATCGCAGCCAGTAGCATGATACCACGTTCGCCCTTCTTCCAGGCGTTGCTGGGTCTAGAGGTTCCGGGATGCGTGGCAATAAGAAACAGCAGACATGACACTGCAAGAAAAAGTGTATAGATGCTGTTCCACGAGGCAGGGCATAGGAGACCTCGTTGGTACATGACATCTGATCGACTAATAGTTATGCCTGCAATTTTCATGCAAGCCAGGGCGTGCTCAGACTGTGTTTTTGTTGTAGGCAAACCCCTGGCCATTGGGATGAGATAGTGTAAGAATGGTTGATACAGTACCATCTGGCTTAGATAAAAAGTCATCTCGAGTTCAAACTTCATACTACCAAGGTCAGCGGGGCAAAATTGAGTATGGGCAGATGTACCTGGCAGAAGTCTCGGGATCTTCTGGGAAAGCAGGCAGCCCGGAAAGCCCATTAGTCCACGAACGAAATCTCTGTTCAACATCTTTCAGCGTCTTGACGTCCACACTCCTGAAGTCTGACTCATCAGTGGTATTTTCAGGCTGTTCATCGTGTTTGTAGAACAGGTCATGGACCCCTGTCGCTGCCAATACCAGCAGCTCAAGATGCTTTGCTGATGCTGAGAACTGAGCTCGGCTCTCGGCAGTGATGTCAAAAGGGTAGGGTAGTTTTCCGGTCGTGCTGGGCTGAAGCTTGTTCATGATGTCTGAATCGATGTGATCCAGATTAATGAATCCGGGAATGTCGAGCACCAAGCTCACATAAAGGTCAAGTTGGAGTAGACTGAGAAACACCCGGGTCCGCGTATCTCTCTGAGCCGCAGCCAGGGGCACTCCTTCCTCAACCTTCTTGTGAAGACCTAGTCTTGTGGCGGCGGAAGTGGCCACACCAAGATAAGCGTGAGCAGCTGTTATGCGCGATGTTGAGATCAAGAAGATCGTCAGGCACAGTAAGGTCTGTAGCGATATGAGGTCTGCACATTGGCTAATATCGAGCGCCTTTCGAGCAAGTAGAAAATGTTTGGTCCTGACGCACTGGTAAGCAAGGCTAAATTGTCTAGTTTTTCAGCGGGACTTACGCTTCAGATACCGCATATTCGCAGCCATGCTGTCTGCGACATTGAACGTCATAGAGAAGTCCTAGACTCAATACAGCGTGAAACAGTGGCATGAAGGTCTCGCCGGATGCCCTGAATTGAATTGCTGATTCATTGTAAAACCGATAGACCATGTCACGAAAATTCGCCTCGTGAATGAACTGAACCAAGATCGAATATCTCATAAAGACCACGCCTAGGAGCTCTAATGCTGCCGACTGAGTCGGCAGAGTCCGCGACTCAGCAGGTGTGTACGACTCTATGTGTGGTAAGGGGGCCTCGTATAGATCAGTGATGACCTGGCGGCTGCCGTCTGAATGCGCATTGTCATCAGCTACCTTTCGAAAGAGCTCAAGTGTGCGTAAGACAAAGGAACATCCAGAGTAAGAGCCGTAGAAGCTCGTCTGCCATGGCCCGTTTGCGAAACTTCTCCCTGAGTGGCCCATCATGCTGTTCAGTCGCAATGACTTATCCACGGTCTCGTTGGAACTCGACTCGTCATCTGAGGGTGGCGGCCCCGAGAGGTCGGCTGCCTTCAAAATCCGCTCCACATCAGGTACGTGTCCCGGTGAATTCTGGGACTTGAGAGCCTCCAGAGATGCCCGAACATTGCGCAGTCGTGTTTCCAAAACTCGAATGCGCTCGGTTGGTGTCTGTCGCGGCTTCTTTCCAGACTCATAAGAGCAAGCTTGTAAGAGTCAGTGTGATTAATCCTCTGCAGTGACAAATTCCTCTCGGTCTCCCAGCAGAAGGACACGACTTACTGCTCAGGGACACGGCGCATGGTTTGCAAGGCTTAGAGCCATCACATTTAATCTTCCTCAGTCTGCATTCGTCACATGCACGTGGGGATCTTCTATGGTAACCTTTGCGATACTTGAGCGTCTCTTTTTGCTTAGAGACCTGTCCATCAGGCATCACGAGAGTCGTCGTGGTGCATGAGAAATATGGTTGTAGATGATGAGGGCGATTGTATCGAGGAAGGGCGGGATCTTCATGCAAAGGTGAAGACTTGGCAGATTCGAAGCACGTGCAGCTCATCTTTCCGGCGCGGTTGCGGAGTACGGACAAATTAAAGCCCGGCGCACTTCACGAGATACACTTCGAATGACTTATCTATGAAAGACATGAATTGGCTGACGACCGTTCTAGAGCATAGCAATGCGCTGTATGCCGACTTTAGAAGAGACGTGCGACTGCCACGAATCCAAAAGTTGACCAGATGCGCTCGATTAGATTAGTTATCGCTTGAATTTGGCTACACCACTTGGTCCAGTACCCAAAACCAGACTCTCTATCTCTTGGTGCGCCTATTGGAATCTTCCAAGACTATGAGCTTCAAATGCGCCCCTTCCGTGTCATGTTCTTTCTTCCCCGTGTGTTTTCAAACTTGCAGTGACAAAGGCCGGCATCCATATTTACACAGCTCAAACAATCTCAATCAAGGTGAGGCTTTCGGTGGCTTCGGAGATCCCAGTGGTGACACAAAGGCCGGACTATCATTTCCTGACCTCGAAGTGACAGAGGATAAGACGGGGGATCTTGATCCCTCAGGTGTTGCTTTATGACATGGGGTTGTTGGTGGAGACGAGGGCGTTGTTTCTATTGGGGTATGTTCACCTTCGCCTGAGAAGGCCGGATGATGCTCATTCATCCACATGCTTCCTGGAAGTTCCTGTGGAATGAGAGGCCTCGGCTTGAGCTTGGATTTCTCCTGATCATACGCCGGTGGTGATGATGCTGGGACGCTTCCCCAGCGTGAGAGTGCATCCGACGCACCTGGCTGTGCTTCGGGACTATCCAGCTCGTGCGTTGTTGGTGCTCTGGACATCTGAAGGGCAGGTTCCTCAGGGGGATACGTAGTTGTTCCGGCTGCAGCTGCTTTTAGAGCCCTATTTCGGCGCACCCGTCGAATGCAAAACCAAATACCGCAGAGACAGAGGACAAAGAGACATGCGTTGACAGAGATACCAATAATGGCGCCAGTCGGCAACTTGTGCTTTTCCGGTGCTGCCGCCACCAAATGGTACATATTTGAGAAGACGTGGTCGGTTATGATGGTCAGATCCGATACCGTTGGCGTGGACACTGGAACGAGAGTTGCGCTTGGAATAGAATAACATGGCGTTTGGCCTCCGATTGCCGTATAGTATACCTGGTAACCCCTAATTCTGTTAGTCAAATCTGACATCGCCGGACTCTCAGATACGCACAGGGGACAGCAGGCATTAGCCGTGGTGAAATAGTCCTGCGGACACTTTGTGACCACGGCGTTGGTACCTTGGTCGAACGGACAGCATTCAGGACGTCTTCCGGAGCATCCAATCTCAGGGAACTCGGTTACACTATCATCGAAACCTGTTGCCATGGCAAAAAACGGTACCGCGCAGCTTCCTGTCAGAAGTGGCCGGCCACCAAAGGTCGCCGTAATTGGTTTTCCAGTCGACAAGGGGAACGTCTGCGTCACGACATCACCAGTTATTGTACTCAAACCTGGGTTGACAGACGAAGAAGTCGCTATCGATGATGAAGCCGAGCTGGACGAGGCTGTTGGTACTGGGGTCAAGCTCATACTCGCAAGAGCACTGCTTAATCCGGCGGGCGAACAGCCCACGAAATCTGGTGCCGTTTGGTTGACGGCAGCGCATTCTTGCTTGTTGAATTGGATGGCAACTGTCTCGCATTTAGTATTCCCGTGTCTTACTTTTGCTAGAATGTCCATTGTACTAACTGGCTTGTTCATCTGGATTGCAACTACTGTACAAACAGCACGATAGAGAAGTCACGTAAGTCGAACTCGAACAAAGGCATGAGATATCTATCACCGAGCAGGAGGTCTGAATCGACGTGGAATTCGACAGGCACTGTTGCTATTCACGGGTCAGTCGCGTTTAGCCATGATCCCTGAGGAAGATTTGCTTACCGCGCAACTCGGGAGGTCTGCAACAGACACTGCTCGTACGAGGCCCACAAAAAGCATTGGACACAGCCCGATAAGCGACTTCATCGTAAAGGAGAGGGATTGGCAAACTCGGCAGAGGTCTAAGAGTTATGTCGTATACGGTGGCCGCATCTAGGGATTGACCTCGAGTCGCAAGGACTGGTCGTTGAGCCAGTGATAGCAAGACGACAGACGAGGCATTGAGGAAGTTGATGCGTGGGAGCGAGTGACCCATTCCGGTTCCGGTCGAGGGTGACCAAACAAAGATTTCAAAACATCCCTTCAGCCCCCATAGCAACCTGCTGGGACAATGAAATCGTGGATGACCTCGACAATGGCACCACAATCAAGCCAAGCCCGACCGGAATGCGCTCCCTTCGAAAGGCACACGTAAGCCCCCGGACTCGCACCGCCCAGATGAAGTAGAAATGGCATTTCGTCCTTTGAGATAGTTATGCTCTGCGAGCTCTGGGCTTCTCATCTTGTTGGACGGGTGGGCGAGCGAGGGATTGCTGGACTGGCCGCCTCGCTTGGGAGCAAAACTGAACGCCGCGGCATTGTGACAAGCAACATACCGATTGCTGCCACTGGTCGCCCCGGGTTGACTGGCCAGCAGAGAATCCTGGGTTTTCTTCGAGTGGTAGGATAGTGAGTCCCAACTCTTGGTTTGCTGCTCTTCGTGCCTAGGGATGTTCAAATGACCAGGCAGCCAACGAACACCGGGCCAGCTAGTGACCTCGCTAGGTATGTTAGTTGCGATCTAGAAAACCGACGATGCCGGTATTAAGTTAGCGAGCGACGTCATCTTGCCATAAGCAGTAGCTGACATGCCTGATCTGGCCAGAATTCACTGTTTTCGTCGGCCAACATCGATTTAGTCCGGGGGTATGTATAGGGTCAGAAATTCCCCCTTGCCAGCGTACCGAGTTCTGGTTGTTCACTGGGCATTTCGTCTCGCCCTGCGTCTATGTAAGGTACCGAGCTTGTACTGTCAGGTACGTGGCCACCGCGACCAACGTAGACTTTGTAGTCTTCCGTACTCGTGCCGTGGATTCTCTGCTTGGGTGAATCAACTTTTGGGTTCCGTAGCACGTCAATCTGTGTGTGCAACTGTGGTTGAGACTCAGCATGGGTGGTATTTGATATTCGTACTGTACTGTACAGCTCTGAGATCGTCCGATCGTGCCGTGATTGATCCCGGACCAATGCACTGTAATGTAAGGTACTTTCAATGAGGATCCGAATCGCGCCACTACGCGAGCAAAGCCACATGCTTCCACTCAAAATGTTCAACAAGCCACAACTATGTAGCGGCCACCACAACCACCACCACCACCGGCGCTCAACGGTCGTACGTATAGTGAGCATCAGCAAATGAGTGCATCTACAAGATACGTCTTGGTGACCGGAGCCAACAGGTACGATCGCACGCAAAGCCCGACCCTTTTTTGCCCCAGCTGGCACGCAAGGTTCTCCCGAACAACTAGTCCCATGGCACACCGTCATTTGCGCATGGGATGACATGCATCCGCGATACTAACATGTGTGCAACAGTGGTCTAGGCCTAGGAATCTGTTGTCGCCTCGTCGACGAGTTTCTAACGTCACCACACACCCATGGACGACTGACCATCATCTTCACGACGCGCAGCCAACGCAAAGGCGACGAAACCCTCGCGACGCTCCAGAAACACCTCTCGCACCATGAATCCTACAAGCACACCGCCGACGACCGCAGCCTCACCTTCCAACCGGAGAACGTCGAGTTGACTTCCCTCCTCTCTGTGCGAGCTCTGAGCCGGAAACTGCTCTCCTCTCACATCCCACACCTCGACGCGATCGTTCTCAACGCAGGAATAGGAGGCTGGTCCGGCCTGAACTGGCCCCTGGCAACATGGACCGTCCTGACGGGCATAAGACAAGCTACTACCTGGCCGACGTTCAAGCTGGGTCTCGTCGGTCTCGTCACGAAACCACAGTTTCCGCCTCCATCTCGGGGCCAGGGGACCAGAGAAGAACCGGTTCTTGGGGAAGTCTTCTGCGCAAACACCTTCGGACACTACATGCTGGTCCACTGGCTGATGCCTTTGCTCCGAGCATGCCCCTCTGAGTCACCCGGGAAGATCATTTGGACGTCGTCCGTCGAAGCCATGGCGCACCATTACAACCCAGCCGACCATCAAGGCCTCGCGACGGACGCAGCCTACGAACACACGAAGCGATTGACTGATCTCCTGGCCCTGACGGCGGCGGCGGCGCCACCTGCCAGGACGACGTCGGTCGAGGAGTACATCATGCCGTCGGAGTCGTTCTCGCTACCTCGGAGGCTGTCTTCCCCACAACAGTCCGAACCAACTTTCCTCCTCGCGCACCCTGGAATCTGCACGACGACAATCATAAGCCTCTACTGGATCATCCACGAATGCTATCGCCTTGGAATCTACCTGGCGCGGTGGTGCGGGTCGCCCTGGGCAAACGTGACGAGCTACCTGGGCGCCGCGTCCGTGACGTGGCTCATCCTCGCGTCCCAAGCCGAAATCGACACAAAGGCCGTGGAAGCGACCGGCGACCGCGGCGGGCCTTGTAAATGGGGCTCTGCGGTCGACAGGTTTGGCCGATCGTCGATTCGCGTCACGGACGTAGAGGGCTGGGGCATCAATGGCACGGGCAAGCCCTTCAAGAATACGTGGTGGGGTGGAAGCCTAGGCAGGAAGAGTGGCGCGGTAGATGCCACGGAAGAGGACGTTGCAAATTTTAAGGCTCAAGGTGCAGAGGTGTGGGAGAAGATGGAGACATTGCGACAGGACTGGGAGGCCAGGATCGAGGATTATGAGTCGGAAAAGACAAGGAGTCAAGAGGGCACAGGTGCTGGTGCTGGTGCTGGTGCTGGTGCTGGTGCTGGTGCTGGTGCTGGTGCTGGTGCTGGTGCTGGGACGGCTGTCGGTAATGGACATGCATCGTAGATATCTACCTGGCCTTAGGGGGTAGGTAGAAACCCCCAGAGATTGATTTTCAACGACTCAATTCTCCGGTGAGTTATTTATGTATATTTTTACATGTGCAAAGACTCAGCGTCTGCCCAAGCACAATACTCTCGTTCCTCATGAGGTCGTCGTCGCCCTGTCTTCCATACTCGGAGGAGGATGAATCGGTGTGATGATTCCAAGACATTTCTGCCGGGGAGACTTCTTCCTCCAGATAGCCGGTGGCTTCTCCTTTTTCCTCTTCCTCCTTTCCCACACAACCTGGCAGCCAAGGGCTAACTTGGATCCGACCTCGAAGGCGACGCGAGACGGAAGGTATTTTCAACGTAACGTGCATCAACGGTAGGTCCTACCTACGGTAGGTGGTGTTGAGATATTACAATGGCTACACTTTGGAACCCCTTCCAAAGTGTAACGAATGAGCCTTCTCCATGGCCACGTTGACACACTGACTGTGATGTCACTCCCAGCCCAGCCCAGCCTATATGCGAGGGAACAGAATAGAACAGAGTCTAGAGCTTAGACTGTTTATCCTCTTCTTGCTCTCCTTCCTCGTCGTCATCGTCGTCTTCCCAACCTTTACTCATCTCGACGGCCTTGGTCCACCGCCTATACATCTTGTCACTTGCCGCCTGGCTGATTTTGGGCTTGAAGAAGAAGCGGCCTTCTGAATTCACCTCCTTCAGCTCGTCAAAGTTCTTCCACACGCCGACAGCGAAGCCTGCTGCGATGGCGGCGCCGAGTGCCGTGGTCTCGCGCATCTTCGGTCGGTCTACGGGTATCTGAATAATGTCGGACTGAGTCTGCAAGACAAGAACGTTGGGTTATCGTTAGCTCTCCAATTCCAACCGCTGTTACAGACCATGGCGATAAGCAAGCTAACGGGAACGGGAAGGGCAGGTAAGAGCAGCCGAGGGCAAGTACAAAACATAGGTCTAAGGCCAGTAACTCACCTGCATGCACAAATCCGAATTGCTCATCCCTCCGTCAACGGCAAGCTCTTGCAACTTGACGCCGGCGTCCTTTTCCATGGCGTCCAAGATGGCCTTTGTCTGGAAGCATGTCGCCTCCAGCGTCGCTCTCGCAATATGACCCTTTTGCGTGTAGGCCGTGAGGCCCCAGAGCGTCCCCTTGACATCGTCGTACCAGTAAGGCGCGAAGAGTCCACTGAACGCCGTGACGAATACCACGCCGCCATTGTCGTCGACGGTCTGCGCAACTTCACTGACCTTGGGCGCCGAGGGGAAGAAGCCCAGGTTGTCGCGCAGAAACTGTACACTGCTACCTGCGACGGCAATGGATCCTTCCAGAGCATACACAGGCTTTATCCCCTGCGGTGAGAAATCATATGCGACCGTGGCTAGGAGCCCGTGTGTGCTGATCACTGGCTTCTCGCCGACATTGTACAGCAGGAAGCACCCTGTTCCGTAAGTGTTCTTTGCACGGCCGGGGACGAAGCCATTCTGGCCGACGAGCGCCGCAGACTGATCACCTAGACAGCCTGCAATTTTTGTCCCCTTGAGCTTGGTGCTCGCGAGTGCCCCGTAGGCGTCGGGACTCGACGAGGGCACGATCTTCGGTAGATGCAGCTTCGGGGTCTTGGTGTCAAGTCCGAAAAACGAGATGAGCTTGTCGTCGTATTCGAGTTTGTGAATGTTCATCCACATTGTCCGGCTTGCGTTGGTGGCATCGGTGACGAAGACGTTGGCGTCCACTCCGCCGTTGAGCTTGTACACGAGCCACGAATCGACGGTGCCGAATGCGAGGCGACCCGCGTCGTAGGCTTGCTTGACCTTGTCGACATGGCGGAGCATCCACAGGAGCTTCGTCGAGGACGGGTATGTGGACAACGGCAGGCCACAGAGAGGCTGTAATTCGTCTGCACCCTCGCGCGCTTTGAGTTCGTGGACGATGCGATGTGTGCGCGTGTCGGTCCAGACTATACTGTTGTACAAGGGTTCACCGGTCTTTACGTCCCAGACGCAGGTGGTCTCTCGCTGGTTGGTTATTCCTACAGCTTTGATGTCCGATAGGGAGTGCCCTTTTGCCACGAACTTTTCACACGCCTTGTCTATACATTCGCTAGTTGAGGAGACGAGCTCGAGGGGGTCGTGTTCGTGCCAGCTAGGGCAAAGTCAGGACGAAGGTATGTGAAGGTGCATGCGCACGCGGTCGACCCCAAAAGAAGAATTGGAGTGGGAATGAACTTGGAAGACTGACCCAGAGTGAGGGTATATTTGCTTGAACTCAGCTTGATGTTCAGCGACAGGGTTGCCGGCCTGGTCGAAGATGAGGAAACGGGTACTGGTGGTGCCATTGTCGATGGCACCAACAAAGGATTTCCCTGCCTGAGGTTTACGTCAGAGTACAGGAGAAGAATCACCATAGCTACGACTGTGCCATGCTATGTTATAGCAGTTACGTACCATGAGGTTCACAGCGCTCTTTGTTTGGGCAAGGGTTTCGACACAGGTAGAGGTTGGTTTATATGGAGATCTTTGGGCTTCAGGAGGACGCCACGACAAGTGAAAGTAATATTGTAAGTACGAGTCCTTCTGGTGAGAGAAAGTAGTAGATAGTTAGAGCAGACGAGGCCCGTGGGCATGTGGGCGGCTCCTCAGTACAATATAAAAAACTGGACCTCTCTGGCTCTCTGTCTTTGGGTTTGCCCGATCAGCTGGAGATGTGGGATGTCCACACAGCGCATTACAGGACATGCATACGAGCGCGATCTGATATGCCAGGAGATTCACAATTACTTGGACAAGGGACGCAGCGGGCGCGCGGGGGGATATGCATTGAACATGGGCAATTTCAATGCCGCGCTACGAGGTATGATGTCAATCTTTTCCCACAGATTCCCGAGAGCGGAGAGCATCCGCTAGTCACTTTTAACTGGTTGGTGAAGCACCATTGTTACTCGCTACTGGTCGCAGGTTATTGTACAGTACCCGTACTGTAGGAGTAAGGAGTACTGTACGAACAATAGTACTGTAGTCTGTAGGCTGTCGCCCACCACAGAATGACCCGCACACCGAGCCTAGCGAGCCCTCCCTCCCCATCTAACTAACTAGTCAGTCGGCCCTCACGGAGTACCAAGAATCCCCGTCTCTTGGGCGCTGCTTCTCGGGGTTTGTGCCCCGAGCGACAAGCCCAACTCAAAATCCCAGCCGATAAAGATAAAGCTACCTACAATAAATACCTCCGCACTCAGAAGGAGACACGTGCAACTACTCACCTAAGGTGCCTACCTACCTCTGCCTGTATACAATATGTGACACGGCAGTCGCTCAGCTGCAACTTGGCCGAGGCGAGAACTGTTCGAAAGAAACGCCCACTGAATGAGAAGGAGTGGGTGACGGCAGTCCACAAGTGAACGGACGGGGCAGAGATACCAGAAAACTCAAGCAAGGTACAGACAGCTATATCACACAAAAGGAAGATCTCGATTTCCTGCCTGGATACGCAGTATGTACATACGGTAAAATTGACTTATCTTGAGGGCTTTCCCCATCAGCATTTCTGGTTGAGTTGTCGTCGCTCTCTGACAGCCTGTTGCGCTCTGTCTTTTTCTCTATTCTTCATCTTCATCCTCACCTTCCTCTTCCTCATCACCCTCGGGCTCAGGGCCGAGCTCTGCGAGCTGCTTCTGTCGGAGCTCCCTCATCCGATCAGCTGGTCCAGGTGGTCGAGTGACCAGGTCAGCGATTTGACCACGGCCAATGAGCGACGCAACGATACTTGCACCGACAACAAAGGTCAGTACAAATCTGTACGTTCCATACCACTTGGGAGCCCAGCCGTTGTGGGCTGCTCGAGCATCGTTGTAGTACAAGAAGGTGAAGGCCAAGAACTGGGCAATCAGACCGACCTCGGCGGGGAGGAGTAGAGTCGGCCATGCCACAGCGGTAGCAACAATACCCATCGAGTAACGAGGATATCCCTTGTAGCCACCGAAGCCTGCCCATTCAAGACCCCAGTGAATGGCACCGAGGAAAGAGATGATCTGGAGGAAATCAGTAATGTGTTACAACAGAGCTGACGTAGTAAAACGACGGCTTGCTTACCGAAGCACCATAGCCGAGCTGGATGGGCTCAATAATGTGCAAAAGAGTTTCGGCGGTCTCGCCAGACAGGAGGAAGCCCTGACCGTGAGTTGCCGCGTACTGGATGTCGAAGGACAAATACACCGTAGAGAGAGACGTCGCGAGATAAGGCAAAACACCCGCCATACCGACATAGAGAGCTTGACGTGGAACCTCTTCCAAGCTGAAGGTCTCCTTGATGGTTTTCTATTTCACGTCAGTCCGACGATGTACCTAGGAAGGAGATCCCATTGGGTTCAACCCACAAAATCGGCTCGGATGCCCTCCATCATGTCTACGTCGTCGTCATGGTCTGCCGTCGTCTCGCTGGCAACAGCTCGGGTTGAGGAGGAGGCGCTGACAGCTTGTGGCGTAGGCTTCAACACTTCCTTGCCCAGGTTCTCCTCGAATTGCTTTGCTGAAGATCCCCAGGCCGCGGCCTTGTCTGCGCCTTTCATTTCATATTTGACAAGGGATGTGTGGAATGGCCGGGCGACCGTCAGAGACAGAACGCGAGCGGACTTGGCAGGTCGAGCAGAGGTTCTCAGAGAAGCCCTGAGGATGTTATTGTAGACATTCGCTCGTGGTGCTGGAGCTTGGAAGGAACGCGGGATCGATCGGACGGCCGTCGTGCGGAACATGGTAGCTGACATGATGGCGGGAGAGAGGTTCCTGGGAAACGTGTCAAAAGTCTCGAGCCGACCAGAGCCAGCTGATGTGCAGCTGCAGTGCCAGTTGGTGAAGGAGTGGAGAGTGTGTCGTGGTCGCTGGACTGTGAGAATATTGAAAGTGATCCGGGTCGACGAGAAGCTCAATTCATTGCGCTAAAGCCCAAGCTCCGGCAAGAAGTTTATCAGGTGATGGCATGTCATTACACGGTAATTATGGCCTCATGCGGCGGGACTCTCCCGCGCATTACAATACGCTCAATCTTGATACGTTCTGTCGTCAGGTGCCAAGGTTTGGTCGAACTGCTATTAGAATTGTCCCTTGCGTTGGCAACATCGGCGAAAGCGGATTCTGCAGCACGCCGCTTCAAAATTAGTCACGTGGGTGCTTCGAGGTGAGGCCTCGCGCGTCGCTCACCCTATCCTCACCTACCTCACCCCAGAGCGTTAGATAACTCCTGCCCAGCGCCCTTGTGCTGCGAAATCGGATTCGAGTGCCTCTCTCACGATGGCCTTATACCGCACAGCTCCCAGTTCGCCTCCGCGGCCATGCCACCCTCTCCCCAGGTCGCTGACCTGGTCCTATAACACTAGCATTGTTGTGCTCTCTTCCCTCCTTCTGCGTTATATCTCGACTTCCACGGAATCTATCCTCGAAAGAACGAGTGGCATTATATCGCTAAGCTTTATAGGCTTCATAGATTAGCGAGACGCCGGAAGTTCTCGATAACAAGCAGGATAATCTATAACACTGGAATAACAATATTTAACTTATATAGAAAATGTTGACTGTTGACTATATGTGAATCCTCACTATAGTTAGCGAGGCAAGGAACCAACCCCAGGGACCCAGGAGACTAAGCCTCGTGACTATCAAAGTCCACAGCCTCGCCCAGAACTCCAACTGGTTAACCACAGCCTCACTCAGCCAGCTAAGTTAAGATCATGACTCACGAGTGAAGGCTATGACTCACGAGTAAAGGTTATGACTCACGAGTGAAGGATATAACTCATAATGCTTGGTTTCTTCGTCACTCGTTAGCTATTTAAGGAGGGCTCAACCCACCTCGAGATGAAGTCCTTCAAGCTTCACTCACAACACTCGTTCATAGTTATCCTTGTATATAAGGCAATTCACGCTATTCCCTGCCATTATCTTCATCATTCCTCACTATAACCTAATCCTCTTAACAGGTTATGAGCCCGGGTTGGCTCTAAAAGCAACGAAACCTTTATATTAAAGAATCAACAAGAGTTATTAACTATTACCTAAAGGGGTATAGTTAGTCACGTGATAACGAAGACTTCTGGCCTAAGGAATCCGAGATTTCCGACAAAATCACTACATCATGGCGAACGAATCTAATCCTTTCAGGGTTTAACGTCTAAAGGGCTCTCAGAACTGGGAGTTCTGGGCCCTAAGAATGAAAGCCTATATTATTGATAAGGGCTACGAGAAAGCACTATATTCCCCAAGATCCCTCGAAGATTTTAACGACCCTGAGTTCTATAATCAATATTTAAGGACTAGACACTTAAACTCTATAAGGGCGTTAGCCCTAATTCGCTTGGCACTTGATGATAAGCCCCTTCTATAAGTGAAGGGCCTTATAATAGCCATAGAAATATAGGATCGACTTAAAACTCTCTATGAATCTAAAGGGTTTAATTTAGAATTCCTTCTATATAAGGAATTATTCTCAACAATCTTGATTAAACAAAAGAATTCAATTAAGGTCTATTTAACTCGGATTAAGTGACTATTAGATGAATTAGTGGCTCGAAATCTATTTATTTCAACGAAGGTTATAGTGGCTTATACTTAGAAACACCTAATTAGGTAAAATTACTTAAGCTTAAGAGTAAAAAGATAATAATGGTCAAGGATATCGATATATTAAAGGGCTATTTCCTTAAGAACTTATTCTCTAAAGCAGAAAAAAGAGTTATAGTCTTTAATAAGGCCCTAAAAGACGCTTAGAACACTTCACTAATGATTAACAGCTAAAACAACAATACAAGACCTAATATCGATATTATTGAAGATCTTAATGACCCTAAGAATGATCCATAGTATAAATCATTCATTTAATAACTGAAAGACGTCGCAATAGACGAGAATATAGATAACTTAGTATTATTCTCGCTAAACCCAATCTATAAATAGGCTATAAACTTAGATGACGCTAAAAAATGAAAAAAGGTCTATCTAAAGGAAATTAAGGACCTGAAATCTAAAGGCACCTAAACTTTAGTGTCTAAACAAGACTTTATGAAGGTTCTTAATGAAAAGTGGGTCCTCAAAATTAAAGACCTCTATAAAGAGTCTATTTATAAGGCTAGGTGGGTGACAAAAGAGTTTCAATAAAAGTATAGAGTCGATTTCTTCGAAACTTTTATTAATATAGTTAACCCTATTGCCTAGAGATTACTCCTAGCCCTGGGAGCCGCTCTAGACTGAGAGATTTAATAGTGAGACATCAAAATAGCCTATATTAATGCTAGCCTCAAGGAAAAAGTCTATATAAGCCAACCAACAGGTTTTGAAGACCCCAAAAATCCTGACTATATATATTAACTAAATAAAGCTCTATATAGGCTTAAACAGTTAGGGCGTGAATGGGAAATACACCTTCGAGAACTGCTGAAAAAACAAGGGCTCGAATCACTTAAAATTGATTAATCAATTTACATAGTTAAGAATAAATTATTAATCTTTATATTATATATTAATGACCTAATCGTTTTATACTCAGAACTCAGCAAAATCAAGAATCTCTATAAGAACCTAGCGAAATATATCGACATTAAAGACCTAGGTGAAATCAATAAATTTCTAGGGATAAAAATCATAAGAGATAGAAAAAACAAGACTATATCTTTAAGTTAAGGTCTCTATATCAACAAAATCCTTAAAAGGTTTAGACTCTTTATATCAAGAAAAAAGGGCTGCCCAATTCTATAAGGGTTGAAATTAGAGCTCTTAAAAGGACAAGCAAAGAAAGAAGATATAAAGGCTTATTAATAATAAATTAGAGCCCTTCTATTATGAGCGTAACTCAGGACAAGCGTTTCAATAAGCGCGTAGAGAGTATAGCGTGTATCCTTAAGCGCGCGCCAAGATAGCGTATATAAATATAGTCTAGCGGACTCTTGAGCTTCGCACTTTTCACGCAAGCTACTCGCACGAGGAACTTCTCTTCTTTATACTTAGAGTCTTGTACTAGAGCGTATCTCTAGATAGGAATATCTTAATCTCTTATTATGTTATTACTTTGCCTGTTTCTTGAGGTATTCCTAACACCTTCTATATCTATTAATAAAAACCTAATCAGACCTAGCCTATTCTATAGGTTTATTGGCACGATTTATGTCTAATCCTAGCCCTCAACACTTCAAAACGATAAAAAGGGTCTAGGAATATCTCGCTGAAACTAAAAATCTAGGTCTACTTTATCACTTAAGTCTAAATTATATAGACGATTATATTGATTTAGATTGAGGGGGGGATATAGGCACTAGGAGATTAATAATAGAGTATATATTCCTTTATAGAGGAACCCCTTTATTCTGGAACTTAAAACTCTAAAGAATGATGGCCTTATCATTCTGTGAGGCAGAATATATAGCCCTAAGAGATGCAATTAAAGAACAACAATATCTAAGAGCGCTAATCTCAGAAATAGGTGCCTTAGGCCTCGAAGTCACTAATATTTATAGTGATTTAAACTCAGCTATCGAACTTGCTAGAAACCCTGTCTATCACGCTTAAACTAAGCATATCGATATCATATATCACTATGTTTAAGAATGCACTCAAAAAGGCTTAACCAACCTTAACTAGACCTCAACAGAAACCTAGTTAGCTGACGGCCTAACTAAGGCTATTTCTAGTGAAAAATGGACTCAGTTCATCACTGAAATAGGCCTTCGAAATCTATAGCCTTATTAAGGCTAAAAACAGCTAAAACCTACTCAACTAGGCTCAGCCAAAAACAACAAGTCTAAAAGACTTTTCACTCATTTATGAATCTGTCTAAGGGACATCAATATATTCAACAATATTGATCAACAAAAAGGAAGTTATCTTCTTCTATATCTGGCTTAAAGCCCTATGTTGAGACAAGAGGGTGACTAAATATATTGTATACTTAATCGACTTGGTTATTTTCTATCTACTAAGGAGAGAACGCCCCTTATATACTATAAAGGGGGTAACTAGCTTATAAATCAAGTATCCACCTAGGTGGCAAAGTCTCCACTTAGGTGGCAAATAATAAAAACCTATAGAACTCCTTAGAAACCCTATGTCAAGAGAACCAGGTTATAGTGAGGAATGATGAAGATAATGGCAGGGAATAGCGTGAATTGCCTTGTATATAAGGATAACTATGAATGAGTGTTGTGAGTGAAGCTTGGAGGACTTTATCTCGAGGTGGGTTAAGCCCTCCTTAAATAGCTAATAAGCGACGAAGAAACCAAGCATTATAGGTTATAACCTTTACTCGTGAGTTATAGCCTTCACTCGTGAGTCATAACTTTTACTCGTGAGTTATAGCCTTCACTCATGAGTTATAGCCTTTACTCGTGAGTTATAGCCTTCACTCGTGAGTCATAGCTTTCACTCATGAGTCATGATCTTAACTTAGCTGGCTGAGTGAGGCTGTGGTTAACTAGTTGGTGTCTGGGCGAGGCTGTGGACTTTGATAGTCACGAGGCTTAGTCTCCTGGGTCCCTGGGGTTGGTTCCTTGCCTCGCTAACTATAGTGAGGATTCATATATAGTCAACACCCTGATTTATAATAGACCTAAGTCTATTATTAATCCTCTTTCTGACTCACAGACTAGCCTTATATTTTCATATTCTTCACAGTGTTAAGATTATTTAGAGCTCTTATTAAGCTTGTTCTCGACTCTAGTTAAAGGCTATCTGTTACGAACCAGGCCTTTTATGAGGCCGCAGACCAAGCTGTGACGACAGCCACTCGGTGTTACTACGTCCGGATCACGCGGACTGGAAACCTTGTGTCACGTGATCAAGGGCTCTGTCACGTGGGAGCAGAGGGACGGAGCCTGATGGCGCTGGAGGCTCCCATGGCTCTGCAGGCCCTGCTTGCAGAGCCCACGGAGCCCAGGAGAGCCATGAAGACAGTGACATATATATACACGGTCCTTACATGGACTTACTACGTAGTCAACTTCGTTCACGATCATACCCATACGTTTTGGACTGTGATCACTTCGCTCTAGTACTCGCTCAAGTACTTCGCTCCCAGTGACCTCGCCTCTTATACTTCCCACTTATCAGGAAACGATACGTGCAGTGACACCTCTGGTGGAGCGAAACGTAACACTATCCCTTTAAGCTACTTAAGAAAGAGTGAAACTAGGTGCTTATAGCTATCGAGAGAGACTAGGTTATATTGATAGAGTGGGGCTGAATATAGCATAAAAAACTAGTGTATTAAATAAGTGACTAGATATTTAGTGAAGAAGTGCTTAGAGAACTTAGTCCTTTAGTGGGTTAAAGTCCTCCTTATATAGTTAATGAGTGGCGACTAAAAGAATATTATAGACTGTGATAAAAAGGATTGTTTAGAAATTAAGCAAGGTTAATTTATAAGCAATACATTATAGTCTTAGCTAGTTAACCTCGCTCGTAAAGGGGCTTTAGCCTCGTAAGGGGGCTTTAGCCTTGTGCGAGGGCCTTAGCCTTGTGCGAGGGCCTCAGCCTTGCCTGTGACTAAGCTCAGGTTGTTATCGACTAGTTGACCTGAGGCCTAGAGTTGATTGTTGCCTCGCTAACTATAGTGAGTATTCATAACATACTATATAGGGTAATGGCGTATATGGTATAATGACGCACCAAATCCTACTCCACCACCTTTAACTGTTATTTCCATCAACTATGGATTACAAGCGCACATCAGAAGTAGCGAATCATGAATAGTGACTACAGAACGTTATCTCAGCGTATAAAAACTAAGAGTTTAGCTCGATTCGCGTCGCTGCCAATCATTTTTATGTCTTTGACCAAACTATGTCTTGCTGTCTCGATAGAGGACTATTATACGCTTAAGTTAAAGAAGTCGCTTAAATTCTTTTAAACACGGAGAAAAAGACTCTTATATAATAAGTCTCGCGATATATATATATTAAAAGTCTCATTATATTAGTGTTATTACTAAAAATAGCAAAATTAATTCGATATAAATATATTCGATACACATCGCAAAATTCGTTCTCCACTAAGATCCTCGCACTAATCGGCCACGAATGGCTCTATCGCTTCCTTAATCATTATTCTACTATCTAGAGTATCTATACTTATTAGCTAGAGGCTATATAATATAATAACATATTATATAATAAAGTAAAGGCCTGATTTAACGCGGTCACTGTGAAATTTTAAGAGCGCGTCTATCATAATTTCAATATCTAGAACATAAATAAGTCTGGTTTTGGGGTTAGTAATAGTTAAACTATAAAGGTCTTAGTCTCTATTAATTGTGCATAATAGCATAAAACTATAGTAGGCAAGCAAGAGTGAGTAATTATTATTAAATATATTAATATAGCGAGAGAAGCTCTCTTATTAATAATTATCTTTAAGGATTAAAACCTTAATTTAGGGTGGCTATTATCTTAAATATTAAAGGACTAGTATTTTGTAGTTAATAAGAATAGCTAGATATTAAATGTTCTCGGTTTATAATGATTAATAAAGGTGTTTAAGCCTTAAATATATAAAAAAGCGGCTGATTAGCCATGATTATTAATCGCTAATAGCTATGGAAGTTATATTAGGGCTAATTTTATTGTTCACTGTATAGAGAATGATATTAACTTATTAATTATATCTCCTTATTGCTTTTATCTTCTTTAATCGCTTAATATAAGAATATTTATAGCCTTTAAGCGCGCCCACTTAAACAAGACTAACATGACTTCTTGACTCAGTATATAATATATTTTATGTTCAAAATAAATAGAAATATTTATTTGAGCGCGCGTAAAGACTATTAAGTTAGATAATATTCTTAAAGAATAAAGAGATATAGATTTAGTGCTAAATAACTTGAAGAAGGTCTTAAAGTATCTCTCGCAAAACCTGACCTAACGCGCTCTTGTTTTAATTACGCCGCTAGAAGAGCGTAATCTTAACTTCTCCTTGCTTTATAGCTCTTCTCTAGATAGCATCGAACTTTGAGAGTCTAACATTTTATTGGATTCTGTGCTAGTGTAGACACTAGAGCTATTATTGCCTGTCAAGCGATATATAGCTCGAGTGACTTAAATAACTAAAACGCTCGCTGCAGAAAACACTCTTCTTCGATGATAGAATCAAGAGCAAGAGAAGTTACTTAAGGCCTGAAAGAGTTATAAGCGAGGCAAAAGAGTCAGGTTAGAAGGCGAATTTATGTATTTAACAGAGAAAGTGTTAGAGATCGTGTGAGAGGAGAAGGCGAGGCGCCCGACTAAATAGCCACGCTGACAACCATATCGATGAGTGGTCATCAAAAGCGAGTCTGAGGATGAAGATGAGATCTCAGACTACTTATCTAGCTCGTTTGGAGATGGGATATCTGTCGTGGTGCCTCGTTGGAGACTTTTATAGGTGCTGGAGTAGGATTTGGTGCGTCATTATACCATATGCGCCATTACCCCATACAGTACGTTATATAGTCAACACCTAATACTATTAAAGTTACTCTCTTGTATAGCTTTAATAGCTAATTGAAGCCTTCCTTCTTGTTGTAATTGAATAGAACTCATGGTAGTGGAGATAATTGACAGCAATATGGGATCGGTGGGTTATGGTGAGTCTCTGACTCACTAGCCCGTGAATTACGTTAGTGAGACATAAGGTATTTGCTTTGTTTAGAAGGTTCAGACCTTAGTTTAGTTAATCGTCTTTGCGTCAACATATTCCATATCGATTTGTGTACCACCCGGAAGAGTTCGGTTTGTCGGTTCTGAAAATTTACGATCTCTCTTCGTTCAATCAAATTAATAGAGTCTTTCAGGTTACTTGGAATCTATGTATCTCTCCATGAATATCGGATTTCAAGCATGAAGTACTGAACATGGAGTACTGCTTCTTCTCCAGCAGGCACATGGCAGAGGACAGTGGGCTGTAAATGGACAGCATTTAGGTCCAGCTGAGACTCCGGTCCCTGATTCACGCACCCCTAATGCGCAATGTGCCGCTCTAGGCATCATTTGTATTGCCGACCCTCAACCGTCGCAAAGCCCAGCGAATGAGGTGGGCCTTGTTAGCTGTCCTTCCAACTCCGATACTGATCGGATACCCCACAAAAGGACTCATTTCATGCCCCCGAGCTCGGTTACTCTGTATCCGTGTACCGTGTGACGTGTACTAGTTTTCCCCAGTACAAGTAATTAGGGCTCGTGTGCGCGGATACGGGGTCTGGATTGCGGAGAGGTACTAAGTCGGCGAACCCCAAACAACGTCGCTTGGCATGTATCGGGCTCACCAAAGCCAGCTCGACAAATTCAAACATCTATGGGTATATCTTCATGGATCCAGACCTCTCACCTTTGCAGCCATTACCTCACTTCTTGACGCCCTCCTTCGCTGTCCATTATAGGAGCACTGACCTACCTTTGTCACTGTCGTGACCATGACTGAGCTAGAGAAACAACACGACGAAGGCATGACTTCAGCAGAAGTGCATGTCGAGCGACTACAAACAACAGAGCCCCAGAACAACACCTCGACATTGAGCTTGTTCCTGGCTGTCATCGTAAGATGATCTCTCCTTGTTGTCGGCCCTTGCTGATTGCTCGGCTGATAGTCTGTTGCTTGTGGTTTTGTCGGCCCTATCTTGGTTGTCGCATTGCAATCCAGCGTGATTGAACAGATTGTCACTGATCTCGGGGATACGAAAGACCTGGCATGGCCACTGAGTGCATTCTCCGTTGCCGGCGCAGTAGCATTCTCCATCGCTGGCAATCTCAGTGATATCTTTGGCCGCCGTGTGGTCATCCTTACCGGGAATACCATGATGATCGTTGGAGGAGTACGTACCATTAAGAGAGTCCCGACACGGAATGTCTCGACTAACAGGTTTAGATCATTGGGGCCGATGCCCATTCGGTGATGAGACTTGTTGTGAGCGACTCTATTGTGGGTGCCTCCGCGGGCCTCATCTTCGTTGGATATGCTAGTATCTCTGAACTACTTCCAAAGAAATGGAGGTGTGTTAGACTCACTGCGACGTTGGCATGATTGGATCGGACTGTTGACTGATGATCCATCTGTATAGGGGTGCTGGCATTGGTCTGACTGAATTCCTCATTACTGCCCCTTGGGCTCTGGCTGCGACACTGATCGCCACGGCAATGTATTCTCACACAGCGCTCCGCTGGCGATGGTTTTATATCATTGGATGCATCTATGCCACTGTCAGCTTGCTTGGCACAGCAGTCTTCTACTTTCCACCTTCACACCCCAGGGGAGACTATGACAAAACTCGCTGGCAGGAGTTCATGGAGATCGATTTCGTCGGCTGTATCCTTTTCGGCGGAGGTATGGTCTCAATGTTGGTTGGCCTCACTTGGGCAGGGACACAACACCCGTGGCACTCTGCGGCAGTCATCGCTCCCCTGGTCGTGGGTTTTAGTTCCATTGTTAGCGCACTTGTCTATGACGCTTTCATACCAAAAACACCACTCTTCGCCCCTCAGCTTATTCGAGAAATTCGGAAGTTCGTGCTGTGCTTAGTGGTCGCGTTTGTGGCAGGATTCATCTACTATTCAATGTCAGCTCTGCTTCCCCAGGCCACATTATGGATCTTCACAAGCGACTCGACAAAGATCGGTGTCACTCAGATTCCGAATGGTGTCGGCCAGCTCATCTTTGGTTCTCTAGCCTCGGCGGCGATAGGTCCCATTGGCCACCTCAGGATACAGTTCGTCTTCTGGACAACAATCATGGTCGTCGCTGTCGCCTGCCTAGCAGCAACTATTCCTCACCACAAAGGAGCATTCATGGCATTGCAAGCTTTCGCCGTCGGCCCCTTCCCGACGATCTCAGCATTGAGCATAGTAATATCCAGTTTGAATGTGCCTCTGCCTTATCTAGGTCTCGCTGTCGGCATGATCGGCACTCTACGCAGCGCAGGCGGCAGCTTTGGCAACTCTATCCTACAGACTGTTCTACGTTCGGTGGTGGACGACAAACTTGCACCGTCTATCATTAATGCCGCTGTGAAGCTTGGATTCAACCCTGAAAATGCCGGTGAGCTGATCGGAGCTACGGTGCAGAACGCACTCGGTGTCCCATTCGCTTTTTCAAAAGTCCCTGGAATTACTCCAGAGATAGAGCATGCCGCTGCGGAAGCACTGAAACGCGCATATGCGTACGCGTTCCAACGAGTCTTCTACACCATTATTCCTTTCGGGGTCATTGCAATCATTTGTGCTATGCTAGTGCATGATCCCTCGCAACATTTGACCAACCACACCGATGTTCGTTTGGAGAAGGAGGGTTTTCTGGGCCACGGGAAGAAAGACCAGGTTGATCAGCCCGACCAGAGCAAGCGGGTCGATAATGATAGCACCGAAGTTGTTTAGGGAAAGAAAGCAATAGTACTTGACAAGGTAACTAGGCATGATAAAGATACTGATATGGAATGACTGGAAATCTGGGCCAAATTGTGGTGACGATGAGATGCTGACCTAGTTAAATACCCTCGGTTCTCCTTCAATCTGTCTATTTCATTCTCTGATCTTTTCGCTCGCCGTTTCAAGCGAGACTGCTTGTAGTATTTCTTGGATAAAGCCTAGTTCCAATTCATCAAACAAGGATCGTAGAGCAGGGTCTCGATTTTACTACCTTACATACATCCCCAGCCATGAAAGGCGTTTCCAACCCAACGTTGTAGATCAAGCTTTAAGAGTGATGGAAACCCCTTGCGAGATTGGCTTTTAAGGTCTTAACTTGCCCAAAGTCTCGGTAATGATATTCAAGAGGATCGGCTAAGAAAGTACGGATCCTCGGTATATTTAGGAAAGTTATCAGACGTTCATTCAAACCATAGTCTATTCTCCAGGTTTAACGACTACTCGAGGATCTATAGGTTCAAAGGTCTTCTCCTTTGGATCTCCAGCAGGTTTCCCAAAAACCAGCTGTGCATTCAATTTCCACGTGCTGGGAATGTCGAACGCCTTCATGATCTGTGGAACCACCTCTAGCTCGCTGTTGTAGTGCTGGAGATTTGCACCGAGCCCTGCTGCTTCCAATGCCGTCCAGACTAATCATAGTGATTAGTGATCGGATCGCTTGCCAATTGCCCAACAAGCGAGGACCGTTGACTTACCGACGAATTGGTGCATGCCCGATGAATGGTCGGACCCTAGAAGAGAAGTGCTTGTTAGATTGGAGCCTAAGCCTATCGTATGGCCAGCCTTACACTGTGGAAGAGTAGAAGCGATGAAGGGAAACTTCGATAACAAGGCATCCAACGGAGCCTGGTCTTCAAACCACATGATCTTGAAAGAGACGCGTCAGTGATAGTATCGATTAGGTGTTTCTCTTGCAGCCTCAAGGGACTGGGATCCGCTACTTACTGTTCCGTAGCTATTCTTGAACTGGCTCAATTTGTTCGAAACGTATGCCCTGTTGTATTCGTTGAGGTCCTGCGAAGCCATATGCTGATCTACAATGTCCCATAGTTTCTGGTGTTGAGAGCCAAAGAGCACCATGGCCCGAGCACTTTGTACGTTCCATGCGCTGGGGCACCACTGAATTGCGAATTTGACAAGGTCTTCGATCTCAGAATCTGGAATCGGTGAGTCCGCATTCAAATCGTAGATGCTTCGGCGCCCTTGCACAAGGCTGAGGAAGGTGGAAAGAGATTGAGGTTTATCCATTTCGAATGTCGAGATTGCCTTGATTTTGGTAAACCTTTGGAAAGTTTTCAGAAGCTACAGCACAAGAAATCCGAAGGACACAAGTAAGGCTGCCAAAGAGGACTAGAACGATAATGTGTTGCTTTTAAGTCGAATCGCAAACCATAGATCTAGGCAAGATTGGCATTTACAAATCAGGCTCGGAAGCTGTTCTGCATGTGACATGCCGATCATGCCTCCTGACATTGTCTGGTCTCGGCCGATAGAGCTATGCTGTGCCAAACGAGTCGTGGTTAATTCACGGATACTTTACCAGAGCATTATGCAGTACATGCTCCTGGAATCCGACATTTCGGTCGGCCGAATGAGAGAGACATGGAAAGTTCAGTGGTGTCCCCATGTGGTCGGAGTTCCCCACATTTAGTCTCAAGGCGGTGGGGGAAGCCGATGTTTTGTACCAGGTTCTATGACTTCCGAGAGGGTCTTGTGACGATGGTCGGTGGTAGTAGCAGGCTCTACACGTTACAGAGTTGAATCCTAGTCACAGAATATACTCTGGCTTGTCGGGTCCGTCGACCGGCATTTGCAAAACACCATGGACCACTCCCCGCGGGGCAAGGTGCAATCTCTATCCCATATTTGCCGAAGCGCATTGTCACTTTGAATTGCTTTCTTCGTTCTCGCTGGACAAGCACTACTCTTGACTTCAGGCTTTGGTATTCTGCACACAAACCGTCTCCAAGGAGAGCCCAGGGACGAGTATTCAAGATGGCCACTATCAACAACTTGGATGGTATCAAGGTGGCTTACCGGCCGATGAACAAGGAGATTCCCAATTTGTGGATCAAGCATGGTTATGAGAAAATAACTCTTCCCAAGGGATGGGTCAAAGACGAAGGCAGGCGACCATTACCCGTGGACATGATTTTCGAGAAAGACTGCGCCATAACGCTACGAGATGGAGTCACAATCTACACGGACGTTTTCCGACCTGTTGATGCAGACAAAAACCCAGTCCCTGCTATTCTCTGCTGGAGCATCTACGGAAAATCTGGTGTCGGTACGTGCACATCAAACCACGAGTCCACGACACCTCAAACCTTCTTGCAGGACCCAAATGGTTGACCTGAGGCTCGTATAGGCAAGCACAGTCTTGACAATCTAAAGTATCGGATGGGCGTTCCTCGCAACAAGACGAGCGGCCTGGAAAAGTTCGAGGCTCCGGATCCAGCAGAATGGATTCCTCGTGGTTACGCACTGGTCTATCCTGATGCTCGTGGAACTTTCATGAGCGAAGGTGACATGGCTGCTTACGGCACTCAGGAGGGTCGTGATGGCTACGACACGGTCGAATGGATTGGAACCCAGAAGTGGTGCAATGGCGCAGTAGGCATGGCTGGAAATTCTTGGCTTGGCTCGACACAGTGGTATGTGACGGATTTCGCACCCTTTCAGGGTCCATAATAGAAACATCATGCCCCAGAGTTCTTTTCTGGCTATTGACTCATTTCTATCAGGTTTATCGGTGCCGAGAAACCACCGCACTTGAAGGCCTTGGCCCCTTGGGAAGGACTTGGGGATTTCTACCGCGAATCACTCTGCCGTGGTGGAATACCGGATTATTCATTCTGGCATCACCTCTTGGAGGTTTTTGTGCCTGGTACGTTTCTTCCGGGAAAAATTTGTTGCCATCTCAGTTACTGACATCTCCCCTTATCTACAGGACAAAATAGGCGCGAAGACATTGAGACAATGGTTGATACATATTCGACGTGGAACGCGTACTGGGAGGACAAAAAGCCCCAATTAGCCAACATTGACGTCCCAATGTATGCCCTGGTCAGCTACTCCACAGGGCTACATACCGAGGGCAGTATCAGGGGGTTCTTCATGTCTTCCTCGAAAAAGAAATGGTTAGACTCTCCCAGCTCGTACAGTGTTACAAGTACCTGACAAATTGACATTCTTTCCTACAGGCTCCGAATCCACCATACACAAGAATGGCACGACATCTATCAACCCCAGAACACTGACGAGCTCCAAAAGTTCTTTGACCGTTACCTCAAGAACGAGAATAACGGATGGGAACAGACTCCATGCATGAGACTGTCGATGCTCGGGTACAATCGACCTAGCGTTGTCAACCGGGTGATCTCAAAGTACCCTCCCGAGAACTTCTCATACCAAACGCTGTTTCTGGACGGAACGACACGCCGCCTCCAATACGAACAACCCAGCACTCAGCAAGTGACAGTCAGTTACGACAGCGACGTTGCGTGGGCAATGCCACCGAAATCGTCTCTGGGTTTCACTTACACCTTTGACAAATACACCGAGCTTTGCGGCTGGTCCAAAGCCGAACTGTACATGTCGACGCCTACCCAGAATGATATGGACGTGTACATTGTGATCCGCAAGCTCGACAAGGACAACCACGAGTTACAGCATTTTAACATCCCATTTGAAGACTTGCCCGAGGGAACAACCGAGGAAGAAATCCCAATGGAGAACATCTACAGATACATCGGCCCCAACGGTCGCCTGCGTGCGTCGCATCGAGACGTGCAGACGGAGCCAGGGTACCCCGAAGAGAAGAGGCAACTTTTGAGCGATGCCTACGTTTGGCATCCACATGATAAAGAAGAGAAGATCAACCCAGGAGAGATTGTGAAGTTGGAAATCTCACTTTGGCCTGGCGGCATGGTCTTTGACGAGGGCGAATCCATGCGTTTCGACGTTATGGGTCATCATCCTATCATTCCCGAGTACGAAGGTCTTGACAAGTCATTCCGCAACCTCAACGTTGGAAAGCACGAGCTCCATACCGGCATAAAGTACCCTTCAAAACTGTACTTGGCTCTTTCGAACTGATGTGGCCGCTCGGTAGCGAAATAATTAGCTAGCCCCGAACTAAAAACCGTTGTAAAGGGTGAAACCAGTCCGATTCCCAAGAGTTATCACAGCATCCCACTAGCAAATATCACTGACCTTGCTCGATTCCCGTACCAAAATTTATGAATGTAGCAAGTCCATCAAGCCATCCTAGGCCGTCGACCTTGTAGGAGATGTCCAATCAGCGTAACAAGAGAAGTGCGTATCTCGGGCCAGCCCGTCCTGGTCTTCAAAACCCTTCTTAATTCCTGCAGTGTCCGAAGGGGACTGGTACGGCCGTCTAGGATACCGATCCCTGGGATGTGAATGTATGTACTTCGGGCCTCGTCCATCCATCGCGTCCTTGCATCTTGGCCGACAGGTTTATCTAGTCGCAAGATCTGCGAGTGCTGCGGATCTTTGGCCTCATTCTCAACCAGTTGGTCGTACGCCCAAATGTACAAAGCTGCCGCCAGCATCGAAAGGGCATCATAATGGCCAAAGTGGGTCTTGGCTCGGAGAGCACTGAAGATGACAACAGCGTGGCGTAGGCATGTTCGAGCAACCACCGCATCGTTCTTCATCCACGAGCTCAATGTGGCACGCGCAACCTGGATCTGCTCTTCGTTCGCCTGCCAACCGGACATGGCGTGGACCGTGGTCAGCGAAACTCGCCTGAGCAGTGCTAGCAGCGGGAAAATAACGTCGGGTGTGGCCGAAAGTTCCAGCTCAAAAGACTCCGGGGAGGATTGAGGGTAGAGACTGTGTAGCCTTGAGTCAACACAACCCCGGACAAGCCTGTGTATGAATCCAATATCGCCCAGAGTCCCGTGAGACGGTTGAGTTTCTTGCTGTTGCCGGGCCTGAGATCCACTAACAAACGGCAGCGTATTTCTCAGTGGCCATTTCAACAGCCTTTCTAGCGTGAGCTTTTCCTCCACACTCGCAAAAATGTATTGGAGCTTTCGACAAAAGGCGTCTCCAGCCAAGGCTTCCTCTTTTCCTAATCCAAGCTGGAGTTGGCGTGTCGGTGTCTCCCTGCACGATGGTAATTGGCGTGCCCAATCGCTTGCGCTGCGACAATTCCACAAGTTTGTGGTTGAAGGCGTGCTATTTGTCAGCTCTGAGAGGTCCATGGACGGTCGCAATTGTAAAAACATGTATTGCAGACTTTCGAAATGGTAGACGGAATGGGCAAGCCGGATGCGAGACTCGGCAGCCAGCCAACGATGCCACTGTTCTTCCAAGGGCTCAGACGTATTCGAGGAAAGGTTTGGCAGAGAACTATCCCCCGGAACAGAGCCCCAAGCTCGACATAGCGTCGCCAAAGTGTACTTGTGGTACTGCTGCAATGCTAGTCCTTTCTTTCCCCCATTTCCGAAGAGACAAATATCTCGCAGCAACACAGTCTGCGTCCACGTCAAGTCGTCTGGGGGCGGAATGGAAGGCAGCTCCGACTTGATAGCCCTGTGCATCAGTTCCTGAAGCGCCAGTGTAATCTTAGTTGATTGTTCCAAGACAGAGAATTGTGATCCCAAAGCAGCTACAACGAGCAAAAGTATCCACGATACTTGGTCGCTTTCCAGAATTGACGGGTGCAGGAAGTCCAGCTCTGGTGCAAAATGTTCAAAGTAAAGCTCTAGAAAAGTGTGAAAGACGGCCTGGCTAACAAAATTGGGGGCCAGGGAATGCTGCTGGTAGTAGTAGTGCATGATCTTCTCAAATGGCGGTGCTGGAAAACGGTGGATATATCCAAAGACGTCTGAAGCAGCCATATGCTCATCTTCAGGAGTAAGTATGGGGATGGATATATCGTCCGCACCAGGCTCCGGCATTTGGCTACGGCTCTGGCACATGTTGACCTTGTTCACCTCGATAGGAGCCCCTACGCTTGTGGTGATTGAGGGTGGCAACATTTCTCCCTCAGAATCACCTTGAGTTGTAGAATTCCAGAGCAACTCGCTGGAACCTGCGCTGACGTCGAAGACCCCTTGCTGAGAACTAGACGGACTATCGTACTGGGTGTCCATCGTCCACATGAAAGAATTCGTGGGAAACATAGTGTTGAGATCCCAGAGAAGGCCGTATGACGAAGTTTCTGTCAAGTCTTGTTCGGGAAGCGGCAGCGAGAATGGGACGTCGTTCGCGACGGCTGCAGTAGGATCCATTGAAGCATATGTCTCTTCGCTGAAAGTAACATCGTGCAGCGGAAGAACTAGGTCGATCTGAACTTCGGTGTTGGGGTTTTCGCTCGCTCTAGGCGTGATGATCTCAATGGGAACGTTTGGCTGGATATTTGAGGCATTCCCAAGAGGGTTTACGAATTCGTCCTTCTCGAACATGGATGCGTGGTCCGACTCAAGCCGGGCCTTGGACAACGAAGAGTTTTGATAGTGGCAAGACGATTTTGTCCGGACACAGCGATCACAAGGATGACCTCCTTCGCACTTTTGCTTAGCACGGGCACATTTTCTACAAGCCGTCGCTCGCCGCCTATGGAGGTGTTCTGGTAACAGGTTGATAGACTCGAGTGCCTCAGGCCCATGCGTAGCAGTGTGTCGCAACATTGCATCCCTGCCCCGAGCCAATATGTTAGTTGAACATCATTCTGCTGGGTCAAGAGAAACACCTTCTAGAGAAGCTTTGATTGCAAACTTGGCACGCGAATGGTCTCTCTCCAGAGTGTCGTTGCATATGCCTATCCAGGTGTTCTTTTCGTTTGAACGTGCGGCTACATATTGTACAGCAGGGGCCAGTTGATCGAGCCTGCGCAGGGTTGGAGGCTTCGTGTCCCGCCATGTTGACTTCGCTTTGGAGTTGAGACGGTTGCAAGAAACCAAAGCTGAATCTTCGAATTCAAGTGGTCGGTCAGTCAGATGTGGCCACAGGGCGTTTATTGCGGTACAGCGTGCTGGTCCCAGGCCCTTGGGACTCTGCTAAGGCACGGTGGAACAATGGACACACTCTGGTACTGGTCGAGGGCGGTTGCTAGCTGCCTTGCGCAGAGAAAATTTCCTGCACTGTGGACAGGTGGAAGTTTAACCGACGCGAAAGTGGCTGACCCCGGAAATCCTGGCCAAGTCGTGGGGATGAACTTGACTGGGGGTTGGAGAAGTGCCGGCATAGGAAGAGAACAGAATGGTATGGAGATGGCCCGATGGAGTGCCCGACAACCGGCACTTTCTCCACTGTTTGCGGAGGTTTTGGGACGCAAGATCCCGAGCGCCGAATACGATATAAATGCAGGTACGGATGCAACTCCGGCAGATCCAGGAATAAATCATTGCCATGCAAGATCCCACGGGGAAGACAAACTATGCTGGAGTCAGAATGCACTCCGTACATCGGATGGCATTCTAGCCGTATTCGATCTTGCTCATCCCTTCATGTCTATTCATGTCTGGTCGCGCCTGAGGAGCGCTGTGTCGCTGGACAGCAATGCTTGCTAATCAGAAGGTGAACTCTATGAGCTCCATAATCTTCATGCCCGTCACCTTGGACGAAGTTTCTTGTTCCACCCTCTGTGTGGCGACATCCGTCTTTACGTAATAGGGAGCAATGCAACTGTTTGGCGGTCTGGTTAGCACCATGAACAATTAGATTCGGGGTGAGCACACTTGCCTCTCGTCGTGTAAACACCAGATGACTTGTGCCGGCTCTCCAAGCCATCTGACTTGCGCAGAGACATAGTCGGCAGCTGATCCATTGAATGGCCGTCCATTATGGTTTGCGATTCCGGCAATCCCAAGAACCGCGATGTGAGGCTTCGGTTCGAGCATTCGCAAAATACCTTCATAGCCACCCAAGTGAGCACTCCACAATAAACCCTTTTGGTCCCGGTCGACATGGAAATTGTACATCAGCTGCCCACCATCATGATCGGAAAACACATGGGACTCTCTGTCCCGAATATATCTTATGAAGGCCTTCATGCCCGCGTTTTGGTGGGATTCCGGCACATGCTTGTCGATCTGCAAAAGCCCATGTTTCATGCCAAAGTTAACATCAAACGTGCAAACATAAGGATGTGCTGGGCCGGGGTAGATGACTCCAGTATCCATGACGTCTGGAATTTGGTCGTGACGAGGAATGAGACAATGTAAGGCTGGCCACACATCAACTGATAAGACAGCGTGGTCAGGATGAGGATGAGGCGGTGCTCCCGGTGGTCCTGGCCTAAGTGGTATTTCTCCCTTGGTGGCTTGCTCACGGATTTTCTTTGTGAAAAGTGGAATGCGCTCGCCACCTTGCACGGCGATCAGTTGCGAGTCTTGGACTCCCGCCCTCCTGAGGAGGTTGACAGCTTCACAGTTGGCATACACTATTGCTCCAGTCTGTTTAGCAATCTTGTCTGCGCCGGGTAAGCTACATCACGCACGCTGTCAGCAACTGTCAAAGCATTTAGGAAAATCGTTTTTTGTCCTTGCACAGACTTACTGATCGAAGTGAGCGTGAGATATGAAGATGTAGTCTGCTTCATGGACATCTGATATTGGCAGACATTTCCCCAGTGAAACAGGCTTCTCCAGCCACGTATCCAGGAATATCGTCAACCCTCGGGTACGAAGCCGGAAGGTCGTTGCGCCTAGATTTGTGAGCACGAGAAATGTAGCAGGGTTGAAGGCATACCAAACCACTCCAACGTCCCTGAAAATTGTTGTGGCATCTTGTGAGAAAATAGCTGCCTGAAGTATAGCGGTTGATCTGGCCACTCGATACTCCCCTAAAATCTATCACCTGGACATGTAGCCTCGCTCGATAGATTTCTGAGTTCTGTCGCCTGAGTCTTCCTCGTGTTCTCGATTATCCGGATCAATACATAACCACTGTGTATTTGGTCGCCATTGTTGACGGTCGGGAGCCCCCACCACCTCGCCCGACTCCGTGAGATTGCCATCTGGGCCCCGCCGAAAAATCTCCCACGCAAGCTCGCTAGCTGACGTGAACGAGGCGACAGCCCCCAGTTGCGATGCTACTTCCGGGCTGGTAGGCCTAATAAGAGTCTCATTCGTCCCTTCACGTCTGTTGCAAGGCCAAATCGTCAACACCAGCAATCGTAACAAAGCCGATGATGGGTGGTCAATTCAAAGTCATCATCGTCGGCTCAGGCTTGGCAGGTTCTCTCCTGGCTAACGGTCTGATTCGGAACGATGTCCAAGTTACAGTGTATGAACGATTGGCGAAAGACATGAAGCGGGAAGGCTACCAGATTCGATTGGGCGCTCACGCCCTAGCTGGATTTCGGGCCTGTCTCGACGACGAACAAGTCAAAGAAGTCATCGGAAAGTTTGGTAGATCCAATGGTTCTCGGTCGGGGGCTCCAGTAATCTGCGACAAGAGCTTCAATGTTCTGTTGGACGCGTCCAAGTTTCCAACTTATAACAAATCGGCACCGATTAATCGAGTCATCTTGCGAGATATCTTGGCCAAGCCAGTCGAGAATGCTGGCCACTTGGTGAGCGGCAAGCAGTTTGAGAAATATAAAATCTTGAATCCAGGCACATCCACAGAAAGAGTTAGGGTGTATCTTTCCGACGGAACGTTCGACGATTGTGATCTGCTCATCGGCGCGGATGGAAGCCATTCAAGGGTAAGATTCCGCCATTCATTACGGGTTATGTTTCTGTTTTGCTCACCGGATTTCAGATCAACCAACAGCTTGGACTAAACAACATCTCAGAGCTTGATACCCATATATTCATGATCTCAAAGTGTGAGCTTCCGACAGAAAGATATCGAACAATGAGCCATGTACTTCAGAACTATCCTATTCTGACATACGCCGACAATATGAGTATATTCTACTGTGGTTAGTAAAACTTCTATCTCTAGAGTCCCTCATCTCTCGACTAACCTTGAAGTAGCCTATCTCCCAGATAAAGAGCCTGAAGAGTCAATACATGAAGGCGCCGGGGGTTTTGACGATAAACTCTCGTCCTGCATGTTTTCATTCATTGTGCCTGTAGAAAAGGCTCCGTCCAATATCTCGCAATTGCCACTCGAGGCGCAGTGGGATTTTATCGCGTCGTGTATCAGGTCGTGGGCCCCAGAATAGTACGGCTATACAGTATACCCAAGCCTTAACTGAATATCGCTAACCTGTGAATAGTCATGAGATTGTAGATCTTCTTCGTGGCTCTTCAGTATATTCTTACAAGCCACGAGCGAGCGTGAGACCTCAGAAGTCATGGCGCAAAAAGGCGCTAAGAAGCGGAATCGTGGAACAAGGACATCCTCGGGTATGGCTGTTGGGAGATGCCATGCATGCTATGCTACCTGCTCGGTGGGTGATAATGTTCACTCCGGTTGTACAACCAATGCTAATCCTTTCTGTTAGTGGTATGGGTGGAAACACTGCTATGAGAGACACTGCAACTATGCTGCCGTTGGTGACGGAGCTCGCAGAATATGCAGAGGAGCACAAATATTTACCCACAACAGTGGTAGCCGAAAAGCTCGATCAGTATGAGGCCGAGATGGTTCCCCGGGCATTTGGCTGGGTTGAGAAGAGTGGTGGTACAACGATCATAGTAAGCGTCAGAATACAAACCTCACAAGAAAAAAGACTGACTGGTCCACAGCCGATTGACACGAGTCGATTCATCGCGAGGGTATTGTTCTTTGTCGCAGCGCAGGCAATGAATATCTCTTACTGGTGGAAGAAATTCACTTCGATATTCACAAAGGCGGACCCTATAGATCTCGACTTAGATTTCAAAGCATAGAGTGCCTACGGTATCGCTGGGAGATTTGAGGATGTTTAACTGAGTTCTATGAATGGCTTTTGCACGGTCGATAGAGAGAAATTCTTTTTGTTTAAATATGCGTACGGGGATAAAGGTTTACTAAGGAAATGTCTCGAGCCTTTACATCGAGGATGTGCAAGTTAGAAGTCCTCGTGAAAAGCTCTGGTAGCATATATGGATTCGGTCCTTGAGCTACAGTACAAGCAATCCAGAGCATTGGCGTTCAGAGGCTTCAAATCGTCCCTATAAGAAACCTCCGGCAACCCCTGAGGTGCAGCCCCTAGAAGTGCCCAAGGCGCACCAACAAGGCCTCAGCGCCTAGAACATTACGTACTCGCAGTGTACTTTGGGCTGGTGAAGACCCTCACTATAGTAATAGATGACATCTGTTAGGCAACGCTCAGTTCTAGGCGATGTCTGGGGGCTAAATGGGATGTATTGACGAGTCTGATCTCCCTCCGAGAGAGGGAGATCCCTATCTATTATATAGACAAAAGGAGCGTTCCAAGGGAGGGCTTTCTCGCCGTCGCACAGCGCGCCGCGTGGAGCCATTGGCCGTCCTCGGGCGGCGTTCTATCGGGCGACGTTCTAGACGGAGAGAAACCCTCCTTGTGAAGGCCGAGAATATAGTCATATATGACGGGAAACAGTGAAAGAAACAGTGAATTGATGGTGTTGCAAAAGTTGTAAGGAATGCGAGGGCGTCGGCGTTCCGCCGGAGGCGCTAAGACGCTAGGCGTGGAGTATTTGGCTTGTAAAGACGGTACTGACAGCGCCCGCAACTCAGCCTAGTCCAACAACATCTCCCCGCGACTGTGCATATCCTGCTTTTGTTTCATGACGGAGTTGAGTACTCATACTCAAACACAGAGCACTTACCATGCATTATTTACCTCGTATTCAATCCATTAACATCCACTCTCGCTGACTACAACTCCAATCGAGACCTGTGACATGTGTCGCTCAATCCTCCTAGTCGGTCTCTTCTCATCTCTCATCCTATGCGCCGCCATCCCCCCATTCCACCTCTTCCGAGGTACCTTCTGTTGAACAGGCTGAGTTCCGGGCACCTTCGATGACATAATTACGACCCAAATACTCGATCCTAGTGCCCCTGCGAAGCGCCGACGCCCTGGCGCTCCTTTTGCTCCTTGCAGCACCATCCATTCATCAAACCCTCACTGTTTTTTGCTATATCATCGACCTAATGTTGAAAGATAGGGTCTTGCTGACGGCTGATGGCTTGCTGGCAAGTTCCGATGCGCTGGAGAGAAATCCTACAACTAGGGGGAAGATAGTTGCTCTTTTTGCCGTATAAATATTTCAAGACCCGACTCCTAGTGCTAGAGGTTAGACTCATCAGTACATCCTATTTTACCCTCTAACCATGAGCGTTGCAAAACACCATCGCTGGCAGCGGCCGCCACCTCTATGTGAGTGCGACTACCCATCATTACCTCATCTTTTGAACCCCCAGATGGGTGTTCAATGTGTTCTAAATAGCTCCAGCCACAGCAGGACCTCGAGACACGTAGACTGAGGAGGAGGAAGTATCAAAGGTACTGTACAGTACTTAGAGCATGTGTACAGAGGGCGTGTATCACACACGACGTGGTTCTGCATCGGCGACACAGCGTTCACATGATTTCGATCAACCTCCCTTGCGAAGTTCCGGCCACCATCTCGGGGTCCCAGGCCCGCCCCCGTGACATGTCTGGACAGTCATGGCGAGTCGGACGATCGAGACGCTGAAACAACCGACGGTAAATAGTTTTCCCATGTCTCGACCAGGGGCTTTTGGCCGGAGATGGTGTCGGGGACACATTGTGGGGGTGTCCGCGCGACCAAAGACTTGCCTCCGCTCGCAATGACCCCACACATTCACGCGAGTTTAAACACAGGGTGCTGAAGAGACAAGATATGGACTCAACTGGCATGAAAATTGAACCGCAAGACCTTCTTCAGATTTGACTCCGTTCCAGCGTTGCCTACTGGTTATCAGCACGTCCCCAAGAAGTCAACGCAGGGCGAACAAAGATGTAAGCAAATCTTTCCAATGTTATAGCATTCCTGACAGCTCCAGCCGTTCTGATAGGATGTGGTCGTCAGTGGCGGCGTTGTTGTTACTGTTACTTATTGCTCAAACCTTGAGGGTCATCTACAACGCGCCAAGAGATCCTCTCCGTGACGTTCCTGGACCATTCGCTGCAAGGTTCACTCGATTTTGGGAACTTTCCAAGGTACACCAGGGTGATTTCGAAAAGACTAACATCGGTCTGCACAAACATTATGGTTGGAGAATATCCTTATCTATATACCGATTTAGAGAAGGGCATGACTCACCAAGTGAGCAGGACCTATCGTCCGTCTCTCGCCTGGAAGGTATTCACTCTGTTCGGAGGATGCCGTGAAGAAGGTCTACGGGCCGGGGGCTCTTTTTCCCAAGAGCCAGTTCTACCATGCGTTTGGGAACCCCGATACTTCCAGAGCAGATCTTTTCTCGGAGCAGGACGTCCATCGGCACGCGCAGAAAAGGAGAAAGGTTGCGTCCTTGTACTCGCTTACGACACTTCTCTCGTACGAGGCATCCGTCGATTCGGTCATCATGGCGCTCGATGACACCTTTTGCGCGTTTGCATCAGCTAGGACTCTATTTGATGTCACCAAATACATGCAATTTTGTGCCTTCGATATCATTGGCGAAATCACGGTCTGTCCACAGGAGGTTTTGATGTCCATCTGTTGCTAACTTTCAATTTAGGTTGGTAAAAGCTTTGATTATTTGAAGAAAAGAACCGACTTCAACGGCATCATGAAAGCCCTCGACGATAGCAGCCAGTATGCATGTCGAGTTGGGCTGTTTCACGGCCTGCATTCCAAGCTTGCAGCAGTGGCGTCCACCTTCCATGCACCCATTCCATTTGACGTGATCTCAAAGTACCTCAAGTACCACATTGAAGGCCGCCAGAATGGCACGCTCGAGAGCTCTAGGGAGGATTTCCTAACAAAATTACTCCGCCTACGAGAGTTGGGGAAGCTCGAAGACGCGGATGTGTTCACCACTCTCGGCGCAAACATCGCGGCGGGATCTGAAACGACTGGTCTGACCCTAAGTGCGATCGTGTATTACCTTTCCAGACACCCAGAACACGTTGCAGCACTGAGAAAGGAGGCCAGACACGCTTACGAAGCCGGCCGAGTCTCGAATCCTATCACTTACGCCGAGGCTAGGGATCTGCCTTTCCTGAACGCTGTCATTATGGAAGCATTACGTCTCCATCCTGCAACAAATCAGATAATGAGCCGGGTTGTACCTCCGGCAGGGACACATATCGCGGGCAAATTTTTCCCCGGCGGCGTACGTATTTCCTTCCATCCATCCAGTGGTGTCGTGGCCGTGGAGAACTTCAGAGATTAACTGTTTCATGTCCCGAGAACCCTAGACTGAAGTTGGAGTCAACTCTTGGGTGCTTCATTACGACGGGAGTTTATTTGGCGATGATTGCAGCGAGTTTCGTCCAGAAAGATGGCTGAGTGGGAGTGAAGAGCAGCTCCGACGTATGAACAGGCATTGGATTCCAGTGAGTTCTGTATTTTCATTTCGGAGGCTGTCGTGACTAGGGCTCATCGATCCTACAGTTCGGCTCCGGCGCAAGAACATGCATCGGTAAAAACATCAGCCTGTTGGAAATCACCAAAATCATCCCGCAGATTTATCGAAAATTCGATTTCGAACTAGAGGATCCTAAGGAAGAATGGTCATGTGCAGGCTACTGGTTTGTGAAGCCGTCCTTCAATTGTCGCGTGGTTATGCGGGATGTCAATGATCGTTTTTGAGCTGCAGGAAAAAGGGCATATCACTGACAGATTTTCTTCCGAACTATCTAATAGTTACATGGTTGAGGGTTTGATGGCGGTTCCCGACCTCTATGTTAAATACAAGTCTATTCTCGCTCTTATAAGACCTCAGTGACTCGACCTTTAATCATTGTGCAGGTCTCAAAATGCCTGACACCCGCAGTACTCTACCAGATTCTGTAGCCACCCGGCTCCGTGGGTGGCTCGGGATCGTCCTTCGGCGCATCCATCGATGATTGAGAGCAAGGGGAAGAGGCGGATCAAGGGTAGACGGTGTCCCGAGTGATGACTAAGATCCGTTGGGCGCGAGACTCTTCGTCCGTATCGGGCCGAGTGGTGCCTAGCGGATAAGAGCCATTTGATACAGCAGAAGTGGAGTGTAGGACAACTATTCAACATTCTAGGGTCTCATCCGTTGCTTTCCACACCAGCATTTCTCGAAATGTGACGGGCTTTACTAGGCTCGTCTCCTTTTCATTGACGAGTTGGCACTCATCATTGGTGTGGCGCCTTAGGGGCGGGACAACTGTCAAGATAACCATGAGATTTCGTCCGTTGTCGTGCGGGCACTTTTCTATTGGTGGCTCAGTTCCGTGCGGCACGCACGAGTTGGGTGTATATAGTGTGCCTTGGATCTGCCCGAGAAAGCGACATCTCAGAAAGAAGTCCACGAGCCAAGACGATTCAAACTACACTGTATCCTAATCTGGCTGATAAACCAAGACCAATGGCCAAAACTCTTGCAGTATTCGGTGCAACAGGTACCCAAGGGGGCTCGGTGGTCAGCAACGTCTTGAGCGACCCTGAACTCTCCCAAAAATACAAGCTTCGCGCTATTAGTCGCGACCCCAACTCATCCAAAGCCCAGGCGCTCAAGGAGCAACAGGTCGAAGTCGTCACGGGCGATACGTCAGACTTGGCCTCGATTGAGCACGCATTGACGGGGGTTGACTTTGTCTTTCTTATGTCGACACCCAGCTGGGGTCCGAATGCGTTGGAGAACGAATTCAATATCATCAAATCTATTGCCGATATCGCTGTCCGAAAAGGAGTCGAGTACATTATCTTCAGCACGTTGCCGTCATGCTCCAAAATGTCCCAGGGTAAGTATACCGCTGTCACTGCCTTCGATGCCAAAGCACAGGGCGAAGAATACATCAAGACGCTGCCCATCAAAAGCGCCTTTTGGTGCGGTGGCTTCTTTATGGAGAACTTCGTGACCCAGCCATTTCTAGGCCCGAAGCCCAATGATGACGGTACCTTCACCCTGGCTCGAAACGCACCGGCGACGCTCAAGCTCCCCTACATCGATGCCACAGATGACGCTGGCAAGTTCGTCAACGCTATTCTAGCGGAGCCCGACAAGTACGTCGGCCAAACCTTCTGCGCCGCGGCGGGGTTTTATAGCCTGGCCGAAATTGCCACTCTATTGTCCAAGTCCTCAGGGAAGCAGGTCACCTTTAAACAGGTCTCGTACGACGAATTTAAGGCCTCTCTCCCCTTCATGGGCGACCTTTTCGCTCAGGGATTTGCTTGCCAAGCTGAGTATGGCTACTTTGGGCATGGAGGCGAGGATAAGGTGAGCTGGGCGACCAAGAACATCCATGGAAAGCTCACTACCCTTCCTGAATACTTCGAGAAGCATCCTTTCTCACTCTGATTGGTGACATTGATCCTGGATGCCGGCCACAAACGTCGAACCAGTCGAACAGCGGATCAGAGGTTCTGCATGTCCGGGAACGGGCAACTTAACTGGAGCGTGGAAGGCGAACACTGGAGGGAGGTACTACTTGTTGTGATATGACGCTCAACCGACTATCATGACACTAACAAAAGCCTTATAGAATCATTCCGCAAGCTTGGAAATTGTGAAGCGGCTTCTAGTATGTTACTTCTACATATATACACTTCTACTTCGTCCTGGGCGTACGGTTTATGTCCAAGTCCACCCTGTCTGCTCCTACCATCTTACTAGCCGCACTCCATCATACCAAGACGCCCAATTCCAACGACATCTACTAGACCATCTCCGATCCACACGAGCTTTCTCCTACTCCGCTCTTGGGCGAGTACTAGTCTTGGCTCCCTGCGTAACAGGCTTCTTCTTTCTTTTGACCTTCATGTTGTGGAAGCACCAAATGAATCACGGCTCCTGATTAGCGCATGCATCATCCGGACATCCATTATGGCCTGGTCGTGACGCTACATCAATTGCGTAGCGGTATTGACGTACAATTACACCCGTCGAGACTCTCAAAGTGGCTTGCTGGCCACCTGGAGCGCACCTCAGTCCCCATCTTTGTCAATGACGCGGACTCAACGAAGTAGAGGTAGCCCTAATGTTCGTAAGATGAGGAGGTTGCTCGTGGACGCGAGAGTAAGATGTAAGACCTGCTTCTCCGTCTCGTACTCTCTGCTGCACGTGAACAGGCATCTAAAGGGTCACTTCATGACATTTTCTGTACATATACGGTGTGTCTATAATCGATCCATACCTCAACATCGACTGCAGCATGAGTGCCCTGAGAAATGTCATCATCGTCTCCCTGGCATTTAAAGCTCTGGTCAGCCCTATCCTTGCTAGCCGGGCTACCCGAGTCGACATGCTAGAACTTCTGGATACTATGGACGGGGTAAGTACACCACTCGACACGTTGCTGAAATCACCGTCCGGTAAGAAGGAACCGGTTGTTAGCTCCACGGCGTTGTGGAAGCGCGAATGAATAGCCGCTACGGGAGCCAGCTGTGCAACGGCACCAACAGTACAGCGGGCCTGAAATGTACAAAGGCTCTTATCAAAGTAAAGCAACAGCAGGACAATTGTAACCTAACTCCTTCGCGGGCCCACTGGTTGCAAGCGGTCCTATATTGGCCACTGTTCGGGCGACCCAAACTCGGTCAGTATGGAAGCTGACAAAGACCATGTAAACAAGCTCATCGAGGATCTGAAGGACAAAATCGTTCATGAGCTCGTCGCCACTAACTGCGAAAGCTTGCCTGTGTGCACTCCAGTACTGAAGTGACCATGTTACTAGAGAGGTCGATGGGCTTCGACGACTATCTCGAGGCACGCACTATAAGACTCTGAACTTCGGTATTCCTTCCAGTAGTCAATGATCCTTGATGCATTCTTAGTCGTACTGATAAGGAGACGCTCCTATAATCCTAATTCGGGATCCAGCCCATTCAGCAAAGGGGAGCGAATTCGAGGCGGAATCTCCGAAGTTACCGCGACGTCTCAAAGTGGTGACCCGAGTGGTTAAAACCGCAGAATATCTGCTGATTTCATCCGGAATCTACCCAACCGCTTACTCCGTAAATATACACTAGCAAGCGTCGCTGTTTCCCTTTATCTACCAAAAGTCTTCATTTTTTGATTCAGTCATATCGAACAATCGACAACCCCGCCTCTGTTCTCCCCAAGCGGTCATCCAACGCCCACCATGTCCGAGCTTCTTGCCAACAAACCTCTCCTTGGCCCCTTGGTCGCCCTCAACATGTGGACTTTGACCATGGAAGCCCTGTTGTACAAACGAAGGATCCCTGCGCTTGCAAAGTACAACGTCACCTTCGACCCGGAGACCGTCAAGAAGCAGAAAGCAGAAAAGTTGCCGGCTTTTGTGCAATGGCCGACAGATAACTATAACAATTTGTTGGAACAGCCTACCCAATTCTACGCCGTCCTACTCGGATTAACCCTGCTCAACATCAAGAGCAAGCGAACAGTCTCTTTAGCCTGGGCTTATGTAGGCCTGAGAGTGTTCCATAGTCTGATCCATGTCTCTATCAACTACCCCACTCCACGCTTTGCTTTGTTTGCTACGAGTTCTTTCGCTCTGCTTGGACTCGTAGCTGAGGCAGCTTCGAAGCTTTTCTTCTAAGTCTTCAACTCTGCGAGACTCTACTGGAAAACAAGGAAAACAAGGATACATGGATATCGCAGGCTGTGGTGGACACTTCTTTATGTATGCAGGATCAGGAGTCGTAGGAGTGTCTCTCTGATTGTAATGCACCACTTGCTTACTTGAAACCGGGGGGATGGGGAGAGGCCGCAGTTCCGATGATGGGATCTCTCGCTCCACTGGAGGCGCATATGCAATTGGGCAACTGCTTATTAACAAGAGCACAGTCGCAGCGAGGATTTCTGTACGGCGGAGAGTGTGAAGCTGCGAAGTGTGTCTTGAGGATAGATTTGTAGACTCATAACGACGAGTTGTCACGGTCACAGTATGCATTTGTAAGATAGTCAATCATTTTGCGCCTCAAGCAGATCGTCGAATGGCTCCACGCGGCGCGCTGTGCGACGGCGAGAAAGCCCTCCCTTGGAACGCTCCTTTTGTCTATATAATAGATAGGGATCTCCCTCTCTCGGAGGGAGATCAGACTCGTCAATACATCCCATTTAGCCCCTCGACATCGCCTAGAACTGAGCGTTGCATGACAATTTACCTTGTACCGCAGGCCTCCCTTAAAGAAAGTGTTAATTCAGGCTCTTGTTCAACAGTACAAATATATCAGGAAGGTGGTCTGAACTCGGTACTGTTTATAGATAAAGATAAGGTTGTCATAGATTCACAGTGTAATAAAGACACAAGTGAGGTCACGAACTGTAAAGTTATATTTTGATCAGTGCTTATTAATAACAATATCTTTCAGTATTAGGGACCACTAAATCCACTAAGAGAGAGTTAGCTAAATAAGTTGAAAATTATAGACCTAAAGACAAGTAAGTGACAGTCAAAATATATATAGTAGACCTCATTTCTATTCTCTGTCTTGATGTTAAACCTAATAGTATAAGTAAAGCCTGTGAAGAACCACTTAGTGACAGTATATATAGTGTTGATGATCAGTCTCGGCTTTACCGCGCTTTTCTCTAGCTATAGATAGCTTGTGGCAATATAAAACCGGAGAAAGTCTTTTACAGTGACTAAGTCAGATGCAGGGACTCCCTCAGCCAAATAACACACACAGATTATAGCTTCATCTAAAGAAGCGAGCCCTTGTCAGTCATAATCTTCTTGTAGGATTTTGTGACACCACCTGAAAATGGCGTGTCAGGATTATCTTATAGTGTGGAATAAAAACATAGAGAAAGAGAGATAGAAGGGAGAACAAAGAATTATTCTAGGCTTCTTATAAAAGATATCGATATAATGTTCGGTCCTGATTCTTCTTTGTCTTAGAAATATATTTCTCTGCATTATGGACCTTGTCTATCTTGTTGTGTGCTCCTCTCTTGTAGCCATTAGCTTTAGCACGAGCCCACAGCTTGTTTGTCGTGACTTTCTGCCTGCCCATGGTGGCTTAAAAGAATGAGAAGTTCGGCCTTCGTCGATTGTGAAGCAACAATGAACGGAGCCAGAAGGGATAGCCGCTGGAGGCTGCAGGAGTTGAAAGAGAATATTGTGGCCTGGACGCCCACAGGCGAGAGGGACGCCATTTTGTACCCAGAGTCGGCGGGTCGACGAGAGAGGAGGGATGCAGCAGTCTTGAAAGTCAAGACCCCTTTGTGGGGATCCAACAATGAAGTCCCCCTGGTTGTCGCCAATTATAGAACTCATCTTGGGACGGGACGTACAGTGCCAGGGGGACTGCAGCAGGTATCAGAACGGCGCTGCGACGGTGCGTGCGAGCGTGAGTGGGAGGGTGAGAAGAAAGTGAGAAGAGGGTGAGTCGCGAGCACCTGGTCTTAAAAGCGGCACGGTCTGCGCGAGCGCGCTATGGGTCCTTGTGGGTGTCCGAAGAGAAAACAGGGCGTGGTCACAGCTTGTATTGACATCAGTATTGTGTTGTAAGGATGCAGTCAGAAGACGCAAGAAGAGATCTATGTAACTATGCTATTCCCAATAGGGAAGTCACACCTTGGCACAACCCAGGAAAGTGCCTCGCGAAACAGGAAAGTGCCCCGACGGCGCAACAGCGCCGAGAGCTCGGAGCAGTTGGACCGTCGCTTCTGCTGCCAAGCCAAGCAACTTGAGCTCACCTGCTGCTGCGACCTCAAAGACGACTCACGAACTTCACCCTCGTTGCCCTCCAGCAGAAAAGTCGCTCTCCACTCATCACCATGTCCTTCCAACGTGTTGGTCTGCGCTTTGCGCAGCAGATGCGTGCCTTTGGCCCTCGACAGACTTTCCGATCCAGCCTTCAACAACGGTTCGCCAGTACCGCCCCGACTCCTCCTGGACAAGCAGGAAGCAAGTTGGTCGGACCCCAGGACAATGCTTTCAACCGGGAACGAGCTGCAGTGAAGGCCCACGCTGCTGCAACAAGTGGTGAGCGGCACTTTTGGACAGAAATCGAGGGCCCATGGCTAACCGTTCGATGCAGATCTCTGGCGTAAACTCTCCATCTAGTAAGAACCTAAAGGAGGAAGACAACAACCACGCAAACTAACTCTTGGGCAGTGTCGTTGTCCCTTGCCTGATTCTCGGATCGATCAACGCCTGGAACCTGTGGAATGAGCATTGGGAGCATTGGGAGCATCTGCCTCCCTTGGAAGAGCGTGTCGAATATCCCTATCAAAACATCCGGATGAAGAATTTCTTCTTTGGAGATGGTGACAAGGTCAGGGAAAGAGAGTCTTCGAGCGAAAACAGGCATGCTAACAATACCCATGTAGACCCTCTTCTGGAACGACAAGGTCAACTACCACCACAAGGACAAGCAAACGTAGATGTGAAGCTGGCCAGGAGGGCTGGGCCAATTCTGTCAAATGGCATCCTCCAAGATAAGAAAGAATCAAAGTCATTACAGCTGAAATGGTCGATCAATCCTTCATGTTTCTATATCATCCACGGGCATGATTTTCGTTCCAGACCGCCACCGACATCAGACCCGCTGAGCCCTATATTGCTTCGCTAGTTCGAGATACTGTGTGGCCATATCGTTTGCTAGCACTAAATCACCTCGCCAATGCATGATTGTGGCTTTTTTCTTCAGCATCTCCAGCTGACCTTTGAGGTCCTCAACACGCCGGAATTGCTGATATGAGTGATCAACGTTCTCCACGGCTTTGCCGATAAACTCCTTTTGTTTTGTCGACTGGTCAATTTCTGCCCCAGCCATGCCCATGTTCGCGTCGGCCAAGAGCCCAAACGACCGCCCTGCCATATAGCAGTCCTGGAATTCGAGTACCCGCGGTAGAATGGACTCCAAAAGATCCGCCGCCGCACTAAACTCGTGCAGTTCGTTGAGGATATTCGCCAGTAAGCCGATCGACTCCCATAATGCCGGCAAAAGTCTTCCTCGAAATGCAATCTGAGATGCCCGCATGACGAGCGAGAAACCCTTAAGTGGGAAACCGCTTTCAGCCAGGATCCTTGCTTTCAGATTCAACAGCTGCGTCTGGATCGCAATATCGCTGATCTCCTGATCGGGTTTCCCTACCGCGGCCTCAACCCGGTCGAGTGCTTTCGTCAAATTGCCCTGGCGGATCAACAGATCAATCTCGAGCAGCGCCAACGTGAATGCCATTTCGGCCTCAGGCACGCCCTGGCCCCTCAACCGTTCAAGCAGGTGTTCCGCGGCGGTCAGATCTTCCCGGTGCAGAAATCTTTTCGCCTTCAACGTGCCGGCATAGATTGTGAGATATTTCTGATACTTCAGCACCCTCGACACATCCGACGGCATGCTGTTCAGCACGTCTGTAGCCTCATCGTACCGTCCTCGGTGTGCAAGCAATCCTGCCGTGCGACATCTGCACTTCAGGACGTCTTCGAGAGGCGCATCTTGTGCATAGCACTGCAAGAACGCTTGTCCCGCCCACCAACTCATATGTGTCAGACCGGCACGGCTGTACGTCGCGCTCCTCATGAGCATCAAGGGCCCCGTCACGCTCTGGTCGGCCTTGACAGTGTTCAAATAACTTGCCTTGGCAATGTTCTCGAACACAACGGCAAGACTATCGCCGTACTGCAGTCCCAGCTTCGCCTCGCTAAGCAGTGACGTGCTCAGAAGGGACCACATCTCAGCGTCTTTGGCTCGTGCCTTCAAGAATGCCAAACCCTCGACCTCATTGCCCAGGATCCCCGAGGTGACAATGTGCTTGCGCTGCCCCGGGAACGACCGACCGAAATGATATACCCAACTCATACAAAAGTTGAGGCAAGGAACATCTTTGTTTTCCCGGGCGACGGCAATGGCCTCCTGCATGGCTGGGAGCGCTTCGGCGTAGGAGCCAGAATCTGCCTGTAGGATTGCCAGGTTCAGCAGGGCGTACTGATAACAGGCGCGTTCTCTAGTTTGCATTGCGTAATCGAAGTACCGGTGTAGATTGTCCAACGCAGACGAGAAGTCGCCGGCGCGCCAGGAGTCCAGAAAGGCTAGATAGTGACCTAGTTTGGGAATCACGGCGCCCGCCTTGCCCATCGTTTCGAGACGGGTCTTCATCCGGTCGGGAAGCCGGCTGCCTAGGCGCTGCATTTCGGCGACCTGAAATTCCATGAGCTTCTCGACATCGTAGGTGCTGAAGACACCATCGCGGGGAGGTTCCTCTTCGGCAAGACGCGCATACATTATTCTCGCGATGGGATGAGTGGAGTCGATATGCATTCCTGACAAGTTGGCATCCAGGCTGGACGTAGACTCGGCGGGGTGTTTCTTTTCAAAGGCTTGGCGAGTTGGAAGGCGGTAGGAGATGAAATCCTGCCACAGGGCGATGCTGTCTTGAAACTGGAGACGGACGTATTCTAGATGGCACCGCCGGATGAAAGCCCCCAGGGGTGAAGTACCCAGGATGCGGCCATTTGTTTCCTCCGGTTCCTCAGAGGGTTCCCGCTCACGATCACGAAGGATTTGATCTCTCGTCTTGGCGAGAAGACACGGCAGATTCGTGATAAATGCATCAAGAGCATGAGCACAGTCAATTGCCCATAGGTATTTTAGAAGAAGGTCGTATAGTGTCCGACCTGGCCTGGCCGAGTCGTGGCATGCCAGCGTGGACTCAAAAGCTGATATCGGCAGCGAAGCCTCAAGACCTTCGGAAGATAACGTGGCGCCGGAAGCCTTGTCTGCTGGTAGAACATTCTTGAGCAAGAATCTCAGGACATTTGTGGCAGCATCGTGAGGCACCACATCGTCCTCGGTGTACAAGTAGGCCACCACAAGTAGGGTGATCTTGGCGGGAGTAAGATAGCGACCCATAGTGTGGTCATGGGAGACTGTGGGAGCGTTTTATCCAGAGGTCATCGAGATTCTTGACTTTCAGATCAGCCATGCTAAACTCCTGCGCATTTCGATTCTTGTTTTCCGATGAATGGGTGAAATTTATGTTGTGCATTGTACGCACCATGTTGACTCGCGTAGTAAGTAATAAAGTGTTATCCCGGCGCGTCGGGAACCCTGATTGGCCCCGACGTGAACTTTTGTTTGCTCCGAGAACGAGCACAGTGACGTCTTTGCCTTTCGTCGAGACCGTCATCTCAGCGACATGCGAAAACAAAAACCCAGCTCGTAGTTCACAGCGGTGTAAAGGTCGACCACTACAGCAGCGTTGATTGTCTGTGGCGGAATGCAATCGACGGCATAACCTCTAATAGCCAGATACAATGTTCATCCCATCAGTAAGGCGCTGTGCGCCTAGCATCTGGAAGAATACGCAGGCAGAGATGGCGAGGGCTACGAAATTTGGTGAGCATGAAAGCTGAACAGACCTCGCGAGCAGACGAGGAAATTGACGGGATGATCCAACAGCTCTCAACCTCGAAGGACTGACTCTTCCCACAACGCCCAAGCCTATCTTCGATTTCGCAGATCCCGAAACCATTACAACCCTTAAAACGATGACCGACCGATCGGTAGGAGGATTTTCGACGGCTGAGCTCGTCCAAAGGCCTGCCGACGCCGCCAGCCAAACGCCTGCGCACATTCTATTCCGTGGAAATATATCTACAAAGCTGCCTGCAAACAGACCTGACATCAATCGGACAGGCTATGCGGCGTGGCGAAATCAAGACCGAGGACGCACACTTTTCGGCGAGCTGTTTTGGAGCGTAGACTCGTACATGTATCTGGCGCTGAGAGTGAAGAGCGACGGGAGAAAATACTTTGTCAACATACAAACAGACTCAATTGTCGAGTCAGACATCCACCAGCACCGACTGTATACGAAATATCACAAGGGTGCAGAAGGGCCAGATAGTCCCGCGCAGTGGGAAACAGTCTGGATCAAACTGCACGAGTTTGTGCGAACAAACCACGGTGTTGTAACAGAACCGCAGTCAGAAATGCTACGGCAGAAAGTGAAGAGCTTTGGCATAGGTCTTATAGACAGACAGCCAGGCCCGTTCGAGCTGGGCGTGGCGGCAATGTGGGCTACAAATCTGAATGAGCGCGGACAGGTTGATGGACGGACAGGTTGGGAACACGGTGACCAGGGCAGTGCCAGGCTAAGCGAAGTGACGGCTGAAAAATTAGCGCAGAAAGAGGAAGAAAAGAGAAACCTACCACAACAGAAGAAGGGCTTCCGCGAAAGAGTGCCACACTTTGGCAAAGTTGGCACGCACGACACATCGGGTGTGAGATGAGTGAAAGCTCAGCGGAGTATAAGAGAGGACACATGGAATTACCCGCGAGCCAACCGAGAAGAAACACGTGGAAAGTGATTTGTCTTGAACAAAAATCTGAGAAGAACCGATTTATAGCTCTTGGACAGCCTCCTGCAACGACTTGCCTACGAGGATTTGAAAGGCTTCGAGGTATTTGGCGCGAGTCGCCTGTACCACATCTTCCGGCATAGAGACACCCTCTTTGCCTTTCAAGCCGTTCTTGGTCAGCCAGTCTCGGAGGAATTGCTTGTCGAAACTGTCTTGACCTTGGCCGAGCTTGTACGTGGCCTTGGACCAAAATCTCGAGCTGTCTGGGGTCAGTACCTCATCGATGAGGACGACCTCGTCCGTTTCTTCGTCCAAGCCGAACTCGAATTTCGTGTCTGCAATTATGATGCCCTTCTCTTTAGCATAATCCCTTGCAGTCTTGTAGATCCTAAGTGAAAGCTCTTCGATGCGCTGCGCATACTTCTCTCCCACGATCTGCGCCGCTTGCTCAGTCGAGATGTTCTCGTCATGTTGACCGAGCTCGGCCTTTGTGCTGGGCGTGTATATTGGCTCTGGGAACTCTTGCGACTCCTGTAGCCCCTCGTGCATCTTCTTGCCATTCACCTCACCGGTTTTCTTGTATGAAGACCACGCCGAGCCAGTTATGTAGCCTCTGACAATAGCCTCCACGGGGAACACCTTGAGCTTGCGCACATGCATACTACGGCCCTTCAGCCTGGATACCTGGTCTTGTGGGATGGACGAGGGCAGATCGAGGGAAATGAAATGAGTTTTGAGGTCTGGGATTTGGCTCTGGAGATAGCGGAACCAGTGTGCAGTCATCAGCGTGAGGACGAGTCCCTTGTCTGGAATTCCCTAGGTACCAAAGTCGGTGAGCTGACGGTGCAATCAATCAGTAGCAGAGCGCACATTTTCCATGATAACGTCGTAGGCCGATATTCTGTCCGAAGCCACGAAGAGCAGTGATTTCGAGTCGACACTGTACAGCTCTCGCACTTTTCCCGAGGCAACAAGCGGCAGGGCGTTGCCGAGGTCTGCCTTTACGAAGGCCATCTTTGCTGGTGCTCGCTTCGTTGATCAAGGGAAAATTCTTTCTCCGAAATGTGCAGAATCGAGCATGCGAGGTACCCGAGTCAAGCAGCAAATTCTGCGTCATTGGCCTGGGCAATCGACGCTAACAAAAAGTCTGTTTGAACTTCTGTACATGAATTAGCGTCCACACGTGACATACACGTGATATCAGAAAGAAAGGCCGCGTTTATCATCCAAGAACTTGCCTTTCTTTACAGTACCAATGTACATAATGTTTGTCTCGTCATCGTCCTACGCATGTGTTGTTCCCGGGACGAGGGTTCGAGCTGTGAGCTTCGCGTCTTGATCCCCAGTCCACGCACGATGTTCTACATGCTTGTAGCCTTGTTTTTGGACCAGTTTCTGATCAGCAGAGTCCATCTGTTCATCTAGGGTCCGACATTGATGCACCGTCAGCGCCTTACGCTCATGAACGCGGCTCTGGGTCCATATAAATGAACCTTTGTCCTTCACATCGGCTTTGGAGGTGGTTGATACTGATGAGGGTCTCGCTATGCTTATCACGACTTCTGTCTGATTGTCAGTATGATGTGCTTCAAAGGTAGGTGTCTTGCTACATCAGATACACTGAAACCTCTCCCAGAGGGTGATGGGCCTTTGGCAGAGCCATTGACAGTGTGGTGTTCTCCCCCTCCATCGTGCTCTGCATGTCGGTTTGGAAAACGTGGTCGCCTGCCCGCGAAATCACCTTCATTTAGAGGTGTCAGCGTTCACCGATACACACTGTATACTGCCCTGTGTTGAATGCAATAAGTGACCGCGGGCGAACGCCAAGCATCCCCCGCCCGCCCCCCTCCGTTTGGAATCTCAGTCCACTCGCCTCACTTTTGTCTGCCTCTCTCATCACTGAATCTCTGTTGTCTACTTGTCTCTTGTTGTTTGGTGAGTATAAAAGTGCTCATACTCTCCTCCAAAGGTCAGTATCTCCTTCTCTTCTCCTGAAGCAGCTTCCTGGCTGATTTACAACTGATTCTAGCCTCGAGAAGGTGTATTTGGCCCTCTAGGATGGCATCCCGCCTTGCTTCATCCTCCAAGAGCCCACCAAAGAGGGTGAACATGCCTCATCTTCCTCTCCCGCCCCCGTCAGCTCGCTCAAGAGCTTCATCCCCTCCTTCTCCGTCTTCTGGGCGTGATGTGGGGGCTCTGGACACCGAAATGGGCTTCCTATCAGTCGGAAATACCACTACACGTCCTGGTAAGTGCTTCTACTCCCTTTTACGGCGCTCAGGGTCTGCGGTCCAGCGAGATCGGCGGGTTCAAGGGTTTTGGGAACCATTCAGCGGGTGAAATGCCTTCCTCGACTTCCTAAATCCAGAATACAAGAAACCTGGAGTATGCTAACATCTACGCATTTCTAGGCTCTTCGTCAGCAACCTCTACTCTTACTGGTGCTGCTATTGCTCCTTCTCAGGAGGATGATGTCTTTGCTTACGTTCCTCCGAGCGGTCCTGCTGCCCTTCGTGCCGTTTCTGGTCATGTTCCACAGCGCATTTCTCCGAGCTTCCGTGCCCCTAATGCCTTTGGCAACTTCGAGCCTCGTCCAGATCGTGTCTTACAGACTCCAAATGCAAGAAACGCGCAAGGAATGTTTCCTCCTGAAGCGCTAATTTTCGTTGCGAAGTAAGTAGAACAGAGAGGAACTAAAAATCACCTTACTGACAACCGCAAAGCCTCTCGAGCGGGAGGACCATCGACCAGCTGGAACAGTCCTGCCACGAAGCTTTTGACAAGTTCGGTGCTTGCCATATCTTTATCAAGTACGACCCCCGGCAGCATCCCTTTGCTTTCGTTCAGTTTGAGGTATGTTATAGCCGGAGAATGAGCACTTTCCTCTTCTTCTAGGCTAACAGAGGCTGTAGAACATTGACGATGCAAATCAAGCGATGAGCTACACGACAGACCTTGAATTAGACGGCCGCAAGATTCGTTTGGAGCGTGGAAAGGCGGACCGTGAGTCTATCATACCTTTCCGTTGCACTCAAATGAGTCAACTTCATGCTAACAGGATAAAAGGTGCTGTCATCCTATCCAAGAAAGATGGATCTCCTATGACAGAAGCTGAAGCTCGCGGAGTGCTTGAACCATATGGGAGAATTGAGCTCTGTATACCTGCGGACAGCCGTCACCTGAGCATCAGTGGGATGTACATCAAATTCGCCTTCTATCTCGATTGCCGTGATGCTCTGAAGGTAAGATTGACCATATTACGTCCTTAAACCCAGCGGAAAAGCGTACTGATCCACGGAATCAGGGCCACAACAATGCGAAGAGTCCCTTCACTGTCGTTCTTGCTCCGGCAATGGAGCCACGTTTCCATCTTGGTCCTGATGGATTGCCTAAAGTCCGTGGCTTCGCGAGCCCCCGTTCTCTCATGGACGCAAAATCCATCTTTGTCGGCAACTTACCTGAATATGCCACTCGCCATGAGGTTGAATCTCTGTTCCAGGAATACGGCAGCATTCTGCAGACCAATATCATCAAGAAGACCTTTGGTAAGTCCAGTCCAGTCCATTCCACTCACGGCTTGTGTTTGTGCAGCCGCTAATTCACGTTAGCCGACGGAGGAATCAACGTGTTTGCATTCATCGAATTCGCCCATCCCCACGAAGCAGATCGAGCATCTCTAGCCGATGTAAGTAGATTTCTCCACATACAGTCCCTTAGTCTTCCTACTCGCCTACGTACACACTTACGTACGCAGTCTCCTTGGTCTCTCTGAGTGTATGTGGATGTACTAATTCAACCCCTCCCAGCATGACCTACATGGCCACAAGCTCCGGATCGAGCCCAAAGAATATTCGTCTCGTCGAGCATCTCGAGTCAACAACGAGAACTTGATCGTCCACGCCCCTCGCTACAACTACGCGGGTACAATGAATAAGGGACAGGTCTACGACCACATTGCTTCGTCCTCGGCGCGACAGGTCTACGCCTCCACCACGTCGGCTCCGTACCCTCCACCGGCTCCGACTTTGTACAATGCACAGCCTGTCTTCAACCCAATGACACAGATGGTGACTCCTCCTCACCACAACTACGGCACCCACAACAGCCACGCTTACGGCCACGGACCCCAGAACAACATTGCAGGCATGCCAGCTGGCCCAGCGCCGCCATCATACCAGACCCCTCCCTCCTCATCCAACTACGCTCAACACATGCTCCCACCGGGAATGTTCAGTCCAACCCCACCGGGTAACAACTACGGCTGCGGTCCATGGTTTGCCAATAGCTCACGCTACGCCGGCAGGGAGAGATATCCCAACGAAGGTACCTATTATCGCTAGGATGACGGCGGTCCATCTATTCGGGGGCTGAGGCCTATGAGTTAACTATGACCATAGCATACCACAGGGAGTATGTGGATGGACTGATGGGTGGGTGAGCGGTAGTGCGCACGTGCTTGCTTGAGGTTTACATTCTCGAGCTCGATGATTCCATCCGGACCATCTTCACATGTTCGATTTCTTTTTCCTCTTTGTTTTCCCCAGACTCAAGCAATCGTCCGATCACGACGGCGGCTCCCTCTGACACTTACTCAGCAAATGCCAAGGGGTGCATTAGATATGCGATGGCTGGCGTGGCGCTATGGAAGCTGTACATAGATCGAGACACACAGACGTAACATACCAAGCTCGGTATCATTCAATGCACTCTCACATGCACTCACACATCAGCTGTGTCTTTCATGAGAGAGACAGAGAGTGTGAGTGAGAGAGGAGAGCAGAGTAATATGAATACTCTTTTCCACCTGATTACCAACAGTAGCCACCACCTCCCGTTCCACTTCCACATCACAGGCACATCACCAGGCTCAAGCACAGGTTCAAACACATGCACAGGGAGAACCCACAACTTTACAAGCGCAAGCATCATCATCATCATCATCACCACCACCACCACCACCAACAATCGATGACACCCCAAAAGCATTTCCCCAATCAGAACATGCTTGCTGCTGCTGCTGCTGCTTCCAAAGTCCAGGTCTAATCAGGATCTTCTTACTTACTACTTACTGCAGCTTCCGTTTGCAAAGTCTAGTTCCATCATCACCTCCTTGCTGCCGCCGCCGCTTCCAACATCCAATTGCTCCCACGACGGCAGCCATCCTGCCTGCCCAGGACTAACGATCGCGAGAACGCAGGGTGCCGATGCTGATACTGACAACGAGGCCCTCCTGGTCGCTGACAGCAAGCACCACGCCGCACCGCCCGGGAGGGTCTCTTTCGACATGTCCCCCTCGATTCCATAACTGGTTCTACTGCTGTTTCTAATGTCTAGTTCTCTCGGCGGTTACTGAACCAAGTACAGCACTGAGAGTGAACTGACAACAAGTAGATACCTGGTGGACATCAAAACTCGGAAACTTCAAACGTAGATTTCAGGTTTCTTCGTTCTTCAGCACATGGACTACAACATCAGAAGCTGACACAGGAGCCTTGAAATTTTTACATTTGTGGAATCCCTTCACTTCACCTCAATTCAACGTGACATCTCGCACAGCTAACCCCTGAATCAGACCGATCGCGTCATCTCGAATCTCCCCTATTCCCACTCTCTCCTTGACTCCCCCAGTGCTGCTGCTACTGCCACTGCCGCTACTACTAACCATCTCTCCGTCACCTAGAGGTCCAACAAGCATGACCTTGACAAACTTCTGCCCTTCTTTCGACCTCATCCCCCCTTTCTCTGTCTTCAGCCCATCGATCACCGGCCTGAGCGTCTCTTCGCAATGCTGCGGATAGAGGTTCTCTAAATGCATGGATTGAATCACCATTTCCAGCTCATCCCAAAACGAAGCCGCCAAGTGCCTTTCGACCCCTTCAACAAAAGCCCCTCGATCGGAGACCATGTTGATATACGTCTCCGCGATGACTCGCTCATACGACAATCTCTTGTCGTAGCGCGCAGACACCATGCCTAGATTCAGTCCGGCCTTGGCCAACTCAAGCATGTATTCCCAGGTAGTGTGCCGCTCGCTGCGGGAGCGCCAGTCACCTTCGACGGGGCCGGCCATCAGCGCGACTTCGATCTTGAGGCGGGGAGCACCTGCACTTGGGTCCAGGGTGGTGATGTCCTTGTCGTACTTTCTGACTGTCTCAAAGAATTCTTGGGTGTGCGACCACGCAGCGCCGATGTGGGTACCGTCCGGCGCGTAGAGATGCAGTGTCGGTGCGGATGGGAGAAGCAGCCGATCGTCCCGTGGTGGAAGAGACATCTGCCCGCGGGGGTTCAGAGACGAGATTGATACGTACGCAGTCAGAGTACGGAAGAGCAGCGTCTGCTCATTGATGGTTGGTTTGCAGGAATACATAGGCCAAGGCGGCTCCCGGGAAGAGGATGCAGCATTGTTGCCACTGTTGCTCTGACAGAGTCTCCAGAGCAGGGATGCGAGAGCACCGGTCTCAGGAGCAGTTTGCCTTTCGGGTCCACTTTGCCCGACGATGTCTTTGTCGTGCTCCCTTTCCGTTCGAAGTGTCTCCTGATAGCGCTCGTCGAGACGACGTCTTAATTCTTCTTCTTGCGCAATGACCGTCTCTTGTTGCGGCGCATATCCAGACGAGAGCAGCTGAAACTTGCCTAAGGCGTTTCTGTATATATACCAATCGATCCAAGACGTTCGATGCAGCCAGGTTTCCTCGGTTGACCATTTGCTTTCCCTGTAGCATATTACGGCTCCTTTCCAGCCTGCCCAGCACCAACTGGGGAATCCAGGACGTCGGACAAGCCATTTACATGGCATCCAAAGCATATCCAGCCCCATGTACTTTTCGATTAGCCCCCAACAAATTTTCAACTGCTTTTCCTCTGCTTCTTTGATGATCCCAGTGAATGCGGAGAGGATGTCCTCCTCAAACGAAAGATTCCTGTCGAGGTAGGTTTCCACGTATCTGTTGAAATCAAAGCGTGTCCAATAATCTACCGACAGGCCAACAGCCTTGTGCAGTACAGGCGGTTCCCATCCCATTCGACTTCCGGCCCATTCACCCTAGTAGCAAACCAGACCTCTTTGTAAGTGCTCTTGAGCGATATCTTCTCTCCATCTGACTGTGTTGCATTGGTAGACGACCTGTCCGTCAACAAAGAGCAGTCTTCTCTTCGCGAAGAAGTATTCCTGGTACGTCCAGGCGCGTGTTGCCCACGTGGAACGTTTGATGCGTTGGTAGCTGATTGGAAGTACCAGTTTCAATCCGTCTGAAATGTTCGTTACAAGCTGTAAAGCTCCTCGCGAACTGGGTTGTACTCCGGGGAGACCGGCGTTGGAATCAGCGCCTGTGGCAGCAAACAGTGTCAGATATGCATTCTCGTAGACCGTGTGCATCGAATTGAGTAATTTTTCCTTGAAATCCGCATCGTCCTGAATAATGCATAGAGTATCCAACCAGAGATATCGCTCTCCAAGCATCTTGACAAACTCCATGGCATCAAGGATTACCTTTGGTAGCTAATGGTGGATCGTACCAAGCCCATTACGTACCAAAAAGCTTTCCATGTTGTCTTTGCTTGTCTTTGGCTGTTCCACTTGGCCCCAGACATAGCTGAGAGCTATATAGCGCGCATTTGGCGGTAGCACGACGAGGCATTGATCTTCAAGGTCAATTACAATGATCTGGTCACGAATCCGGCGGAACTGTGGCGTCTCTTCGTGTCGACACCTATCCCCATGCTTGCTCTGGCACTAATCGAGCCACTGTCGGATGCGACCAATCTCGACTCTCTCCGGATCCACAATGCGGCCTGGGAAGCACCCTGGATACCTATGCGATTCGACTGGGAGAAGCGAGATGTCATGCGAGGATGTCCAGTCGTAGTGCACCGCAATTTCTAGACGCCGGACGTTGTGGGTTTTCGCAGGATGGCCGGGAAGTAGGGTCAATTTGATCTCGCAGGTATTTGGTGATTCAGACGACTGCCATTCCAAGCGAGACAACTCGACAGCGCGCTTGATCATTTGACAAAGACCACAATTTTTAGCGGCGTCGATATGTTGCCATTCACGGGTATCAATAGTTATGGGGTCGTCGATATTACTTGGGTTTGCGGTCTCTTTGACCTCTTCAGCTGAAAGGCGGAAATGTGCGGCAGTGAGTTTGAGCCCAGCGCACCGAGTGCACAGATTTGGGTCTGGTGAGTCCAGTTCCTGAGCCCATTCCGACCAGATTGATGTTATTACACTGGGTGGGGAAATGAACGTTGTAAGGGGAGTGGGAGGATCTGGTCGCTGCCGCCGCAAGTGGAACCATTTCGACGTCCGAGACGAGTCAACTTTTCGGTTTCGATGTCGCCGCAGCGACGATAGCAATTTTTGCATGGTGAAAGGAAACAAGACTGCACGAAGCAAGGGGGGATGTCGCTGGGGATCGATCTCAGTACAGGTGGTCCGTCTTTTGAGGTCAGTCAAGCTGGCGGTTCCCAGGGGTGTGGAGGTGTGCAAGGCGTAGGTCTGGACACCTTTCTGTACAGTACGTACACGGTATGATTGAACATTGCTCAACGCTGTTACGAGGGGAAAAGGAGGCTGAGCCCAGGAACGCCACGTTTTGGCGCCGGAAGAACCATCAACGAATGCCATTAATTTGTCCCCTGCGGAGCTCATTGATCTGAAACCCCTTCTTGCCGCCTTGTCAAATTCGAGGGAGCTTTTGCAGAAGGCTTTGCTGGGAGCTCACATTAGGTTGAGTCTGCTGTGCCCCGTGCGGCCTTCGGAAAAAGAACGACAAGGAATGAGAGAGACCGGTAAAAAACCTCAAGGGAGCGCCGTGGTGCGGTCAGCGACCTACCGATCAGCATCTGGCATCTCGAAAAACTGTTAGCTGGCCATCGAGGAAGCAGTGAGGTGCAACAAGGTCCAACCAATACTTTAAATTCGTCGACGTGGACGGATCAAGGCGACCCTCAAAGCGTGTCCAGCAAGGTCCTAAGTACAGCGTGGTGCATCCAAGCATCCAAATGGTCATATCTCGTACATCGTCATAATCGTCCGTCTTGCATCTAGATCAGACCTAGGTCTGGATCATGGTGGGAGGGGTCTCAGGGTTTGCGCCTGAACTAGCTTGCAAGTTCTCCAGCAGCTCTTCAGACATGCTGTCCAATTCATCCTCTTTCATACCTGTTGCAATAGCCACCAACTTACGGTGCTTTCCAACCTTCTCACCTGTTCCAGCCTCGCCCATAAGCTTCGCAATCTCTGAGATCCAATACTTCCTCATGGCCTGCTGCTGATTGAGTTCGATCGCCCAAGGCAAGGACGCGCGCATCTCATCAGCTGACAGAGGTTGAGGATTCGTAAACCTGAATGCCTGCGGGTTGATCTGTTGATCTTGTTGGAAGATCTCCTGTTGGAGTGTACCGTGTTCTTTCTGTTCAAGAAGGGACTGAATCTCATTCAAGCAGGCGTCGTACTGCTGTCGCAACGCGGGAATCTTGGATGCATCTTCCGCCTTGGCCATCAGAGTGAAAGTCTCCTGCCGGATCTTGTGTCGCTGAGCTTCAAAATCAGACAAAGCCTGCTTAGCTTCGGCAATCTCCGTGTCCTTCTCCTTCATCTGAGAGTCATACATCTCTGCCAGCTTGTAACTGCCTTCGTCCATGAGAGGACCGATCTTATCAAGAACGAGGGACGCGGCTCGTGAGACGGCATCTTTCTGGCGCTTGCGTCGAGCTTGTTTAGCAGTGAAAGACTCGCCGGTTCTGGGGGGAGAAGAACCCGGTTGCTGCAGGCTCTCTTTTTTCTCACGGAGCGCTCTGAGAAAATCATTGGCAGTCTCCTGTTTCAAGTTGGGGATCTCGCCAGCTTCGGGACAGTGATTAAGAAGAAACGTGGCGACCTTGACACATCCATTGCGGATAGCGCACAGAGCTGCAGTGTCGTGGTTGACATCGATGGACGTCAACAGGGCGTGAACGTAATTGGATCCCATTTCCTGCATCTTGTTGATCAACACTTCGCAATAGTATCGAGCACAGCTCCATTTGCCTCTCAAACGTGACGACTCGGCAATGTGGTGGAATACAGTGGCGCCGTGCCAATCTCTTTCAACAATTGTGCCAGAGAGAGCTTGGACAATCTTCGGAAACGTGCGCTTGTCGTAGTTGTTGGTGAACAAGACGGCTCGAATCAAAGGGGTCTCTCCACCGCTGGTGTTCGGAGCCGCGGGATTCGCACCTCTTGCCAGCAGATCGCGGGCGATTTGCACATCACCCATGGCACAAGCCCAGTGTAGAGCATTATTTCCCAAGTTGTCGATGGGTCTGTCAACCGAAAAATTCGCAGGTGGTTCCGGTGGAAGAATGTTGGAGGACGCAGGGTCGTCACCGGCCGTGACGAAATAGTCCAGTAACTCATCGCCGTACATGGTGTGTTCTAGATCAGTGGCATGAGTGGCAGATTGATCCTCGAAGTCACGCTGTTTCCGCTTCCTCGATGCCGCAGAGTTCTGAGAGAGTTGCATGAAGTCCTCGTCGGCCATGAACGAGGCAGTCTCTGGTGTAGGATCTCTACTCTCGTGGTACTGAGTGCTGCCTGTTTCGAAACTCTCGACGGGTTGGTACGCTTGAACTGTACCTAGTCAGCAGGAATAACGGCGTCACGGGAACTCAGGGCCCTACCTGGTTGTGCTACCACCTTCTTTGGCGCAGCGGGCTTGTTTTGTTTCGGCCGATTCGACGCAGCAGTGGTGTGCTTTGGCGCAGGAGGTGGGCTTCGGTCGCCGGGAACGTAGTCGAAGATGGGAGTGATGCGACTCAAGATGCCGTGTTTCTCTGCCAACATGCGGCCTTCTGTGAGAGGAATCCATGTGCCCTGGTATTTCCCATAGCCGCCCTGGATTTTCTCGTGGACACCCTTCTGCACTTCTCTTTCGAGAATTCTTGTTCTTGCAGGTTTATCGAAGCCGGCGATCTTGAGGATGTGAGTGGCATTGACCCAGTCATCAGAGCGACGGCGCATGACGTGGTCGGTGCCAATCTTGAGCTCGTAAACGGGCACCTGCAGGCCGGGTCAGTCTCAGGTGGGGTGAGGACAAAGGGAGACGTGGTTTGAGTACTCACATTGCTGTAGGTAGCAGAGTAGATGTCTTTGTTGGTCGACATGACTGGCTGCGCACAGCGAGAGGATAGAAACACGCCGAACGTCGATATCTACTCGGTCAAGGATGCATGCGTGGGGATGCCGGCTTCTGAGATCTGTGTTGGAGCTCCTGAGATAATTTACGCGTAGACGCGTCGACAGGAACGGCGCAGGACGCACACTGCCCGCCGAATGACTAAGCTGTTCGTCGCCAAGAGTGCGCGATCACGTGTAGATATCATGACTAAGGCGGCGGACAGAGACTGTCACGTGCTGCACGGCCTCCAGACTGTGAATCCCAGTCACGTGCTTATCGCAGCCTCGCCGAAGGGAGAGATCGGCCGTGTTTCCTCTTTGGGCTGCGGCCGAGAAATGTCCCTCTCCAGCTTTGTAATGCGGCGAGACCATCTTCCTGGCGTCATCGTATTGCGGAATGTAAAACCCGCAGCGCTGACTTTTCCCTCTACACGGCCGCTTTGACAAATGTGAATCGCACTCTGCTCGCCGGGTTTCTGTTCCTGGGTTGCTCCCTCCTTCGATTCGATGCCATTTTAACGTCATTGCTTCGCAGAGCTGACACAGAAAAGTCGCTCTCTTCTCGCATGGACGATAATATATACTCATATACGTATCTCTCTCTATATAATGACAACATCAAACATCTCGAAGCTCTTGCTGATGCTCTCTGTTTGACCAAACTCTACAACCCAACTCGTATAGCCGTCATCCAGAGTGCTCACTCAAGTGATTTGTCGCAGTCTCACATCGTTGTCATCACATAATTACCAATCCACACCGGCTCCGGGGATCTGTCAATGAACGCCTCCAGCGCTCTAAGAGGTATCCGAGTGGCGTCCCCACTCTATAAAACGGCCGCCGTCTCCCCTCGCTCTCTCTCTTCGCGCTCCTCCGCCTCCAGATTGTTTAGCAGCACTCCGTCCCCCCGCGCTGCTACTGCTGCCAACATGACGACCGGCGCGTTCAAATACATCGACAGATCATCGTACGTCGACAGCGATGTCCCGTTCGTTAAGCCTTGGGCCAAGGTCGATGGGCCGGGCTACTCGTTTAAGTTGAAGGACTACGAGCGCCCCGTGGAGAATCTCCGAGGACAAGAATCAAAATTCAACACCGACAACTCTGGCTTTGCGGTCTACACGTATCCCGCGCAGGAGAAGACGTTTACAGACGACGCCGCCGTCCGAAACGGATATTACGCCGAAGTAGAGAAACTACTCCGCGAGAAACTCCCAGGCGTCAAGAAGGTGGTGTTGTTCGACCACACCATCCGACGACGAGAAAAGGCCTCCCCTCGCCAACCGGTGCAGCAGGTCCATGTCGACCAGACGCCTCGGGCGGCCGAGGCCAGAGTGCGCCGCCACGTTCCTGCCGCTGAAGCCGAGGAGCTCTTGAAAGGCCGTTATCAGATTGTCAACGTGTGGCGGCCGATCGCCCACAAGGCCTCGGATTTCCCTCTTGCCCTGATCGACTGGAGGACGACGTCTCCCGATGACTTCGTGAAAGTCGATCTTCTGTACCCGAAACGGGGAACCACGTTTGGTGCCAACGACGATGACGACCGGGGTAAGGAAGTGCTACCGGATCCCAAATCGGCTGATTCGACCGAGGGCTACGAGGTGAAAGGGGAGACATACGCCGTGGCGCCAAACGAGAACCACAAATTCTATTACGTGAAAGACATGTCGCCCGAAGAAGTCTTGTTCATCAAGTGCTTCGACTCGATCAGCCAGAATGTTGGAGGTACCAGCGGAATAAGCGATGGGACACCGCATACTGCATTCGTTGATCCGCAGACGAGTCCGGACGCTCCTGGCCGTCAAAGTATAGAGGTCAGAGCTCTGGTGTTCTACGAGTAAGGATCGGCTGGCCCTCACCGACTGGTTCGTAGGATTGTCTACTTTTCATCATCATCGACTGATACTTAGATTGAGTTTAGCATAGTCTGTTAGGTTTCATGTACTATACCATATAGCGCCTGCTGTTGATACAATGTTATTGTTATTGATACGACATGTTCTGTTCTGTCCACATCGCACCCCATTCTTGGGTCCGAACACCTCTCTGGGAGTAAAGCAATAAAGCCGCTTGCAGAGCTTTTCCCCTCTCGTGGCAAAACAATGCTCAAGACGCAAGAATCTCATCGAGGGTGCGATGTTCATCCAACGTCCTCGTTCCCGCCTGCAGTTGTTGCGCCTTGACGCGGACAAAGTCGTCCAAAGAGTTCCCGTTCCTCTGGACTCAGCAAGCGGATCCGCTCTTCGACGGACGTGAATTCACCAAAATATTGACGGTCGATAAAGCGCGCCAATAAATCTCGTCAAAGCCAAAGCTCGAGGTCGCGGCAAGGCAGAACCAAAAGGTCCCACTGAGCATGGACTGTGTCATTCCCTCCCGACAGGCGTCGGGGCTCGGAGAGGGTGTCGTGTCGAATCTCTTCATCCTCGCACAGTTTCAAGGTGTGCAGAAAAGGTTCATGTCGCGGGATAATAATATCCACGACATGACCTTATAGGCCTTGACCAGCGTGTGGCCGTCGATTTTTGGGTCCTGGATGTCGCGGTCGTTCCGTAGAGCATAGGACCGCCTGCGGGCGAAAATACTCCTCTACTACTCCGTACTCTCTCAGCATATCCCGTGAGCCACACTTCGTTGGTACTCCGTGCTAGAGGTGAAATTCGAACAGGCTTGTGGAGTGTCCTTCACTCGAACTCAGACTCGCACTCTTACACATCAGCATCAGATAGGCTTGTCAAAGGAGTGTGGGAATTAGCTTTAGCTACCTGAGATACAGAACGAAAAAAAGATGTAGAGACAGAGATACGTGTGACATTTAGAACCGGCACCAGAAGAACAGAACAAATTATACTGCGTACAAAGCGATCCCTGCTGCTGTCGCTGGCGTTTCCATTGCGTTTTAACATTTTGAAGACGACCTCTTTGTCCAAAAACAATGATCCCTTACAAGTCAAGCATGAGTGATAGTCGTATCAATTCTTGTCCGAGGCATTTGCAGTGGTATTTGGCTTTGACTTCGGGGCCGTCCCTGCTTAGGTAGGTAGTTACCTTACGGTAGGTCCACAAAGGCGTCCAGTTAGTGCTTGCGGACAACGTTCCTGTGCGACACCTTGTGGTTGTGCAAGTGTCGAGCCTTGAGACCAGACTCGTAGGGATGTCTGGGCGCCGACGAGGCCTCGTAGGTGGCGTACGAAGCGCACTCGTCCTTGAACTCGCTGTCGTAGTAGCCCTTGGCGTCGATCTCGTCGGGTCGCTCGAGGAACTGGAGACCCATGCCGCCGTCGGCGTGCCAGATGATGTGGCAGTGCATGATCCACGCGCCGGGGTTGTCGGTCTCGAAGCCGATGACGGTCCATCCCGACACGAACGCCTGTGGGCTGCCGGCACCGAAGAGCAGGACCGTGTCCCGGCGGATCGGGTTCTGGAAGTTGAGCTGCCCGACCATGTCCGAGGTGAAGACGCCCTTGCCCTGGCCGAGCACCGAGAAGTCGTGGCCGTGCAAGTGCATCGGGTGCGACGTCTGGAAGTTGTTCTGGATGACAAAGTACACCCACGAGTTGGCCGGACCGTCGAGCACCGCCGTGTTGCCAAAGTACGAGCTGTTGTAGCCTAGGCCGGGCAGCGTCGCGAGCGTCTTGAGCGTGGGCTCGCTGTAGGTGACGTTGATGGCCTTGTTGGCCGCCGGCGTGCCGCTGTTCTCGGAAAGCTCCTTCAATTCGCCCATGAACCATCTGATGACGGGACCATATTCGCCAAAGTTCTGCGATCCGGCATTGCCAGCGGGGAGAAGCTTGACGGTGTCCTGGAATTGGGAGACAGATCCGGCGCTCTTGGAGTCGTGAGGGATGAGCTTGGCGAGAGGTTCATCCAGACAGTCACTCGCCGTGGAGATGGTGAAGTTGTCAGACTTGGGTGTGCCGCACGACCCTTCGTATGTGAAGACGCCGTTGGAAGTTCCCAAACCGTCGTTTAAGCTTCGGACGCCGCACCCTTGTTGGGTGACTGCACGTAGGAAGTAAGCTCCTTCGGGCTATTGTGTGTTAGCGTGTTACTGGCATTAGCAAGTGAGTCTGGGCTTACCTGGTTCATCTCCACAATGACATTGTAACGTTGACCACTTTGGATGTATAGAACATCAGTCTCGTATGGGACGACGGGTGTAAAGTCCGCCGAAATGACCTTCATCTTGTGGTTGTCAAAGTGCACAGCATAGGCAGATTGAGCAGAACTGGAAAATGATGTCAGCGCCTCGACCTCTTGGAGTGATATGAGGGACCCGTGACAGTCTTACCTGTTGATGATGCGGAAAAGATGCTTCTTGCCCTTCTTCACAGTCCATTGGGCACTCTCACCCTTGGTTCCATCGGGAGACTTGTTCTTGCCGTTGAGCAGGTAGTTGGTGGCTGGAGGGAGAGCTCCTCGGACGCGGGCAATGTTGTAAGCCATTTCGAAGATGGTCTGGTTGAAAGCCTCGTCGATCATGACGGAACCCATGTCTAGGTCGTAGTTTGCAGTAGCAGGGCCGTGAATGATGATGGGGCCTCGGCAACCAGCGCCATACTGCGAGAGCGTATGCGAGTGGTACCAGCCAGTGCCGTACGTGCTAGCATGCTACACAGTGTCAGCGATGGACGAGGAACTAAGATTTGGAGACGAAGACATCATGGAAGCTCCGCACACAGCAGCCACCATATCCGTGCATCACTTACAAACTTGTAGACGCGAGCGGCGCCAGGAGCAATACCGCACTCGGAGACACCAGGCACACCATCCTGGTCGTTTGTGCCAGTCTGTCGGATACCGTGCCAATGGATGGTGGTGGCGTTGGTGGTCAGGCCGTTAACAACAGTAACTTCAACCATGTCACCCCAGTTAGCCACAATGGCTTCACCTGGAGACTGGCCGTTTACCGCGAAAGAGTGCTTGAGGGTGCCATCATAGTCGAGTTGTTCTTCAGTGATGGTCAGAGTGTATTTCTTGGTCTGGCCAGTGTAGAAGGTCTTGTGGGTGTCATCATCGACAGACTTGCCAATGCACCATCGGCTTCTGTCGTCAGGGCCGTTGCAGCGGGGCTCAGGCAGCCCTGTAGCCCTGGATGTTTCATTCTTGCAGACAGACGAAGTCGTGGTGGTCAAAGTGGCGGTCGAGGAGGTTGTGTTGAAGCTGGCCGACGACGTAATTGATGTGTAGCTCGTCGTGCTGCTGTTTCCGTAGTGTGGTGCAGAAGTGGTGCTGCCGGTAGGAGCCTGAGTGGTGGACCAATAACCAGTTCCAGACGTAGTAGATGATCCCCAAGATCCGGATGTGACAGTGCTCGATCCCTCACTGCCAGTTGTGGTGGTGGTGGTGGTCTCAGCGTCACCAGGGGTTGTCGTCCAATCCTCCCAGGGGAGTTTCGTCGGGAGAGTATCGGCCTCGCAGGTATAGAACTCGGTCAGAGGGCAGACGGTGACAGTTCTCGTTGTGGTGACCTCAACAATGACATCTCCCTCCTCCCATTCGCCTGCAAACGCGCCCACAGAGCACAGCGGCAAAAGCGCCGCGAAATATTTCAATGATCTCATGATCAGAGTAAGGAGCGACAAAGAGAAACGAGAGGACGAAAGCCAATGCTTTCAAAATATCACGACGTGGTTAAAAAAGAGCGTAGAAGGGGAAACAGACGAGAAAAGAGTCGCAGTATACCTCTCACCTTTCTACTAATAATAACTGAGCCTGTTGACAGTCTTCGCTTACCGCAAGCCACGGTCGAGGCCTTGAGGTCTCCCGTGGGCCATTTGAGACGATCGCACGCAAAGATGGATAACACGAAACCGCATCACTCCACAGGGAGCTATGCTTTGGCGAGTCGAAGGTCAGCTACTCAAACGATTTTGTGCTGGAGGAGATTGGGCGGACCTCTGAATAGGAGAATAGCAGAGTAAAGCAGAGTCAAGACATCCATTTCGAGACGGGCCAAGTTCTTGGAAAGTCTTGTCGTTTCTTGTCCAACGCAGAGCAGTCTCGGAGAGAGATTGGATGTCCATGGCCAAGCTCTCCCGCCCCAGAGGCGCAGTCAGACACCCGATTCGACGCGGGTGGTGCGGATAGCCAAAGACGCGTCGAATTGGGGCCGTAAGTTGGTATTTGTAACAGTTGTAGTGGCGAGACAACTTGCATAGTGCAGACGAGCACGGCTGTTGCTACATGTGCATAACCGTACAAGAGCATCAATCACGATAAGAGACGAATCGATAAGGAGGGCTGGCGAGTCTGAAATGGCACTGTGGGAGAGGCCACTCTGAGGCTTCAGTGTCGTGTTGACGCCAGGGGGTTTTTGCCAAGCCTTCCCGACCCTCTCCGGAGAGATCTTCTAGCCTGAAGGGGTTAGCGTTATTGGGTCGCCTTACGACGGGCACCTTCTTTGGTCTTTTTCGCCTGGGACGATCCGCTGTGCTGAACCTTGAAGGTGCCTTCAGTGTCCGGCGCCGCTCCCTCCCGCTTCCCACGTTGTTGAGCGCGCTGTGACCGCGTCAGGACTCAAAAGGACTCAAGCCTTCTGCGACACAAGTCAATGCTCCTCGGCCACCATCCCGACGCTGGTGCAAGCAAAGCGAGACCCGTGGATTTGGCGCCAGCGGATCTTTAGGCGAATGCTGATCTCGGTTGTCGTGACGCCACCTACTGAGGCGCTGTCTGTCCTCAGTACAGATACAACAGTAGCCTGATTGAACACGTGAAGAGAAGATGATAATTCAAGATGTCCAACACAAGTAAGTTTGGGGTATAGTGGGCGGCGTCGCAAGGAGATTCTCTTTTGCTCCGTTGAACGTCACCGTCGCCCCTGTCTCTCAATCCACTGTTGCCCTGAGGCGAAGCGAGCCATGGCAAGGTTGGTCCAGGCTTCTACATCGCTGACGTTCGGAAATTCAGGTCAGAAGCCAAGAATTGCTGACAAGCTGGTCGTCTGGGTCGGGATACGGGGCAGGACGCTCTCCCCGCTACGGAGCGTGATCCTTCAGGGTCATGAAGGCTGCCCCCTGCATGTTCGTAGACGAGAGACCATCATAACTTTTCCTGCCCAGATGTGATCACTCTTGGCACTACACCTACGGAAAGGCGAGCCCTACGCTCCTGAGAGGGGATAATTGTTGTGCCCAGAGTCAAATTTTGGAGTCCGTGCTCATCTCTTCGCCAAGTTCTGAGGTAGCCTACACAGGCGAAGCAGAAGTGAAATGGGGTGCTAGCAGATCTCCCAATACCTGCAAAGAAGCGTCCGCATCGACAGCATCTATCCTTGGCCTCCTAGATCCATTCGGCTACTGGAACTTCGTCAGAAGGCGTCAATAGAGGGTTATTGTTAGACGCTGCTGCGAAGTCAGTTATGAAGGTGGCTTTTTGAAGTTGGCGTTATGCTCGCATTGGCTCTCATGCGACTCACAATCTTCGAAGTCGGACGCCTTTTGCTAATGACAAGTCATGCTGACCTGGCGTTGGTAGATGTATTGTCGCTGACATGATAGTTGTACTGCCGAACTACCGACCAGAACCGCCTTCCCCGCAATCAACATTCAGTTGGCTCTGGCTCAAAGGATTGTAACTCACGCAAGCCGACGAACCTGTTGAAATGCTGTTCGGACTTCCGGGTCAGTCCCAATAACCGACTCACCGTTCTGCACATGACGACAAGCAGGTCTGCTGCCTCGGTCCAAGACGGTCACTTCTGAGAGCAAAACGCTCCTGATTCCGCCGGTACACATCTCGGAGCTACCGTCTGCCAGCAACAGCTTCGATACAACTGTAGAGAGAGGTCTCCCCACGACTGGAACTCGACTGGAACTTATATATAAAGGGTGGTCACCGGCTTTCCATGCCAGATTGTATGTTCGAGCAAGCTCGACATCAGTGTAATTGAAGTAATCTCGTTTGGTCTTTGGTCGACGGCGACATCAATCACCGCATAGAGCTTGACGCCACGTAGCGGACGTCAGTCTTCAAGATGCCTTCAATCAAGCTTCACGTTGGTGTCTGCGGAGGCGGCATGGGTGGGCTTGCAGCCGCCATCGCCATCGCACGAACAGGTGCTCAAGTCACGTTGCTCGAGGCGGCACGAGAACTGGGCGAAATTGGTGCCGGGATCCAGGTGACTAGACATCGTCCAAGGATGTAGAGCAAAGCACAGCTGACGATGAAATCTAGGTGTTCCCCAACGTGTCTCGTCTGCTCATTCGATGGGGAGTTGACGAATTGATTGGGGACAACCTCATAACCGTGGACGAGGCGAACACATGGGCAGCTGATGGAACACTGCTGGCTCATTTTGATCCGAAGCAAGGTGCAAAGCAATCGGGCTTTCCTCATTGGTTGTTATCGAGGCATGCTTACAACATCTCCACTGACGATTCCCTAGGCTTGTGCGTAGAGACCATCTGCATGCCGGACTCACAGAGTCTGCACGTCGGCATGGCGTGAACCTCGTCGTGGATTCGCGTGTGAACAAGTTGGAATACACGAAGGAGAGTGTCAAGGTCACTACCACCCAGGGTGTCCACCACGAATTCAACCTCTTGATCGGATCAGACGGTATCAAATCCTTCATCCGACAAACACTGTTTCCCGATGTGGTGCCCAAAGCTGCTTCGACCGTTGCCGCCTTTCGAGGCATTCTGTCGTATGGGGAGGTCTTCGCCAAAGTACCGGACGCGCGACAATTTCTGAGGAACACGATGGATGGCTTGATTGGACCCAACGGTTACATCTTACTATATCCTCTGTCAGCTGGCAGGGAATTGAACGTTGTGACCCTGTTTCAGATGGATCGGGTTGTCAGAACACCAGAGGACGTCGATATCAATGAGTTCCGCAATCTGTACAAGGACTGGAATCCGACTGCCCGCAAAATCCTCGAGCTTGTCAATTATACCCAGAAGTGGCCGCTCCTTGTCCTTCCGCCCATGAAGACTTGGTCGAATGATCATAAGAACATTGTTCTCCTCGGAGATGCAGCCCACGCAATGCAAAACCATATGGCGCAAGGAGCAGCGACGGCCATGGAAGATGGCGCGTTCCTCGGCACTGTTATTGGCGATGTTGTGCGTGGGAATATTAGCTTGACTGAAGCTATCGAGCTCTACGAGAAACAAAGAATCCCACGAGTCTGGGTCAAGCAGCAGGCATCATTCGTGTCTGGAGCTATCAATATGGCCGTTGGAGAAGATGCTGCAAGACGAAATCGGGCGTCCGCTCCAGAGGTCAAGGCCTGGGGTTGCAATGTTGTTCAGCCCAGCAATGAATTGCCCCCGACGTACAAATCATGGCAGATGTATTGTACCCCTGCGAGTGTCCCCGGCATATTGTATTACGACGCCGAGGGAGACGCTGATAACGCAGTGTGTGAGTATCTGCAGAAAAAGACGGCCGTGGACGAGGTGACGTTGGTCAGTAAAGGCCTATGGGAGAAGTGGTGGGGTGTCATCGATAACAACGGCCTCGAGGGAGCCTAGTGATGTCTGCGACGCGTTCAGTCTCCTGGCACTATGGCCGAACGAGTACAATGCAATTTCGGATCTCCGTATATCATGCTTCCCGAGGGGTCCGCTCTTGGGGAAGCTACTCATCGATCCGGGGAGACTTGTAAAAGTTGTAGGCTGCCTAAAGATGGCTGCGCTAGGAAGAAGCGCAAGGCATCCAAGGCTAGAACTCGGGTGATATTGGCTCTCACTAGATTCGTAGGCCTAGATCAGCGAAGATATCGAGGCACAATGAATGCTATGTCGGAAAACTTTCGACGAAAGGATGAAGCCTGTAGTCTCTCGTTTGTAGGGGGTCTTGGTGTAACGCCCATCTTGACACTAAATCTGAGGTCAGAGCTTGAAGCAGCCGCGGTGGGAGTTCGGAGGGGACACAAGTCATAGTCGCCCCGTACAAGTCAGAACCTTGTTGATAAGGACAAAAGGTGTTGTCACAGAATCCAGGAGAAACGGCGCGGGAGTGAAGGGGGAGCAGTCGTAGCAGATCCCTTGGCGATAGAGATAACGAGTACGAACAAGAGTCAGAGTACTCGTAGTGTACGGAGTGTGAAGCTCAACATCGATCGACAGGCATTCAACAATCAACAGGAAAAGGGCTCTCCGAGGAGGTGTTCTTCCTTCTTCGCCGTACTTCGTATTCACTCCTACCTAGGTAAGCTCCGATGCTGATAACTGAGGTGGTCGGCCGACGGCCAATCGCGCGTTTAAGAGTCAGCACAAGAATTTTGCCAACTGGCCCCAGCCAAACTGGTCGGAGAGGGGATCTAAGGATCTAAGGATCTTGGTGAGATCGACCGGGAGAATCTTGGGCGGCTCACCAGGCTATCGACGCGACCGATGCCCCTTGGAGGCTTTACCTAAAATCCGTGTCCAAGGGCGGGTGTTAGGGCGGCCGTGGGCCATTCACAGGCGCCGTGTAGGCTGCTAATGGGCCACTAACTCGCCCCAAGCAGCCACTCTCCGCCTAGAGTTCCCACCATATCGGGGACCGGAAGCCACTAACAGAAAGAGAGAAGCGCTCGCACTCCGACCTGAAGCCAGTCCACGCCGCGCCTACGATGCTTTTTCTCCGTACAGCGCTTGCAATATCCGATATTCGCAGGCTGTACGGAGTACGTGCTGTGCACAGCGTCATCATTGTCTTCGGAAGAAGAAAAAAAAAGACCGTCCCCGGCCTCTGACCTCAGGTCTCCTTCACCCCTCAGTTTCTCTCTATCTATCTACCTTGGGACCGGAGGTGCGATGCTCACTCGATCCATACGCTGCACCGCTTCCTCGTCTCTCCCACCGTCGCCGTCGCGACGTCTCAACAGCAATCTCGCGTGTGGGCGACCATTCGGACTAGGTCAAGGTGTACTTTTATCATCTCAGACAGACAAGCCACAAGCTTCTTCCCACTGGTTCCGGTCCCATACGAGTACATTCCCTGCTCGAAGCGCTAGTACCAGTAGATCTGCTGCTACAGCTTATCCAGGTCCTACCGGGATCTACTGGCCTGTGAGGATCCGTTCTGTGCTCCCGCCATCACCGTCATCATCCTCGAATTCGTCCAACCTTTTTATATCTCGCCGATTCCCATCTTCACTGCGAGTACAGACACGATCTTGCAGCTCTAGCCACAAGCACTCGACAACAGCAAACAACACAGCCACTGAAGTCGAAGAACAAAAAGAGGAGGACGAAGAATTCAATCCGATCACGATGTCTTCAGGTTAGTCCATCCATCTCTGAATTTTTTTACCTCTAGGTGTTGAATGCTCCTCGTTCTACCAACACCTTGTACCCCACTGTTTTGCAACGCATTCAACTGCAGCCTCATCAAAGCAAAACATCCATGCATCGACCTATGGAATAATCATGATGCACAATTTGCAAGATTATTCTTATGTTCTTGTATTCTTTCGATGTTCCCCATGATCTTCCTGTTTGACTACTCAATCTGTTGTTGGCACCGCCATCCACTTTGGCCTCAACAATTCTGATTTGGGCGTGTTGATTCACGTGACCACCACGGCCCCCTCCAGCTCACCCCTGCATGCCTGCCTCATGGTATCATTGAACACATCATACCACTGTCCATGCAGACATCACCTTCGCTTTCTTTTAGCTCCTGTTGCTGCCCGACCCGACCCGCCAACTCCCGAACATTCTTTCCTTTTTCCTGGAGAAAGAAACGACCTTTGCCTCAGTGTCAGCCAGTCGACTAACCCACTCCTGTCTATAGATTCAAAGGCCGAGGACGCCTTCACCAAAGCCTTCAACAACAACTCCGCATGGCGCCGCTCCCTTGCCGAGACGGAGCCCGAACTCTTCGAGTCCCTGGGCAAAGGACAATCCCCTCAGATTCTCTGGATTGGATGTGCAGACTCCCGGTGCCCCGAGACGACCATCCTCGGCCTGAAACCCGGCGAGATCTTCTGCCACCGTAACATCGCCAACATCCTTACGGCCACCGACATCAACTCGTTGTCCGTGATCCAGTTCGCCGTGCAGTACCTCAAGGTCAAGCACATCATCATATGCGGACATACCTCGTGCGGAGGCATCGCCGCGGCCCTGGATAACAAGAAACTCGGTCTGATCGACACCTGGCTCATGCCACTGCGGGCCATTCGCCGTGAGAACCTGGCCCTGTTGAACAGCCTGGACGAGAAAGAAAGGGCGCTCAAACTCGTCGAGTTGAATGTCCGCCAAGGCGCCAAGGTCCTGCATGAGAACCCCGTCGTCATCGACGCCATCCAGGAACGGGGTCTGCAGGTCCACGGCCTGATTTATAACGTCGGCACCGGTGAACTGAGAGAGTTGGACATTGGCGAGGACGACGATGTCGTCAAGAGCCGTACCATTGCCTTCAAGACCGAGTGAAAACCTTGAAACCTGATGCCTAACCTCGACCAAAGAAAGTTGTGGTCATGATTCTTCGTCAGATGTTCAGGAACAAGCTGGGATGGTCGTCAAGGTTAAATGTAGGCTTCTTATCCTCGCCTTCGTTCTTCGTTCTCGCTTCTCCATCGACATAGTTCGCCCTCAGTTCGTGGGGAGGGTGAAACGACGGCAATGCGAGGGGGATTTGCACTCCTTTCCCCCTCACTTTTTCGGGTGTGTTTGTATGTTTGCGTGGTGCACTTCTCGCACATGTACGAGCGGGGAACAGCAGTCACCCTCTTGGAATGGTCTTCCTGCGTGGATGGGATATAGGGAAAGAAGAGAGTAATAGAAGCACAATGTCTCTCCCAAGATCAAAGCCCCTTGTCGCAGACTTCGAACGTGTGTAGCCTACCTTTGAGTACGTATGTAATGGGTATCAAGTACCGTAGGTAGGGTAGCCGAGGTACCATAAAGACATTTGGGAGGCTTCGTTTACCCTTGCCCCCAAACAAAGAACGGGCTTAGACACTGGCAGACGACAACGGTATGCCCCAGGGGGGGAAATGCATGCAGGGGTAGAGGGTAGCTCGACGAGGTCAAACAAGACTAGGCCAGGCAAAGATACACACGTAGAGACACCGTCGCACTGGACGTACATGAATGAATCCATGTCCTTCGGAAGCTACACCCAAGACCTAGATCAGAGCCATGCCTCTCTCTGTCCCCCTGAGGAAAAAGCAGCTTTTGTATCGGCAGGTAATATAAATATATGATTTGTAGAATTGTGACTTGGAGGAAGCCCCGAAGTTGACGTTCAAGGCGTTTGGCAATGACATGACCAGCTGATTTACCAGTACGTACCAACAATGGTGAAGAAGCCTTGTACACGAAAACACTAGATCCAATCTCAAAACCGTATCGATGAAGCCTTGACCCAAGGCTATCTTTCTCCCATCTGCGAAAATGGGATCCCCCACGAGGATCACGTCCCTTCCGACCATGCCAACTTCGCCCATACGATTTCACGGTGAAAAGCTAGAGACGGCGTGCATTCGAACTGCTCTGCAGAACATGAAGAACCGCTTCAGGAAACTAGCCCAACTGTAATTTGCTGTTCTAACCTCTTCGGCCCGAGGACGTACAATAATAGCAGGTAATGGAATCGTTCCCCAGGGGGAGGGGACTGCGCCCGTGGAATCGGTAGGTAGGGACAGAAAACTCCCTTGATGAGACTTCACGAGTGGACAACCTCACAATTCCTCTATCCTCTGAACTTCTTGAACGCTTCGGCCACTGTCATTCCTTTCTCTACAGCTTCCTTCACCTTGTCGTCCGCAGCCACCAGCTTAGGCATCAAGGACAGCGTGTCGTCGAGGAGGTCCCGCGGGATGACCACGACACCCTCCAGCGGGTCGCAAAAGATGATGTCTCCCTGTAGGCATTGTCAACGGCGGGGGTCCTCAAGCGATTCAGTATCGCTTTCATCATGGTTTCTCACCGGAGCCACCGTGACGCCGGTTATGGTCACTGGGACGTTGCGCGCGTATACCGTCGACTCGGCGTTGGTCCCCACTGTCGACTTCCCCAGTGCAAAGATCTGTTTCCCCAGGTTGCTTTTCGTCAACAACGTGATTGACGAATGGTAGGAGCATAACATATGATTGACGAAAAATAGGACATAACAACACAGACGCGGACGCAAGAGAGATAGAGAGAGAGAGAGGGATAGAAGTAATACAACAGCAACAGGGAATGCTCGCGTACTGGTAGTTTGGACTCTTTCAACTCAGCCATGTCTCGCACACGGCCACCGACGACGCACGCAGCCACACCCCTTACTTTCATCCGTTGAGCCATGATGCCGCCTACGGCCGCACACTTTTGGCCTTCTGGCTGGTCGATGACGACGACACTGCCAGCTTCTGTTAGGTCGACCCAATGGCTACCCTTGGGGATGGTGTTGTCGGCGGCAGGTGGTGCTGATCCTGGAGGAGGAGGAGGGGAGTTCTTCGACACCAGCTTCAAAGTGCACGCGGGTGCAATCACCTTGCTGCTGGTGGTGCTGGTGCTGCTCGCTGCAGCTTCACCTGCGAGTGTCTGCGAAGACGGAACCGGTCCTTGTCATTCTTGTTAAGATTGACTCGACGACGAACGTAGCGACCTGAACGGGAAGAACTGCTGTAATGTCGTCCTTTGCTTACCGATGTCGGCCAGGAATCCGGCTCTCGCAACTTCGCCCGCTGCGGGCTTTTGGAGCTTGAGCAACGCATCGGAAACCTGTGCAAATGTGTGGGCAAGGTCAATGCCATGGGAGGGCAGCAAGAATCCTTACGTCGCAGGCTGAATAGTCATGCAGGCGGCGGAGCTTCTCTTGAAGATCGCCTGGAGCTGTCGACATCCTTCTGAATCGGCAATTGGCCAACGGAGAGGAAGGAGGACGACGACGGCACGCAGTGATTGATGAATGGGTAGAAGGGACGGCAAAGTCAAAGGGAGTCGCAATCCTCTGCAATCTACTCCTGCACAGAACAACAGGGGACGATCTATTGATCATTATCCCCAAGGCACTGAAAGACATTCAAGGAGTGAGGACTCTTAAACCACCGATCTCGCAAATAGATCTGAAAGTGAATCGGCCCTGACATGAGTGTACGGGTCGGTTGCTGCCCTAAGACTTCCTTCTACGCTCCCCGGGCGTATTCCGGTTCCTCGTGCACGGAATCGAGACGACCATCGACACCTTCATAGAAATTCAATGCTTCCTTGTTGTCCCCCCTGAGGGCTATGGGCTTTCACAGGCCTCGGCATGGTTATCTGTCAAGTCACCATTACAAGGATACGATGCAGCGTACGGCTCGAAACAATGTCTCATAACGCCGTTTTGGTCTAAACATTTCACAGTCAGGTACGGCCAACTCCCTAGTCCTTGAGAAAGAACAAGCACGGTCAAAAGAAGCCTACAGTCGCTATACCGGAGCTGAGGACTCTTGTGAGACCCAGGGTGCAAATCGAATCATATCGCTCATTCGGTCCTTCACACGACTTTCGTATGATGAGGCCGTATGTATTCATGGTATGTATGGAGTGATTCGCTCTTCCATGTCTGCATGCCATCAAACCCAGAGATATATGTACAGATGTGACAGGTCGAGTTGTTTTGAATATTGAGTACGGTACGTAGTCTTATCATGTGATTCGTGGTTCAGCCTGGGAAAAAGGGATTAGAAACCTGCGTTAAGATATGACGCGAGAAATTGTCACAAACCTTCCATCTGCTGTTGACTGTGGGAATGTTAGCTTGTGAACGATTGATTTATCTTTCGACCAGGTATGAGGCTACATACCTTCGAATCCAAGAGGTGCCTCCACGGCATCCGACTGTCCTCTGAACTTGCCCGTTAACCGTTGATCTCTCTCCATCACTTGGTAGCAGTTAGCCTCTGTGTCTGTCTGTTTCTGTGTGACCACGTTTGGTGAACGCGACTAACTCTGTCTGTCCCATCTGTCTATCAGATATCTCGGCCGCTTGTAGTCGTTTTTATAGTATTTGATCGAAGCCAAACCCGCACCCTGTGGTTTTCTGCTTAGTTCCATGCTTCAGAATGCCCAGCGCCTCTCGGGCAACCGTACCGTAATACCAAACATCCCCACCATGATGGCATAGGGGAGGAGGGCTTCGAAAGGGACACCCATGGTGACTCGTGGATTATGCGGACGGATTGTCGGGTGTCTCGATGCGATGGGTTCAAAGTGTCGTGTTGTTGCGACGGTGGGAAATTCGACTTTGATCGTCTATGTTGGCAAGGGCGGAACACTCTTATGTCTCCTTCAACAACATCCAGCACATAGCGCAGGGGTGTGGTGAGACTGGATCCTAGTATTGGCCTCTAGCAATCGCGATGCAGCTTGAAGCTCATCCAAGTCGACTTTCTGCCAAGATGATTGCTTGTTTTGGAGTGCCAACGAGGCCGCTTTATGGCAGGTATGAGTACTCCAAAGTGCCTTAGTAATTGACCAGGGGTGAGCAGCTATCAAAGGCAAGTAAGCCGAGAAGATTCAACGCGCATATCATCACGTGATGCTGGACGTTCAGTGGTAGGTCTCTGCGAGAGGAACTGTCTTCGAGACGCCCTCGAGCCAGGTAATACCAGACGCAACAAGTCACAGACGATCAATTTACGTGTACCACCTGTATCAATTTTCAGGAAACACACTTTGAACGACGTCCGAGTCCTGTCGCGCACAGTCTTTACGCGTTCGAGAGAAAGACCTACCTCCTCCCCGCGAGACCGACCCAACGACCACGACCGGGGCCGCCCCAAAGCGGAACATGCGTCGTAGTTCCCTTGGTGTGATCGCGTGAGCGTTGGAAGCGGAAAACTGCACTCTGGGGAATCCGATGTCACTGGGAAACCATCTGCACAAGCGGTCGTAAGGCGTTTCGAGCAGGACAGTCACCACGACAAAAGGCCGCTCTCATGCCACCTCTTGTGTCCGAAGAACCAGACGAGACATCTAGTCTGGATCAAGAAAGTGTATCAGGGGAAGTCGATGTCGAGTCTAATGCAAATGAAGATCTGATTGGCCCTACGATCAATGTGCGCGTTGTAGCTGCGGCTGGCAAACCAATGGCAAAGCGGAACACAGAAGAGGTGGGTGAGCGAGACACCGATTCTGCACATGCACCCAACCCGGAAGACAGCGCGTTGGACGAACAGTTACAACGGTCAGCTGAGGAAGAAGGTAGTGACGACGATGAGGCTGAAAGTTCCTCTCCTCCGCGGGCCGAGGCAACCACAGACTCTCCTGTGAAGGGAGAAGACAGTGAGGCGGATGCAGATGCGGACGAGGATGAGGACGACGAGGCCAACGCTGTCTCTGACGCTGATGACAAGGATGCCGAAGCCGAGAGCGACACTGACGCAGATGCGGATGAAGATGCGGAGGCTGAGACCGATGACCCTGCTCAAGAAGACAACAGCGGCGATGAAGAGAGTAGTGACGACGCAACAAGTGACGGCAAGAGTCAAAGCTCGGATGAATCTGACAGCGAAGACTCAAGCTCGCAGTCTGAGCAGGGTGAAGAGGTTGCGAAAGAAACTCAAACAAATCATGCGGAACCTGAATGTATGTTTTGTGATAAGACCAATGATACAGCCTCTGCAGATGCCGATACGCTTTTGGCTTGTTCGGGTTGCGGGAAACATGCCCATCTGCGCTGCCTTCAAGAAAGAGACGAAGTCGAGAACGATAAAACTGGTGCATGGCAGTGTCCTGACTGTCTACAGCAGCCGGGCCAATCCGAATCTCCAAAGGAACAAACGGTGCGATCGAAGAATTCAGCACCTCGACTTGTCAGAGATTTATTACCTGTCACTCGGGGTGTGCAGAAACCTGGCTCACACTCAATCTTCGCGCAGCCATTGATACAAGAAGGTGAAGATGGAGGACGAGCTCTCAGAAAGAGGAAATCGCCCACTGAAGAACCTCCACCGACAGAGAAGCGACGCCGTAAAGTCACCCCGCGGGCACTGGAAGCCATCTCGGTGGATAGCAAGGCTGAGGAGGAGAAAGCAGTCGCCCACTCAACGAGAGCAAGCCAGAAGATTACCAAACCAGTTGCACGAATCTTGCAACACCGCCCATTCAACAAAGCGCCACCACACAAATTCATCCTCGCATTCCACTTGGGACAGTCTAAGATCGAAGAGATCCTAAACAAGCCTCCTCGGCCGGGAAGAAGGAAAGCTGCCCCAGTTAGAGAAAGAAAAAAAGTACCCAAGATACCGGCGCCGGTTTATCAACCTCCAGTGCCCAAATTTCCTGCCTTGCCGACCCATCACCTCATCTTTCCCTCGGCGTTCACAGATCGCGAAGCGGAGCTCAACGCCAAGCCGTATGGCGGGATACTCACAGAGGCAGAAGCTGACACATCACGGTCATTGCCACAGCTGAAAGATCGTGAAATCTTCGAGATTGCCAGAAAGGAAGCAGAAGAAGAACGTCGAAGGACATCTGCTGCAGCCGAAGCGGAAATTAACGGAGACAAGGAGGGAACGTCAAAGCCTAATCGAACCGTGTCAGGACCACCGACCAAGATCAAATGTATCCAGTTTGGCAAGTTTGTCATTGACACCTTTTATGCGGCGCCATATCCCGAAGAATATTCACATGAATCGAGACTCTTCATTTGTGAATTCTGCCTGAAATACCTACCTTCTGAGTTTGTGGCGTATCGGCACAAATTGAAATGTCCCGCCAAACATCCTCCCGGGGACGAAATCTACCGCGAGGGCACGTTGTCAGTGTGGGAAGTGGACGGACGCAAGAAGACCGAGTACTGCCAATGTCTTTGTCTAATGGCCAAAATGTTCCTTGGCTCGAAAACGCTGTACTACGATGTTGAGCCATTCTTGTTTTACATCTTGACAGAATATGACGAATTTGGATACCATTTTGTCGGCTATTTCAGCAAGGAAAAGCGCCCCGCGAGCCAGAATAATGTTAGCTGTATATTGGTGATGCCGATACATCAGCGAAAAGGATATGCGACGTTTCTCATCGACTTTTCATATCTCCTGACCAGAATTGAAGGCAAAGAGGGATCGCCAGAGAAACCTCTGTCAGATATGGGTCTGACAGCATATCGGTCGTATTGGGATTTGACCATCTCGCGTCACCTTCTTGACATCGGCCTCAAGCCTTTCAGCACGAGAACGCTTATGGCTAGGACTGGCATGACGGCAGATGATGTGATTCATTCTTTGGAAAGACTATACGCTTTTGTGAAGGACCCAGTGACCAAAACATATGCAGTCCGATACGACAAGAAACTGTACGAACGAATAGTCGATGAGTTCGATTCCAAGAAGCATCGTAAGTTACGACCCGAAGCCTTGATATGGACTCCCTATATCATGGGTCGTAGCGATCAAGCCACCCTCGACGGACAGCATTTGCAAGCTCTGGCCCCTCGCGACGATGACGAGGACGAGGAAGAAAAAGAGGAGACTGGGCCTGGCGAAGTTGTTTCCAAAGCTGGGAAATCCCTTACAGAAGTGGACACTGAAGTTGACGTGCTTGATTCTGGTAACATATCGCCCAGGTCGAGGGCGAAGTCTACAACAGCTGTGTCTCGACGTGCATCAGTCACGGCTGCGGTGGATTCCGATACGAAGGCAGAGTCTCAAGATGATCCACTTACCAATGACCTCGGTGTGGTCGCTCCGGGTCCACCATCCACAGATGCCATGAACGGTACCGTTTCCACGCAGCTTACACAGCCTGCACTCAAGGTTAATGGCCTCAGTGTTGGGTTAGTAAACGGGGATGGGATGACCAGCGAGGACTCCAGGAATGCGAAGTCTGAGAACAACGATGCGGCTGATGTCCAAGCGGAAGAAGGAAGCAAAGTAGCAGCACATAAACAGGACACCAAGATGCCAGAACCTCCTCTGACGGGCTACGCTCTTGCATATCGCACACTCAACATCCCTCCTACACGGTTCCAGATTGATCCACCGATTCACCCCGCCATGCTTAGGCAACGGAGCACGAAGAAGCGGAATTTAACGACTGCGTTCGGACGTGCTGGGTCTGGGTCCAATGCGAATGGGAATACGACCCACACCACTCCCGCCGTTGCGGTACGAAGTTCACCACGCCATGCCAATACCGTGGCCAATGTCAACGGCGGAGGAGGAGGAGGCGCTAGCACCACGACGAGGACTCGCACCGGCAGTCTTGACATGGGCAAAGGCAAAGAGACGTTGTCTGTCCCAAACACGCCTGCACGACGGAGTAGTAGGAGAAGCGCTCTTGCAAATTCAAGTACGATTGAAGTGCTCACTCCCTTCAATGCCCCCGCCGCCTCCCAGGCTGGCCCGAGTACGAGGACTACAAGGGCTCGGAGTTCCAGAAACGACTCGACGACTGTTGATATTGAGGATGGCGATGTCATTGAAGTTTCAACTGCAACTGCTGCTGCTTCTGCCAAGGCTGTGCACGCCGAAGTCGATGCCGAGGCTGACGAGGATGTCGATGCGCCCGCGGACGAGGATGAAGATGAGGAAGAGGAGAAGGTGAATGACAAGGGCAAGGCTCGTGCCAATGTCGTCGAGGAAGAAGACGATCAAGACGCCGAGGCTGATTCATCTAGTGGCGGTGATGAAGAGGAAGATGATGAAAATTCCGAAGACGAAGAAGAAGAAGATGATGATGATGACGATAATGGTGAAGAATCAGAAGACGAGACCTCGGACGCTGTGATACCGGAGGAGGAAGAAAGTGACACAACTGGAGATGACGATGGGGATGCCCCTGCAGATGACGATGATGATGACGACGACGACGAAGATGCAGAAGTAGATGAGGACGAGGAAGATGACGATGAGGACGATGAAGAGGATGAGTAGATAGAATTGTCCCTCTGCGTCTTTGTAGTCGTCCTCGTCGTCGTCGTCGTCGTCGTGGTAAATTAATCTTCATCTCTGCGTCGTGGTCTCTGTCCTTTGCCGGCGTTTCCATAGATAGCTACCTACCTGTGTAGTTATTTCTTCGCCGCCATTGGGCCTCGTTTGATCTTTTTCGTCTCTAGCGGTTGTTGGTCGTCCTCGACGCTTCGGTGAAAAGACGAACATCCACGCTCGATGAGGATACATGCATGGGGGCAGCACCTTTTGAGTACGTGACGACGAGCCGACGAGCCGACGAGCCACATACCTAGGTAAGCTCGACGGTGGTTTATTTAGTGCGAGGTCAGAACCCCCATCATCCCCCATACGGTATATGCGGTATATGTATCTCGAAAATAGTGTCGAACAGAGGTAGGGGGGGGGGAGAAAAAAAAGAGAGAGAAGACCATTGAGACAGTGACACACACACACACACACACAAAACCATCCACACTCATACATACCACGGTATATTCCCGTCATGTGTACAGACAGGATCTTCCAAAATTTTTTTTCTTCTTCCATTTTTTGATGGATTCCAATCATATGTAGAGGTCGATGAACAGTGCCCGTCGGCCGCACAAAAAGTCGTAAATACTGTACCTACCAAGGTGGTGGTATGGTCATCCAACGACAGAAACACGACGCAATTTAACCCTGCGTCTTCCAACAGAAACACAGGCCAAAAAAAGTCACCTCGACTCCCCTTGTCCGCATCTGCTGTCTCATCCCTACCTCTCTATTGATCAATCCACTGATTTCAGTTCACGAAGTAAGGTATCCAAGTCAAGGTTGAGCAACTCGACACTCAAAGTGCCAATATTCCAAACGTACATCATGTGTATCTGATCTACTGTACCTAACGTCAAGTAAAAGGACCAGAGCCCAGGCGCCCAAACATGGCTCAATCGTTCCATTTTCTTCTCGTCTCCCTCTCTCCCTCGCTCCCTCGCCCGACAAAAAACCCACCCAAGCCCTTTCTGCTCCCTCAATATCATGTGAAGATTTCTTTGCGACAGAGCTCTTTGAGCAGCCAAGTCGTCGACATTCACAAGGGGACACGGGTCGTGGGCCGTTGCCAGCTTTTCGTCGAGTCGCACGCAACACAAAAACATATCTCAACAGCTCCCAATTGTTTTCCCACATTCATTCGTCCCCAAGGACTTTCCCTTTTCACCACTGCTCATCTACTCTCTCTCTCTCTCTCTCTCTCTCTCTCTCTCTCTCTCTCTCTTCCCCCC